CTGAGGATCATCTAGTCCAACCCCCTCAATGCAGGAATATGCAGCTGTTTCATACAGTGATTAAACCTGCAACCTTGGCATTATCATCAGCATGCTCTAACCAACTGAGCTCTCCAGGCAGCCTGAACCTGATCAAGGATGATGGGAGTCCAACAACATCTGAATGGACACAGGTCCCCTAGCCTGGCATAAGCTAATAGAGTATCTGGATAAAAACAAATAAGAAAAAGACTATAATTTAAACCTAAATATGTATCTCAGCATAGCAGAGAAGACTGCAACCAGGTTACCTTTGCATCTGCTTGGTCTGATACCCAGGAATCAGCAACTAGAAGACCTTTGCTCTTCCTTATCTTTCAACTTATGACTGGACAGGCCTTCAAACAGATGACTATTTCATTTAGAGGACTGTCCTCTGTAAAGCAGGGCACATCACCACCCTATTTACATCTGGAAGTTTTCCCTCTGGTCTGCCACAAAGCCCTGCCCCTGAACAAGCCAGCTCCCACTCAGATTGGCTGTTAAAGCCTCGTGAGCATCCCCAATCTCGGCATGACTAGAAAGGAGGGGGGAAACCTCTCCCACCTGCTCCAAAACCAGGAAGGAGCCAACCACCCACTACACCTGCCTTGCTACAATTGCCACCCCCAACAATACCACAAGGACAGGTATTCATTTCACTAAAGTTAACTTATGCTTTTGCACAGTTAACGCTGTTTGCTAACCATCTCGACCACTGTCAAATTATCAAACAGGCTAACCAAGGTCAGGCCTACTGGAATTGGCACAATATGGCGCCCGCCACCCCCAAAATTCCCTGGTATAAGGGCCCTTCTCAGGAGCGCAGGCCCTTTTCAATCTATGACACTGGTTTGGGATTATGTCAGTGCTGAAGTAAAAGAACCGATATTGTGTTACTGTTATTGTAATTGAGCTCCTGTATTGCAACATACAAGATCCACGTCTCTGGGGAGACTGACATGTGTATAAGTACTATTTGGAAGCATTAGCTACTTCAGTTGTTTACAGAATCTAAAAAACGGTCAAGGCTGAAGTGCATCTAAGAAAGGAGTTTAACTGACACGGAACTAGCCAGCAAAACCAGTTGTGTAAAGTTCAGTAAGCCTGATTTGCCAAGTGCCCTGGGATTTGCCAAATACAACAGCTTTCACCAATGGGATCGTGGCAATTGAGACGATGCGTAACAGAAAGGGGGGTGGAATACACAAAAGCAAGTGGAGCTATGCAATTTTTCCATGCTCTCATCCCCCAAGCTCCACAAAGCCTCCCTCACCTAATCAGGTATCATGCAAAACCCTAGCAGAAACCTCGACTATGTACAGCAGCCTTGATTTCAAGTTTATTAGTCTTCTTGCACTTTTTTTTTTTTACATGAAAGAAGGGCTATTGATGAACTGAGAATAATGCCATACAGAACCACTACACATTACTTTATAACCTAGCAAACCAAAACAAAGCCCCAATCTCCGAGCAGTGAGAGATTCCAGGTATGCTTACCCAGGGTTCGGTTTCCTTAGAATGAAGTTCGTTCTGTTGTGTGTTTAGGATCCAGTGGTACCTCGGGTTAAGTACTTAATTTGTTCTGGAGGTCCATACTTAACCTGAAACTGTTCTTAACCTGAAGCACCACTTTAGCTAATGGGGCCTCCTGCTGCCGCCGCGCCGCCGGAGCCCGATTTCTGTTCTCATCCTGAAGCAAAGTTCTTAACCTGAAGCACTATTTCTAGGTTAGCGGAGTGTGTAAACTGAAGCGTATGTAACTTGAAGCGTATGTAACCCGAGGTACCACTGTATATTGTTTTATTTACACATATATACAACCCGAGAACAAGATGGAGGGGCTCTAAGCATTAACACCCCAGGAGATCTTGCTTCCCCATTAAGCTTCCAGGGGAGCCCCAAAGCCCAGTACAGATCAAGAATGTCTCTGTCTCCAGTTTCAGGCCTGCTTCCAACCCATATCAACAGCAGTGGCTTTTGCTCTCCTACCTAACTGCTGAGTGAGCAGAGGGTGGGGGGAAGGCCCACCCATTTGTTCTATGGCACAGAACAACTTCTTTGTTTATGCTACTTAACTAACTAACCAAAAGCATTACCTTAATAGAGGAACTGGCTTGGCAAGCTTGTTCTTATACATTCTACTCTCACAGATACAGGATTCCAATAACTAGAAGGGACTCAGAGTATCATCCAGACTGACCCCACCTCTCAAACTCAGAACAGCGTTATGGTTTAAAATGTTATCATGTAACCCTAGCAAAACAAACAGAACAATATCAAAGTGGCAGTCAAATATGTGTGACAAAACACAACACTTTTTTTCAATAGCATATCCAATAGTGTATATCAGCAAAGCACAGAAATGCATTCCTCATTCATCAATATTCTATATTTTTCAGGCGTTTTCCCACTCACCTTTTCACATCCTGGAAAATGTTAAAGGAAGACAGTTGCTAAAATGAGAGCTTGATGGGATAATTGTTCACCTGTGCTTTTCTGCTGCTTTTCTTCTGAAAATTGCTTGCTTCAGAAAGATGCTCACTGTGCAGGAGTCAATTTGTTTATTGTCTGTGTTGTGATAAAGCACATGCAATGGTGCAGAGGAAAGGAACAAGTTCATAGCTGCAGGAGGGGCCTTCCGCCTTCCAGAGGCAAGAGAGAAAGATGTCACCCCTGGATGTTGTCTGTGTATTTGATAGGATGGCTGGCTGCTGTTAGAAGCTCTAGGCCTCAGTTTTGGTTTCTATTAAAGCAAAGATTAAGTTCCTTTGTTAAGTAGCAGTTCTTACTGAAAGCTTGCCAACCCCTCTGGCTCAACTACAGCATATATTGTTACTGCAGGGTGGTTCTCTTTGTTAGCGTCACTGAGGCAGCTGTAATAATTAAGGAAAAGGAATACAGGTGACTTCTGGTTCTGAGAACCAATCAGAGGCTTGGAAGAAAAGGAAGGCCCAACAAGGCCACAATCACACCATCCATTTAAAATGCTATAATACCACTTTAAACTGCCATGGCTTCCCCGAAAGAATTCTGGGAACTGTAGTTTGTTACGGTGCTGAGAGTTGTTAAAAGGCCCCTATTCCTCTCACATAGTACAATTCACAGAGTTCCCTGGGAAGCAGCATTGTTTGTTAAACCACTCGGGGAACTGTAGCTTTTTAAAAACTAAAAACAAAAAAAAGTGATTAAGAATGTCAGTATGTTGTTGCTGGGAGGGAAGTAAACATATAATACATACAAATAAAATGAATATGCTTTACAGTGCAATCCCATGCATGATTACTTGAAAGCAACCCCACCCCCCTTGTGGCCAGCAGAATATACTTTCATGTAAACGTGGCAAGGAGTTCAGCCTAACTCTCCTACTGAAATCATGGAGTGGCAAAATAGTTAACTTTTGGTTGTTCTGCAGGCTTGGGTCAGTGGATTCTTCTGTAATCTTACTGTCAGTGTGACCAGACCTCTGTTATTACATTGCTCCTTACATGAGGAAGATACTTTGGTGGGTGATTTATTTATTTTTATTAAAGTCCTCAAACGTTTATAAACAGGAAAGGAAAAGCATGGTAATTCTTAAAGTGTCTGGAGCCTTCCCTTAAGCCAACTTCTGATGGAGGAATTTTAAAATAAAGATAATGCTTTTGTTTTGCTTTGTAAGCCTTTCCTTATGTCCTGCTCAGTCGTAGGCTGAGCTTCTTCAACAGGAACATCTGATTGTACTGCATGACATCTGAAAACCAGTTTGGCACCAAAACTCTTGCTTCAACATTCCTCACAGTCTTATACTGCTGGTCAATCTAGCTCAGTGTTGTCCACACTGACTGGCAACAGCTCTCCAACATTTCAGCCTTTTCTGGAGATGCTGAGCCTTGAACCTGGGACATGGCTGATGCTCTACCACTGAGCTACCTACGGCCCTTCCTCTGAAGTCATCATTGCTGCATCTGAAAGGAGTGGTCCAGGTGTGCTTGGGCCTCTCTCTTTGCATCCCAGCCACATCCTCTGTCCCTTATAGGTGTTGCAGTTGAACAGTCCATCCCTTTTGCCTTTAAAATAAATGTTCAGTTAAAGTATCTGACAAGAAGGAGGAAAGGATTCAAGTCTGTTGACCTTTTAAGTATTTATGCTTAATTATAATAAGCCTAGACCTGGAACAAGATCGACTCTTGCATAATGTTTTGTTTTGTTTGGTCTCGTTTCCACAACGTATGGGATGGGTTCCGTGCTGGGTTTCTTTAAATTATATATTATTTTAAAAATAGTCTCAATGGGTGCATTGTCCAAGGACTCCAATATGTGAGTCATCCCTCTCCATTTCTAGATATTTCCTTTCACCTGCTAATAGAGGCAGGTAAGGATTCCAGAGGACTCTCTCTGTGTGGTTTTTGCTCCCTGCTGCTGGATGGGGAGAAGTGGGGTGGACAAGACACCAGAGAGTGGTCTTTTTAAGTACAGACACATAGTAGTTATACAAAGACTGATTTTCAGTGTAAAGGTCTGAAGATGAGTATGTACACAGGGGCTTTGAGATTCTTGCTGAGCCCATTCAAATCTAGAACTGGGGCAGAAATGTGATTCAGTTTTCATTTAAAGGCAAATCTACCTATTACACACTTTCTGAAACAATATACAAACTAGAACACAAACACCCATCAAAATTTGCACTTCTCCAAACAAGTAATGTATTGAATAAAATGCATATACTAGATAAAGCATGCCTTAAAATGCATATATTTATGAAAGTAACAGACAAAAAAGCATTATATATGAGGAAACTGTAGATTATGCAAAATTGCAAACAAAAATGTATATATTGGGAGAAAAATCACATGAGGGCTTTCATGAGGACTAAAAAAAAAAAAGGATTTGAGAAACAGAAATTGACAGATTCACCCATCCTTATAAATCTCAGTGTCAAAGCTAAGTGAAAGATGTGATGTACTTTTCTATGCATATAGCATCACAGGATTACTTGAGAAGGCTAGCTCAGTTTGTAGAGCACAAGACTCTTAATCTCAGGGTTGTGGGTTCAAGCCCCATGTTGGGCAAAAGATTCCTGTAATGCAGGGGGTTGGACTAGATAACCCTCATGGCCCCTTCCAACTCTACAGTTCTATGAGAAGTCAGCCTATGGGAATAAATTGCTGCATCTGAAGAGGCCCACCCACATCCATCCCCACTCCACCCCACACAATCTAGATATACGAAAAGGGAGAACCATTTTCAACATTTTGTACTTATCTGGATTCAAATTTCCATCACACTCCATGAGAAAATCGATACTCCAAGATCATAACCAACCAGGGATCAATGTCACATAGTGTCCATTTGTTTCAATGGGACTCACCCAGGTCATCCTAGGACTGCAATCGCAATGAAAACAGTAGGGCATGCTCTTGAATAAATGCACATAAGGCTCCAATTCTCAAACCATTTTCTTTGTAATCGTCCCAAAGCCCGGTTGCTGCAGCAAATTATTCAAGAGCTGAATTCCAAATGGTTTCTTGTATGTAAAGTGAATGGCTAATAGCAGTGATCAAAAGCAAACTGTCAGTAAGTCTGAGCAATGAAGTTTTGAATGATGAGGGATGTCCTTTCCTGCTCATAAGTAAGGACTTAAGAAACGTTGATGGAATGCACAATTCATAAATATTCTGACTTTAACCATGAGTTCCTTGTACTAGACAGCCTCTGTCCCTGTTACTATTTCCCCCTTCAACACAAGGTGTAGGATGGGATGGAACATCCTGTTCCATTTTAAATTCAGTTCCCCACATTTCCTCAGCAGTTTACAATTAAAATACAATAAATCCCCATTAAAATATGCATGGAACAACAAAGTAAATAAACAGGGAAGATCAGCTCATCTGTAGCTGTGGGACTGTTAGGAAGACAGGAAAGCTCTTGGATTTGTGGGAGGAAGCAAAGGATGTAAATTCAATCAATATTGTCCTGGCCCTCACTGCCAGATGAAGAACTCAAACTCCCAAAGGTTTCTGCCAAAGACTTTAATGCTTAAATCAGAGCTGTGCATAAGCAAGGTACGGCAGGAGTGCAGGAGAATACATGTCCGGGAGCCAGCTAAGGTGTTTGTTATGGTTCCAAGGGGTTGCTCGAGAGCAAGCAGGCAAATGCCTCCCTCTCGGCTGTGAAGCCTTGCTTTTGATGCCAAAATAAACTTTATCTGTCCAGAGCGCCACTCTCCCGTGGCTGGCTCATTCACTGGCAGAATCCGTGAGTGGGCGGTCCTTAAACCTTCCCCAGCAGAGTAGTTTCTTGACGCCCAGTCTGCGCCTCCCCTCTTGGCGCGAAAGCTTACTGCGCAAGGAGGGCATGGGTAACGGAGGACCTCTCTCCTCCCCGCTTTGCCCAGGCAAGGTGTCCTGGCACTGCCTCGCCTCCTCCGAGCCCTGAAGCTCCTCTCCACTGGAGGCGTGGTTACTCTCCTCCGCTGAGGAGGAGCTGCTTCCCGTGATCTTTGGGGGCTCTCTGTAATCCATCCGGCTTTTCCCCTCTCCCCCCTGAGCCGATGGCAGTTCCCTGGCAGTGTTGATCCATCAAGTAACATGCCTCCTGCACCTTCCTTCTGCCAGCCAGAATCCCAAGACCGGGCTAGCGAACGGAAACTACAGCTGGGCTGAGCTTGCAAGGTCCGTTTGTGTCAATTCTGGCGTCCCTGTGCCCTAGGAGGTGGAGATGGAGTCAATGCCTGTTTGGCATCAGATTCGATCTCAGCAGCCTCCCTCATCACTGACAAGGGAGTGTGCTGGAGGTGGTTCTATGACAGGAGGGATCTGACTAGCTGTGTCCCGTGTCACTAGAGCAGAATGCTCCTCTGGCAACCTGCTTGGTCCCTCCCCAAGAACTAACTCACCATCCTCCATGCTCCTTCCCTGACCCTTCTTGGTCATGTCCCACTGATGCTTTCCCAATCTCCGCTGGGATGCTCCCCAGCTCCAGCTAACTGTGCTCTTCCCAGTCCTCTTCGGGATCAAACTACCCCCCTCCCCACGACATAAATAAAAAAAGAAATAAAATCCACTTGAATAACCGCAGCAATCAGATGGTGGTAAACTTAAAATACAGACCTTCATGCAAGGAAGTTTCCCTGCCGCCAAATCGGCCTGTACCAATTTCCTCTTCAAAACTTGGAGAGAGTCAATTACATCTGAGTGTTGTTATGTATTGATGTCATCTCCACAATGACCTTGTTTTTATGATGCTGTAGGTACTTGATAAAAAGCTTCTTATCCTAATGAGTCGTATAGCGGGAGGAAAGGATGTCAAGGTCGAGAGCGTATGTGCTAATAAGACAAGCAACAGAAGTATTTGTGTACTCAGCATCAAAACAAATTGCAACACCTTCCACCTTCCCTGAGAACATTGTTTACGGCTGGCCAAGAGACAGCGTTCTCAACAAGGCCAACGTAAAATTGATTGCATCCGTGGAACAGCCAGGAATAAATAAATGAATTGTTTTATTATAAGTAGTGTTTTCCCTAATAATGCAAAGCAGACGAGGCAACAAACAAAATGCGGTGTTTGTGTGTTAAAATCTGTAAGTCTACCCATTATTAATGCATTACATATTTGCATTACATTACATATCTTTGTTACAGGGACGCGGGTGGCGCTGTGCGTAAAACCTCAGCGCCTAGGACTTGCCGATCGCATGGTCAGCGGTTCGAATCCCCGCAGCGGGGTGCGCTCTCGTCGTTCGGTCCCAGCGCCTGCCAACCCCGGGTGCAAGTAGATAAATAGGGACCGCTTACTAGCGAGAAGGTAAACGGCGTTTCCGTGTGCTGCGCTGGCTCGCCAGATGCAGCTTGTCACACTGGCCACATGACCCGGAAGTGTCTGCGGACAGCGCTGGCTCCCAGCCTATAGAGTGAGATGAGCGCACAACCCTAGAGTCTGTAAAGACTGGCCTGTACGGGCAGGGGTACCTTTACCTTTACATATCTTTGTTACCTACATAGGCAGATTTTTCTTTCTCCTCTATCTCTAGTAACACCTATTGAACTCAGTGGGGCTTACTTCTCAGTAAGCATGTATAGAATCATTTACACTTTACATAAAAGGGCCACAAGCAAGCAAGCAAATAAATAAATAAATAACATTCTAAATGCCTGAAAGCCTGTTTTTCTATTTATCGTTTTAAACATCATAGCATCAAGAGCTGGAAGGGATTCCAAAGGTCATCGAGCCCCACCCTCTGCAATGCAGGAATCACAGCTGCATTTTGAGGCACAACTTATTCTGCAGCTGGTTAATATTTTGTTATTTTAAATTAAAGCTTTTTTGTAGCCTAGGACTATTTCTGTGATACATAAATAAGAAGTTAAAAATAAACCGAAATGTTATAATGAGGAGTGACCACTCTTAAACAAGTGGCAAGGAATATCTTTATTTTTTTTCACTTTCAGTCTCTAAATACCCAATATATTAGTAGCACGGGGCATCAGAAAGCTAAGTGATGCCACTATGTATGTAGCTTCTACCTCTTTCATTGAGGTTATGCACGCACATCTCTACTTTAGTTGCTACTGTGAGCTGCCACGGGACTGACCTCTGCTGGAAAGAGTTTTGATTGCACCGTAAGTTTTCATGCACTGAACAGAACTCCTCAAAATAAACCAAAAATATACATACCTATATTTGAGATTGAGCTTCAAAAGCATCCTCCCTCGTTCCATCATGCAGGTTCACAGCCAACGTATTCTGGGGCAAAAAAACTGACATCGCACAGGAGGTTAATCACGTAAAGAGAGCCTCTGGCCAGCAACTATTCCCTGAATCAATGAACTGGAAGTGCCATGTGACAGCTCCTGCTTACATAATTTTCTTGACACATCAGCATTATAAGTAACCCAACAATGGATCTTTGCAATAGAGCATGATGACGTTTAGCACTAGGTTCGCCAAAAATGCCAGGACAGCATTTAGCACACCTGGAAACAAAATGATTATAAAGACGGAGGCGGTGGGGGAACAGAACAGAACATCAGACGCAAAGAGACTTACAGTATTACCTCCTACCATATTGGGTGCTTCTAGAGCTTCAGCCAGTCCCAACATCCTTGTGCTGGTTTGAGCAGGGCCTGACAAGCCTAGTGGCCAGCAGAAAACTAGTAGTTTCTCTCATATAGAAGTTAATACCCATAGCAAAACAAATTCCAGAGGGCCGATTGTGCCCCGTTTGCTGTCAGACACAGTCTTTTGACAACAAGCTTCTGCAACAAGAAATTATAGGTGCCACAATAAATTTCTCTCTCTCTCTCTCCTTTTCTCTTTCTCCCTACCCCTTTTGCCTTGCAGAAGGCTTTCTGCTAGTCTTAAGCCACTGTTGGATAGACTAGATCAGTGTTTCCCAAACTTGGGTCTCCGGCTATTTTTTGAACTACAACTCCCATCATGCCTCGCTAGCAAGATCAGTGGTCGGGGATGATGGGAACTATAGTCCAAAAACAGCTGGAGACCCAAGTTTGGGACACTGGACTAGATGGTAGATAGGGAACCTGTGGTCCTCCAGACGCTGTTGCACTCCCAACTTCTATCATCCCAGACCATTGGCTGTGTTGACTGGAGCTGACGGATTTTGAGAGTCCAGCAACATCTAAAGGACCACAGGTTCCTCACTTCCTGCAACAGACCTTTAAAGGGAAGACTCATTCTCAGGAAAAAGTGAGTGACCTACCACGGAATGGGAGAGAGGAGGCAAACCATCCAATAATAAGCGAAAATAGATCTTTGCCGTGGGTCAGTTTTCTAGCAGGTAGAAATATTCAGTGGAATAGCACATGCCCTCTTGTGGTGCCTCTTGTCAGTAAATCAAGTTGGGATTTGTGCCGAGTAGGGGGTAATGTTTTGGTATCACGCCTCGAGCTACTGAACACAATGACACACTGAAAAGAGACTGGAGAAATTGCTTTGAGTCCCTTATCCAGTGAGCAAGGGGTTTCTCAAAAAAAGAAGCTTATTCACAAAATTGCTATATTGTAAATGACGTTGGTTCCTCTGCCTCCATTGCAACTCAGCGCTAAGTTTACCTGGAAGTAAATCAACAGAGTTAATTTCTAGAATATGTGCTTAGGAGTGCAGGCATGGCTCAGCTCGAAGTTGACCAGCTGCAAGTTTTGTCTAAGCAAGCCAACAAAGTTCAACAGGATATTCTCCCTCCCATGAAGTGTGAGATAAAAATGGGCCTGAAGAAAAAACCCTTTAAACCATGGAAGATTTATTCCTTGAAATGTTTCAGAAGTGCAGCATCTTGGGGGTACATTCAAAAGTGTTACATTTACAGTATGAACACACAGAGACAGAGCTGAAGGATCCACATTCAAGTTAGTGCTCAACCATGAAACTCATTAGGTGACCTTGGACCTATTGCTTGCGTGTGTTCTCTCTCTCTCTCTCTCTCTCTCAGCCTAACCTACCTCACAGGGCTGTTGCAATGATAAAGGGTTGGGGGGGGGAGAGATGACACAAGTTTGTGGGCCTGAGCACCTTGGAGGAGTGGAAGCAGGATAAAACCTGCATGTCTTTATGTTAGGAATACCAGCTTAGAGGAGCTGGAACCCATTCATCAATCATGATATGCTCCTGTTGGGTTTTCTGCACCAAATGGTACAAACTGGAAGGGGTGTCTCTGTAGCAATAGGATTGTTTCAAGTGTGTGGCCAGCTTCTCCCCAAGGACAGCACCCACACAAGCCCTACATGGGCGAGAAAGAACGCAGGAGTTCGTGAGACAAAAACTGTAGAAAGCAATGGAGGCAAACTTTCCAGACTGTGGCAAAAAACCACCAGTAGCTGCACAAGCAAGAGGCAGGGGGCACCACAACGCTCGCTGCCCCCCCCCCAACTAAGACCAAAATATTTCTCCATGGTTGGCCTAGCTCTACAATTGAGATCACATGCAGAGCACCTGAAGGCATGATCCTGCACCTCAAGGTCCCTTTCTGAAATGGCTGTTCTTCATCATGCCTGTGACCAAGAACACAAGCCTGTTGTTGAAATCAATAGTACAAAGTTTAATTAACTACCTGATCTACAGCTAGTACAATTATCCAGTGTTTCAGGTTCATTCAAGTAATTACAGTACTTTACACCCTTCAGAAATTCGACATTGCCTATATACACAGTAGTTTAAGCTTCTTTTAAGGCTTTCCAAAGTAAGCATGAAGGTTTCCAGAGAGATTGCTGCCACTGCACTCCAGGCAAACCACTCAACGCTTCTTCTTAAGTTTCCAGCTCATGGTTTGCCTAGAGACAAACCATGAACCTGGGTTCAGATGACACGCTAAATCATGGCATGCTCAGAGAGGCAGCAGCACCAGTGAAGGACAGTGGTCAGTTTTCTCTCCAGGAACCCTCAGGCACATGAGCTCATGCTAAGGCATGGTTTGGCTTAGTGTCATGTCAACCAGTTCACTCCAAGTAGTAACTGATATATAAATGAGCATTTATCCCATGAACACAACCCCTTCACTCTTCCCCCTTTGTGTCATTAAAGCAGGGAGTCTTTAATTAACCATAATTGAAAATAGCCAAGATATTGAGCGAACTTCAAACCCTGGTTTAAGATCCCAGCCTCTTCCAAAGTTCCACAGCCCCCCAGTTCAGATAAAATAGAAAACTATGGTTAATTAGGCTTCCTTGTTTGGTTATAGCTCGTTTGAAGGGAGGAGCCAAAGGGACAGCATACACAGATAAAAAGCTTGTTCCGATCTTATGTTGTTGAGATATGATCATCAAACCAGCTCATTGTTTAAAAAAAGAAAGAAACACAAAGGCTTGGATCCAGACTTTAGTCATTACCATAGGCCTATTGAAATCATGACTAATTTGTCCCCTTGTTTTCCATGGGTCGACTTTAAGCATAGCTAAGTCTGGCTCCAACTGAGTAGATTTACAAAAGAAAATACTGATAATGGCTCAGCACAGCAGTTTGCTGCCCAGAATTCTTTTCCCTCGTTCAGTGTGATTTCAGTAGTCAACGAAATTCCAGCTGTACCAGATTCACAAACCTGGTCATTAATGAGATGCAGTTCATTCAGAGTCTTACATCCGTAAGCTTCTTGTTCTTTGAAAAGGCTGGAAAGGCTTTTTAAATGCCCACCCCAACAGCATTGGTCTCTGCTTGCTTTTTTCTGGAAACAGAACCGCTTCACTTTCAGGAGTAGGAAATCGCTCCTTGTACACCTCAGGATAGGATTTCTGAAACTAGAAAGGAAGCATGCAAAGATTAGCTAATGAATTTATTCGGGCCATTTGAAAGTGACTTGCTTATTCAAGCAGAACATGTCCAGTCTCTGACTACAACGGGGGATGGGGAATGCGTTCATCTCTTGGCCAAACATTATGGAAGAGGAACTTAACTGCATAACAGTGCTGTGCTGGGAGACTTTTGTTCCACTCTTTGCTCACTAACATCTGGAGTCCCATCTTGTCCCCTCTTGCCTTTCAACATCTACAGAAAGCTGCTGGGAGAAGTCATTTAGAGGTTTGGGCTGAGGCTTCATCAATATACAGATGGCATGCAGTTATTCCATCATTTAATTCTAGGGAGGCAGGTGAGACCTTGAGCCATCTGGGGGCAGTACTGAGATGGAAGAGGACTCGAAAAGCTGGATCTGTATCCAGATAAGAGGAAAGTACTGCAGCTGGGGAAATCTGCTAATCTGCATGGAGATTTGAATCTGATTATGATGGGATGACACTACAGTCTGTGAATAGGTACAAGAGAGCTGCAGGTGGCGTTGCTTGCCAAGAGTGCTTTTGACCAGCAAGGGCTAGGTCAGTAGTGCAGCCCAGTTTCGGAAAAACAGTCCTAGCCACTGTGATCCACCCCCTGGTTAAATCCATCTTAGATTACAGTAATACTATGTGTGCCTGAAGCTGCTCTTGCAGAGGATTTGGAAACTGAAACTGCGGAGCAATGTGGTAGTGGGAACCTTTGTAAAAGTTGGGCATACTTATCTTATCTCACCTCTTGTGTGCTGGTTAACTTGGTCACCCATTTCCCCCCATTTTAAAGTGCTGACTTTAAAATGATAACATCTGGGGGGTGTTATCTGAAGGACCGGTACACCTGTATGAGCTGGCCCAAGCATCTGAAAGCCTCCTCTCTGGGCCTCCAGCAAGAGCTTATAGGGATTTCTCAATGGCAACACCCTTTGAACTCCTTCCCCAGGGAGGGGTGTGTGGCCTCACCATTGCTGGTCTCTTTTTTAAAAAAACAAACAGCCAACCTTTAAAACATGTTTATTCAAGTCTGCATTTGGCTAAATAGTTTGTACTCAGAAATACATTTAGCTGTTTATTTTTCAGTGTGTGTGTGTGTTGTAACTGTATTTTCTTTTTTTAAAAAATTCAATGTGAAACTTTTCAATGTACAATACAATAAAAGCCAAACTAATCTAAATAAAAATAGAAGAGAAAACAAAACACACTAAAATATAAAAGAAAGAAAGAAAACAAAGAGAAAAAGCATAAGAAAAGAAAAATACTATCAGAGGGGCATCTTAACCCTTGTCCCACACAAAAGGTGGTGGACCCTTTCCGGCTCCCACCTGTATTTTCAAGTCCTGTAAGCTGCCTTCTGAGGGCTGTGAGCCCTAAAAGGGGAATTAAACCATTTTTAAACTGCCTCATTCTAGAGAAGTTCCCCATTTTCACTACCCTCAAGTTTGTAACTGATAACGTCTCAGCCATGAAAGTACGGTGTGTTATTTAACACCACACAAACTGCATTTAAACCATAAATTGGTATAACATTTCTGCTAAGCAAGCCTATATTTAGGGACCTTACAATAATGACATCCCATACTGTCATGTGAACCAGGAGGCCTATTATGTCTAGAAAGGGTATTATGGTTAACAAATGGAACCCAGTTGGTTTTGCCACATCCTGAAGGCTATCAGGCATATGAGGACACAGAAGCAGGTTTTTTTTCTGTTGGTGGCACCAGTGTTGTGAAATGTTATCCCTGCTAAAATAGAGCACACCACTTTGGTATTGAAATTCCACCAACTCTTGAAGACATACCTATCCTCCTCCTAATCTCCTGAATTGAACCTCCTGCTTTTACTGTTGCTGCAACTGTAACACTGTTTTAATAGCCCTGTTTATGATGTATTTTAATTATGGATATAAAACTACATGCATTAATTAGCATGGTGTAGTACTTAGGCGTGTCAGACTGGGAGAACAAAGTCACAGAATTGTATAGCTGATCGTCTTAGTCCAAGCCCTGCAATGCATAAGCATCCAAAAAGGAGGAGGCAAACCCAGACCGGAAGAACTAGCACTTGAGGAGCTGAGATATGAGACAAAATGTACATATTCTTCTCATCTGTGTGTGAGGGAGAAATTAGCCTGCCTTCTCCTGCCAGAAAAATTCCTGTCCGTGCCTGAAAGACCAGAGTTCCAGTTCCAATTCAGCCATAAAGTTCACTGGGTGACCTTGGGCCAGTCACAGTCTATCCTACCTCAGAGGTTGTTGTGAAAAGCATGTATGCTACCCTGAGCTTCTTGGAGGAAAAAGATGGGATATAAATGGAATAAATAAGTGATTTTAGAAACAATTCTAAATTCCGTACAGGGCCCACACACATACAGAGCTGTGTTTGTTGTGGGGGTGAGGTGCTTGAAAAATGACTGGGAAACCTGCCAGGACCAGGATCCTGGTCTCATGTAAAGAGAGCAGGGGTGGGGATCCCTGGTCCCTAAACCACCCCTGCTTTGTAAATGTTTCCCTTTACAAACATCAAGGTTTTTTTTCTGTAGCACTGGTGAGAATATTTACATATGCAATACATATGCTCTTGTCACACAAATATTTGCAGATGTTCTCATGCCATGAAAATCTTCCAGTGAGTTTACAGGATCACAACCAACACAAGCAGATTCAAAGGCGAGAGATAGAAGGGACAGAGGAAGAAACGAAGACCGGAAGACGACTATTTACCATTCCCCATGATAGATAAGAGTAAATATCACATCAAAATCCATTTTTGGGGGTGGGGAACAATGTGAAGAGGAAAGCTTTAAAAGAGAAATTTTGGCCATTTATTTTACCTGCTTCAACTTTTTCTTCTTCTCCTTGATGGACATCTCCCGATTCATCACAATTTCTTCCAACAAACCTACCAAGGGTTCTTGGCAGCCATTTGTTCTTTGGTGTTCAAACTCATCTGCGCTGATCTGATGACAAAACGACGGTGCAGGCAAGGTCGAATCTGCATCAGCTCCTGGATATTTTATCTGTGTTAGAACAGGTGGGAGGTATGCTGAGAAAAGGAGCTTAAATTTTGGTATCCCAGGATAAAATCTTTTGTGCACGCCTCTCTCGATGGTTATGATTTGAGATCAGGAGATATACACAACCACCACTGCAGGACCTTTAGGTGCTATCGCTTGCTTGTCAAATTCCCTCTTGCAAGAGAGATGTAGGAGCAGCGAATTATTTTTATTTTGCCAGGCCTCTCTCCACAAGGACCTACGCTCGTTTTAGAAATCGCCTCGTCTTTTGTGCTGCGTTTTATTAACTGCGCCTTTCATCTTAGCTTTTCAGAACGGATGTTGAAAGCCGCTTTGGGGATACGGTTGAAAAGCAGCACACAAATGCAGGAGTAATAGTAAAAAATAAATTGTGTGAGAAAGACATTTGCATCTTGGCTTGCGGGTAGATGCCACTGGATGAGTTATTTTCATCTTGTGTTGCAGGTGATGCCAAAGGATTAAAGGATTAGAAAGGCGCTTCCAAGGTCCAGGACCGGGATGGGAGAACTTTTTGGCTCTATGGATCAGCCCTGTGGGCCAAAGTTGACAGGTAAGCACTGCCACCCACCTGTCAAAATTCCTTGCATGGGAATTTCCAGTAGAGGGCTGGCAAAGCAGTTGTTTCCTCCATCTTCCCACCACTTGATGGGCACAAGATAAATAAGTCAAGGCCCAGCGCTAAGCAAGTTCAGCTGAGGTGAAAGGAGAGTAAGTAAAGGTAGAAAGGTAAAGGACCCCTGGACAGTTAAGTCCAGTCGAAGGTGGCTATGGGGTTGCGGCGCTCATCTCTCTTTCAGGCCAAGGGAACCGGCGTTTGTCCACAGACAACTTTCCAGGTCATGTGGCCAGCATGACTAAACCGCTTCTGGCGCAACAGAACACCATGACGGAAGCCAGAGCACACGGAAACGCCGTTTACCTTCCAGCCACAGTGATTAATCTACTTGCACTGGCGTGCTTTCGAACTGCTAGGTTAGCAGGAGCTGGGACAGAGCAACGGGAGCTCACTCCGTTGTGTGGATTCTAACCACTGACCTTCCGATCGGCAAACCCAAGAAGATCAGTGGTTTAGACCACAGTGCCACCCGCTGTGATCCTGCTTACCACTGGGTTCCTGCTTTGTGTGGTGCTTCCGAGGCTCCTAACAACCAGCTGGCTGCCGGGTGCTTTGGGAGCTGCACAGATCAGACCTTGGGCAAGCCCAGCTTTCACCTGTGTGATGTCAGGTGAAGGGGTGAGTGGCTATGTTTGGCACCAAACGGCCTTGCAGCCCCAAACGGGGAAGGCTGGTGGGCCGCCAAGTGTCAGGAGCCTGAGTCAAGCGTAAGTCAGCAATAAAAAACAAGGTTAACTATTTATTAAAATATTTAAAAATATTTTTTAAAAAACAAAGTTAACTATTTATTCAAATAATCCAAAACAGCTCAGGCCTAGTGATTCCAGGGACTTCCCAATAGGACTTGCCGCAATGAGGCAGTTATGAAGACTGAAGGTCCCCACTACCCCACCCCTTTCTAAGGCTCCTCCTCTCCGGGGTGTTTTCCAAGCAATCGTAAAATGTGTTGGTGCACAACCAATCTCTGTTCTGCTCTTTTCATTTCTGTCTTTTTAGGGGTCGCACCTTGGATTCTTCAGCAGCCTGACTCCACTCCTTCCCAGCCTCTGCTTCAGCCTGGGAGTCTAAACTGCTCTCTGCCACAGCCTCTCCCTGCTCACTAAACCGTTACCTCTTCTGCTTCCGACACCTCCTCCTCCCAGTCTGCTCCCTCATTGTCATCCCACCAACAAAGCTGGTGCCTCCTTCCACTCCTCTGCAGCCAGCCAGCCTATGACACCATGACTGGCCTGCAGGCTGGAGGCTCCCCATCCAGTGCAACTTCGTGGTCAATTCCGGATCCACAACACAGGATGCAGCTACTGCATCCCTGGCAGACGGCCAGCCGACCTCTGCTTAAACACCTCCAGAAAAGGAGAGTGCACCACCACCCCTCCGAAGCCAGTCTGTTCCACTGTTAAAGCAGTTTCCGCTATTAGTGTTGGCGCTGGCACCTGCTTCCCTGCCAACTTCTATGCACTGGTTCTTGTCTGGAGCAACAGAGAACATGCCTCCGCCATCTTCTGCGAGGCTGCCCTTCTGATATTTTAAGACTGCTATTGTGTCTCCCCTTTGCCTTCTTTTCTCTAAGCTAAACAGGCCCAAATTTTTCAACTGATCCTCTCAAAACTTGGTTCTGTCCTGGTTCCCCTCCTCTGGGCACACTCGAGGGCAGGGGAAAGGGAGCCCTGCATGGGTCGCTTGTGTTGTGGGAACATGAGGAGAGGGGTGGACCCTGCCATCATCATCTGAGGCCCTTCTTCATGTGCCTCTCCCACAAGAGGTATGGAGGGCAGCAAAATGAGAATGGGCCTTTTCTGTGGTGGCTCCCAGTTCATGGAATGCTCTCCTCAGGGACGCCTGGTGCCTTCATTCAACCAGGCCTTGGGATGATTAACATTCTATGGCATTTTAAATGTGTCACTGGTAGGTGGGGTCTCCACTCCTGGTCCAGTTCTCTTTCACACACAGCCTTTTCCCTGCACACTGTCACACATGTGCCCTTCCTCCTCGTCCAACCTTGTACCCTACCTCCTACCCCACATCCAACTGACTGAACTGGAAGCAACCAAGAAGCATGAGGGAGCACAAGCCCTGCTGGTTGTTCCCATTACCAAATCAGCTGGGCAACTGGAAGGTGTAGGATGGAATCTTAGTTATGCCATCACGTGCCTCTGCTGTCCCTTGCAAATATGATTCCTTCATCCTTTCCCCCTGCCCCCAGCTGTTTGGCAGGCCATGGGGAACAAGAATGCTAGTATGGAGTTATTTTGATAGTGGAGCCCTGGTTGGGCAATCTGCAGCAGGCTATAAGAAAGGCCTGAAAGAGCTGCCTGCTGCCCACAGATGGTCAAGAGGCTCACAGGCATTAATGGCCAAAGTCTGGCAATGGAAAATATGGACAAAACAAACAAGAAATGTAGCAATTCTAGAACAGCAACCTTAACAGTACAAATGCTCAGAAATAAGACCCACTCAATTCAGTGGTGCTTACTCCCTGATAAATGCTTATTGGATTATAGCTACGTGTCACTTTATTTGTTGCATGAGAAGAACTGGTTTGGTTTTAAGAAGGTAATAAAGAACTGAGTTGGGGAGAAGACATTTATGTTCTATAGCTCTCACCTGGACCCTTTGGAGATGTGCTACATGCTCCTCTATTTTAGCTTTCAGGGCACAAGGTACGCTTAAGATCTCTTGAGATTTGTCCATCAAGAATGACACCAGTTTAGCAGCCAGAAGTTCATCCAAGTCCACATCATCCTTGGAGCAAAGAATACAGCGAGAAAAGGACTGAACCATCTGAAACAAAGAAGACTGGTTATCACAACAACACTTTCTTATTCATGGGTCTTCCCCATTCTTGCCATACCAAACACTCTCAAAGTGGCTTGCAACAGGGGAGCACAGACTTCAGATTTTCAGGAGGTACTTTGTGCTTGACTAGAACCCCCCAAATCCACCAACAGGACCCAGGTGCAAAAGATGTACACATTGAATTAAACAGCAGGGTGCCTCTGAGCAGCTGCTGAGCCCAGGGATTTGTTTCAACTTTCAGGACCAACCTCAGCTCACAGACCTTTGACGCCCAACAACATTCCTGGCCACCTCCAAGTTTTCTTCATTTCAGCCGCCTAATCTGCATTAGGGGAGTCATTTTTTAAAAAAGCTATTTGAGACACTTTTGTCTACCTACTGTACATGAGCCAGATATCTATCAGCGAATCCCCATCAAACACCTGCTGACCCCTGGGCTTCCTGGTCCCATCCACCCTCAAAGATGGCTGAGCACTTTGGTTCAGTGCTAGTGCCATTGAAGACCTGCTTCCAGAACTGTCAACAGCTGAACAAGACAGAAGCTGCCACTGGGGAGGGGGAGGGGAGAGGTTTCCTAGAGAAGGCAAGGTGAAAGCCAGGCAGCAACCTGAGAATGAGCCCCAACAAAACTGGAGGAGAGATTCCTCCCCCTGTCCTGCCCTTCCCTATCAGCTCCCGCTCCTTGCAGCACACAGTATGACTGATGCTGTGCAGCAGGAAATGCGTGGGGAGAGAGACAGACAGACGAAAGGGCAGCGATGGGAACTGGGTGGGAGAACCCATAGCTGCTAACTCTTGTCAGCTCTATCAAACACACAGCGTCTGCTGCAAGTTGCAACCTGGTGATTCATGTTACACAGGCAGAGAAAGGGAGAACTTCCACGCCACACCCTCGGTTAAATACTTTGCTGCTTTCTTTTTGGTAACTAAGGAGAGTCTTTCCCCCAAAGCAATTCCAGGAAGATTTTGCAAGCCCAGCTCGGTCTCTCAGTTCCCAGAAGACGCTCACCAGCGTTCTCGTCCCGACTGTATCTGAGAGGGGCGGCAGATCTTTATTCGAGCCAATCCTGGCCAACAGAGTCATCAGCAGCTGCAGCTTTCGGCGGTTCGCTGGCGGAAGGAGGAGACAGCAAACCCGCAGAGCTTCAATGGCCAGCTTCTCTTTCTGCAGGAGACCTGGGTCGGAGAACATGGCAGGAGAGCACACTTCAATGTCGGATGCTTCTCATAGCTTATTTTCCAAAGGGGGGGGGGATGAGTCTAATTCTTGAAGGCAAGACATCTACTGGCACACTATTCGATGGTTAGCAGAAACCAGAATCGCCTTGTTAACCATAGTTTGCAAATCAGCTCAAGCTCTGGTTATTTGCAGTGAGAAACCTCATTAGCTTTAACCATGGTGAATGCCAGGGCACAGAAGAAACAATAATCTATTGTTGAAAGGCTGGGAGGGAACTTTGTGACCCTGAAGAGAGGAGAAGGAAGGAGAATCTGAGTCCAAGGCCTTCTCTCAGTCCTATAACCATAAGAGACCAGCAGTATCTCTCAGGGCAACATGCAAGTCTAGGCTTCAACCAAGCCTTATCTGTCAGATTTGCTAACAGGTTCTCTCTCTTAACTTTTCTCTCCCTCCTGATTGGCTGACACTTCACTCAGTCTCTTCTGGGTCTGCAGGAAGATGACCCAAGGTCTGTCCATCACAGAAGTTAAGTACATATTCATCTCCCGCTTTCATTGCCCTCTGTTGCTGCCTTTCTCTGTGGTTTCCCTGCACCTCTTTTAGATTGTAGGCCCCTTCAGGGCAGGATCTAGACACACCTGTTCTTTGTATATAGATGCTACTATATCATAATAATTACCATGAAGAATTCTCAAGATACTAATGTACATAAAACTCACATCCCATTCCAAACATACCATTTAGCTTTCCAGTCAAACTCTTATCCAATAGGTTTTAAGGGGTGTGTGTGAGAGAGAGCTATATAAAGGAGAAATTAATTTCAGCCAAAAATGAAATGTCAGCAAGCCAGCAGACTAACCATAAAAAGCATATATAGTACATATATCTCTAAAAAGTATATGTACAATTCACAAACATATCCTTCAGACATCTTTTTTTTTATTTCAACACAGAAATCTTCTAATTGATGGAGAATGCAAGCCAAACTCTGCCAACTGCATGTGAAATAATAATAATAATAATAATAATAATAATAATAATAGTAATAATAATTTATTTCTACTCTGCCTATCTGGCTGGGTTTCCCCAGCCACTCTGGGCAGCTTTCAACAGAACATTAAAACCAGAATAAAACTTCAAACATTAAAAACTTCCCTAAACAGGGCTGCCTTCAGATATCTTCTAAAAGTCGGATAGTTGTTTATTCCCTTGACATCTGATGGGAGGGTGTTCCACAGGGCGGGCGCCACTACTGAGAAGGCCCTCTGCCTGGTTCCCTGTAACCTCACTCAAGTCAAACATAATGAAGTATCAAAGTCATATCAGCAGAGACAACATAAAATAAATTCTATAAAAAGCCTGAGTTTTCGCTCCTATGGCCCAGTGTGGCTCCCAGGGCCAGTGTGGTGTAGTAGTTAAGAGCAGTAGACTCGTAATCTGGTGAACCGGGTTCGCATCTCTGCTCCCCCACATGCAGCTGCGGGTGACCTTGGGCCAGTCACACTTCTCTGAAGTCTCTCAGCCCCACTCACCTCACAGAGTGTTTGTTGTGGGGGAGGAAGGGAAAGGAGAATGTTAGCTGCTTTGAGACTCCTTAGGGTAGTGATAAAGCGGGATATCAAATCCAAACTCTTCTTCAGTGGTAAATGGTTTTGAGGTTCAATCCACAACCTTGCTGCCCTGCACTGATAGATCGCCGAGCCTAGCATATTCTAGGTACACATAACCTTGAAATCAGCAGAACCGGCCTAATTAAGGTTGCAGGCTTCCACATTTGGCTCACAAGGTTGTTCTGGCCATGCTAAATGCCCTGGCCCTACAACTGAACAATATATGAACTCACTATGATAGAGCATGAGTCTTGCTGGGGCTTGTATAGAGTACTGTGCATGGGGCTAATCACTGGGAATTGCTGCATGAGCAGCACATGGTTGCCTGATGAACCATTTCCCCATGCCTGCTCTAGATTCTGCCTAGCCCACAGCCTGCGCAAGAAATGAAAACACAGTGCAAAAGTTTTAATCTCTTTTGACAATCTCCCAGAGAGAAGCTACGTGCATGGACTTCCGGGTTGGTGCCTCCGGTAATGGTGGAATTCCTCTGATCAGGAGGAATTTGCCCCGTGGGAATCTGGGTCTGGCCACCACGGCGAAGGCGGAGACCCACAAAAAATCACAGGCGGGAGAAGCCTGTGAGCGTGGGATTCGGCAGTCACCCTTTGCGCCTCCCCTACTCGCGGGGAAACCCGATTTCGGGGGTCCGGAGCGACGTGGGGTGAGCGGCGCGGTGCTTCGAATCGTCTGCTTCTTCCACAGAGCGAAGCCGCATAGCTGTTGCCGGAGAGCGCTGACCTTTTCCTGTGGACAATTTGACTTTAAAGTAATTACCCGTGAGTAGAGCTGAAGCGAGAGAATTGGATTTCTAAACGTTTAATTTGGTATTGTAACGGGGAGGTTCAATACAGGAAGTCCGCCTTCCCCTTTTGTAAATAGACTGAAGCAATGAGGCTGCAAGCTGAAGTCTTGGAAAGCCTTTTGTAAAAGACAAAATTTCCATCGGTAAAGAACATTAAACCCTCCCTTGGAGGCAGGAGAAGAGGGGGGGAAGTTGTCGACTGAGTATGCCTGCAGGAGAGAGCGAAGAGAGCTAAAATACCGCCGCTCTGACCCTGGAAACGGGCTGCTAGCAGGACTGACGTCTTTTGGAATGTTCATTGACAGCGTTTAGAACGTTCATTGACAGCTAGCTAAATAAGAGAAATACATTGTTTCTACTGTCTCCGGCTGCTTCTAAAAAGGAGTAAAAGTAACTGAAAAACTGAAACTAACTTTGGATTGTTTGAACTGTGTTTAAAAGAGGACGTTACTGACTAATATAAATAGAAACTGTTTCCCCCTAGTGGAAGCCTTTGAAACTGGTTGCTTTACAAGAGCTGGGTTAGGGGAATTTCCAGCTGCAAGATAAAAAACTGTGAGACTCTGGGACTGACCTTGAATCTTTTAAGTGTTATGGCAAATGGGAAGGAAAAAACAGACCAGTCAACTGCTGAAAAAACATTAACGTCTGGGAGGACTTGGCACCAACCCAGGAGAGGCTCAACATCAGGCCCCCCTGCTTCTGCTGCTGCTGCTTTTGTACCAGTACATTCGAAACCAAGAGGAATGTCGACAAAAGAGGCCTTAGCGGTTGCATTAAATAAGATAAATGATTCACTGGAACAGCTTAACAAGAAAACAGATGCGACAAATGCGAAAGTGGATGTTGCAACTATTAAAATCGACCTAAATACAGAAAGCATAAATAATCTGGGACAAAAGGTGAATACCAATACAGAAACCATCCAGAAATTGATACAGGAATCTACTTTGATACAGCAGACTGCGGAGGAAGCCAGGGAGAAAGCCGTTGCTGCTGAATGTAAAGTAACACAACTGGAGAGAGAGAGAGTCCCAGCCCTACAGAGGCAACTTGATGAACATAAGTTGACGCTTGCTATGATTGAACTTAAAGAAAAACAGACGAATCTGAAGATCAGAGCCCTACCTGAATTGGAGAAGGAAAGTTTGACAGACTTTCTCACACAGGAATTTGCGGACTTTTGGGACTTGGACTTGGGTCAAGAAGAGTTTAGAATTGTGAGGGCCTTCAGACTTGGAAGAGGAGGGAAAAAAGAGAAGAATAGAATAAGAGACTGCTTGATCACCCTTCGAACTAAAGAAGAGAGAGATAGAATCTTGGGTTGGCACTACCAGAAGAACCTAGAAGTACAACTGTCAAGAGTGGAAATTTTTAAAGACGTCCCGAAATATCTTTTGGATCTTAGGACTAACTACGGAGATATTGTTGCTCTGCTGAGAAGGAACAAAATCATCTTTAGGTGGGAATTCCCCCAAGGTCTATCCTTCAGTTTCAAAGGAAGGAAAATAAAAATAAGATCGGTAGAAGATAAAGTAAAGTTTTTGCATAAATACGAAGAAGATCTGCAGAAGGGACTTGGAAAAGAGCCAGGAGCATCGGATAGAAGATCACCAAACAGGGGAATATTGGATATATCAGCATTATCCTTTGGATTGGATCTCCCAGTGAACGTGTCACCACTACCACCAACAAAAGAAGAGCAAGCATTAGGTGCAGTTGGAGGAATATCAGTGTAATTACATGATGGCGTTGCAGGTTTCGAGCTGGAATGTGAATGGATTAAATTCTCCAGAAAAAAGGCAGAGAGTCTTTCATTTATTGAAAAAAGAACATTTGGACTTGATTTGTTTACAAGAAACACATGTGATAAGGCTACACAGGAAGATATTGAGTAATAAAAGACTGGGCCAAGAATTTATTTCATCAGATAAAGTTAAAAAAAGAGGAGTGGTCCTTTATGCAAAGGAGAGCCTATCACCGAAATGCATATTCAAAGATGACCAAGGAAGATTTGTTGCAATTGAAATTCAATCACAAGGAAAGAAATTCCTGATTGTAGGTATTTATGCACCAAATGAAGGAAAATCGGAGTTCTTTAAGAAGCTACACAAGACTCTGATGGATTATATGGACTATAATATGATGTTGATGGGAGATATGAATGGAGTGGTGTCTACAAATATGGACAAGGCACAGAGACAGGTAGTCACCAAAGATGGTAGACTACCAAAAACCTTTTTTGACATGACTGAAAATATGGACTTAGTTGACATTTGGAGAATGAAGAACCCTCTGGGAAGAGAGGGAACTTTCTTCTCTGAGGCAAAAATGACATGGACAAGAATTGACCAAATCTGGGTAACCAGGAGATTGGCTCTGAAGATCAGTAAAATGGAGATTTGCCCCAAAACTTGTTCTGACCATAATGCTGTGAAGATGGAAATGAAATTGACGCCAATTGGTTCCTTTAGATGGAGGATGAACGATACTTTGTTCAGGAATGAAGAGGTGACCAAGAAGGCCCAAAAAACTCTAAGAGATTATTTCGAGATAAACATGAATACTACAGTGGAAAAAAGAGTAATTTGGGAAGCAAGCAAAGTGGTTATGAGAGGATTCCTAATACAACAGAATGCAATTAAGAAGAGAACTCAGAATGAAAAAAAGGATAAAATCCTGGGGAAAATAAAGGAAGGAGAGAAGAAATTGAGAGCAAAACCAAAGTCACAGGAGATCCTGAAAGAGATAAAGTTATACCAAGTACAATATACGAAGCTGATGAATCAGGAAATAGAATGGAAGATTAAACAGATGAGGCAAAAGACATTTGAATCGGCAAATAAGTGTGGAAAATTGTTGGCCTGGCAAATGAAAAAAGACAACAACTCAATACTATTACGAATTTGGAAGTGGAAGGAAAGAATATACAGAATCCAGTGGAGATCAGGAAGTGTTTTCAGAGGTATTTCAAACAACTTTATACACAGAAGCAGAAAGAAATGGACATTGATCGATTTTTGAAAATAAATGGACTACACAAAATCTCTCAGGAAAAACAGCTAATGTTGAATTACAAAATAACGGATCAGGAGGTGGAAGGGGCCATCCAGAACATGCAATTAGGTAAATCTCCAGGACCAGATGGTTTGACTTCAAGATATTACAGATCTTTGAAAGAATGGTTAATACAACCATTGAAGGAAGTCTGCAATGAAATATTGGAAGAGAGAAAGGCACCAGAGTCGTGGAAGGAAGCTTACATTACACTTATACCGAAAACAGAGACTGAAAAGACACAGCTCAAGAACTACCGCCCTATATCGCTGCTTAATGTGGATTACAAAATTTTTGCAGATATTTTGGCTAAAAGATTAAAAAGGTGTTAGTAGAAGAAATTCATAAAGACCAAGCGGGCTTCCTCCCGGGCAGACATTTGTCTGACAACATGAGAAATATAATTAATATTCTAGAAAAATTACAAGTGAATATTAATACTAAGGCAGTCTTGATATTTGTGGATGCAGAGAAAGCCTTTGACAACATTTCTTGGAGTTTTATGAAGAAGAATCTACAGGGAATGGGGGTAGGTCAAGGTTTTGAAAATGGTATAGGTGCAATTTATTCAGAACAAAAGGCAAAATTAATTGTGAACAATGTAGTGACAGAAGAGTTTAAGATTGAGAAAGGGACACGACAAGGTTGCCCAATTTTGCCATTGCTTTTTATATCGGTCCTTGAGGTTTTGTTAAATATGATTAGAAAGGACCAAGAGGTTAAAGGTATACAAGTGGGAGCTAAACAGTACAAATTGAAAGTATTTGCTGATGACTTAGTATTGACTTTACAGGAGCCAGAATCTAGTACCAAAAGGGTATTGGAACTGATTCAAGAATTCGGACAGGTAGCAGGTTTTAAGTTGAACAAGATAAAAACTAAGGTTTTAGAGAAAAACTTAACTGTGAATGAGAGAGAGAAGTTTCAGGAGGAGACAGGACTAACATTGGTTAAGAAAGTGAAATATTTACGGGTTAACATGACTGTCAAAAATGTGAATTTATTTAAGGATAATTATGAAAAATGTTGGATTGAAGTGAAAAAGGATTTAGAAATATGGACAAATTTGAAGTTATCATTGTTAGGCCGAATTGCTGTGATAAAAATGAATGTGTTGCCAAGGATGTTGTTTTTGTTTCAAACATTGCAAATTTTGGATAAGATGGATTGTTTCAAGAAGTGGCAGAAAGATATTTCCAGATTTGTTTGGCAGGGCAAGAAGCCTCGAATAAAATTTAAGATATTAACTGATGCCAAAGAAAGAGGTGGATTTGCCCTGCCAGATCTTAAACTTTATTATGAATCAGCTGCTTTTTGCTGGCTGAGAGAATGGCTGCTTCTTGAAAACACTGACGTGTTGGATTTAGAAGGTTTCAATAATGCATTTGGCTGGCATGCATATTTGTGGTACGATAAGGTAAAAGCACATAAAGCGTTTAAAAATCATATTGTTAGAAAAGCATTGTTTAATGTTTGGATAAGATATAAGGATTTGTTAGAAAAGAAAACCCCAAGATGGTTGTCACCAATGGAAGCGAAGGCACAGAAAAACTCAAGATGTAGGCCAAATGGCCGAAATATTGGGAAATTCTGGATCAAGATGGAGACAGAATAAAATTGCAGAGCTTTGAAAAATTGAAAAACAAAGTGCGAGATTGGCTCCATTATTATCAAATAATGGAGGCATACAATTTGGACAAAAAAGTTGGTTTCCAGGTGGAAAAATCAAAATTGGAAACAGAATTGTTAGATCTAAAAATTAAGAATTTGTCAAGAATGTAAAACTTGCTGTTGAAATGGAACACTCAGGATGAAATGGTGAAATCAGCTATGATTAAATGGGCACCAGATGTTGGACATAACATAATGATGGCCGACTGGGAACAGTTATGGACCACAGGTATGAAATTCACGGCATGTAATGCCCTAAGAGAAAATTTAATGAAAATGATTTATAGGTGGTACATGACACCAGTCAAGCTTGCAAAAATTTACCATTTGCCCGACAATAAATGCTGGAAATGTAATGAGACTGAAGGTACATTCTTTCACCTTTGGTGGACATGCCCAAGGATTAAGACATTCTGGGAGATGATTTATAACGAAATGAAAAAGGTATTCAAATATACCTTCCTGAAGAAACCAGAGGCCTTTCTCCTGGGCATGGTCGGCCAATTGGTGCCAAAGAAGGATAGAACTTTTTTTTATGTATGCAACAACAGCAGCAAGAATACTCATCACGAAGTATTGGAAGACACAAGATTTACCCACCCGGGAAGAATGGCAGATGAAGTTGATGGACTATATGGAACTGGCGGAAATGACTGGCAGAATCCGAGACCAGGGAGAAGAGTCGGTGGAAGAAGACTGGAAAAAGTTTAAAGACTATTTACAGAAATACTGTAAAATTAATGAATGTTAGAAAAATGTTGGAATGAAGTTATATGGCTTTAGTAGAAATGTTATAAGGAATTAAGTATAAATAGATTAATAGAGAATTAAAGGGAAAATTAAGGTTAGAATGTGTTAACATAATTATAGGATAGAAAACAGAGAAAGATGGAAAGGAATTGCTGAAACAATTAACAGAAGTGGAATACAAAAAGGGAGGTGTGAGGAGGTCGTGGAAATAAGTGAATGAAAGATAAGATACTGAAATTGTTTGATGTGTTTTAAACTGTTTTTGTTTTGTTTTGTTAGTTTAATGTGTTAGTGTTATGTAGTGTTTTTGTATTGTATTGTATTGTTTTTGTAGTGTTTAAATTGTTGGAAAAGTAATAAATATTATTTTCAAAAAAAAGAGAGAAGCTACGTGCATGGACTGCCGCCCTGTACCTGGCCAGGAGTGGTGGCAACTGCCCTGGCACCTTGCAAGGATAATTAGCAATAACAGCATATGTTCTGGAATAAAATAGTGTGCCGGAGCTTGGCTTCTTGCACAGGTGTTGGAGAAGGCGGCAAAATTGTTGTGCATTTGTGACAAATCCAGTAGCTCAGGGTTCACTCCCAGGGCTGAGTGTGAACTGCCAAATAAATTTGCGGTTGCAGGCAAAGACAAATGGCAGTAGCTCTGAATCACTACGAAATGATTCCCACATCACTGCAACCTTGAATTTCAAAACATCTGCTGAGATAGTAAACACGATCGTTCAAGACTGGTAAACTCTGACTTTAACAGTTATATCTTTCGGGAATTAGCATAACCATGTTTAGGATGAAGTAGATTACTAGAGTTTCAAGGAAACCGCAGTAGCTGCAACCTTTCTGCTCTTCTCATCTGCACTGCCTCCCTGAAAAGAGGTTTCATTTCCAGGCTTGGGAGAAATCCCAGGTCAAAGTTCTTCCTTTCAAACCATAGCCATACCTCCAGCAGTGGAGTAACTTTACACCTACATGAGACCTGGGGCAACCAATCCCCCTCTCCACACAGACTGACACCCTTCACGTCCGTATGATTTATTGTGTTTTATATTCTGCTAGAAGCCGCCCAGAGTGGCTGGAGAAACCTAGCCACAATTGGTGGGGCACTGGCAGTGTTCTTCCAAGGGCATTGGGAGTGTGAAAGGGTCTTGTGGTAATTCACAAAGCCCTAAACAACTTGGGCCCAAAGCACCTCAAAGTTGCCTGATTGCTTATGGAATCTTCAAATTGCAGAATTGGAAGGTACCCCCCCAAGGGTCATCTAGTCCAACCCCAGTCATGCAGAAATCTCAGCTAAAGCATCCATGACAGGTGGCCACCCAACCTTTCAAGGAAGGAGAGTCGACCACCTTCCGATGAAGTCCGTTCCACTGTAAAACAACTCTTATCGTCAGAAATCTTCCTGATCTTTAGTCAGAATCTCCTTTCTTGTAACTTGAAGCCATTGGTTTAAGTCCTACCCTCCAGAGAAGGAGGAAACTAGCTTGCTCCCTCTTCCACGTGACAGCCCTTAATATATTTGAAGATGGCTATCATATCTCCCCCTGGAAAAGACCCTGATGTTGGGAAAGATGGAGGGCACAAGGAGAAGGGGACAGCAGAGGATGAGATGGTTGGACAGTGTTCTCGAAGCTGCTAACATGAGTTTGACCAAACTGCAGGAGGCAGTGGAAGACAGGAGTGCCTGGCGTGCTCTGGTCCATGGGGTCATGAAGAGTTGGACATGACTGAACGACTGAACAACAACAACAACAATCATATCTCCTCTCAGTATCCTCTTTTCCAAGCTAAAAATACCCAGCTCCTACAACCATTCCTCATAAGGCTTGGCTTCCAGACCATCTTGGTTGCCCTCCTCTGCACGTGTTCCAGCTTGTCAACATCCTTCTTAAATTGCGGTGCCCAGAACTGGACACGGTATTCCAGTTGTGGTCTGACCAAGGCAAAATAGAGTGGTACTATTACTTCCCTTGATCTGGACACTAGACTTCCGTTGATGCAGCCAAGAATAGCATTAGCTTTTTTGGCTGCTGCATCACACTGTCGACAATGTTAAGCTTGTGGTCCGCTAAGACCACTAGATCCTTTTCACATGTACTGCTAATATGCCAGCAGTGTCCCCCCTCAGTTGCTGAGATCCTTCAACAGGCCATTTTTGGTGCTCCCAAATGCCCCTGAAGTTCAGTCAGCCTTTATGAGGCATTGAGCTTTTAGTGTGGCAGGTCCTCTCTCCTGTGGAGCTTTTCACGGACAGAAGAACAGTGGGAGGCGTACTCATTTTCCGTCACGCGTATTTCAAAGATGGCACTGTTCAGCTGGAATTCCTAACTGCCTTTGGAATTGACTTTTTATTTTAAAAAAATCAACTAATTTTTGTTGACATGTGTGTTGCTGGTGCTTTTGATAGGTGGATTCCCTGAATTGGGACCCAGCTGGATCCCATCACCTGGGGCTAGATGTCAGGACCCACAGTCAGCCCAGCCCACATCTTTGCTCATGTTCTCTCACAGTCTGTTTATGCAGCAAATATTTCTGATACATGGGTGCCATAACTCAAGAGGTGCCATAACGCTGAAGTCTACACATCACATATGCAGCTGAACCCTGAGTCTGCATAAACACACTCCCAGTCACAAGTACAAGATGTTCCCACTGCTGCAACTACAAGGCCAGTTACGCCTGGGCTGGCCTGAATTCGAGATTAGGGTCAGGAAGTAATTATTCTGTAGCCAAGAAGAGAACTTAAGCATGCTTTGTCCACGCACATTCCTAGCTAATAGCAATAGTAATAGTAATATTTTTTATTATTTATACCCCGCCTATCTGGCTGGGTTTCCCCAGTAACGCAAGAAATCACACATTTGTGCGCTTGCTACAATGGTGTAAATGCTTTGTGATCTCTACGCTCAGTCTTTTTGAGATATTCTGCTGAGACTCACTGTTGTAGGTTTTAATTAACTCATTTTACCCTAACACCCACTGTCTCTTTATTGGCTTGGTGGCGACAGCGTTCTGGACTTGGTAACACTTTTACCAATGTTACAGTGGCTTTGTGTTGTACACTGCCTTGCTATGTTTCCTATGTAAGCGTGGTTTATACATATTCAAATAAACAAGTGAATGAATTATTATTTTTTATTAACGAGGCTGTCGTTTTTGTTTTATTAGCTTTGGGCTTACCCTGAAAAGGGAGACCAGGATATAAGCCATAAACGAAATGAAAACTCTGACTTCTTATTGTGCCTGAGGAGACCAATTGCCTCAAGAACATGTTCCAGCCAGGCAAGAACGCTTGAAGAGGTCATGGAGCAGAGGCAATGAGGGGCATGACTTAGGGAAGGTGAGATGGGAGCTAGGGAGGGCCCCAAGGGCCAGGCATGGAGGTCTACAGGGCCACATTGCCCCTCAGGCCTGAGGTTCCCTACTCCTGTCTTTCTCAGTCATTATGGGTGACGAGGCCCTCCTGGTCATGGCGCAGGCCATGGTACCATGGCTAGGAGCTGCTAGAAAGTGGGCCTTTTTGACGGATTCATTTTCCCTCTGAGTTTAGGAGACCACCAATGACGTCCAGGTGTCTTTTACAAACATACATTTGGGCTCCTAGGCCTTCTCTGGTACTCAGTCTCATTCTATTATAAGATTTTTTTAATCCTAGGTTTTTTGGTTGCATTTTCTTCCTGTATTTTAATATACTGATGTGCATTTTAATATTGTTGCATAGCGCATCAAGACTTGCCACAGGAGGCGATACAGGCATGCTTTAAATAAACAAATAGTTTATAGTGTTTTCATTTTGCTATTGCATTTGTTTTTGTACAAGGTTAGCTGCTCTGGGCTCCCTTTGGAGGCTGCAAATAAAAGGACAATGGTGAAATGCTCGAAATTGAATTTTTGTACTGTTTTTTATTATCATTATTATTATTTGCTTGCTTGTTCACTACCAGATGTGTACATTTCTTGTTCTAGAACTTGCTAATGAACATTTGCTCCCCATTATTCGCTGGATTTATTGCTCCTCGAAAACTCACCTGTGCAATTTTAATTTGTATCCTGTTTGTGTTCCAAAGAGGAATTTATTTATTCAAAGTATTTATTTATTTATTCAAATTTTCATACCACCCATCATCTCCAAATTCCACAGTGGTTTATAATACTTAGAACACAACAAGGTAAAAACAGCTCGCGCCAGAGACACGGACAACTGCCACTCAAGCATTACAGTGGTACCTCGCAAGACGAATGCCTCGCAAGACAAAAAACTCGCTAGACGAAAGGTTTTTTTGTTTTTTGAGCTGCTTCGCAAGACGATTTTCCCTATGGGCTTGCTTCGCAAGACGGAAACGTCTTGCAAGTTTGTTTCCTTTTTCTTAACACCGTTAATACAGTTGCGACTTGACTTCGAGGAGCAACTCATAGAACGTGGTGTGGTGATTTTTGAAGCTCTTCCAAAACTTTCCCGACACCGTGCTTCGCAAGACGAAAAAAATCGCAAGACGACAAAACTCGCGGAATGAATTAATTTCGTCTTGCGAGGCACCACTGTATGTCTGAATTTGACATGTGCAGCAGGCCCAGGGCTGCAAGTAACCACACCCCGTCACTACCCAAAAACTTCCCTGCCTGCTCAGTCCCCCCAACCTTCCCACGTTGGGCACGGGAGGTCTGAAGGGGGCCTTTACCTACTTTTGCTGGAAAATAAGTAGAAGCTTCCTAGCCTGTATTATCAGGGTCCCCAAATAAACAGCAGCTTCTACTTTTCTTCAAGCAAACGACAGCCATAAAACTATTAACTTTAAACAGGAGGGCAATAAAGAATCCCCACTGACCGGGATTTGCCAAGCAGGTTCCCTCCAGATGTTTTGGACCACATCTGGAGAAGGTTGGAGAAGACATTGGCGGGTCATTCTGTGACTCAACAGTTCTCTCAGCTTGACTAACCAACAACCTCAGGGAAACCCCAAGGCCTGGTTGAAGAGACACATCTTTACAAGTTAAAAAAAACTGGGGGGAAATAGTCAAAGAGTGACAGACCTCCAGAGGGAAGGAGTTCTTACCTAGCACATTGACAAAGAGATCAAAAAACTGGAAAGTGAGAAGAGGCTCCTTCATGTGGCCATAGTAATCCGCTATGGTTCTGAAGACATCTCTTTCAAATCCTGAATATGTCGGTTGTTTCAGATCCGGACACCTGGGCCCTATTGTGATGGGGCAAAGGAGAGAGAAGAAATGAATGGCTTGTGCTGGCTGACAGAAGTTATCAACAGTTACATTTCTACTCAGTATTGATGTGTCCACGAGAGCAAAGAGGAAACGGACAAATTATTTATCAGGAGGGGGGAAATGTGTGACATTCATCAGATCGGAGTAGGCTAGAATTCTGCCTCCTCCTCAGAACACTTTTTCTGACCAATGAGTGACCAAGGATTTCTACCCTGCAAGCCAATCAGAAATGAAATGGTACAACCCTCCAACTTGATGCAAGAGCCCAGCTTTCCCCCAGACCAGTCTTACGCAACTAAAGAACTTCAATGAATCAATGGGCACTTAGTATTTCAAGCTTAACCCTTCATATAACCCCATATACAGTGGTACCTTGGGTTAAGTACTTAATTCGTTCCGGAAGTCTGTTCTTAACCTGAAACTGTTCTTAACCTGAAGCACCACTTTAGCTAATGGGGCCTCCCGCTGCTGCTGCGCCGCCGGAGCGCAATTTCTGTTCTCATCCTGAAGCAAAGCTCTTAACCCGAGGTACTATTTCTGGGTTAGTGGAGTCTGTAACCTGAAGCGTATGTAACCAGAGGTACCACTGTACACATTAAACTCTTATACACTGTATACAGAACAAACCCTGCCCCAGTAAATTCTCTACAACAAATTGGGTAGGCAGAGATGCTGCTTTCTCAGTATTACTTTCCCCTTTGGGATGGCAATGTAAGGAGGACCACATGGCATATACTCTGGCATAGTGGGGGGGTGGGGGATTTGGCCCAGGGGCTTCTAGTGGCTCACATCCCATGAAAGCATTGTACATGGAGGGAGATCTTCACAAAGATTGCTTCAGATGGAACAATCACACAGAAGTAGCTGCCCATATCAGTCAATTCTGGGTGATGGTTGATCATGTGATACAACATAGCAGGACAAAGCCCAGCATGAGGATTTAAGATGAGGACTACCACACAAGATACCCATAACTGATGAGCAGCCAATGTTTCCAAATAAGCAGCCAAGCATCCCTGAGCCATACGTGTGAAGAGGAAGAGGAAGGGGTAGGGCTATAAGGCTGCTCAGCTGGGGCTTAGTCAATGCTGAAGCAGAATCCTAACTTATTGTGCCTCTGTGACTCCATGCAAGACAGTTTTCTTGTTGTCTTGAACGTCTTGATGCACTGGGCAGTTCCTAGGGCTCCCCAGTAATACAAAATTTGAAGTCAAGCAGCAAAGGTAGTAGGAATGGGATACTCTACTATGAACTAAGTTCCGCCCATGTGAGCTTGGACTTCTGTCCTTACTGAGCAAACAGGGAAAGAACAACACTGTGCAGAGTGTAATGATGAATGAAGCCTTATTGACCAAGCAAGTTGGTGTTAACTCTCTATTAGCAAAAACAGGATCTGCACAGGAGTGTCAGGCTAAATGAGCATAGCAGCTCTTCTCCAGCATGTCTTGCCCACATGAAGCAGTTGCTAAGAATGAAGGTTTCTGCCTTCCCACAGTTGCCTTAGCCTCCCCCTCCCCCGGGGTCTTCCCAAGCAATCTGAGACTACACCTGTCTCTGCTCCTCCCTCTTCATACTTCTTCTGGTCCTGGGATGCCGGAAGGGGAGCTTGTCACAGCAGTGATCCTTCACCAACCTGACTCATCTCTTGGTCTCCCTCCTCTCTGCTTCAGATTCCGCCTCTGATTCTCGACTTCTCTCTGCTACACTTTCCCTGCTCCCTAAGCCCTGTTGCCTTCAGCTTCCAACATGTCCTCTTCCCAGTCTTCTCCTTTTTCTCCCTCTGACCACTCATCGGTGTCCTACTACCACTCCCTGGGCTCTGAGCCTTCTTCCCCTGGTGGTTCCACAGATTGGTTCCTCCCACTATTCCTCTACGTCCAACTAGCCCGTGACAAACAGACAGCCTCACACTGCAGCTCGTAATGATGAATGAAGCCTTATTTGCCCTTGTCAAAGTGGCTTTCTTAAAACAGAAAAGGGGGAGGAGTTTCCCTATTCACACTGAAATCAAACTGATACTTACAACTTGCCAGACACTTCATTGCTGATAGAACCCAGTGAGGCAGCTCCTCTGCAGTGAATAGAGATGTGAAAATTTTCAAAAATCGTTAAATAGATCAACACTGACTTTTATGAAGCAGAGGAATGGATTTACAAGCTACAGGAAAGCCTCATCCAGGAGCTCATCAACAGCCATAGAGTCATCCCAATCAACTCCAGGGTGGTAGCCTGGCAGAAGGCTTTCTCTATGGCAACCCAGGTTTTCGAACTTCCTCCCAACAGGGGTGAATCTGGAATCTTCGTTATACATCTTTCAACAAAGCCTGCAGACTCTTCTGTTTACCCTGGCTTTTGAAAACTGGGGTGTATATTTTCAGGACCCGCCTTATTTCTGTGATTGCAAGTTGTTTTAAAAGGTTCTCAACACTGTGCTTTAATTGATGTAACCCGCCCTGGGAACTTCGGGGAAAGGGCAGGTAAATAGTAGTGATGATGGTGATTAGGACAGCGATTTCCATCAGAGAAGTACACAATACAGTCTCCACCTCAGTCTTGAACCATAAAAAAGAAAGGCATGTATCTCTGAGGACAGACATAGTCACTCTTTGTCAGTTTCCCAAACTTGGGTCTCTGGCTGGTTTTGGACTACAACTCTCGTGACCCCTAGCTAGCAGAAGCCAGTGGTCAGGGATGATAGGAATTGTAGTCCAAAAAAACTACTGGAGACCCAAGTTTGGAAAACCCTGCTCTATATCTTTGGACAGTTTGTATTGGCGGCAGCTGCTCATTTCCATCCCAAGAACCACTTCACATATGGCACAGGTGGAAACAACTACAGTGGTGCCTCGCAAGACGAAAAGAATCCGTTCCGCGAGTCTCTTCGTCTTGCGGTTTTTTCGTCTTGTGAAGCAAGCCCATTAGCGGTTTAGGGGATTAGCGCTATTAGCGGCTTAGCGGGCTTAGCGGATCAGCTGATAAGCGGCTTAGTGGCTTAACGGATCAGCTGTTAAGCGGCTTAGTGGCTTAAGGGATCAGCTGTTAAGCGGCTTAGCGGCTTGGGGAAAAGGGGGGGGAGGAAAAAACCCCGCAGGAACTCGCAAGACATTTTCGTCTTGCGAAGCAAGCCCATAGGAAATTCGTTTTGCGAAGCACCTCCAAAACGGAAAACCCTTTCGTCTAGCGGGTTTTCCGTCTTGCGAGGCATTCGTCTTGCGGGGCACCACTGTATGCCCTACTTAGACCCACTGAACCCAAGTTAGTCATGTCCATTAACTTCAATTGGCCTACTCTGAATAGGACTGCCATTGGATCCAACCCAACACCTTTGCAGAACAAGTGCTATTAGGACCCTTGTACCTACGGGACCGCCTCTCCCGGTATGCCCCACGGAGGACCTTAAGGTCCATAAATAGCAACACCCTAGAGGTCCTGGGCCCTAAGGAAATTAATTAGCTTCCACCAGAGCCAGGGCTTTCTCAACACTGGCTGCGGCCTGGTGGAACGCTCTGTCTCATAAGACCAGGGCCCTGCAGGATCTGATTTCTTTCCCCAGGGCCTGTAAGACAGAGTTGTTCCACCTGGCCTTTGGCTTGGAGCCAATTTGATTCCCTCCCCCTCTTTCTTTTTTCTTTCTCCTCCTGTGCTGAGGCTGCATTTTAATATTTTACTGTTTCAATATTTTACTGTTGTATTTTAATCTTGTTTTTAAGTTGTATTCATTCAGCTTGTTTTTATTGTTGCTTGTTGGCCGCCCTGAGCCCGGCCTTGGCTGGGGAGGGCAGGGTATAAATAAAAATTATTATTATTATTATTATTATTATTATTATTATTAGAACAGGTTAGTCGCCTGTTGTACAATAAAGGTTTCCAATTGACCTCCATTTTTTACATGCATAAGGACATGTGTGTTAATAGCAATAATAATAAAATTTAAAAGTAAATAATAATATATTATCATAAAAACATTTGCAGTGGATTACGATCTGTTAAGCAGCCCCCAATAATAGCAGCAAAATGCTTCAGCAGCACAGGATCACCTGGGTTAGCTCATGTAGTCTAGCATCCTGTTCTCACAGTGGCCAACCAGATGCCTGTGGGAAACCCACAAGAAGACCTGAGAACGAGATCCCTCTCCCCTCCTGGCATCTTCAGCAACTGGTATTCAGAAGCATTGCTATCTCTGACCATGGAGGCAGATTAGCCATTGACAGCCTTATCCTCTGTGAAGTTGTCTAATCCTCTTTTTTTAAAGCCATCCAAGATGCTGGCCACCACGGCTTCCCGCAGGAAGGAATTCCGCAACAATACGCTGCAGAATCACCATAGTGCAACAAAGACCTATGTGCACAAATGCGTCAAGTTTGGAAACAGGGAAGTATTTAATTTTGCGGAGCGACAGGGAGCCATCTAAACAGATGTAACTGCAGAAAAACAAAACTCATGCTGCCTTCAGATTACGTGCCCACAGATTATGTCCATACAAAGGATGTGTCATGTGGGGAAGCCAGCCTTAATAAAAAACAATTACACCATGTTTGTTGGTTGTGTATTTAGCCTCAAACAGGTTGGCATCACATAAAAGGAAATTACTCAGTAAGGTGATGTTGAATCATGAAACTTTAACACTTCTGCTTATCTACTTAAAGGTAAAGGGACCCCTGACCATTAGGTCCAGTTGCGGACGACTCTGGGGTTGTGGTGCTCATCTTGCTTTATTGGTTGAGGGAGCCGGCGTACAGCTTCCGGGTCATGTTGCCAGCATGACTAAGCCACTTCTGGTGAACCAGAGCAGCGCACGGAAACACTGTTTACCTTCCTGCCGGAGCGGTACCTATTTATCTACTTGCACTTTGACATGCTTTCGAACTGCTAGGTTGGCAGGAGCTGGGACCGAGCAACGGGAGCTCACCCCATTGCGGGGATTTAACCACCGACCTTCTGATCGGCAAGCCCTAGGCTCTGTGGTTTAACTCACAGCGCCACCTGCGTCCCGAGATATGATTGTACTGACAGTGAAATCCAAACCCGAGAGCCGCTGGGATGAGCGAGTTTGGAATGGGTGGGTCTTGGGCTGAAGCTGAACCACAGCTACTGCAACACAACTCCCTCATCCCACTTATCTACTTAGATGATAATAAAGAACAGCCTGTCTTTTAATTATGGATTTGTTTACCTCCATAAAAATAGTGTACAATTACCACCTAATGCTCTTACTGGTTCAGAATGTCTTATGGAAAGGACATGAAGTTGTATTCGTGGATAACTTATCAGAAATTATTCAAAAATATACCATAGTCCAAACTTGAGAAGCCCTACAAACAACTAAATAAATGTAAATAACATGACACTCCCCAATATACTCTTTGATGGTATATAGTAATTTTCTTCTTCTGGGGAGAAATGTCTATCTTTATGATTCAACTACAGAATGTTCCTCCCCTCTCCCCGCTGAATTACCATATTATCAAGCACAAATCCTAGAAAAGCTGTAACAAACTAAACAAATTACTCTACTTACTTGATTTATCTTCTAGGATGACAACCCCCTGCTTGTTAACATTATACACATTCTGAATTATATGCTTTGGATTCACAAGTTTAATGTCCAGCATGTCATTCAGAGAATCCAAGCCTAAAGTCTTTTGCAAGCTGCAATAAGAGGGTGGGAGGTGGGAAAACAAACAGGTTTATCAGACTAGTAGCACAGTTAGTTGTAGAAGCACCGCACATCACAATGAAGTACTTTTACTGGAATACAAAAAGTTCAGCAGATGCAGTATTTTTTAATAGGCAGCACAAGCTGCCTTGAAGCTCGCAATTCCAATAGAAAAAGCAACATTCTGGTTTAAAACGAACACTTTACAGCGCCCATATATTTTAGATACATATGACTATAATGCTGAGGTTGCATGTCATATCAAAGTGCATTTTATAAATGCCAACCTCCCCCCAGTTGGGAAAAACCAGTGAGAGTGTCCACATGCTAGTTTCCCCACCTGCTCTAGAGAACAAAACAACCCCAAAATAACTAACCAAAATAACTAAAGGAATCACGCACCGCATTCCAGCAATATTCTATAGTAAACTGTGGTACCTCTAGAACAGTTTCAGGTTAAGAACGGACCTCCAGAACGAATTAAGTATTTAACCCGAGGTACCACTGTATTATTATTACTTTTAAAAAGCTGGGCATTGCAGTTCAGGGGCTTGAGTCAACAAGCCAGCTGAAAAAAGGCAAAAGAATTTCAGTTTATGGATTACTGAATTGCTGACTTTGTATTTTCTTAGTGGCAATTTGGAATATTTATTTATTTATGCATGCATGCATGCAAAGCACAGCCTGTTGCTTTCTGCTACTTACTCTCAGCTTAGGTTGACAGAGAAAGGTTCGTGCAATCTACTTACTGCGATAGAGTCATGGACCTCCATATATCTTCCAGATTTGACTCTGTTAATTGTCGGCGATGTATGAGTTTGCACGTTGGAACTTCTCCAATTGCAATACTGTGACGTTTGAACCACATTTCAGAATTCTACAAGAGACGAGAAAGATAACAAGTTTTAGTATTGTATATAATAATTATTTCCCTTAATAAGGACCCTAATCCTACACTGATCCAGAGATGTTAGTTGTAAATAATTGTCAATTCTTCAGTACATTTCTAAGCAACAGTGCAGAGAAGATAATGTGTCCTACATGCTAGTGCAGAATTCAGCAGCCAGGTTGCTCACCGGAGCAAGACAGTTTGAGTATATTACACCGATACTGGTCTGACTGCACTGGCTACCAACTGGTTTCCAGACCCAATTCAAAGGTTATAGGCTTTGACCTATAAAGCCTTAAATCTCAAGGACCACCTCTTCCCATATGAACCTACCCGGACCCTGAGATCATCTTCTGAGGCCCTCCTTCGTGTGCCTCCTCCTTGAGAGGTCCAGAGGGCCTTCTCTGCAGTGGCTCCCCGTCTGTGGAATGCTCTCCCCAGGGAAGTTCGTCTGGTGCCTTCATTATACACCTTTAGGTGCTAGGCAAAAATGTTCCTTTTTAACCAAGCCTTTGGTTGATCTGATTGACATCCTATGCCCTTATAAAATGCAGCTCTCTTTTTTTGGGGGGGGGGGTGTTGTTATTGGGTTGCTGTTTTTATTTTCATTATATACATTGTTGTTTTTCTGTTGATCTCTCTTGTGAACTGCCCTGACCTCTGGGTATAGGGCAGTGTATACATTCAATAAATAATAAATAGTAAGATTAACCATAAGCTCTTAATTGCTGTAGGGAAGGCAAAATCCATACCACACCACATGTCGTGAGTAGGACTCCTTTCCAGCCCCTACAACTATTGACTAATCATAGTCCATAGCAATTATGTTCTCTACCCAGAGGGAGGAAGGGAAAGTTGGTGATGGCAATACCAAAGCCACAGGCCAGGATTCTCTGGTCCACACCCAAGTGGCAGTCAGCTCCAAAAGGTGTCAGGGACTGGACTAGGGGTAGCAACACTTCTCCACAGAGCCTGATTGGCTCCTCTGTTGCTCGCCCCTTGGGAGGAACCAAAGGATGCCTTCACAGATATGTCAGTGAACAGGAGCTTGTAGTTAGCATCTTCCGCATCAAAATAATATTCGTACAGATGGAAATCTTACCAACATGAGGGGCTTCCCTGGGATCTGTTGTTGGAAAGTATCCCTTTCAAAATCATTCCAGTTTGGGAATTTGACAACTTCCTTTCGGTACGGGGATCGTTTGGGATATGGTTTGAGTGGCGAGAAAGGAGGAAATCTAAAATGAAAAACAAAACGTTAAAGCCACAACTGAGTCCAGCTTGTGAACATTGTGAGGGGCAGGTAGAGAGAGAGGACTCACATCTTCTGGTTGTAATCTAATTGTTTGAGGCACATGTGAAATGTTTACACACTGGCCTTCTTGACCTAGAAGCTGATTCTGGGATGAATCCAACGAAGTCATCAATGTGCAAAAGGAAAGGCTGGAACTCTTTCATATCATGCATTGACTTTGTAGGTGGAAACAGCAGAATAATATTCTATTGCTCCATCAACATGGACTCTTTCCAGAGCTGGGCCAGTTAATGAAAAAAGTAATGGGCCCCATCTGCACTATAGATTTAAAGCAGTATCATACCGCTTTAAACAGTCCTGGTTTCCCCCAAATAATCCTGGGGACTGTAGTTTGCTAAGCATACTGAGAGCTCTTAGGAGACCCCTGTTCCCCTCACAGAACTACAGTTTCCAGAATTTCCTGGGTAGAGGCTTGAATGTTAAACCACTCTGGGAATTGTAGCTCTGTAAAAGCAATAAGCGCCTCACAACATCAGCACCCTTAACAAACCACAGTTTGCAGGATTCTTTGGGGAAAGGCATGACTGTTTAAAATGGTATGATACTGCTTTAAATCTATAGTGTAGATGGAGCCAAGGGGAAATGCCCACATGAGGAAAGTGGATGGGTGAAAAGCCAGGAGCTAGTATGTTCTTCTAGGGAGCAGTTTCTCTCATTAAGTTGCTTATAGAATTATACAGGAGATCAAAACTAGTACAGCTCATCAGCTGGAGTGTTATCCTTTGACCCTAAATCAAGTCAAACCACAGACCCAGTTGATAACTTCTGCTCTCTTTTCTCTGTCTGTGAAAAAAAAAAGGGCAACTGACCCAAGCCATTATTCTGAAAATAACAAAGCTTAGATTAAGGCTTTAGGCATCATTGATTGCTGTGTAAATAAGCTTCCCCTATGTGTTCCTATGCTATTTAATTCATTTATGAATCACTCGCCATAAAACATCCCAAAGCAATTTAACAATAAAGACTGCAAAAGTAAAAGCAACTAAACTCCCACCTGCCATAATTACTAGGTGCAGGGGGTGGGGGGGAGAGAAACTGTTTGCAATTGTCCACCAGATGGTGCTCCAAATATATCCATTGTCCTGAAAGTTAAGAAGAAGAACATGCTTTGGTAGATAAGATATAGACCTCCAAAACCACAGCTTTAGTTTACTGCATTGATCTCTGGCAAGTTAATTCACTCTACGGGGACAGCCATACAAAGTTCTTAATAAAAAAACTGGCAAAATAATACCAAACTGCTGAACAATTAACACCAAGCACTGCTGAAATCTGAAAGTTCCTTTACATTTTTTTAAAGAAGGGAAACTAGTTGAGAACCATGCTTTGTCACTGCTCTATTCTACATCCTCCTTGAGTGGTTTTGCCAGTCTGGAATGTGATGCTGAACTATGATAATGCTTCTTGCTTGAGCCTTGATGGAAGATGGAGAGAGATGCGTGTGTGTGCAAAAGCCTCTGGATTTCTGCATGGCTGGAATGTAGCCAACTGTACAAAGGTTTGAGTCACATATTTTGATCCACCCATTGTTACCTTTGCCCTGCCTTACATTATTCTATAAAAATATAAATTTGTTTCATCTTCTGGTACAGAAGCAGGTAGAACAAATGCCAAGAAGACAAACGGAAGGAAGGAAGGAAGGAAGGAAGGAAGGAAGGAAGGAAGGTCCAATAAAAGAGAAAAACAATTCAGTGGAAACACAATTATTATTTATTAAATTCGTATACCTCCCTTCATACCAGTTCACAGAATAAAAAGATAAGATGATTACTCAGCATCATGTAGATTATGGGAGAAAGCACCACAGGGATACAGTGGTACCTCAGTTTTCGAACATAATCCGTTCCGGAAGGCTGTTCGAGTTCCAAAACCAAAAACTCAATATGGAAAACTCAATACAGAAGCTGAGCTTCCTGTTTGACTTCAAAGGCATGTTCAAAAACTGAAGCATTGACTTCTAGGTTTATGGCATTCAAGTTCAGAAATGTTCGTCAATGGAGGCGTTTGAAAACCGAGGTATCACTGTACAAGAAAAATACTGCAAAATATATTTTTGGCTCTATGGACAGTCACCATCCCAAACCATGGGTCTCCAAAAGTTGCACCCTGCTCACTTTTAAATCTGGAACTGCCCAACACTGGAATATGGGCCCTGGAAGACTGGCCACAATGAAATTCAGCCCACAGATTGCAAAAGGTTTTCCCATTTTGTTTGAAACAGAATAGTTATAGCCTTAATTTTTCATGCTTGATAACACTACTGATAAATACTAACTGGACAAAGAGAGGTTCCGTGTAACTCCTTCCCTAAAAAAATAGCTTCTAACTTTTTAAAACTACTTTGATACACATTCTGGGAACTTGGGACGGTGGGGAGGGACACACGTTTAAGATGGGGGAGGAAGCAAAAAAGCAGAAACCGACTTCAACCTAGAGAGGGAAAAGGTTGGTTCAGAAGGGTCAGGGGACCAATCCAGGAAATCAGAAGGGAGTTAGTTTGTTCTTCTTTCATGAAGATCCTGCTGCACCCTGCATAGGGCATGTGTTGGAAGGAGACCTGGATGCACTGAATGAAGGTTCCGCTTTACAACACTTCTAACTGTACGCTAAAGTTAGGGGGAAGGATAACTGCTCAGTTGTGCTTTGTATGCAGGAGGTCTCGGGTTCAACCCCTCTCACCTGCACTTAAAAGGTCAGGTAGCAAGAAAGGCCTCACTGCCGGAGACCATGGAGAGCCACAGGCAATGCAGTGCAAATGCATTGCACTGGGCAATGCAAAGCTAAATGGGCTAATATGTGTGGCACTTACATAACGCCGTGAGCCTATTTCATCATGCTAATGCTCATGAACCTATTTCATCACGGCTGCAGCATAAACAAGCAGGGATCAGCCGCCACGGAATAAAATCCATTATTTTGCAACTTATTACGACATCATTTGTATAAATAAAATGACTGGTACACCCAAGGGAACACAACAGTATAATTATAAAATTACATTATGGCGCTATCTGAAAAGATTAAAGTTCAGCATTGCAAAAATGCAAATACCCAATTGGTCTTAAAGGTAGACCAGTGAGCAAGGGCACTTATTTATTCATTTCAGTATTATAAATTGTTTCATATAAAACATATTGTTTTATTGTATACTGTGTGTTTCATATTGTAACATTCATGTTGCAACACACAGTATTACAATAAAACCAAAGAAAAACGTAAATAAAAGAAGAATCCTGAAATAACATTGTTGGGTATATTCAACGGAGACAACCAAGGATTATTATAGAAACATTTACTTATTGGTTACTTATTAATGGCAGCAAGAATAATGATAGCTAGGAACTGCAAAAGAACAAAGAGTTTAAATGGACAAAATTGGTATAATGTAGTTTCGGACATAGCACTTTATGAGAATCTGATTCAAAACTTTGTGTGGCGAGAGGGCAAGAAACCCAAGAGAATTTCATGGCAGGCTGGTGTCTGTTGATCCAGCACACAAGCAAAGACTCTGTAGGACAAAACTGTACCTGCCTCACTCCATAATATATGGTTGTATTAATGTTTTACTTCATATTTATATGAGCAGCTTTCATTCTCTATCCATTTTAGTGTCTGTATGAACTTTATTGTTGTTGTTTACATCTGAACTCTTTTTTTTATTCTTTAAATAAGGAAAACCCATCAGGTAAAGTTGGCTGGCAGAGAATCTCAGGTTTGAAAAGCCACGATACAGTTTTTACAAGACCCCTAAAAACAAGCAAGGATGGCTCCTGCTGAACCGCTCTTGGCAAGAATTCCTCCAGGGGAGGAGGAGGGAAGGGCCTACCAAGGCTCAGCCCTTTGTAAAGTCTCAATGAACCTCAGTAGCCCGTGACTCTAACAACAACAACAACAATAATGATGATGATGATAATAATAATAATAATAATAATAATAATAATAATAACAACAACAATTTTATTATTTATACCCCACTCATCTGGCTGGGTTTCCCCAGCCACTTTGGGCAGCTCATCCCAAACCATTTAGTAGGATAATGCTCACCCCAAACCATTTAGGACTTTAAAGCTTAAAACCAGTACTTTCAAATGGAAATAAGCCGGTGCAACTATTACAGAACCAGTATGAGCTCTGACTGCCTAGCCCCAATAACAAGCGGTTGCATTCTATACCACCTTCGGTTTCTCAGGCTGTATTAACACAGCAGTTTATTCTGTTTCCCCAGCATTTCCCTAACTATTAATTTCTGTACTATATTTGAGTTTACACATAACATAAAGACCACTTCCAGAAAACTAATGGTATATAGTGCATGTTTAGCAACCATTCCCATGTTTTTTTGATTCCAGGAAAGAAATCTGTTTGCAATCCCCTTAACCTGGAAAATCGCAGGAGAAAAGTGACAAAACTTGGTGTGGTGTACGAGTATAAAGTACTTTCTAGCTGTTTACATGGGGGAATCAAGGATGGATTGAAGCACATGTGTGTGGAAAGTATCAACATTGTCCAATGACACAAATTCTTTTTTTTATATATATAAAATATTTATTAAAGTTTAGACATTACAAAAAAAAGAAAAGAAAAACAAAAGAAAGATATAAGCAATAAACAATTACAGTGGTGCCTCGCAAGACGAAAAGAATCCGTTCCGCGAGTCTCTTCGTCTTGCGGATTTTTTCGTCTTGCGAAGCAAGCCCATTAGAGGTTTAGCGCTTAGCGCTACAGTATTAGCTGATAAGCGGCTTAGTATCAGCTGTTAAGCGGCTAAAGATCAGCTGATAAGCGGCTTAGCATCAGCTGTTAAGCGGCTTAAAGATCAGCTGATAAGCGGCTTAGCATCAGCTGTTAAGCGGCTTAAAGATCAGCTGATAAGCGGCTTAGCATCAGCTGTTAAGCAGCTTAAAGATCAGTTGATAAGCGGCTTAGCATCAGCTGTTAAGCGGCTTAAAGATCAGCTGATAAGCGGCTTAGCCATCAGTTGATAAGCGGTTTAGCAGCTTGGGAAAAAGGGGGGGGAAAGGAAAAAAACCCTGCAGGAACTTGCAAGACATTTTCGTCTTGCGAAGCAAGCACATAGGAAATTCGTTTTGCGAAGCACCTCCAAAACGGAAAACCCTTTCGTCTAGCGGGTTTTCCGTCTTGCGAGGCATTCGTCTTGCGGGGCACCACTGTACAAAGCCTCAAAAACAAAAATAAATACAGTAATACAAAACATCAACAATACAAAAAAGAAAAAGGGGGGGGAGCAAAAGCATTTTTTAAAAAAACCCAAAAAAGAACAAACAAACATACAAAAGAACCCCATATTTTCATATCCTTATCTTTCATCTGCTTATTTCCTCGACTTCCTCACACCTCCTTTTTTGTATTCTATTTCAATTAATTATTCCAGCAAGTCCTTTCCTTCTTTCACAAATTTAGTTCCATAATTTAACTTAACGCAATTTTAGACTTAAGTTTACATCTTTACCCAATGTCAATCTATTCATACTTAATTCTTTATAATATTTCTACTAAAGTCATATAACTTCTTTCCAGCATCCTTCTAACATTCATTAATTTTAGAATATTTCTGTAAATAAGCTTTGAATTTTTTCCAATCTTCTTCCACCGACTCTTCTCCCTGGTCTCGGATTTCCGCCAATTCCATGTAGTCCATCAGCTTCATCTGCCATTCTTCCCTGGTAGGTAGGTCTTGTGTCTTCCAGTGCTTAGCAATGAGTATTCTTGCTGCTGTTGTAGCATACATGAAAAAAAAACTCTGTCCTTCTTTGGCACCAATTGGCCCACCATGCCCAGGAGAAAGGCCTCTGGTTTCTTTAAAAAGGTATATTTAAATACCTTTTTCATTTCATTATAGATCATCTCCCAGAATGCCTTAATCTTTGGGCATGTCCACCAGAGGTGAAAAAAAGTACCTTCAGTTTCATTGCATTTCCAACATTTATTATCGGGCAAATGATAAATTTTTGCAAGCTTGACTGGTGTTATGTACCACCTGTAAATCATTTTCATTAAATTCTCTTTTAAGGCATTGCATGCCGTAAACTTCATACCAGTGGTCCATAACTGTTCCCAGTCAGCCATCATAATATTATGTCCAACATCCTGTGCCCATTTAATCATAGCAGATTTCACCATTTCATCCTGAGTATTCCATTTCAACAGCAAGTTATACATTCTTGACAAATTCTTAACTTTAGGGTCTAACAATTCTGTTTCCAGCTTTGATTTGTCCACTTGAAAACCTAATTTTTTATCCTGATTATATGCCTCCATTATTTGATAATAATGGAGCCAATCTCGCACTCTGTTTTTTAATTTTTCAAAGCTCTGTAATTTTAATCTGTCACCCTCTTGTTCCAAAATTTCCCAATACTTCGGCCATTTGGCCTCCATATTGAGTTTTTTCTGGGCCTTTGCCTCCATAGGTGACAGCCATCTTGGGGTTTTATTTTCTAACAAATCCTTATATCTTATCCAGACATTAAACAGTGCTTTTCTTACAATATGGTTTTTGAACGCTTTGTGTGCTTTGACCTTATCATACCACAAATATGCATGCCAACCAAATACATTATTGAAACCTTCCAAATCCAAAACATCTGTATTTTCAAGAAGCATCCATTCTCTCAGCCAGCAAAAAGCGGCTGATTCATAGTAAAGTTTTAAGTCTGGCAGGGCAAATCCACCTCTTTCTTTAGCATCAGTTAAAATCTTAAATTTTATACGAGGCTTCTTGCCCTGCCAGACAAATCTGGAAATATCTCTCTGCCACTTCTTGAAACAGTCCATTTTGTCCAAAATTTGCAGTGATTGGAACAGAAATAACATTCTTGGCAATACATTCATTTTTATCACAGCAATTCGGCCTAGCAACGATAACTTCAAATTTGACCATATTTCTAAATCTTTTTTCACTTCAGTCCAACATTTTTCACAGTTATCCTTAAATAAATTCACATTCTTAGCAGTCATATTGACCCCTAAATATTTCACTTTCTTAACCAGTGTCAGACCTGTCTCCCTCTGAAACTTCTCTCTCTCAATCACGTTCAGATTTTTCTCCAGGACTTTAGTTTTCATCTTATTCAACTTGAAATCTGCTACCTGGCCAAATTCTTGAATCAATTCTAGTACAGTGGTGCCTCGCAAGACGAAAAGAATCCATTCCGCGAGTCTCTTCGTCTTGTGGTTTTTTCGTCTTGCGAAGCAAGCCCATTAGCGGTTTAGCGGATTAGCGCTATTAGCGGGCTTAGCGGATCAGCTGATAAGCGGCTTAGCGATCAGCTGTTAAGCGGCTTAGCGGCTTAGCGGATCAGCTGATAAGCGGCTTAGCGGCTTAGGAAAAGGGGGGGGAGGAAAAAACCCCCGCAGGAACTCGCAAGACATTTTCGTCTTGCGAAGCAAGCCCATAGGAAATTCATTTTGCGAAGCACCTCCAAAATGGAAAACCCTTTCGTCTAGCGGGTTTTCCGTCTTGCAAGGCATTCGTCTTGCGGGGCACCACTGTACTCTTTTCGTGCTTGATTCTGGCTCCTGTAAAGTCAGTACTAAGTCATCTGCAAATGCTTTCAGTTTGTACTGTTTAGCTCCCACTCAATGACACAAATTCTTGAGCCACACCATGACCACTGGTGTGAATGTAATTTAGAATGACATAATAATAATAATTTTATTTATACCCCGGCCTCCCCAGCCAAGACCAGGCTCAGGGCAGCTAACAACCAATAATAAAAACAAGTTGATTAAAATACAATTTAAAAAACAAGATTAAAATGCAACATTAAAACATTAAGATGCAGCCGCTTTACAGGAGGAGAAAGGAAAAAGAGGGGGAGGGAATCAAACTGATTCTAAGCCAAAGGCCAGGTGGAAGAACTCTGTCTTACCAGCCCTGCGGAAAGAAATCAGGTCCCGCAGGGCCCTGGTCTCATGAGACAGAGCGTTCCACCAGGCCGGAGCCAGGGTTGAAAAGGCCCTGGCTCTGGTTGAGGCTAATCTAACTTCCTTAGGGCCCGGGACCTCTAGGGTGTTGCTATTTATGGACCTTAAGGTCTTCCGTGGGGCATACCAGGAGAGGCGGTCCTGTAGGTATATGCCAGTATATTGGATAGAAAGGCATAACACAATATTCCACATGCCCAAATGCACACTCAGTCATCTTCAATGGCAGCCCCACACAGACCATATTACAGTAGTCTAGTCTGGCTGTAACTAGTCTACCATGCATGACAAGGTACTAGATATACTACAGCTGCACAATTCTTAACCATTGTACAAGAGAACTTTGCTTCGTTGAGGAAAATGCAAGATGGCGGCACACGGGGATAAACACGTGTGACTCTTAACGTGGCTCAAGTTGCAGGCATGCAAGAGTCATAAGGCAGGAACTCCAGCCTGCATTAATCTTCTTTGACTCCCTTATCAAAAAGTTTCAGAAAATGATAAGAAAATGCATCGCAAATGTCAAAACACAGGAAACATCTAAGTCATATTAATGTCGGCCAATTATTTCCTTCATGCTAGAAAGTAATCATTGCCAAGGTACACAAACATGTAATCTCCTGCCTACAGTGACCAAGGATATTATCACATTGTTTTAAACTCCTAATTTATTGTAACTGGTGGGTCCAATAACTGTACAGTGGTACCTCGGGTTAAGTACTTAATTCGTTCTGGAGGTCCGTTCTTAACCTGAAACTGTTCTTAACCTGAAGCACCACTTTAGCTAATGGGGCCTCCTGCTGCCATCGCGCCGCTGAAGCACAATTTCTGTTCTCATCCTGAAGCAAAGTTCTTAACCTGAAGCACTATTTCTGGGTTAGCGGAGTCTGTAAGCTGAAGCTTACAGACAATGGTATGTAACCTGAGGTACCACTGTACTCTTAATCAATGGATCTCATCCAACACTAATAGGTCATACCAGTTTAATTAAAGACTCTTGGACAATCCATATTTGCTGTTTATACTGCACATTGCTTCATTTTTATGTAAAAATAACCCTTGGGTGTAGTCAAACATTTGATTAAGGTTTTAAAAGCCTTTGCTACATGACCTGTTACCCATTTCCTTTTTATGAAGGCGTGTTTAATGCCTTAATGTTTGCAGTCTACAAATAGCAACCTTTGAGCTTTCAAATGTTATCTGAACACCAACCCCAGTTACTGCCTTGAGCTAGGGCAGGTTTAAAAGCATTTCGGGGTAAGAATTCATCATGGGCTGCCACCAAGCATATATGCAGCCAGAAGCTGTACCCAGTATCAGTTCCATGAATCCCAATTTATTCACTGAATGGGAAGATTGACAGAAAGCAGACAGCACAAACTGGAACCTTTCCCACCACAAAGTACATATATAGTAATGATACCTTTCTGCTATACTTCCATTTATCACCTAAAAACTACTTAAGAAATTAAAAAGGGGGGCTCTCTCTCTCTCATTCATACCATTCACACCTGAAGACTGAATTTTACCTTTTTTGAAAATGAACTTCTCTTGCTACACAGAAGCAACAATATGGTAGTCAGTTTTGTATTTAGAAATGTAAAGGTAGCAGGGATGTTTTCATATTTTTTTTCAGAAATTGTGCATTTATCATGGATACTTTTTTTGTATTGCTGCTTGAAAACATGTGTTTCCAAACTTGAAATATAGGTGTGAACAATGTGTACTGTACCAAATTTAAAAAAAAGAACAAGAGTTTAATTTGATAAAAGTTGCAAGAAGCTGCTGCAAAACCACAATACAGTGGATGCTCGGGTTGCGAATGTGATCTGTGCAGGATGCACGTTCACAACCCGCAGCGTTCGCAACCCGCAGCAGCGCATCTGCACACGCGCGGGTTGCGATTTGGTCTTCTGAGCATGCGTGACCTCCAAAACCTGGAAGTAACCCGTTCTGGTACTTCTGGGTTTTGGAGCATCCGTAACCTGAAAAAACGCAACCTGAAGCATCTGTAACCCGAGGTATGACTGTAGATTACAAAATCTCCTGCAGTTAAGTCTGTCTCCCTCTTTCATATTTCAACCCAAATAACAATAGCATCCAGTTATTTACCTATATAGGTGACCATTGTCCTCAAAATCCTCTTTGCCCCATCTTCCTTTGATATCTTCGATAACATGGTTTCTCAGGAACTTTTTGAGGAGCTGAACTGTTTGGGTGCGGGTCACTTCTGGGCTGAAATTTTGATTGTGCTGCAGCAGTCTGTGTAGCCAGTCAACGGCCTCCGAAGCGGTGAAGCAGCGCTCATAGCTTTTGAAGCGACAGCGGTGCTTCCGTAAAGGCATCCCACCTCGGAAGAGCTCAATAGTCTCATTCCACTGAGAAGACAATAAAGTATACAAAAAGATTTACCCAAAGCCAAACTAGTGCTTGTTTGCTTAGACATAGGCAGTGCTAGGGAAGGTCAAAGGAAGCAGGTAAAGAAAACTTACTTGGAAGTGGAGGGCTTCATAAAGCAGGAAAAGTATTGCCCCCAGACCTACAAGTTTTTCTCCACATACCAAAAAAGTCATTTCCTTATACCCCAAAGCTAAGGGTTTGGGGGGGATTTCTCCTTAAACTACAAGAAATTACCCCCAAAGGCAGTAACTAGCAATTATACTTCAGTGCAAAATACTCTGCAAGCTGATACAACTGAACAACCTCCAAAGAGATTGTTAATTATCCAGACACAAGACAATGTAATTGTAGTATCTCCAAATCTGGGAGAATTATTAACCAAATGAAAAACAACAAAGCCAGCGGACCTGATGGGATACCTGCCGAAGTCTTCAAAGTAGGGGGAACTGAACTTACACAACAACTTCACAAGCTCATCAAAAAAATCTGGGAGAGAGAGGAGAGCCTAGCAGACTTTAGGGATGCCAAAATTATCAATCTGTTTTAAAAAGGTGATAGAACGGGTTGCAGAAACTATCAAGGCATCTTTTTATTAGTGGCAGCCGGCAAAATTTTTGCAAGGATCTTAGCAGTTTTCTAACAATAACCGAGGCTACCCTTCCTGAATCCCAATATGGTTTTCGACCTTCTAGGGGGACAATCAACACGATTTCACAGCTGCAAGAAAAATGTAGAGAACAAAACCAGCCCCTGTAAATGCTGTTTATTGACCTAGGGCCTTTGACACTGTAAATTGTAATGCCCTGTGCCCTTCTGAAAATTGGCTGCCCAGATAAATTTGTGAACATCCTTCAGCTCCTCCACAATAATATGACAGCAACAATCACAGATAACAATGGCTCTCAAAGTGAACCATTCACAGTGGGATCAGGTGTTAAACAAGGTTGTGTTAGCACCCCATCTCTATTTATCATTTTCATTGCCGTGATCCTACACTTTTTCCAGAGGAAACTCCCCACCGGAGTAAAAATAATATATCGAACAGATGGAAAGCTCTTTAATCTGAGTAGGCTGAAAGCAAAGATGAAAGGGAGAAATGAGCTAAGAGGAAGGCACGATTGGCAAACCCTCACCATGATCAACTCCCGCCTGGAAACCTATGTCCCCACTGTGGAAGGGCATGTGGATCCAAAATTGGCCTCCACAGTCACTTACTGACTTACTGTTAAGATCGTGTTCATGGAAGACAATCTTACTCGGCTACAAGTGATCGCCAAAGAACAGAAGATAAAGGTGTGGGGGGATAGAAGGGAAACAAAATGAAATACACTGATATGTGTATGTGTGTAGTGGGCAGCAATGTTAGAAACTCATATACGTAATCTAGGTGGCAAAAAGCTCCTTAAAACAGTATTACAGTCACCAAAACTGAATGACTAGTTGCCATTTTGGTGCCAGATGGCTCGAAAGTCCTATTTTTCAATACACCTTCAAGCAGAGCAATACATTTGGTACTAGCTTGGCTGCAGGAATTGCTGGAAGGTGTACAAGGTGCCATCCAACCGACTTAGGTACTCCACACTGAATTTGTGTAGGGTTGGTGGTGGTAGAGGCAGAAGATAAAACTCACCTGTGTAGACCACGGCCTGGTTCGCACAATGCACCAGGCCACTAAACACAAGCTGAAGCCAAGAGAAGACTTGGCTCAGCACAGCACAGCAGCAAAACGTACCAAGCAGGGGGAAAGTGGCTGTGTGCTTCTTTCCTGAAGTCTGCAAAATTGTGTCACCTCTTTAATGTGTTGTGCCAACCATCTACTGCCTTGATGGAAGGTATGGTTATGCAGAGAATGTAACTCCGTTGTGATGGAGACATAATAAAGCAAAGAGAACCTTTGCCCACAGGCCAGCTTTTGATTTCAAAATCCTGGCATGCAAAGAAGAGGGTCTTTTCCACTGAGGCTTCACTGGTCTGGCCCAGGGGAACAGCAGATAAACTGGAGAATTTTGGCACTTCCGCATGACCTGCTTATTGAGCATGCATCTTTGTTTGTTTGCAGGGAGATTAAATGGTTGCATCAAAGCAAGTGTTATCCCAGAGTTTCCACGACATTTTCCCATCACTTGCTTTATCACGAAAATTGTGCAACCTGAATTTATCAGTATGTGATGACATCCCACTCAAAAATAGTGGTATCCTGGAACCAATCTCTGAATGGGGCAAGTAGGTTGGCTAAAAAAAGCTGCTTCTGCAAGTTTCTGGAATGCTCTCCTCAGGGAGGTTCACATGGCACTTTCATTCTATGCCTTTAGGTGCCAGGTGAAAAGGTTCCTCTTCAAACAGGCCTTTGACAGATTAATATTCTATGCCCTTTTAAATGTGTTTGGGGCAGGCAGTATTGGTTTGTTTTGTTCTTATTATGTATTTTGTGTTTTTATTTTATATTTTTATGCTGTGAGCTGCCCTGAGATCTTCAGATAAAGGGCAGTATGCAAATTTAATAAATAAAGTCATAAATCAGTAGAAGTCTGGGAGAAGAGAAACTTCAAATGTACAAAGACTGGAGGACCCATCGTTCAGTGCTTTGCTTGCAGGAGATTCTGGGTTTAACTTCTGGCTTCATCTGCTAAGGATCACCTAGTCATTGATAGGAAGGACCTTCTACCCGAGACCCAGAAGAGCTACTAACAATCAAAAGCAGCACTGCTGGCCCAGAAGGTCTGACATGGACTGACATAGAGCATCTTCCTAGATTAATGCTGGAAAACAGGAAATGCTGCCAGCTGCCTCTGTGGTCCTTCTAGAAGGGCAACTCCTGCGTAAGTGGCACAGCGCGCCTGAATCCCCACGTCCATTGTGGGGACTGGTCGCCGAAGAACAGGATGGCTAGAGTTCTAGCTACCTGGTAGCCCCATTACTCTTGTCCCCAAACTTCCAGGGATGCATTCGTGCGAGGCTTCGTCTGAGATAGGCTCAGCCCTGGAGGAGCGGCAATATGAAGATGAATGCGCCCCTGAGCATGTGCAAAGTGCGTTTCTCGCTCACGCTCGCGGGAGCAAAGGGAAGCCGGAGCCCCGGGCAAAGAAGCGCGGCCTCCGCTGAGCCGCCGTTCACTTACCAGCCGGGTGGCGCGGTAGGGCCCAGGCCCCACCAGGCGAGGCTCCATCGGCCGCCACGACAGAAGAGTACTCATCGGCCCGTTTCCACGGCGACCGGCCGACACACTACGCAACCCCCGCGAGGGAAAAAGTTTGAATCAAAGACGCGCGAATCCTGATTGGGCCGAGTTGAGATCACGTGGCTACTCGGGACGCACCCGATTGGAGGGTGGCACTTTAAGGGGCGCGTCTTAACCCTTCAGTCTCATTCTCTTTTCTACACGCACACGCATATATGTAAATAACCTCTCGTTCTCTCGGCGTCCCCACAACGCAAAGAACTGATTGGCTGTGCTTCAAAAACGTCAAGGGCTCGTTTTGCATAGCGGCGGGTGATGGCCAATGGGCTTTCTCTCCCTTACTACCGGTTGGCAACAGCGGGGGCGGGCCGAGAGGAGAAGCAGAACGTGCCCTGATTGAGAATTCTTGGAAACTCGGAAGGCGACCCTGCGCATGTTTTGCTGGAGCGGATCCAGAGAGCGCCGCGCCGCGGGAGCTGCTTCTGAATTCCAGGGTCTGCAGCTGCGGCGGGGGCGGCTCTCTCGCGCGCTTCTTTCATTACACCGCGGGCAAGTCACGTTATTGTGCCTCCGCCGCCCGCGCAGCCAAGGTCACTTATGCCGCTGTTCCATTCCTGCGGCGGGGCTGTTGTTTTTTGCACCCTGACTGACTAAACCCGATGCTTATGGGCCTGAGCGCAAACAGCACTGCCCCCTCCTTGCGAGTCCCAGCAAATTGGTATTCGGAGCCATATGGTACGGCCTCTCATCATGGGCATGAAATAGTCGCTGGAAGCCTCATTCCCTGCCAGGCCCTTTTTAAAACCACCGGCACTACAATTTGTGGACAGCGAATTCCGTGCGTCTGTAATGCATCTCCCGGGATTCAGATCCACCGGGTGGCCCCTATTCTATTACCAAGAGGGCAAAAAGCCATGCATAATTTCACACAAAAACCTTTCAAAACAAACCATTCGGATTTGTTTTACGCATCTTCCTCTCATTCAACTGTTGATCTCTGTAGTTCCCATGTTGCAACCTCTTCCAGCTCCGTAGTATCTTTAGGTGCATGATTCGACTGGACTTAACCATCCAGGGGTCCTTTACTTTAACCTTTACCTTTAGGTGCAGATAGTGGCAGTGGAGGCACCGCTTTGCAATACCCTTGCACCGCTAGAATGTTTCTATAATTTGTCTCCTGCCTTACATAGAAACTAAACTACTTGGCTCATCTACTTCAGTACTGTTTATGTTTTCATATGTATAACATATATGTTGGTGTTGCACCCCATGCAGATTACTTGAAAGAATCTAAATCTTTTAGAATCAAGGTTTAGACAATATCAAACAACTGGTTATGAAACCAACCCAAAAACCCTTTCATTGTGTTTCTAAATTTAGAGGATGTGTACAGTGAAATGGTTACTATCCTGCCCAAAGAAGGAAATATGTTGATTTCAATCTAAGGAGAGGAAGGAATAATTTCCCTTGTACGTATAAACTGAGCTATGTTGAAAGAGCGGGAAATGAATTGTATATTAAAACAGTTTGTTGAAGGATGGGTGATCTTTATTATATTTTGGAATGCGAAAGTTGGTGAGGATGTAATACAATATTCATTGTTTACTTCCCCCCCCTTAAACCAAAACATGTATGTTTATATTATATGTGTGTGTATGCCCCTTTTTCCTCTTTTTTTTTTGTAAGAAACTCATTAATTTTTTTAAAAAAATGATTGGCACTCTAGGATTTCATACAGGAGTCCTTCCCTTGACAGGATTCCTTCAATGGAGATGCCAGGGACAAAACCTAGGGAGGCCCTTTTTGCCTGTGAAGAATGTGTTCTAACTACTGCTAAGGAGACAGGGTTAGCCTTTCAAAAAGAGGTGGAGGTCAGAGTTCTCATAGGATCTATTTTTTGCAACATGAACCTCAACCTGCATAAATGCATGTCTACAAAACAGAGGTAGCCAACCTGTGTGGTCTCCAGCTGTTGTTCATCATCCCTGACACTTGGGCTCGGAGGCTGGGACTGATTTTAGCAGCAGGTGTAGCATCACAGAATTGCCACTCCTGCCAAAGAGGAACTAACTTGATGTTTTACATTTTGGGACTTAGAGTTTACACTAGCTCCAGATGTGCAGTACATAGTCCTTCATACACAGATATAAGCATTGTATCATTTTACAGCCCAATTCTAACATACATTCATGTGGAAGTATCAGTAAACTTCAAATTATTTTCACTGCAAGTTAAGTAGTGGTCAGAATCCAAGGGAAGTTTCTCTCCATCTTCAGTTTTCCTCGAAACATGCAACCCAAAGGTATTGATATTCTCAAGTACATACGATTCGGTTCAAATCAAGCTTAAGCTCAGGGTACAGGGTGCAACAACCATTGTCCCTCAAACAAGAGGCTTGAGATTATCGTTGCAACCAGTTCAACCTTTCCAACAATACCTCTTTCATACCCTAAGGCACCTTAGAATTACAAAAGTCATTTTTAAGACTAAATAGTCATAGTATTTCATATGGTACAGTTTTATAAAATACATTAATGTTTACAGTAGCTGTATTTGACAATGAGGTCTATAGTTGATAAGCTGAATTCCATTTCATTGAGTAGCCTTTAGACCTTAGTAATTTACAACACCAGCCCAAAACAATTGTATCTTTGTCAGTGTTCAAAGTACTTTTGTATACTTATCAGGCACACTTCATTTCCATAATGAATATTCATATGCATCTCCAAGAGTGCAACTCAGTATTAACTTATTTCATACATTTTTAAAAAATATGTACATTGGTGCTGAAAATTTCAGGTCAGTGCCTCTTCTTAATCATTAGATTAACCCTCCCTCCCACATAAAGATTATATCCCAAATAATTTATAGTAAAAATACAAGGTTTTTTGTTTTGTTTTGGAAAACCACGTATAAAACAAGTGTGTGCTGTACACCTATGCATCTTGATTGTCAAGTCAAAACATTCAATCATGTTTTGTGGCAGAATCTTTCATTCAGTTTTGTTTCTGGTAATGCCGTTTTGTAAAGTCTTGGGGGGTCTTTTGCCTCTGGTGTAAGCATGGTACCAAAAGTGCATGAACAGAATTAAAAACAAAGTGCCATAGAGCCAGATGATGAACATAAAGATTGGATACTGATATGGGCAATGATCCATAAAGTAGATTTGTCCTATATGGACGGTAACCATAATGAACTGGATCTAAAACAGAAAAAAACATAGTAAATCATTAGGTATTTGTTTTAATCACACAGTGGAGGTGGGGTTGGGGGAGTTGCAGCAGATGAAGGAGGAAACTTTCTGTGTAAAGCATCAAACGTAAGTAAGGATAGTTATGCGGAACTAGTTCTACATCCTTGGCGATGGGGAGGCGAGGGTATTATGATGCTCAGCTCTCAAAGCAGGCTACTGGAACTACTTTACCTTACTTTGCTTTACTTACAGTTACCACCACCCCATAAATTGTGGAGAAGGAGCTAGGGTGCCTCTCTGAGGGCCTCTATTGGTGGAGAAGAGTCCTAATGGTTGAAAGGTTTTCACCATGACAGAGACCTCAGTTTTGGCTAGGCAAGTGGTGAGTTCCTGGCAGCCCCCAAATTGGATGTTTCTTTGGATCTGCTGCATCCAAAACCCCATTGTTAAAGAGTTTTTAATCTTCTCTGGGAGGTCAGGCTAAATGGTAGCAGTTCAGGAAACAAGGTGCACAGGTCATGCAATGAGTTCAGCTAGCTCACAGCCGTTTACAGCATTCATATGCATCTGTGGGTTAAACCACAAAGCCTAGGGGCTTGCCGATCAGAAGGTTGGCAGTTCGAATCCCCGCGATGGAGTGAGCTCCCGTTGCTTGGTCCCTGCTCCTGCCAACCTAGCAGTTTGAAAGCACATCAAAGTGCAAGTAGATAAATAGGTACTGCTCTGGCGGGAAAGTAAATGGTGTTTCCGTGCACTGCTCTGGTTCGCCAGAAGTGGCTTAGTCATGCTGGCCATATGAACTGGAAGCTGTACGCCGGCTCCCTCGGCCAATAAAGCGAGATGAGCGCTGCAATCCCAGAGTCATCCACAACTGGAGCTAATGGTCAGGGGTCCCTTTACCAAAAGTCAACCTACCCTTAACAGATAATCTAGCTTTCCCCTATGTGTTCTGAAAGTTACTCACCAGTTGTATAGTCGTCAGATGCTTCTTCCACCACAAGTATTTGTGGTAAGCTGGTCCCAAGCAACAGAGTCCATAGTAGGTGTACATGATCACATGCACAACACAGTTCAACATACCATGGAATGTTCCCAAGCCACCTGTGAGTAAAATAAAATCCAGTCTTGAAACAATCTACTACCAATCCAAAGTACATCATCTGAGACAAATCAGAGATATGGGGCAAAGAAAAGCAAAACTTGAGGCTGTCTCTGGTAACCTTGTGATCGCTTTGTATGCAACCATAATGGCATGGCTGTCATTAACAGAAATAATTCTGTGAGGCAGAAGCTTCATGCAGTGGCTGTAAATGTATCCATGGATTTAATCATATATGCCAACTCTGTTGTTACAGAGCCTCTATGCCCACTCTACATCTTCCTGGGGTGGAGAGACAAGCAACAGCTCTTATTAAAAGCCCTCTGCACACATTAAAGCAGGCATTGGAGCCCTCTAGTACTTCAGTAGAAACAGCAATATCCTTGTACCTAATCAAAACCTATGTATGGAAAGTCCACGGACTTTCATGCTTTATACTGTGTATATATTTTCCTCACATTAATATCTTGTCTTTCCGCCCAGGAGCTCAGGGCAGCACACATACCACCCACTCTGTCCTCAAAATAACCTTGAGAGATAAGCTACTGTGATGCCCTCCAAGAGCTGCTGGACTTCCAACTCCTATCATCCCTACCAATCATCCTTGCTGGTTGGGGCTATTGGGAGTAAGGGAGTTCAGCAACCTTAGGAGGGAACCAAATTAGCTGCTCCTGGGCTAGGTTGAGAGCTGGCAAGTGGTCGACTGTCTCGGAAGATGGTTTAAGAGTGTACCTTCAGGGCTGATGGCAGTTTAGTGACAGTTTAAACTCTAGTATCCCCAATCCAGGTTCAACACTGCAATCAATATCTTCACATGCAATAACATAATCAATCAATCTGGGTGTCTCCTGCCCTGCAATACTGAGACACAGGATGGTGGCCTAATTTGGGAATTCTGTCCTCAGCCTATGGACGGTATTTAAATTGCAGCTAATCTGCACCTGTTCAGGCAAAATAAATGCTGAGCTTGATTTTGCAGGTCCTCACTTGTTTTAGTTATGTTACTCTGAAATTACTGTCTTCAAATAAGAACTTGAACCAGTTTTGGAAATCTTGACATGCACACTTGGAATAGGTCCAAGCACCTTTGCATTCGTTTCCAGCTATCTTACATATCTTGTGCCATATTTTTAAGATTTCCCTAACTCCCTCTCCCATACCCTCATGTTTATATTCAAACTCACATTCTAACTGCTTCCTGCCCCTGTTTAGGCTGCCTCACAACCATGAACTTCGAGGTGTTCAGCACTTCTCATTTCTGGAAATGCATGCGGGTTCAAGACTGGTGCATCAGTTAAAAGTGGAGAAAAGTAAGTTGATGCAGACAAAAAGTTGACAGAAAGCATTAACTGCCTGGTCAGGCAATCACAACAGAGCTATGAACAAGTTTTTTTCTAGCCCCACAGCCCCTTTGTGGTACAAACAATAAATCCAGAAAGTGTATCATTAACCAGAGTTTCCCATTTCATTTTCAGCTTTGGAACAAGCCATACTATTAAACCAACTGGCTTAATATCCTGTCTCGTCCAAAAGGTGGCAACCATAGATGTCCTGGTTTGGAGGAAGCACTTCTTGGTTTGACTGCTCTTCCCTCCACAGCACAAGCAAATGGGCAGCTTGTATGAGCAAAAGGCACGTGGTGCTTAAAAATTCTATTATTTATTAACAAGTACTATTAATTAAATTACTATTTTCCCCCAGGGCGCCAAACATCGTAGTAAAATAATACAATTAAAATAAAAATATATCGAAAACATTTAAAAGCAATTAAGAACATCTAAAAGCAGTTAATCAAAATGAGAAATAAATGTGTTTTTTATATAAAAAATTGTTTTGTGTACTTTTGAGTATGAAATTTAAAAGATTTAAATTTTTTAAATAAACAAAAAATCAGGGGAAAGTAGCTGGTCAGTGCAACACAAGTGTTAACTCAAGCAAGCATTTCCCCTATGGCTGAGTGAGGCTGAAGTCTTGCTCTAGAATAGAGTCACAAGCAGTTTCCAGATTACAAAACTAGGTTACTGAGAACTGACACTTGGCCACTTTTAAATGGCAACCATTAATTCGGTGGTTTTCATCATGATGGGCAGGGTGGTCCACATTTGACACATAGGACTTGTGCAAAATACTGCATACTAAATTCTGTTAATAAAGGGCAGTTGGCTTTATGTATTTGGGATGGCAGCCTTGAAGATTCTCCTAATTTCTGAAGTGCCTAACCTTACCACAAGAAAGAGTCACATCCATCACACATAAGCTGCAATGACAAAAACCATCTCTCTCTGTGTGTGCTGTGGAATAATTAAAACTCGCATGCAGAAACCAGAAAAGCAATCTCTCCTAAGCCAAAAATGGAGACTCGCAACCTACTGATATGTAACAGTGCCTGAAGGATTTGCATTTTCATGAAGCCAGTTTAGCAGGAATATCCAAATTACTCAAGCAAGGAAGCCTGCCAAATAATCCCACACAGTACTTGAGGGGGGGGTGTATGTGTGTGTAAGTAAGGGAATATTGTTAAACGTTTTACTGCTGGCTTATAGTGGCATTAACTCTTATGGGCAATTGCGAAAAGGATCTTCTGTTCTTTTATGTCGTTTCGCAAATGAGATCTAAACACACTGTGTTCTCTACTGGGGGGGAGGCAATGCAGTTCTCCTCTTGGTAACTGTTTATTATCAAACACTTCTCACTTTATTCTAAAGCCCATCAAACCCAAGGAGCGAAATAAGACATGCACTCCACAGAAGACCCACTCCTTCAAAACCTCTTGCTATTGGGTACATCAATCTGGGCTGTGGCAGCACTCAACTAAAACTACAGTTAAAATTCAGGTGGATGCAAGTGGATGACTATTTCTGCTTTGTGCCACAAACTAGCAGTTATTGACCTTGTTCACATCGTTGGTAGACCAGGTGTGACTTGTCTGTGGCCTTCTAGATGTTGGACTTTACTGCCATTCCTGATCCTTGGCTATGCTGGCTGGGGCTGATGGGAGCTGGGGCCCAACAGCATTTGGAGGGCCACAGGTTAGCTACTCCTTCAGTAAACAATTGCTACCCATTTGGGATGTTTTCCCTCCCATGTACATGCAAGGAAGAGCAAATGATAATTCCTGACTTATTATTATGTCTGAACTGGTCACAGTTTGTTCTTGACTTACTGATAGTCATCTTTTCTGAGGGGGTGGGGCAGGGAGATCTCTAGTTCAGACATAACACTTGGAGCTACCGTATTTTTCGCCCCATAGGACGCACCGCCCTATAGGATGCACATAGTTTTTTTGGGGGGGGGAATAAAGAAAAAAAATTTATTTCCCCCCCAGGCACGGGGCTGGCGCGGGGGAAGCCTGAGCTTCCCCCGACCCCAGCCCCCAGAACAGCCTGCTATCCGCAAGCCTAGGGAGCCGCGCCGGTCTCCCCAGGCTTGCGGGCAGCTGTGCGAAGCCCGGGCGCGCTCTTAAGCGCGCCCGAGGCTTCGAAATGCAGGCAGCTCTGCGCAACCCTCCAGAGCCCGGTGCGGCTTGGCGCCGGGCTCCGGAGGGTCGCGCAGAGCTAGCACAATGTGGCTTTTTCCTCTGCCCAAATTGGTGGCAGAGGCATTTGAGAGAAGCCCAGAACAGCATGAAGAGGAAGGAGAGGTGGCATCATTCCATTAGACAAGCAGAAATGCTTGCAGTGACTTAACAATCTCCTTAGTGGTACTTCAAATTCTAACCTAGGTTTGTTTCTCCTAAGTGCTAAGCATGGAGGTCAGATCAGCAGCTTCATGGTAAAACTATTAACTAGTTTACTGCAGTGTGGGAACTGGACCATTGTGATGTTTTGGATGATTCTATTGCCATTTTGGATGACTTCTATCCTATAACGAAGGCCAAAAGTTTTTAAAGCAAAAAATCCAAAGCACATTAACTGGGAGGGTTCACAATGCTGATTAACACAAGGGCATCTCACTCAAAAGTACTCAATTTCTGTCCACAGAAAAATCCATTAAAAAAGACCTCATGGCAAACACTTGGATTAACATAAATTAGTATTAGGCAGCATTAAGCTAATCATTTTTAAAAGCCAAAAAAAAAGAAGAAGAGTAAATAGGATGGAAGACATCACTACTCTTCCAAGGGATAATAGAGGGCATTATTTCATTTGTCAAGATCTAATAGAGCCTTCCAAAGAAGAGAGCACACATTTATGAAAACTAAACTTGTCTTGTTCTAAATATATCTGCTGTGATAATAACTTTATTTTTGCTGTTTCACCGTATATCTCCTTGAGTCAATTGCGTAGAAGGCAATGAATAAACTAATGACACTATATTATTAATAATATAATTACCATCATCATTACTACCACTGTTATTAACAGGCTTCTCCCAAGGCAACACTGCCTCAGGCTCCCCAGGTTAGATGAGATGTCCAGATTATTACCATCTACCACCCCCACCCCTTCAAGAGAAGCAATCTATGAAATTTGTCAAGTCCCAACATGCAGCTAATATGAATCTGAGAACAACAGTAATCTGGCAATAGAACACGGGTCAGAAATTGTCTTCTAAATTTTAAAAAATAAAATAGTCTTCTGAATGCCTGTAAAAGCACAACGCAACCTTTAGATGGGATTTTTTTTTTTTACATGGTCTTTGCGTTAGGAAGTTAGGAAAACCTATAGTTTTCCCTATGCCCCGCTGCTCTCCTTTCTGTACCTCCTTTTTTTGCCCAGGTGTTTCCATTTTCGACAGGCACCCTTCAAAGGCAGAGAAGGCGAACCAACATGCAAAAGAAAGGGGTTTGCATAATTCAAAGTAAATAACTTGTTGCATCTATGCTAATGCTTCCAAAAGATTTCAGCTTGCTAGGGATTTTGGGCCTGAGAACATTCAAGGGTTACATAATAGGGTGGGAAAAGAAACTAGAAATCGGATGGAACTACTGGTCAAACGCCACTATCAATAAACTGCTAAAGCTGCAAAGCTAAAATCGGGAGAAAAACAAAGTTCTTAATCCAACAGAGAGCTTGGCATTCCTATGCTAATTTAAGCCAATATGTTTAAGAGCACCTAATTCTGTGCTGGAACCAGTTAATGTGTTGAGTCAAGTAAGAAACCTTAATAGGTTTAAATGATACACTTGCTTCAGAATCTTTGTATTGTTTGCCTTTTCCTCTGTGTGACTTTAAACAAAAAGCCTTGTCCAAGTTGCCCTTTGTTTAGCCACCCAGTTGCAGGAAGCAGCCAGAGACCAAATTTGCAGAGTGAAATACCTACACCACCTACCTGGGAAAAGTTTATATGTATACATGACTTTCTAAAGCAGGTGGGGTGCATGCACAGAATTTTAAGGAAAACCCCATAGGTAAAGCAGCAGAAAGAAGGAAATTTCCACTTAGAAACATTGTATTATTTATAAAAGCAAGTTTCAATTTAGAATCGGAACTACCTGGAGCAAATTTGACTCCAAACCACCAGGTCCAAGGCATGATTGTGTGATGGAATACATGGAGAAACGTAATTTGGGCATTCTTCTTTCGGAGCACAAAGAAGATCTGGAACGATTTAAACAGGTATTATTACTGCAAGTCACACTTAACGTCAGCAGCATGCGCAATTCAGTCTGTGCGCTGAATAGCTCATCATGTTTTCATGGCATGTATAAAAATGCATTTATTCACACTGCCGTTCCATGACTATTAGTACTGACTACACATACTACTGCCCAAAATAGTTGCTAGAGTAAATAAATAAATAATCTATTGGCTTTTGTTTTACATACAGAAGATGCAGGTGGTTTCAGAGTCACTGGAGTACAGTATATAGAACACCAGTTTTTTCATACAATCTGCTGCTCAATCTGCTCACAATGCACCCTTGTGATTTGTCACTTGCACCCACCACACACACACACACACACTGGTGCAGGGGCGGACGAAGAGTGTGCAGTGGGGGCGGGCCGCTCCAAGTGTCACCTCTGAGGGGGGTGACAAAATTCGGGGGCCTGCAGTGCGCCCAGGCCACATGTGGGAGTGCCCCAAATGGTCTGCCTGCCACCTCCCCCTCAGCTGTAGGGCAGCTGAGTGGCAGGAGGCAGGCAGACTCCTCAGAGGTCCCACAGAGTGCCCCAGCTTGCCCTGTGCCACGGGCGGCTGGCCCTGCCCCTGGGCGCAAGGCACATGTGCCGTCCCAGGCACCCAATCGGCTTGCTCTGCCGCTGCACTGGTGTCCAGTATTTTAAAAAGACATACCAATTTTCACATGGTTTGTCTGGAAACCAGCCTTGTGCTGTTGTTGTTTCTAGCCACAGCTCATCTGCTACTGGATTTTTTTTTTATTTTTTGGAGTGGAGAGTGTGGTGCAATACTGCAAGCTATGTATCAGCTCAATAAACACTGCACTGATTTCTTAGAGACTAATCATAGCACATTGAGAAGAACCTTGTTGGATCAGGCTGAAGTACCCATCTACTCCTACAACTTGTTCTAACTGTAGTCAACCAGATGCCCCCAGGAAGCCCAGAAGCAGGATCTGCGTAGAACACTACCAATGATTCCCAGCCACTGGTACAGTGGTACCTCGGTTCTTGAATGTAATCCATTCTGGAAGACTGTTCAAGTTCCGAGACGTTCGAAAACTGAGGTGCAAAGGGCTGTCAACAAATTCAATTGAGAAAACTGAAAAACATACAGGGGAAGCTGTTCGACTTCTGAGGCATGTTCGAAAATGGAAGCATTTACTTCCGAGTTTTCGGCATTCAAGTTCGGAAACATTTGTCAACGAAGGCGTTTGAGAACCGAGATACAGTGGTACCTCGCAAGACGAATGCCTCGCAAGACAAAAAACTCGCTAGACGAAAGGGTTTTTTGTTTTTCGAGCTGCTTCGCAAGATGATTTTCGCTATGGGCTTGCTTCGCAAGACAGGAACGTCTTGCAAGTTTGTTTCCTTTTTCTTAACACCGTTAATACAGTTGCGACTTGACTTCGAGGAGCAACTCATAGAACGCGGTGTGGTAGCCTTTTTTGAGGTTTTTAAAGACTTTGGTGATTTTTGAAGCTTTTCCAAAACTTTCCCGACACCGTGCTTCGCAAGACGAAAAAAATCGCAATTAATTTCGTCTTGCGAGGCACCACTGTACCACTGTATTCTGAGGCATAGTAAAGAGAGAATGTAGCCATGGTGACTAGTAGTCACTGAGAGCCTTATTCTCCATGAACAAAGTCTTAGAAACCTGAAGGCGAAACATAGTTGACTAAACTACAGACATCATCACTATGAGAAGCAATTATTATGGAAGCCTTCCCACCCACACAAACTTCCCTGCTTCTCTCAATGAGGAAGAGAAAATAAAAGGTTCTCCAGGTGTTCTCCAGGTAAATTACAGCACGCGGAAAGTTTACATCCACACAGTGGAGTTAACACAACCCCACCTCATGGCGAAGGAGAAATACAATACGCACAGAACAATCTGAAGTATACAAAGGTGCCCCTCATTCACTTGTTATATTCTACAATTGTGCTTACCGTGTCTAGCAATTCAATGAATTTCGAGAAATAATACAAGTAGCAGGCACGAACCATCTGCAGAGAAGAAAAAGATGCGTTAAAAACTGAAAACATAATGGAGCCCAAATCTAACCTTAGTTGAACTTTATGCAGGTTTTTCAAGCTTTTGGTGCTGAATTTATGTGCAACAGCTTCATGGTGCACCTCATCACCATTCACCAGGTGATACAATCCAAGGAAACACAAAGGAGGGTATACAGTGGTACCTTGGTTCTCATACTTAATCCATTCCAGGAGTCCGTTCGACTCCTGAAACCATTCGAAAACCAAGGTGTGGCTTCCGATTGGCTGCAGGAGCTTCCTGCAGTCAAGGGAAAGTCGTGTCGGACGTTCAGCTTCTGAAAAACATTCGTAAACCGGAACACTTCCAAGTTTGCGGCGTTCGGGAACTAATTTGTTCGGCAACTAAGCCGTTCGAGAACCAAGGTACGACTGTACACACAGAGAGTGGAGATTCTGTATATTTCCTACACAGCAGCATGCAGTGCCCACAAACACCTTTTTAAAACTTCTGCAATGCAATGGGAAGGTGCTAGTTAAACTCTCTCTCTCTCTCTCTCTCTCTCTCACACACGCACACACGCACACACACACACACACAGCCAATCTTTTCTGCATGTGTGTAAAAAGCTGCATTGGTGTCCATGCCTCTCATGGCTGCTCTTTTCATTACACATACATACACACATTCATTTGCAACTCTTCTGTTGTAGCCAATTCAGTCAAATGATAGCACACATTCCTGCAACTTTGTGAACCACAACAAAGTCATTACATGACTCACCCTTAGAGCCATAGGTGACCTGGAGTAATCAACTATGTCACAGCGATAGGTATAGCCTGTAGCCCAGCCAGACATAAGGAACTGGAGGTGGAAGAAAATAATGATTCATAACAATAACAGTAACAATACTTTATTTAGCTATAAAGTTCAGGGGTTGTTTTTTTTCAATTGCATGATCAATGTTTCTTTTTTTGGACTGAACACAATCCATGTGTATGTTTTAGATTATACAGATTGGCCCAATACACATACATAGTGTTCAGTCAAAAAAAAATATGAAACATTGATTATGCAATTGGGGGGGGAAACACCATGAACTTTGTACATCTAAGGGTTCAGAAGTAGGATTTTTGTTTTGTTTTTTTGGTTTTTGTTTTTTTACTTCTATCACAACAGGTGTGTAAAAAGCTACTCGCCCTGTCACTAGGGCAGCAAAGAGGTTATTCCAGGCAAAGTTAATAGTAGCTGGAAGTGGATTTATTTCTTTTTCCAGTTGTTCCTGTTGTCCATTATTTTTACAGAGGTGCATTTGACAGGGAAAATCCTAAATGTATTTTTAGGTATGGAAACATTTGGATACTTATTACCAAGGCTGTATAATCAGGAGCATCTTACTGAAACGAAAGGTTGCAAAAATTATAATATGGAGATCACCATGAGCATTACAAAAGAAAGCAATTTTTGTGATACACGGATCAAGTGTATCACTGAAGAAAAAATTGACAAGACAGCCCAGAAGTCAAAGACTGTTTCAAGTATCTACAAAGAAAAAAATATAAAGTCACAAAAGCAGTTTCATAGCATAGCTCAGTGACAGAGAACATGTTTTGCATGTAACAGGTCTCCTCCGTACAGAGCCACCCAGAGAAGATGATTCTGAGCTAGATGGACCAGTGGTCTAACTCTGTATAAGACAGTTTCCTATGCTCAGTGAAGTCATGCTTCTTATTTCAACAGCCTGCACCTACAGGTATAGTTCACCTAACTATACCTATAACTTCCCAGTTAGGTTCCCAATTCACAGGCAAAATATACCTTGTGCTTCCCTGTCCATACATCTACTGCCTCATATATATATAAAGCCAGGCACAGAGGTGACATCACTATACAGGGATTTTACCCAGCAGAAATAATAAGGAATGGGGCTTAATAGTCCCCTCTCCCACCTGGCTCCTCATAAATATAGGGAAGCGAAGAAGAGATGCAGAGATACCACCTGGTTAATTTGTTCACTTGTCACTGTGGGGACTTGGGTGTGTGAAGCCTGCAAAGCCTGCTCCAGGTCCTTCTACTCTGCCCAGTAATATTATGGAACAGTAACGGGAAACCTGTGGCCATCTGGATGTTGTGAAGACTCACATCAACTCCAGCCAGCATGGCCAACGATCAGAGATGATGAGAGATGAAGTCCACCATTTAGGAGGGCCCACAGGTTAGTCAACTTTGACTTTACATATTACAGAGCCACGTCATTTTTAGGATAATGTTGTTGATGGGAGTGAACTCGTGTACAGTTAACAAAGGGAGGAAGGAGGCTTCTTACTCCCCCAAACACACACTTTCCCCAGGAGTAGAGATAGAAGCCTAGTGTCGACTCATCCATTTGCTTCATGTGTTGGGAGAAATATTTGCTGCATTTCCCAACTGCTAGGCTGTGGTAGAGGGAAATACGATTTAGAAGGCAGTCCCTAGGTTCAAAAAGCTAAGAGGGACAATTAATTTTCCCTGGGAACAAAGGGTCACATCGTGGCATTCAGATTTGATGAAAGTGTTTCTAAACTTTGGTGTTGCAATCTGGCCCACAGCAGAAACCCATTAACATTTTTAGGAAAACAAAAACAAAAAAAACTGTGCACATCTAATCGGCATAATGAGTCTATTCTTAGGCAATACTTACTTCATAAGTCATATAAATTGAAAGAGCCACTACAATGAAGTTGTAAAAAACCATCAATTGCCTCAAATCAAAAGGTTTCCTGTTCTCCATGAACTTTGGTCCCAGGTTGGTGACAAAATAGATATATGCTCCAAGAATAAGTGTCTGTGGAAAAGGTGAGGCCATAAGCGGGTAGCCATCGACCCGTGGATCTGGAAGAGATTTAGTTTAAAAGGGACCAAGTCAGTCAGCTACCATGATTAATCAATCATCAAGTATATTATTAAGCAAAAATAGGCTGTTCATTCGAACGAACGTTTTCACCTGTACAGGCACATTTGTTGTTTACCTCAGCTTCTCCCCACGTTACACAAAAAGCATACCTTACACAAGGAAACAAAAACCTGCATCCATAAGTTGCAACAATGAGAAACCTTTGACAATGGCATGACCGTGTTATTTTTTCCTTGAATACTACAAACAGAAGTCACACGCTCTTGTAATGCATCATTAAATTTTGCTATTTTGGCTAGATTTGAGACCTAGTGCAGCCACTATTTTGGTGTTTGATGAGTTGCATCATTTACTTCAGCAGTGGACAACCTCAGGCTTGCCTGATGTTACTGGACTACCCAGCACAGCCAATGGTCAGTTGAAATCCAGAATCATCAGAAGGATCTTTGATTTACTCATTCCCTGTATTTTTATTGCTGTCAAATGGCAAAACAGAATAAAGTATTAGCCTACATTGAGCCACTTGACTAGTCTAGCAAAATCCTTACAAGATTTAAAAGGAAGTAACTTGGACATGTATATATTCCACCAATCCCTCCCAATGACTGGGACATCACCAAGAATGTCCAACACCCACCCCTATCATTAATGGCATATAACTGGGATGTCCAATCGGTCAATCACGATCTACCTGTCGATCGCTGGGTGTCCCTGGTCAATCGCGGGACCCTGATCAATTGCTCCCCTCCCCCAAAAGCTCAACAACTCTGGTCAATCCTCCCTAAAAACAACTTTGATGAAGCTTCCCAAGAAAAAACTCTACAACTCTGGTCAATCCAATGGGTAGATCACTGCCAGTTTTTTATAGTGGGAGTAGATCGCAGTCTCTTGGAAGTTGGACGTTCCTGGTATATAATATACATTAGTATCCTCAATCTGCTAAGAATATTTCATTTTTTCCCTTTTACATTAATGCAATACTCGTAAAAACAGGTACTAAATTTACCCCCATTAGCAAATGGGATTCCTAAATAACCTCATTGCTACACTGCTTAAAAATAGCAGCTTTGGTCTCTCCCTATACCCAATAATACAGTCTTCTTTACACTGAGTTTATTCAGTAATCCAAGAAGTATTCTTTGTGGGCATCATAACACTTTCATAAAGGAGACTCATTTGGAGACAAAACAACTTGGTATTCTGTGGAAGAATGTGAAAACACAGAGCAAGGGCACTCAGTGCCTTCTAGGTTTTAATATGTGTGAATGGCAGAAGTGCGCAAGTGCACCATCTTCCTTTCCTCCTAGGCATTAACAGGAAACATTATGCACAAATTGTTCGCATGCGATATTCATGTTTGACTGAATGTTTGTAAAACAAAGCCAGAAGCAATTTTGGGAGTGTCAGTTAATGTCTTCATAGGATGCTTACTAGTGTGGAGCTTATTAGTATTTGTACATCCTGCTGACATATTGTTGGGGTATTCTAAACGTGGCATTAGGCCCTGTGTGTGAACAAGCATGCATAATTTGGCCACTCCAGATGCTGAGGGGAAGTGCTGTGCCTTTCAGGACCTGTTTGTGGACTTCCTGGACTCACCTGGCTGGCCACTCTTGGAAACAGGATGCTAGGCTAAATGGAGCTGCGATCCAGCTATGTTCTCAACAGCTGTACAGGCATCACCTTGATCATAAATTTTCCCGAATTTATGGTTATCTATTCCTTATTCCAAGACAACTAATGCTCTAAAACTGGAAACCAGTTATGTGCCATTTTATAGTTGCGCAAGCATTACTTTGGCATCCTACTTCAGTGGAACTCTTAATAAACAACACCACAACAACTCTGGTATTTTGAGAATCCTTGCCTTGTAGAACGCCTAAATTTAAGTTATACACATTTCCATTCAAAGAGCTGGGATCCCAATCCAGAGGTGTGTAGAAGGGATCTGACAGTACCGACAAAAGAAATGATTCCTTTTTTCCTGATGTGACAACCATCCAATGGATTTGCATGTGCTCTACATCAAAAAGTAAAATCCTGTGCCTAAAATCCTTGGCCTGTATGAATCCACAAATTCAGTAACATTGCATAGATTCTCCAGAAGTGCAATCACACCACCCAGTAAAGGGCTATCAATGGCTACAAGCCACAATGGCCATGTGCTCCCTCCGCTGTCAGAAGCAATGTCAGTTGCTGGGAATCACAAGTGGGGAGATGGCTATTTCGCTCAGGTCTTGCTTGTGGGCTTCCCACAGGCATCTGGCTGATCACTGTGAACAGGATTCTGGACAAGATGGGCCTTTGGACAGTATTGCATTGTGCTTTTTCTGCACTCTCAAGCAATCACAGGATGCAGAGACCTGCTTATTCATTTTTCAGTTAGGTAATACACGTGTAAGATGGTATGCAATGATGGTACATTGAAAAGACTGATAAACATTGTGCAACATGTAACTCATAAAGTTAAATCCTGTTCCTCTGGAAGCAACTCATGGGTGAGTCAACACCATGTAATCTCTCACTTGTTAAACATCTGGTGCAATCGATTACTCATTTTGTGTTCCATCTTCAATTATCCCAAATTAACACCCGACTTGTTCCTTCCCAAAGCTTCCAATATGCCCACGTATCCTGGAATAGCCAAGTGCACAAGGACCTACTGGCAAACAACTGCACATTTCAGTTTTACATAGATACTCTTAATAATACTATTTCAGCTGTTGTTAAATACCATAAAACAGAAAGTCACTACTGTGGAGCAAGACTTACCAGCATCTTTAATCCACTCATCATAAAGCGATGCAGCCTTCAACGTCAGATTGTTTAGGGCCATCTCCACCGTGGTGAGAAGGATCTCTCCTGAGGGGCAATAAATTGGGCATATTAAAATATGCAAAGAAAAAAGGGGGTGGAAGTCTTCACACAACTGTCAATGAAATTGTTGCAGGGAAGCAAGTTGATTGTAGTGTACACTAGGCAACAGTTTAAGGACATTTAACATCAGCCTCATTTTCTATTTTATGCAATGCATACCCCAGTCACAATTTCATCTTTGCACACCCAAACACACACACACACACACACACACACACACACACATGCCTGACTTTTAAAAATGGTTACCCAGAAGAAAGCCCTGCTGGATTTCATGGACATGGCTTTCAGAGTGTTCAGGATCACTACTATGGTGAAGATCAACTTAATAATATCAGAGTGCCCTTATTCTCACCAGTGCAACTTAAAGACTCTACAATCAGATGCTGTGGAAAAAAGAGAAGCTTCTCTGTTGTTAAGCTCAGCTTTTTCTTTTCCATTTCCATCTGCTGAAGCCACAAAGTGGCAGGGCAGTCTTAAGCATTAAACCTATTATGTATGGATTTAGAGTGGGGGAAGTAGACAAATGCAAAGATAATAATGAGACCAGACTGTACTGGGTGTCCCTAGATCTGCTGAATGTCAGTTCAACCCATGTAGATCACAGCTAACCACTAGCTCAAGATTGGCTAATCCTTAATGAGCTCCCTGAGCAAATTTTCTGCTTCCCTCCCAAGATCCTACTGACTCTGCTGGTGGCAGAAAAACGGGGAGGAAAGTAGACAGTGATGGGGTGGGCAGAAGCCAGAAAACAAGTTGGAATGCAAATGGCTCCCTCCCTGGTCTTCAGATTGATCAATTTAAGAACAGAGAGGAGGTGATAATCTTTCATCAGCTGATCTGTACTGAAAAGCTGAGGGAAGAGCTGTGTATGTGTGCATGTGCATGAAAGCATGGGGTGTGGCCACACCCACTACTAGCATACAGACCCTGGAGACTTGGCCAAGCAGCTATCACACTAAACAAAGGTTAGCAACTCCTGACATAGGACCACTTTATCCAGGTGGTTTAGCTTCTATCAGTGGCAGGAACGTGGCTTCCATTGACCTGGGTTGACCTGCCCTGCTGGTATGTTTTTCACACAGCTGCAAGCAGCAACACAAACAGAACTCACTGCATTGATTCTTGGCCCCACTTTCCTCTAACCATGCCAAGAGGCCATGCAAATTGGTCCTCCAAGCTTGTTTTCCAAACTCTCTGCTTCTTTCATGTCTAAACAAGGTCCAGATCAAAAATATGCAGGGAACTAATGGTAGAACTCCTCTAACAGGGTTGTAAGAATTCTAGAATGCTCACAGTTCAATGACTACATCTCCCTGAAAATGGAAAGCCAACCTATCAGGGTAAGGTTAGAGTAGAAATCTTGCTTTCATGTTTGTTTTTATGTTTGTCTCATTTTGGTGTTCATCTTAGATAGGGTGGAGTGGTTTTGTTGGAAAAGAACCCTTTTACAGTAGTACTACATTCTTGAATATGTTTTTAACATGCTTACATTATTTTTATTATTATATTTTTACTTTGTTGTAATTTGCTTTGGGACTTTTTGTAATAGGAAGTGAGATATATATATTTAGTAAATCTAACGTTGACCCTAACCGGGTAGTCATTTGCGAAGCAGGGTCAATTCCACTAGCGCTGTATGCCCAAGATGTCAACGGCAATGATAGCATGACACTGCACAGCAAAGTCTTTTTACTTTTCTTGTCCCCTTAATCCTACTGCCAGGTCTATAAAAGCAGCTTCCCAACCACAATGCCGAAAGGGCTTCAAACTCAGGACAAAGTCTTTGAGCTGCCAAGTTAACATGCTGAAAATTCAAGACAGTTCAGTATGACCAAATTCATTAATAAGTACAGTGGAACTGTGAATTTTACAATGAGCTCTTAAAACAAATCCATGATGTAAGAAAGGGTTGCTCAAGCCATTCAAAAGAATATTTCAAAAACACCATCCCAATCACAGTTTTAATCATCAGCATCATAATTTTATTATTTATACCCCACCCATCTGGCTGGGTCAACCCAGATAGCATGATTAACAACATTTACATATTGCTGCAGAGTATTCAAAATGTGCTGTGCAAGTCAATCAATGCCTTGTTTCCCTTAATCAATTTAGATAATAAGTGTTAGGCAAGCAAATTCCTTTGGGCATCAATAGGCGATTGCAGGGCGAGATCACTGTGGGTTTCTTCTCCCTTATAGGACTCCAGATCAAGGCTGTGATCTCATCAATACTGGCTTTCCCAGGGAGAAACTATTTTTTCCCGGGGCCTGATCCTACACGACAGATATAAACTTATCAGTTGGAATTCTGAAACATCCATTTGGGTCTACATAGTACTTACTGAGAGTGGCTCCCATTTAAAGATAAACATATTCCACCCCTACCACGAGTTTCTAAATTTGTAATCATTCTTCAGAATATATACATACGCTAGTCTAACACCTTCTCAGCCTTTCCCAATTCAGACAGAATGAAGAGAGAGTGCTGCTACAAATCCCTGAATGAAACCTCCCAATGATATTATATGAATGTGGAATAGCATAGGAAACAGAATGGACCCTTAAGGGAACCCACAGAGTCAAGCAAATGTCTCCTAGGACTCAGCTACATTAGTTTTTTTTAAAAAAGCATTTTAAATGCGTTATAACACTGTGACACCAGATAGCGCTGTAGGGTTTGAACCTTTGGCAACATGATTTCCCATTATGAGCTTTACAACATGTTTTCCTGGAAAAAAAATGGGGGGGGGGTTTAATGTCTAGATCAAGCCCTAATACAACTTTCTGGTAGTGAGCCTGAAGGCAGGACTAATGCCACCATGACAACTCCAGCCCCTGTGGGTTGCATGTTTCTCTCCTGATATAGGTCATTAATCAGGGTGACCAAGGCTTTTTGGTGGCAAAACCAGGCCTGAAACCAAACTGTAATGAAACTAGATAGCCTGTTTCCTTCAGGCATACCAGCAGCTAGCTGGCCAAGACCCTCTCAATCACCGTGCCCAGGAAGGGAATATTACAGACATGGTAACAGTTTTCTAAAACCTCCGGATGCAGTGACCTCTTCAAGAGAGGTTGCACCGCCACCTCTTTCAAGGCAGTGCACAACTGTCTCTCATAGTGAGGCACTAACTAATCCTTGGACCCATACAGTCAGTCCCTGTTACTAGATTTTATCAGCCATGATGAGTGGGGATCAAAAGACCACACAGTCTGCCTCACCACCACAAGCATCCTGCCCACATCTTTTGGCTGCAACAGTCAAAAACTGATCCCACAAAGTGACAGTGCTTTAGGGACCTGCAACAGACCTGAACCAATCATGGCATCGAGTTCAGAGCAGATCTGAATGATTTTGCCCTCAAAGTGATTTACTGAGATGCCTCCCAGCAGGCTACTCAGTGGCCCGTTTTCTATTATGCAACCCTGTTCTGAACCAGCCAGTTTGCTACTCTCAGCAGCTGTGCTGGGTGATTCACCAAAGGTGTGAAAGAGGCTGAGAGAAATATGATCTTTCGGCCGATGCCACCACCATGTAGTAATCAACTTGGCATCTCAACCTGGCCATTTTCATGGCAGGACTTACCTGTGGCATCTGACCTGTTTGGTTGCCTTGTGCTCTCAAAAAGCCAAGGAGCCTCTCAAACTCTCTGCAGCTGGATAAGGCGCTTAGGGGCAATCTCATCAATAGCCTTCCCTGTCTCACTATTCCAAATTGGACCTAGGGCTTTAGCAGGAGCACCACATGGGAAATCCTTCCATTTCCATCAATCTCTGGGGGTAGATGGGAGGGTCACAAGCAATGCAACCCTCATTAGGGAGCGGTCCATCCACGACATCCACGATAACTCACCACCACCCCATTCACTATATTATTTTTTTCCAGATCCTGCAGCATGTGTCTGACACATGGATGTACTGCAAAAGCCCCATGGTTATCATGGCAACCACAAAATCCTGGGCTGGTCTAGATAAGGCAGAAACAACGTGGACATTGAAGTCCCCAAGAATAGTGTCCTAAGATTCTGCAGCACCACACTAGAGGCTGCCACCACCAGGGTCACATCTAGAGGTGGATCGCATACCAACAAGCTCCCCATCAGGGTCTATACACCATCAACAGCTGGCTCCCCTTTTATCTGTCCCAACCCAACAGCCTAGCAGTCACTGGGAACTAGGATCAGATGTTCCAGTTGCTCACTCAGCCAGCCATTCCTCCACAGCAGCTTTCTCTCAAGCAAACCAAGCAGCAGTGACTGTTTCTCAGGAAGAAGAAGAAGAGTTTGGATTTGATATCCCGCTTTATCACTACCCAAAGGAGTCTCAAAGCAGCTAACATTCTCCTTTCCCTTCCTCCCCCACAACAAACACTCTTGTGAGGCGAGTGGGGCTGAGAGACTTCAAAAAAGTGTGACTAGCCCAAGGTCACCCAGTAGCTGCATGTGGAGGAACTGGGAATCGAACCCAGTTCACCAGATTACGAGTCTACCACTCTTAACCACTACACCACACTGAGGTTTACTTGGCACTGCCTCTCCTCTGCTCCCACAAACCTCACAAGCCTGGTGAGGTACTTAGCTACTTAGAAGGTGCCACACAGCTGGCTTCTTTTTTAATCTCTCCTTATATTGTGTCCTTAAAACACTCAAAGTCAGCTAATGTGTGTATGCTGCCATTGCAAGGCAAAAAAATAATAATGGGCCCACAGGTCCCAAAAGGTTGGCTGGTGACCCCTGGGCCAAGAAAGACATAATGCAGGGCATCAAACCTCAGAATAATGGGGAAGAGGGGCTCCAATCTCAACCAAATTAGAAATGCTAGAGGAAGGTCGTGTAATCCTTTCTCATTCACTATTTTCCACAGATGGTCCTGGGACAGGGTGGAGAAGAGAGACACATAGGCACATCCTTAACTCTCATTTCACCCTCCATCAGGACCAGCACCACCTTGGATGGTGTATTTAGATTGAGAAGACATATAATCTGCATTGAGCCCTATTCAAAGTGCTCCTTAACTTTAAAGCCATGAACAACTTTAGACCCAATTATCTTAGTGTATACCTTCTCTCATATGAGTTCTGCAAAACTTAAGATCCATCCAATGAAGACCTGCTCTTCTACTAGGGACAAGGACATTTTGAATTTTCTCTTTCTTTCTTTGGCCCCTTTATGCACTTCGTTGCTGTGGTGTTTGTTTTAATTTATTATTATTATTGTAGTCTATACTTTTGCATTCAGTAAAAAAACACAGGATATAAAGTTTTAAAAACACAAAAAATCCAAATAAACAGGACTACTGGTTAAGTGATATCAAAAACCTGCATTACCCAACAACAAAATATAATTGTTGTCTCTTGGGAGTGAACAGAATGGAAACCTGTACCTGTTTATTTAAAACCCTACCTGACCAGAGACAGACAGCGTAATAAAAACCAATTAATGAGTATTCAAAGGCAATGATTCCATCTTATCCCTATTCATTATTACTTCTCTTCTGGCTTTAGTGATACCATCTCTGTGATACCTAGCTCTTCCCAGCTATGAAACGCCCTCTATTTCAGTCCCAAGCCTTGCTAATTTAAAGAAGTGTTGCAAGGCTTACCTTTGGGGCTGGCCTTTGAGTCTCGGAACATGCTAGGAAAATTTCAAGTGGCTTTATTCAGTGTTACTGGGGGAAACAGGGTGTTGGTTTTTTTGTGATGGGTGGGTTATTATGTATTTTTAGAATGGCTGGCCCCCAACTAAATAAAACCTTAAATCAAGCATATGGTTTTTACTTGTAAAATATGCATATTAGTAAAAAGGAAAACAAGACACCTTGTTTTATATAGACTGGGTTGGCTTCGTATTTGGGGGGCCCATGAGAAAGATGTATTCTTTGGATACCCTCCCCCCCCCCTTTGATTAGATCCACCTTCTTGACAGTATTGCAACTGCTCTTTTCCTTCCCCACTCCCTCTGGGCCAAATTCACACCAAATGGAGAGGGCAATATCCTCTCAATATTGCTCATATGCTCAGAAAGCACACACTAGAGGAAGCCAACCTGCTGTCACCCAGATGTCACTGAACTGCAACTCACATCAGCTCCCAAAATTGGTCATGCCAGCAGAACAGAAGAAAATTTTAATCCAACATCATGTAGAGGACACCACACTGGCTACACAGGTACAAGTTACAAAACTGCTACCTGACTTGACCAGAGCAGCTTTTAGTAAACTGAAAGGTTTAGCTGATTAACCTAAATGATAGAAAAAAATAGTATGCAATCCTATACAGTACAAGTCTACTCTGAAGCAGGCCTGTATGGCAGCATTCACCAACTTGGTGCCCTCCAGTGTTCTAGGCTACAAAAACCATCAACAACCCCAGGTAGCATTCCTAATTTCTAGCTAACAAAATTCTTAAATGTTGAGTTTGAAGTTTAGCCTCAGTGCAACTTTTGAACAGAAGTTGTCTTTCCTTGGCAGCTAAACAGCAATAAATTGGCTGTACAACTGATTTGTAAAGAAGTGTCACTCCAGCGAACAAAAGTTGCTGGTGAGAGGAACAGGAATATCAGACCCGTAAACCAGGCAGGAATATCTTACCATGCAGGGAATACTTAAGAGTTAGTAGGCGTTTAACGCTTTCTATTTTCTATGTGTTTTTAAAAGCAAGCTCAGCTACCTTACTTGCCCATGGGTGGGAGAAATATAGGCACACTGCAGCTAACTCCTGAAAACAAAATCTACTTTTCCTATTTTCATTTTAGTGCCAGAAGAACAGGCAGTTTCTCCATTTGCATCCACCATCTCCCCCTTGGCTTTAGTCACACAGTTAATGGCAAAAATGAGCAATGCCAATTTCTGAAAAGCAAATGGTAGCCAAAGCAAAATGAAAGAGGCAATTGCCTAGCAACATTCAAGCATGTAAGGAATTGAACACTTTCCCAGGGGGAAAAGCAAGCAAACTTTGAAACTGTGTCAGCAAAAGAAACAGAATCAGCCTCTCATTGTTTTAAGCACCCTTTCCAAAGACTGTGGAAAACCCATTTAATTGGTGCCCCCTTTCCGAGTGCTGCAGTATTTTTCAATTTTATGGAATGTATGTCTGGTCTTTCCACAAAGTTCCTTTAAAAAATAGTTTTGGTATCCTAAACATATGTACGGTACTATAAACCAGATACACTGGAAAAAAATTAGTACTTGTTCTGAAATTCATGCTAACAAAGATGGCCATGCCTCAAACTAGTATCACATGGACACACACCCTGACAGTCAAAATAATCTATGCATTCGAGTTGGTGGTAGTAAAGCCCTAGGAACTGGTCCCTGCATCTTGTCTACGTGGCAGCCACCCCCTTTAAATACATGCCATTTAAATGCTACATCACAACATACTTAAACACCAGAAGGTACTATAAAGGTACTATACCAATGATGAACTCAAGACTATGTCTTCATGTAATACCAGGCATCTGGCAAAAGAGGTAGCGAGAAGAAAAGAACAAGAACAATAATGTAACTACTGAATAACTCCTTAAACCAGGTTTACAGTCGCTAAAACATAATGTATAGTTACCATTTTGGGGCTCGAAAGTCGTATTTTTCAATTAGACTTTTTGGTTCCTGAAATTCATTCTGCTTGTGCAGATAAAATGTTACGAATAGAATTCTACAGGATGTGCTGTTAGTGTGTGAAAACAGGTTAGATCCAATAATCCCAGCCACACATCGCCATATGGTAGAAACATCAGGAGCCATCCTGGTGCCTGGGCAGCTTACCGTAATTTGTACACAAGTGGCCAATAGCCAGGTGTAAAATGCACCTGGTTAATATTAAATGCTGATTGAGACAGATTCAAAATAGGAATCTAAGGTAGCATTTATTGCATAATGGCAGAAAGACTCTTCCACTCAGCAGTCATCTGGGATAGCACGAAATGTTCAGAACATCCAAACTACTTGGGATGAATATGTCTAGTTGTGGAATATTGGTGGGGCTATAAGCCAATGGGAAAGAGGGGAGGCAGGTGAAGAATGACACATAGGAAACATAAACGAAAGGGGAACCAAGAGGTGTAGAACAGAAGCTAAGAGAAAGGACAGCTGATGGAAAGGTGACAGGAAGTAAACAGACCATCTAGCAGGGCTTCAGGAAAGGATGAGCAAAAGAGATATGAAACTGGGGAAAAGAAAAGTTCAGGTAAGCTGAAGGAAACTTTCTATGGACTTTTGGATAGAAGTACAGTGGTACCTCGAGTCAAGAACTTAATTTGTTCTGGAGGTCTGTTCTTAACCTGAAACTGTTCTTAACCTGAGGTACCACCTTAGCTACTGGGGCCGCCGCTGTGCCACCGCCGCACAATTTCTGTTCTCATCCTGAAGCAAAGTTCTTAACCCGAGGTACTATTTATAGGTTAGTGGAGTCTGTAACCTGAAGCGTCTGTAACCCGAGGTACCACTGTAGATGCATAGACAGGCTGAGTGTTAGGATCGCAATAGATTCTTTAATAAAGGTCACATTTTAAGAACTGGAGTAGGGAAAATCCAATTTGAGAGGTGCAATAAGTGACTAGGGATAGGAGCGAAACTGTCTCAAAGAGGGAGCCCAGGCTTAATGAGGTATTTGCTTTGAATACTAAGGAATCCAAAGCCACACATGGGATGAGGTGTGACTGCCTAAACTATTCAGGGAATTTTCAGCTGTAAATCAGCTGGTGAAAATGGATCAAAGTATTTCTGTAAAAAGATTAGCATTCCCTCCCCCCATGCACACAAAGGTGAAGATGCAGTAAAACATCCCTATGCTGGAAATTCACTAGGGAACTATACTCTACCAAGAATAGTCATGTCAACCATGCATTGAGTTTGATTTACATTATGCTAATAGGGCTGCAGCACCTGGGACATCAGTGCTAATACAGGATTACATGGGATATTGTGGGAGGCAGATGGGCCTACAGGGCAGCAAGGGGGAAAGGGTGGAGTTTTCATAGGGAGCAGAAGACTTTCAGTTGTTGGAGGGATCTCAAACCATCCAAATTCCTGATGAAAACTAATGAGGCATTGGGCATTTCTGGCGAAGTGGGGGTGAAGGAAGGGAAGCAGAAACTGTTGGTGCTCAGTTGCTTTAATAGCATGCAGTAAAGAGCAAGAGCACGCAGTGGGAATAGAACACCACTCAAAATCAGCTAATGACATCTGGGGAGGGTTATCAAAGTAAAGCTCCATCACATTACTTAGGCGGGAAGGTGCAATGTATTTAATATAATGGATGGTAATTGTTCAGGAGAGGGGGAGAGGGAGGGAGGGAGAAAAATATTCTCAAAAAGCCCACACAAAATGCATTTGCCATTCTTCACCCTACTTTTTATTTACATAAATGGACAATATATAAAAGGTTTTATATATGCACACAACTAGGAAGGAGTTTAAAATTAATTGCTTCCATGGGAAGTTACCAATTTGGAAGTTTCCAAGCCGGCCTTAATTATATACCTCCATCTACTTAGAAAGATATTTTAAGATGTACTCAGAGTGTTCTACCACTGTTGATTTTTCAAGTTCATACTCTGTTTTAAACACATGAAAACACCCAAAGATCAAACACAGCCATTGATAGCTAAAATGGTCTATAAAAAGGAGAATACACTGAATCACTCCCCTCTCCCCATTACAATGATGTTCTCACTGCACTGGAAGTTAAGACAACCAACTTTGACTGCACTCCTATGCACACTTACCTAGGATTCAAGCCCTACTGAATTTAGTACATAGAATTTTTTCTTTTTAATAGTTACCCCTCTGAAGAGCCCTCAAAACAAGGGTTCTCTTTGACTTTTTAAAACGTGGGCTAACTGGAATACAACACAAAAAATGCTGGACAGTTTCTGCAAACTACAACTATCTGTATCATAAAGATGAAAGTCAACTCGAGCCAATTGTGAACATACTGGTTCATGTTGCAACTGATGCCAAAGGCAGTGCTTCCAGAAAGTCAAGATGCTAAATGTCCCTCCCACACTTCCCATTATTTTCATGACTCTTTCTTTTGGCTCCAGCCACCCAAGAGTCCTCTAATCTGCTGCAATATCGGCCATGATAGCTAAAGGAAAGCACCATGTTCAAAGATGAAATCTTCAAAGCGTTAGCTGCCAAGGACACTCATCAGAGGTTGGCATCTAGAGTACCTTCCTTTATTCCTTGGACTCTATCTGGCTAGAAAAAGCTTTGAATGCAACACCGTGACCAGATACACCCTTCTACAGAGGCAACATTCTGGTGCAAGAAGTGAACTCTGAATTACCATTCCAGTGCCTCCCACCTATTTAAATGCTTTTGAAAAGAGAGTCGCCAGGTCCCCTTCTAATTCATTTCCCCTTTAATCCAAAATCCATTCATTTCCTTTCTGGAGGCCGCAGAAGTCAGACAAATCCCTCTTCTCATCCCGTCTTGGTCATGGGACTGTGGAAGAGTTTTAAGAGGAAGAGATGGGAATGTGTGTCTGTGGTGAAGACTTACATGCTGCTTAGTAACACACACTGTTACCCTCTTCTCTGACAAAGACCACGACCCCTCTCCAGAGATGTGAGATGCTCACAAAGTAAGTCACACAATTGCAAAGATATTAATGGGCAACTGCTTTGCTGCTTCCATCTCAACCATCTCTCCACAAAGAAAAGGACAAGCTGTTCCTGGGCTGTTCCTGTTTCACCTTCTGTGGATGTAGGTAGTCAGGCAACAGATGACCTCTCCTGGCCACCCCTGCCAGCCTCTTGATTACATTTCTGATTTAATGTTGGGAGGCATTTTTCTAGAAAATGTAGAATGAAGTAAAAGCCAGACCACTAAGGAGATGATGGACCGCAACCCCTTCAGCACTATGACAGGTGGTCAGACTCTGAAGCCAAAATGCCCCTTTGTCTTTATTGGTTGCAGTGACTAAGAGCTACTGCTAGATGCCACCACACATACCATTACCGCCGGCACTTTCTCCTACTGAATGCCAGAGTTTCAAATGGCATCTTATCAAGCAGCACAATGAAGTGTCATTGGCAAAGTTATCAAAAGCTTTCTTACATGCCTAAAATGAGGCATATTTAGGACACCAAAACAGCTGTGCTCATGAATACACCCAAAAGAAATGCCTAGACAAAAGCAGCGTAATGCACCCAGGGTTCTTCCTTAAAAGAATATCCATACTTATGTGCCAATACAGTTGGAGTAGCTACTGCATAAACTGAGGTTCTAGGAACATAAATTTCTTTGCAAATAAAAGAGGAGCTTTAAGTTATTCTCTTTACACTGTGTACTATAGCTCGGGACTTTAGTCCAGGTTTCTAACAGAGAGTTACTCAGCGAGTTTAGGTAGTGGGGGAATGCATGAGGACAACTGCTATAAAGTTAAACTACTTGCACACAAGTGTTTTAAAAACCAATCCCATCACCTAGCAACATGCAGCAATCCCTAAAACAGCATGAACAATACAATTATTTGCTCTTATCTTGACTCCTAGAAAAGCAGCTCATACTTCAAGGAGGTGTTGGACCTCGGTGTATGGTTTTTATGACAGTGAGACCTACACATTACACACTACCATGAACATAATACTACTTATTAATAATACTACTTATTAATAATACTACTTATTAATACTACTTATTAAGGGTTATACTATTTATTAAGGTTATAAAGTAACCTCTCTTTTTCCCCGGGCTTGAGGACCAACATAGCAGAAGCAATGCCCAGCATAAAAATGAAAAGATGGTTTTGTGGTTGTTGTGTTTTTAAAAAGAAAAGGCTTTTCAATAAAGCACAAAACATACATCTCAGGCATATGGATTCATGCCCTTACCTACCTATCCAGACCAGCACAAAAACTAGAAAGGCTGCCAGTTTGACACCTGTTTCACTAGCCAATTTGAGATGGGTGGCTGTGGGGATTAAATAACCCTCATAAACACACACAAAGAAAGACAGCCACAGAAAAGTCTTAATTTCTGACTAAAACGAACCCTTTCCCTATCCCATCTTGTATACCTACGTTTGCTAATTAAAGCAACCTCTATTAATAAAAAATAAAAAGTAGGACACGCTGGCTCTTTTCACCGTCGGCAAAAATGTGCTTAAGGTATACAAGCTTTAGCCTCTGAACTGGCTTCAACGTTGGAAACAATTCTTCTCACTTTATAGCGCAGCTGCCATTTGAGTAAACCAGTCTCAGTCTGCCCAGAAAGAGGCTTTTATTTTCATTTATTAAATTTGTATACCACCTTTCATCCAAAGATCACAGAGTGGTTCACAACAGAAAAACACAAGATGAAAACACAAAATACATAATAAAAACAACAGCAAAAATAAACTAATAACCCCCATCCCACAAACACATTTAAAAGGACACATAATGTTAATCACCCAAAGGCCTGGTTAAAGAAATATGTTCTTGCCTGGCACCTAAGATATGTAATGGGGGCACCAGGTGAGCCTCCCTGCAGAGAGCATTCCACAAAGTGAGAGCCATTGCCACGGGACCTCCATGTGGATGAGACACATGGAGAAGGGCCTCAGACGATGATTGCAGGGTTTGGGTCGGTTCATATGGGGAGAGGTGGTCCTTAAGGTATTGCGGTCCTGAGCCATTTATGGTTTTATATGTCAAAAACAGCACTAGTGATGAGAGACCTCTTCTATGTGAGTCAAGTTGACTGTATATGCAGAGAAGCTTCACAAATATTCTCAAACAAAGCTAGTTTTCTTCCAGCAATAGGTGACTGCTCAATAGAACCCCCTTATCTGCTTCCCCACTAACATTTACTGATAATGGACACTACCATCAATGGGTGGAATTCACAGTTTCTATTTGCCAACCTCTGTTTACCAACCGTCAAGCAAAAGAATGTAGAGAGAAGCAACTCTCTCCAAGATGTCATTTGCGTTGTAAAATGAATAAATATAGTAATGTCAACAACAGTTTGCCGGGGTAGGGAAAGAGTAGTTTCCTACCCAGTTTCAACATATGCAGTTAGAATGAGTGTGTATCAAAGTTGGCCTGCGTGCCAACTTGTTTTGAAGTAGCCCGTGTGAATGCTAAGACTGCACCGAATGAGTGTGGCTCTGGCTCCGCATCCCTTCACCAAATATTTATAATCTATTTAGTATCTGAAGCTTGTGACCTCCTGAAAAGACTTATCTGACCTGCAAATGTCAGAAAATGCCTACGGGATACTGAGGCTGGGATCTATGTCAGTACACAAAGTCTATTGTTAGTTATAATTAACGTTTGCTCTCAGTTGCAGATGCAATTGGCAAAAAAATAAAATAAAAAAATTTTGGCTTCTAGGAATATGATTTTTCCCAGGTGACTGAACAGCTGAGAAATTGTGACATGATTTCAGAGGTGTTCATGAATGTCAGATATACAGCAGCGGAGGCCAAACCCTAACACCAACACACACAGCATTTCTAGAGGTGTAGAAAGAAAACACCTTCCCTGTATACCCCAGCATAGGCCCTTTTTTGCATAGATAAAAGTTGTGTGCAAACCAGCTGCTATAGGCACATTATTTACCGTGTTTTTCGCTCCATAGGATGCACTTTTTCCGTCTTAAAAACTAAGGGGGAAAATCTGTGCGTCCTATGGAGCATGTGCGGGGGGGGGGGGAGGCAGGCAGGAAAAGCCCCCAAGAGCCACACACAAGCTTCGCGCGGCTTTTGTGGGCTTTTCCCCAGGAGGGAGAAGGGACTGACGCAGCCAGTCAGTCCCTTCTCCCTCCTCGTAGAAAAGCCTTGTGCAACCTCTCCAGCGATCCGCTCGCTGCCTTGGCTTCCTCTTTAGCTTTGCACAGCCTCTCCAGCCACGGAGATAATAAACTTTTTTTCCTTGATTTCCCCCTCTAAAAACTAGGTGTGTCCTGTGGTCCGGTGCGTCCAATAGAGTGAAAAATACTGTACTTTATACTGGGTCATCTGCTGCCTTGTGGGATGTCTTCAGTAGAAAGCTACGGATTAAGGCCCACACAAATTGGGAGTGGAGTCCCTAAGACGGTTGGATGGCGCCTCATATGCCCCATTCCTGCGACTCCTGCAGCCAAGCTGGTGCTAAACATATTGCTATGCTTTCCTTTGGACCAGATCAGCGAAGCCAAGAGGGGGGGTCTTGTTGTCTGGCCATTCCAGGACCTCAGTGCACACTGCTCAGGCTTGTAACCCAGAGAGGGCACTTGGGTGCTGCTAATGCAGCAGTTTGATTTCATCCCTGGAGGTGCACTCCATTGCCTCTTGAGACAGACGGATGCCAACAACAGGAGAAGTATAAGAGATTAAAGCATTAAAAGGTAAAGGGTAAAGGGACCCCTGACCATTAGGTCCAGTCATGGCCGACTCTGGGATTGCGGTGCTCATCTCCTTTATTGGCCGAGGGAGCCGGCGTGCAGCTTCCGGGTCATGTGGCCAGCATGACTAAGCCGCTTCTGGTGAACCAGAGCAGCGCACGGAAATGCTGTTTACCTTCCTGCCGGAGCGGTACCTATTTATCTACTTGCACTTTGACGTGCTTTCAAACTGCTAGGTTGGCAGGAGCAGGGACCGAGCAATGGGAGCTCACCCCGTCACAGGGATTCGAACCGCCGACCTAATGATCAGCAAGTCCTAGTCTCTGTGGTTTAACCCACAGCGCCACCCGCGTCCCATAATAAAGCATTAGGCTGTGCTAAATGTTTGCTACTCACATACAGTAGATAGGAAGCCTGCGCTGATATGCTGATGTGCTCATCAAACCCACAAGCTTCAGCACATGCAAGTTTTTAATCCACAAGCTCTTTTGGGATTCTGCTTCAGTACTTTTCACAAGAAAAAGAGCAGAAGGAACCCATGAACTAGTCAAATACTGCTACCTCTTAAATACTTTTTGGGCATGGGCATGGTGAATTTCTGAATTTGGAGCAGGCATAGGCAAACTCGGCCCTCCAGATGTTTTGGGACTACAACTCCCATCATCCCTGACCACTGGTCCTGTTAGCTAGGGAGGGTGGGAGTTGTAGTCCCAAAACATCTGGAGGGTTGATTTGCCTATGTCTGATTTGGAGGGTTAAAAGGGCTTTCCAAGAAGCTGTAATGTGAGGTGGGGGTCATTTAAACCCTGGGGCTTCCAGACTTTGCTAAAAAAAAAGTGAGAAGAGGTTGCAGAAGAAGCTGGTTGTGTGGAATGACCCACATACAGCAAATCCATTTTAATATATGACACTGTGAGAAAGGCATTATTTTAGAGCAGAACAAAAAATAGAAGGAAAGGGCAATTCAAGTGACTTTGAAAGGCTACCATAAAAATAGATACAGGGATGTGTCTGCCTATGTATAAAATGCTACTTGGTTGCACATTTTGAGTTGCAGTGAAACAATTATATAAGCAGAATCAACTTTTCTAATGTCAGAGTTAAGAACAGTCTGAATGGGATTTCTTCAGGATTGGTGACTAAGCTTCAAGCCACAGATCTCAAAGGAGTGCTCTGAAAATTTGTATCATGACATGCAGAAAGACCCTTGCTGCCATGCATATGAACAAGGAATGAGAAAAGGCTTAGTTCAGAGCACAAAGGAATTGGCAGAAGGAAATTAGCAGTAGTGTCCCGATGGTAGTTGGTTCTACACTGTACCGGCCAGGGAAGGACAAATTAAGAAAACAACAGGCATCACAGCAACTACTAACTTGGGGCATCATATGTGATGCCGCAAATTGCATGGTTTGAAGTAATAAAATATGGTAATTATATGACTGAAATAAAACAAACTGCAAAAAGCCATGATGTTCATTTGCAGTGGTCAAATAAAACGAACAGTTTCAATACTAGAGCAGACTTCTCTAAATATGTGAACGGTAGACAGACATTTTTCACTTTGGTACAGATTACTTTTTAATGCAAGGACAGCCAATTTGATGCCCTCCAGATGGCCATAATTCTCACCTCTGTATTATCAATTTAGATTTCAAAGAGAGGGGCAAATATCACTAAGCAAGCACCTTTTGCTTTAACTTTTAAGCAGTTTGCTTAAAGTTATGTACACCGCCTCTCTGGGCCCATCTTTGGACTGGGCCCAGTCCACTAAGGCCTAGCCATTTACAAGTGTGCATCTTCCCTGGCCCCACCCATATGTTTGGCTTTGAAGGTCAATATTTTAAACTTTGAACTTGCCTGAGCAAAGACACCTTTGTACAATACTCATTCATACTGCAGCTGCTTTTGTTCTGTTCTGTAAACAGTACTAGAAACAGCATAGTGGCCAAACAGTTTCCATTTCTCTGAGTAAGCCTTCTGAATATGTGCCTGGAATTCATAGTTCATAGCTAAGAACCTTGAAGTTGCCATGGACTAGACACTCTCGGCTCCACCACTGGATCTCAGAATGACATAATGCAAGTAAGTGCCTGAAAACCTTGCCAAGTACAAACACCACATTTCAGATGACATAATCCATGCACTTCTAGTCCTAACATTACAGAGAGATCAATGAATTGATCTAGGAAATGCATCATGACAGGCACCACGAAGATAGCATCTAGTAAATATACGATGCACTCAAGCAGCAAGTATTGCAGATGTGACTCAATTAAGTAACAGAAAGAGCCGCTTTTTAAACATTGCACATACAGTGCTGCTTCAGAGGCTGAACTTTTGAGTGATCTAACAGGTGTTGGTTGACATATGGAAACACCATGTACAAACCAGTGTACCTTTTTTCCAAAGCTGGATCCAGAACATGCTGCAAGTCGGAAGGAAGCCATTCCAACTGAAAATGCTATCATGATGCTCTGCTAGATTAGTATAAGCAGAAAGCAGAATGGGATGTACTGGTAGATCTGAGTAGTACATGGGTAGGCAAACTAAGGCCCGGGGGCCAGATCCGGCCCAATCACCTTCTCAATCCGGCCTGCGGACGGTCTGGGAATCAGCGTGTTTTTACATGAGTAGAATGTGTCCTTTTATTTAAAATGCATCTCTGGGTTATTTGTGGGACACAGGAATTCGTTCATATATATTTTTTCAAAATATAGTCTGGCCCCCCACAAGGTCTGAGGGACAGTGGACCAGCCCCCCTGCTGAAAAAGTTTGCTGACCCCTGGAGTAGAACTTAGGACAAGGTCAGGTAATGGATTGCCTTCATTCTCATAACAAACATGCACACCTCTCAGTGCAATGTGCCTGTTCTCTGGAATGCTTACCCATCCAGGAGGCTCCATCTGTCTGTAGAATATTTTAAACCCTTACTGAAAACCCAATTTTGTTTAGGTATTTTCCAATTGTTGATCACTGGATTATACTGCTTTATCATTTGATCCCCCCCTTCTTTTTGATATTTTATCTGCTAGTTACCTGCTGCATTTAATATTTATTTAATCAGATTTTCTTTTCTATATGTAGTATATAGTCACAGAATCAAAGAACTGTATAGCAGCAAGTGAGCCCCAAGGGTCATCTAGTCCAACCCCCTGCCATGCAGGGATCCCAACTGAAGCATCCATGACTGATGGCCATCCAACCTCTGCTTAAAAGCATCCTATTAACTTGACTAAATTGACAGTGGGCCAGCAACAATTCTGACTGTCAACTGTTTAATCATAGCAGCAGCAACAAATAGTAGGGTTGGCAGAGGCAGATGAGGATAGGACTCCTGCACCTTTTAATACTTGTGGATTTTTTTCTGCTAAAATTTTCTCTTTCATACAGCCATTAAAGGCACAGGAGCACAGTCCTCTTTTATACCTGATCACCCTATCAAAAAACTCTACCCCTTCCAAACTGCAGAAAGCTGGTGTGAGTGGGATACCAGGACAGACATTTTTTGTGGTAGGACTGTGAGGTCAGTTCCGCTTCTAAAAACAAATTTCTGCAGTGATCAAATGCTCAGAGGCATCCCATTCCTTAATAATAAAAGCCTGTTGGCCCCTCTTACCTGAGCCACCATTATGCACCTGGTGACTCTCTGAGGTACAATAAAAACAAACAAAAAGAAAGATTCTTCAGGCCAAAATTTGGCCTGCCCCTGAACTGGTTTATATGGTGCTCTGGGCTAATGAACAGGTAGTCTATTTCACACAAAATTTATGCTACTTGGTTATAACAAAACCTCAAAGTGGTTGATGAAAAGAATAAAACAATACAATTATCAGTTAAAAAAAAGTTTTAAAAGTACTACTTAAAACATTTAAAAAAGAATTAAAACCCTCAATAAGTTTCACCTCTACACTCTAGCAATTCAGTCTCCAATTTAGATTTAATATTTGCAAAGCCGTTATTTTTAACATCTTCCTTAAAAACATCATGAAGTTGGAGTTATTATTCCAGCAAATTTCTATTATCTCTTCCAAACCTCATACAATGACTTCCTTATGATATGATTTAGGAAGCTTCTGTGTGCCTTTACTTTGTCAGACGTGCCAACCAAATCTGTTGTTGAAACCTTCAAAATCCAATAAATCAGTATTTTCTAATAAAACCCACTCTTTCAACCAACAGAAACAAGACGCTTCATAATAAATTTTAAAATCAAAGATGTATAATCTACTGTTAGAATGGCATACCAAAGATGAGCAAGTCAAGTGTGTTATGATAAAATGGGCAAAAGATTTTGGGTATAATATACAACTAGACGGCTGGGAAAGGCTATGGAAGAAAGGAATAAAATTTACTGCTTGTACTGCTTTAAAGGAAAATATAATGAAAATGATGTATAGATGGTACTGGACACCAACAAAATTAGCCAAAATGTATAGTACAAGACTCAATCTATTTTGGAAATGTAAAGGAAAAGAAGGGAATTTCTACCATATGTGGTGGACTTGTCCTAAGGTAAAAATTTATTGGGATATGATATATAATGAGCTTAAGAAAATATTTAAGAATACTTTTCAGAATAAACCAGAACCTTTTTTGTAGGGCATATTAGGTGATGAAATCTCTAAGAAGGATTATAATATATTTCTTTATGCCACAACGGCGGCAAGTATTCTTTTAGCCCAGAAATGGAAGCAGCAAGAAATTCCAACAGTAGAAGAATGGGAAACTAAGATGATTGAATACACAGAACTGGCAAAACTGTCCGGGAAAATCCACAACCAGCGAGACCAACTGTTTGAAAAAGACCGGAGTAAATTTATTTTATATTTGAAAGAACATTGTAGATCTGTGACAACACTAACAGTACTGATTTAAAGGTTTTTGCAGTTTAGAAATAGAAACTTATCTACAGTGAGAAGGAATTTTAAGGAATGAAAGTAGGTAGATAGATAGGGGGAATTGGAAATGCGAGGAAATTATGTAAAGAAGATAGAAAGACGGTTTGGGGGGATGGAAGGGAGTTAGAGGCTTGAAAGAGTCAAATTATAAGTGATGAAAAGATATGTTATAAATGTTTGGTTGAAAAATGAAAACTTAATAAATATTATCATTATTTATTTATTTATTTTTAAATAACCTCAATAAGTTAGAAACCAACATTCGACATGTCAGGGGAGGCTGGCCAAAAAATGGTTTTAAGGAGGTGCCAAAAACAGAGAGAACATGTCTGCCTGATGTCAATGGTCAGGGAGTTCCAAAGTTTAAGTGCTGCCACATGAAAAGATCAATTTCCTCCAAGTCTGGAGCAGGTATTTTGTGGCATCTCTGAAGCACTGTAAGTTCTGGAGATCAAAGCAGCTGAGTGGGCATATATGGGGTAAGGCGATATTACAAGAAAACTGTTTCCAAACTGTTAAAGGTTTTATATGCTGATAATAACACCTTGCATTTGGCCCTGTAGCAAATTGAGAAACGCATGAAAAGGTGTTATAAGCTGACAGATGCTAATTGATGGCTCTCACGTTTATCAGCGACAGCAGTCTGCACGAACTGCAGCTTCCAGATCAAGTTCAAGGGAAGCCCTACATAGAGCACATTGCAGTAATCTGATGCTAAAGTAACCAATGCAAGAACAACTGCAGTCAAGTTTTCGCAGTCCAGCAAAAGTCTGAGCTATGGTACCAGTTGCAGCTTCTAGTCACTGAGGCTACCTAAGCTTCCATTGACAAAGCTGGATCCAGCCTGCAAAGCTGCTCCTTTAGTGGGGAGTGTGACTCCATTCAGCATAGGGAAGTGACCATTTTTTCAGATATGGGGACCACCTGGCTCTTGGCTACTTGCGACCAAGTGAAGATGCCTGGGCACCAGGATGGTGCCTGATGTCTCCACCATCTGCATGCCTGGGGATCCTTGGCTCTTGCCTGTTTTCACACACTAACAACACATCCTGTAGATTTCTGTCTGTGATATTTTATCTAGGCAATCAGAATGAATTTCAGGAACCAAAAAGTCATGTTGAAAAATATGACATTTGAGCCGTCTGGCCCCAAAATGGCAACTAGACATTCCGCTTTGGTGACTGTAGCATTGATTTAAGGAGCCATTTAGCACCTAGCTGATGTATCTGAGTTTTTAATATTGCTCACCACTGAATCCAGGCACTGGTACAGAGGCTGCATGGCCTCTCCTGGTTCAGTTGTTATGGAAGAATAGAACTCAGTGTCATTAGCGTAGTGATGGTAACTTGTCCCAAAACTCCTAATGACCACTCTCAGTGGCTTCATTAAATAGCACCAAAGACAATGCTCTGCCGCACCCTATAAGGTAGTTAAAAACATTCATTCCAAGATCTCAGTTTTCACACCAGGTAACAGCCTGGACCTAGGCACATTTGCTCAGACGTAAGCTCTACTTATTTCAGTAGGACTAATTCCCAAGTGGGCAGCCAACTAAAGAGTACTAAATCTAAACACTGCTTGCACACAAATAATTGCTGTCAATGCAAGAATCGACTCGAATGCACCTGCTAGCTTCCACTTCTCCTTAAAACCACACATCCAGACTCCTCATTTACACCCACACAAAAAGCAGGACTAGACCAGGCAGCAAAATGTTCTTTCCCTAGGCTCAGTGTCAACGTGAATTATTTGAATGGGCTAGCTAATAAATGAATTGAACTAATCCTTTTACATTTCTATACCACCTTTATTCCATGTTGTAAATAAAGGTGATGTATGCAGGCATCTCTGAAGGTCAAAAACTGTGTAATTCAGGCAGGCCTTTTAAACCTGAGATTCTTTGCTAACCAGCTTTTCCTGATGTCTGGCATTCTTGCTTTTATGACAGCATTGTACTTTGTAATATTTTTTATGAAAATGTCATTTATAAATACTTCAATAATAAACAAATAGTACATTACTTGAAATGCAAATTTAAATCCTGTGTGTTTTATTGCTTTAGAATTGGCATGATATGGGCGAACCAGGTCACAGTCTGAATCCTGGCAGCAATATCCTGTACTAATTGAAGCTTCTAAGCCAGGCATCCTCAACCTTTGGACTACAATTCCCATCATCCCTGACCACTGGTCCTGTTAGCTAGGGATCATGGGAGTTGTAGGCCAAAACATCTGGAGGGCTGCAGGTTGGGGATGCCTGTTCTAAGCAGTCTTCAAGGGATAGCCCCACTGCAGTGATCCAACAGGGAGGTTACAAGGAAAACTCTTTCAGGAAGCATTCCATCCCAGAGCTGTATACATACCAAGGTCTTTCATAAATCATCTGAAATAAATATTGGTAAATATTCCAAACCATCTACATCCCTTAATACACAAGGTCATGTCTATACAAATACTAGCCAATGTTGCACAGCCCTTCACTTAAAGACATTGGCAAACCATGTGGTCTGTTTCTGTTTTTTTTTAAATAAAACCTATATACTACAGGCATGGCAAGAAGCATAAAGAGAGAGAAAACAAGATAACCCTCTCTTCCAAGGTGAAGGGTTCAGGGCTGAGATGGTTAGAGGACCTGTGGGAGGTGAGGGGAGATAGCAGAGGCCATGCATTTGACAGCAGTAAGAGGCAGAAGTTCAACAGGTCAGTTTTTGCCTATCCATGGAAAGTTGAACTAAACCTTCTGAACATATGCCTGTCACACTGAAAGCATAAAACAGATGGGGGAAACAGTAGCTAATAGTTGCCAATATAAGCATGCCAAATAATGTATCATTTCCAGCCCTGTGGCAATAAGATATGGTTGTGAAACCCATGGTTTAACCTGCTTCCTCCCTTCCTCAATCAGTGAGTTTAATAGGAGCATTATAAGAGATACTGTATCCATCTGGTCCCCCATCCACCTCAATGACATACCAGCCACCTCCCAGATTGACACACACAACGCCAATACAATGCTGGCCATACAAAATGTACCTAACAGAGCACGTCAAGTACCATGAACAAGTCAAGCCACATGCTACAGGCAACAGTAATTACCTAGCATCTTTCTCAAATTAGGTTGCCCTGTGGAAGGAAAACACCTCCCCAATCCTAAATGTAGCAATTAGCCAGACTGATTGCCAGAATAATCCATTTAGACCTTTGATCTAAATCACACGGAGCAATGGATCCAAACTACAAGAAAGAAGATTTCACCTAAACATTAGGAAGAACTTCCTGACAGTAAGAGCTGTTCGACAATGGAATTTGCTGCCAAAGAGTGTGGTGGAGTCTCCTTCTTTGGAGGTCTTTAAGCAGAGGCTTGACAACCATATGTCAGGAGTGCTCTGATGGTGTTTCCTGCTTGGCAGGGGGTTGGACTCAATGGCCCTTGTGGTCTCTTCCAACTCTATGATTCTATGATTCTATGAATCCTACATGCCGTTTAGGGCCTTGTCATGCATTTTTGTCATATATGCATTTTTAAGTTGTGACTGCAGCAGGCACGTGAAGAACCTTTGTATGGTACTGGCATTATTATAGAGCCTGGATTAACTGCAATTCCCTGTGGCAAATCTAAGATTGCTGGTGTGCACTTTGTAAAAATGCACCTTGGGCACCTAGACCTACAGCATAATCAAGTGTATCCCAACAGCACCTCCATGAGACTGATCACTTTTGTTGCTTTTCCTATTTTGCAGGGCGAGAGACCAGCCTGAGGCCAGTCAATTTCATGGCTGATCAGAAAGGTGAACCCAGCTTTTACAGCTCCATAGACCACTGGAATGCAAAGTTTTTGGAGGCAGAGGGAGATCAGATAATCTAAATGTAAAACTAGAAGAAAGGACTGGGGAGGAAATAACTTAGGAAACACTCTGGTTGGATTTTGAAAATGGCTTGCACCATCTTTTACTGCAGGAGAGTTGAAATAAAGGATGGAAAGAAAAACAGCAGCTGGAGAAACAGGACTTAGCAAACTGTTTTATTATTCCTATTGCTGCAAGAGAAGTAATTCATTCATACTTCTGGGGACTGGGCTGGGTTCAGAGCTGGCCAAATGTTTTTTTCTGCAAATACTGTTTGACAAATGCAAACTGGAATTTTTCCCAAGCTCCTCTCATTAATGAGTGTTCCCTCTCTGCCAATTCGGTGTGTCAGGCCATATCAGTTAATATCAAATAGTTAAGAGTTACTGCCAGTCTTCACGGGCTTTCCGGCTCTTTTAATCACAATGGGTGGAGTCTTGGGAAGGAGCCGAAACTTAACCCTTGGTAGTAGGTGGATTCCTCCAGCCGCCGCCGCAAAGACAGGCACACAGGAGAGGAGGTCTCGAGCGAAGTGCGTTTTGCAAAAGGCAAATTATGCTTAATCCAGTCACCCCATTCCAGTTGCATTATCCAAGCGTGAATAAACCCCTTCCTACACCCTTCAGGGGTGTGGAGACACCCAGCTGAGAACCACCCAATTCCCAGCAGATTGCCATCACTTGCTCAACGCAGAAAAATGATGTCCCATCGCCTGTTTTCCATCCTCGGTGCTAACTTGTTCTTACAAGTTGAGACTCATGCCAGCCCATTGCAACAGCCTGGAAGGGAAGACTGCAGTCGTCTCTCAGGTGCCAACTACGGATGGAGGCTGCCTTTGATCACCAGGCACACAGCCTCCTAAAAGCATTGGGACTCCTCCCGAAGGGCCAAGCGCATCCACGGACACCACTTGCAGGAAGGAAGGCGGCGCAGAGGTGGAGGAGAGCACTCGCGATTTGCAAGTTCAACAGAGGCTCGAGAGCCCAGCAGGGCTCCGCCGGCAAACAAACCGCGCCGGTATCCCTATTTTTCGCCGCCCCCGGGCCGGGCAAAACCACAAGCGAGCGAATAAGACAGGCAGGGCGAGCTCCGAGGCCGCTTCCGTTTTGTAGGTCAGGCCGAGAAACACCTTGGCTTCCCTTCCCTTGGGCCTCGAGCCGCTGCCTCCTTAATCCGACCAGAGCAGCGCTTCCCACGTGTCCGCGCCGGTCCCTCGGCGGCGACGTCGAGGGCGGCAACAAGGACCACGGGAAAAAGTGCCCGCGGTTCAAGGGATCCCAAGGAAAGCCCACCCACCCAGAGCGCTCGGGTTATGCCCAGGTGGAGCCGGAGCTGCTCTTCGGAGGGGGGGGGGAGCGTGCGCTTCGCATGCAAATAGCCTGGATGATGGGTGAGGGAATCGCGCCGTCCCCCGCCCTCCCCAAAAGAGCCCCCCCACACACACACAAACAACCCCGATCTGTCACAACACATCAAGTCCTTCACCAGCCAAGCCATCGCTTTAGTTCAAAAGAAGGAAAAACCATTAGATCAGGATGAGCCGGACCAGAAACTCCCCACAGCGAACCATGCTCTTCTTCAAGCAAGGTTTCTGTTGGGTGTTTTGTTTTTGAGAGGGTTTAGAAGAAGGTTATCAGCGGAACTGCAACGGTGAGAGGAGGATGCCCTACTCTGACCTCTATTGTTATGACTATTTCTATTATGACGACGACGACGACCAGCCCCAGCAGCCCTTCCCCGCCGTGTCCCAGAGTGAAATCTCCCCACCTCACTTCTTACTGCTGGTGCGTTAAGGGAGCGGACGCTCCTTCTTAACTGCCCTCTTTCCCCGCTCAAAGACCCCTCGGTCCCCCCCAGAGAGTCCCTTCCTCGGCTCCATCCTCTCCAAGCCTAAGTCGCTCGCGAGGAAGTGGAGGGTCCGGGGCGGAGAGCGCGCCGTCTCCTCCCCGAGTTCAACAGGCCTTTCCTCCCCGGGGTAAGCGCGCGGGAGAAGGGAGGCGCGGAGCGACGAGAGCCTTACTTACCCTCTTCAGCGAGCCGGGCTCCCTTTCGCGCCCGCAGCAGCACCAGCCGACGAGCGAGTGCGCTAGAAAAAGGAAGCGGCTGCCAGTGTGCCGCCCCGCGTGGCGCGGCCCAGCCTTGCGCCCGCCCTCCGGGCCGGCCTCGGAACCCGCCCGTGGGATTGGCCGCAGGAAGCAGTGAGTCACTGACTCCCAGCCGCCGCCGCCGTACACACGCCCGCACGTGACGCTGGGGGACCGGCCCTTCCTCTCCTCCTCCTCCCGGCCGCAGCAGGCAGGACAGGTGGAGGGCGGGAGGCGGAGCGAGCGCCCACCTGAGGGAAGCGGCTGCTGCCAGAAGCCCGGACTCCGCTCATCTGGCCGGTTGGGCGGGATGTGGGGCCGAGGAAAGGGCAGCAAGGGCGCCGCGCTTGTTTAGGTCTCTCGTGGCGGACGGTTAAACCAAACACTGTTTTCCAGCTTCAGGGCAGCCCTGCGGTCCAGTGGGAAATGGATCCAGCAGACGCCTCTTCCCCAGTCTCTCGCCTCTTCAGTGGCATTGTTGCCACAGACCCCCCCAAGCGCCCTTGTTTTCCAGAGACTGTCCTAGATTTACAAAAGCCATCCTGAGTTGATCCCAGAATGTGCCGCTTTTTCTTAGGACGTCCCTATTATCATTTGAGAAACGTTGGAGGGTATGGAGTTATCGGACCCCTGAGACAAGGAGATAGGTAACTCTACAACCTTTAGAAGACATCTGAAGGCAGTCCTGGATAGGGAAGTTTTTTTTTTTTTAAAGTGTTTTATCATGTTTTTATATATATGTTGGAATCTGTCCAGAGTGTCTGGGGCAAGTCAGATGGGTGGGGTTTAAATAATGCGGGGAAATGTTGTCATTGTTCAGAGTTCAGGACCAAAAAGAGCTGCCTGCTGTGGAAAAAAAAGTACTTAATCATACTTCTTTTGGTGTAATTTTTGCTGTTTGCATGCTAGTACAATGCAAAAAAAAGAAAAAAGTTATGGAAATGCTTCATCTTCAGGTGGTGTTGTCCTAAGTCTGTCAGACCACGCATTGCTGAACTTGTCAGACAAGTTCCTTTGCAAGATAATGGCCATAGCTTTCTTGCTTTGTTGGCAGCCCATGAGGGGGGCGGGAATAGCATGTTGCTTTACAAGTGCCTGGAATCTCTTCATCATTTGGAGATTGGTGTGGCATGCAGCTGTCTTCTACTTTGGCCAAAGCTTTAATGAGAGCTTACCAGCTTTCTGCTGGAGAGGATGCACACGATGGGAGGATTATTATTACATGTGGTGGCAATGCCCAGTTGCACAAGACATTGGCGCAAATGGTTTCCAAACTATTCCTTCCATAGCGCAATAACTTCTTCCTCCGGAGTGACCCAGGTCTAGCAGTGCTATCACACTTTCCAGAAACCGTGCAAAAAGTGTCACACAAAACAAAAACCAAATTATCCACCTAGTCACAATGGCAAGTCTGGAGTTGGTCCATCACTGGAGATTCCATTCCCATTTCACTCTAAAGGGATGGTGGAATAAGACATGGCCATTGGTAGAAAAAGTCACAGAACATAATAGGCAACTTTGAGGGGTTGAATTCAAAACATAATTCTCAGTTATCTGGTTTCCGTTTGATTGATTGATCACAAAAGAAATTAAACAATCAATCAATCAATCAATCAATCAAAGTATTGTGTAAAGGCCTTTACAATGAACAACAGAGAGGAAACGCAAAGCTTTCCTCTGAAATTACACCACATAACCTCTAAAAGTTTACAGCATAATTTTTTTACAGCATAGTTTTAAAATTAGAAAGCATTAACATAGCTGAAATGGAGCTACATAGCTGCCAGAGCAAATTTGGCTACCAGGTGTGTGATTTGTAGAACTTTTATTAGCTAAGAATTTGTTCTGTGACAACAAGGAGCAGTTTCTGCCCCCCCTCCCATCTTATGGACTGGTATTGTATGTAAATATTGACCTTTAGTTTAAACATGTATAAAATACTTTAATCTTTTTGTAAACCACTTTGAGATTTTCTTTTACAATCAAGCAGTGATTTATTTTATGAAATAAAAGCTCTCCACAGGCACCAGTTGCTCTCAGTGCTATTTTTATGGAAAAAGAGGTGCCAGAACTCAACATGAACGCCTCCCTTGTTCTCTTATCATAGCAATGGTGCCCACCTGAGAGGTGCCGAAACTGAGTTCTGGTGAGTTCTGGCTGGGGGAAAAAGCCCTGGTTGCTCTTGGCCAGAGGTAGGAAACCTAAGGCCCGGGGGCTGGATGTGGCCCAATCGCCTTCTCAATCCAGCCTATGGACAGTCCTGGAATCAGCATGTTTTTACCTGAGTAGAATGTGTCCTTTTATTTAAAATGCATCTCTTGATCTCTTGGTTATTTGTGGGGCATAGGAATTGGTTCATTTTTTTCCTTCAAAATATAGTCCGGCCCACCACATTTTCTGAGGGACGGTGGACTGGCCCGCGTCTGAAAAAGGTTGCTGACCCCTGCTCTTGGCCATGCATGTCTGCCTCGTGCACCTCTCCTACACCTCTGGCACCCATGGAGTGAGGAAGTCTATCAGCAGCATCTCTTCACTTGCAGCCTTCTCACCCTTCTCTGCAACACTTTCTCCTTCCCTCGCTGGCCTTTCATCTTCCGCTGTTGATACCCAAGGAGTGGTGGAATCAATTAGCAGCTGGACCTCAGTCCCAGCCTTCTCACTCTCCTCTAAAGAGCTGTCTTCCTCCTTTGCTTCAGCTACCAACTGCTTCTCTTTGGAGCCCAAGCCTCTCAGCTGCTCATCCATTTCCTGGATCCCTTCAGCCTGGGTGTTCTGAAGCTGGGCTTCTGGAGAACCCTCAACCCCTTGTAGTATCTGATAAGGCATGGCCCCCACTTCCTCACATGGGATCTCCTTTTTCTTTCCAAGGATGGTCTTAGACTTCTCTACTTGCCACTCAAACTCTGCTTGCCATCCAACTGCTTGTACTGCTGCTCCATTCATTGGTACATAGCATTCAACTGCTGTTCAAACATCTTAGATTGCTGGCTCTGTTGTTCCAAGAGCTGCAGGCTTTGCTGCTGGAGCATCCATCTGAATTGTTCCAGGAGTGTTGCCTTTTCTTCCTCCAGGTCAGCTCAGGCACACCTTGCTCACAGGTCCTCCTCCAGGAAGCACAAATCCCACTTCTAACACCAGTGTTGCACACCACCCCAATCCATGAGTGGTGGGAGATTCCAGGGGTTCCAGGTGCTTGCCCAGGGTTTGGTTTCTTTGGAATGAGGGACAGTGAAAATGGTGGTGTTTTATGATGTAAGATTTATTTTCACATATATACAACCTGAGCCCAAGGTGGAAGGGCTCACAGCTTTAATACCCCTAAAAATATTGCTTCTCTCATAGTCACAGCCTTTGAATCAAGCAGAAATTAAGCATGCCTGTCTCTCTAGCTGCTGCCTGCTTCTAGCTCAGCTCACAGACAACTGCAGTATTTATTGCCCTTCTAAGTACAAGCCAGGTAAGGGCATCATCACTTATTTTGTTATGCTAATGCCCTTAGGTCCTTTGGTGGCAACTATCACTATTCTCTCACAAAGAAATTTCCCACTAGTTAAACAACAGAATCCATTACAGTGGTGCCTCGCAAGAGGAAAAGAATCCGTTCCGCGAGTCTCTTCGTCTTGCGGGTTTTTTCGTCTTGCGAAGCAAGCCCATTAGAGGTTTAGCGGCTTAGCGCTACAGTATTAGCGGCTTAGGTTTAAAGATCAGCTGATAAGCGGCTTAACGATCAGCTGATAAGCGGCTTAGCATCAGCTGTTAAGCGGCTTAAAGATCAGCTGATAAGCGGCTTAGCATCAGCTGTTAAGCGGCTTAAAGATCAGCTGATAAGCGGCTTAGCCAGCAGCTGATAAGCGGTTTAGCGGCTTGGGAAAAAGGGAAAAAACCCCGCAGGAACTGGCAAGACATTTTCGTCTTGCGAAGCAAGCACATAGGAAATTCATTTTGCGAAGCACCTCCAAAACGGAAAACCCTTTCGTCTAGCGGGTTTTCCGTCTTGCGAGGCATTCGTCTTGCGGGGCACCACTGTAGATTTTAACCCTTGCTGGATCCAGGACTCCAGGAATTAGAAAGGGCTCAGGCACCATACAGACTAACTCCCCAAACTGGCAACACTTCCTCTCTCTAACAACACGTTGGATGGCCATCTGTCACGTATGATCTAGCTGAGATTTTTGAATTGCAGGGGATTTGACTAGAAGACCCTCGGGATCACTCCCAGCACTACAATTTTTTGTTTCTACAAACAGCAGACTAGCAACTTCCCTGTAGAGAAATAAGTTAACAAAGTTAACAAAGACATCAAAACATACACAGTTACACTTTTAACTCAACACCGGTACAGTAACAGCTTATTCTTTTAAAGCAAGTTTTCTGTCCATCACAATGCACAGGAAGCTCTGGGCAGTTTCCTACTTAAAACATTTCCCTGCCCCAATTACTAGTATTTACCCATTAAGGCGCTGTTTACCAGGCCCGTGCAAAGCTCGTCTGAGGCCCAGGGTAAGAATAAAGTTATAAACTCAAACAAAAAAAGCAGCCTGTCCTTGGGGGGGGGGGGAGCCAGCCATCTTAGCCCTCTGATATGATGCCTGGGGTAAGTGTACCTGGCTCCCCTCTGCATGGTCCTGCCGTTTACTGTAAACAGCACCTTTATGGGGAAATAGCAGGCAAGGAGAGATGCTTTTGGTTGGAAATTAGCCCTGGGACTCAATCTGTATCATGGTTCTGCACTTCTGCTTTTCCTTCCAGCGAACTGCAGCTAGCTTAAGTGTACTTTTTGTAAAAATGTATGTGTGTGCTTTCTACAAAAGTATGCACATAATATTGTTACACACCAGCCCAGTCTCTGAGTGGTGAGAAATTCCAGAGGACCCACGCACTTTTTCCAGAGTTCAATTTCCTGGGTATGGAGGTCAATGGAGACTGTGGTGTCTTTAAGATATACAGTGTATGGTTTCATAAACAACCTGAGCATTGGGTGGAGCAGCTCGCAGCATTCACACCCCAGATTATCTTGCTTCTTCATTAGATAGCCACAGGTGCACCTTATGCTCAGAAGAGAGCAAGACATGTGTCTGTCTCCAGCTCCTAGCATCCAGCTTTCAGCTCACACCTGCAACAACTCTCCTACCCAGCCCAGGTTTCAGCTATTGTTCTCCACCAAAGGTAATGTGTCATCAGTCCAGGCAAGGGGAGTGGGGGAAAGCCCCACCTCTCTTCCTGGAGAGCACCATTGTCTTACTGCAGCTTCTGCAACCTATCTCCTTCTTTGAGATCCCAATGAGATCCCTTATCAATTAAGATTTTTTAGCTAATTGCTAAAAACTGGGGGAAAAGAAACTGTGCCAACAAAAAAGGAATGGCAAGATAAACTGTTAGAGTATATTGAACTGGCTAGATTAACAGAGGCAATTAGAGATCACACTAGACAAGAGTTTCAAAAAGCATGGGGAAAATGCAGAGAATACTTCACAAAACAGTGCCCTAAAATACACACCTGGACTTGTTTCGATTAATGTCTGCAGGAGACTTTGTGGATATTTAAGTTATAATTAGTAAAATCTTAATAATTATTCATAAAGAAACAGTTTATAAGAAGTAAATAAGGAGGCCAGATACAGGATAAAGGAAGTCTTTTATTTGGTTGTTTGTATTGTTGTATGTTATGCTCACTATGTTCATGTTTAATGAGGGTGGATTAGTGTATTGGGGTGGGGGGTTGTGTTATGTTGTAAATAAAATTCCAATAAAAATTAAAAAATTAAGCTGTCGATAAAAATTAAAAAAGAGAAAGAGAGACTCCTTCTGTGGCCAGTTAAAGTCATTTTCTTACCAAAAAAAAGTCTGACTGGTTCAGCAACCTCTTCTACTAGATTCTCACCCTCGCTGGATACAGAATCACTGGCCTGGAAGGGTTCCAATAACATCATCTGAACGGACTTACACAAACTTGTGACACTATGTAGTTTGACCCTTGGGACAGATGCAGAGCAATCCAATGTATGAAGGGATGGTCCCTGCTCCATTGAAAGAAGTTGTAGTGCGGCCTCTCCCAAATAAACTGGATTTTGACCTTTGGGATTGGAACAATCAACCTGTTGCAAATACCCAATTGGGGGAGGTGGTGGAGAGGGTTGTGATAGGGCAGCTACAAGCATTATTGGATGGCAGAGATTATTTAGATCCTTTCCAACCTGGCTTCAGGACTGGCCATGGGGCTGAGTTGGCTTTGGCTACCTGGATGGATGACGTTTGCAGAGAGTGGGACACGGGGAGTACAACATTGCTCCTGCTTCTTGACTTCTGTCTCTCACATATACATAATATGTATTATGTGAAAACCCCATATATATATATGGTTTTCACATAACAAATATTAAGAACATCATGCGCTACCATTCTTATGTTTCTGTGACTTCCCATAGCAATAAGACGTTGTATCTCCACTGTCTGAACTATCCACTTGTTTCTAACATGACACAAAGTATAAAATATAAACCTGAAAATAACATATTCTTGTTCTTCTGTTGCACGAGATATAAATCCATCTCGTATTGGACAAGAAATAAAAGTATTTACTTGTAATCCGAAAAGGGCTTCTATTCTTCTACAAAAAAACTCATCAGTAGAGGCTCTTAGTCTAGCAGGTAATTTTGCCATTTTGGCATAGTCCATTAGTTTGTTGATCCATTCTTCTTTTGTGGGTATTGCCGTTTCCTTCCACTTCTGCGCATATAAAATCTTTGCTGCGGTTGTACATCTCTCTTAAGCTGTCGATAACATTGGCCATGGCATTCTCCTAGATCAGCTCCAGGGAACAGGAGTTGGTAGCAGGAGGGTTAGATTTTCAGAACAAGACTTCCAATTCCAAAATTAAGCAATGAGACAGCAGCAAACACCCCTTTAACACAGAAGTGCCAGAATTCAGTGGTGAAGATGGATGAGGAAAACAAGCTTAGCTTAAATCCTGGTAAGAAAAAGGCACTGCGGCTGAATGGTTCCTGTGTCCAAGAATTTGGTCAATTGCTTGCCCTTGGATGGACTTGCGCTCCCTATACAGGAGTGGGCTTGCACTCCAGAGGTGCTTCTAGATCCAGCTTTGTCACTGGAAGCTCAGGTAATGTCAGTGGCACCTGGATTTCAGGGAGATGCCTTTCAAATTGCCGCTTCCATTGAGAGATAGAAAAACACCTCCCATTTACAGAAGACTCCTAGTTCCAGACATACCTAGCAATTGCAAAGCATTTTGGGACATTTCAGGTTTCTATTTAGATTTGATTGAAACTGGGAGCCAAAAAAGGCAGAAACTGACAGGCTGAATCCACAACACCCCCAGAGGGGATTCTTTGGCATTAACCCCAAAACTGAACAGAATAATAAAAACCATCCACAGTATAAGTGATGCAAAGCTCTTCATATACATTCCAGAGCAGTTCCTGCTTGTGTCTGAAAGCTTTTGACAGTCCAGGTATGATTAGCAATGGAAGTTGGGGGCATCGAAAGCTTTGGATAAAAAAAGCATGGTCAAAAGAAATACCAGAACTCACTTGTATCATAAATACAGGGTTCATTTTCTCCCCACACATATATAGCATTCGAGCAGCAAAGGGGGCAATCCGGTGCACCATTTATTGGAAGCCAGTCTCACTCTGTTCTGAATCACTTCGCACATTAGTGTGACATGATAGACATGTTTAGAATAAGTATCAGGAATGTATTTCACTAAATGCCACAATCCTTTAAAGGCCCAGAATCAAGTTTTGGACCAGCAGAAGACAACAATGCTGATGTTCCCTATCTGAGAACGTGTTCCATATTCACTGATCACACCGTTCATTGTATCAGACACCTTCAGACTACTCTTCCCTCTTTGGAAGTTTCCCAGTACCAGGAGCAATTTACGTATATTCAGTCCTGCCCTGTATTGGAATGCAGGCTCACTCGAACCTGTCGGCTTTTGCTGATTCCAGCCTCCCAGCAATCCCTCTGTATAGAACAGGCTAGTCAGAAATTTACCTTCTCATTGGTTGTGCCTCTTCATGAGTTCATATCCTCAATCTAACCCATTTCCCCTCCCTTCCCCCTCTTTGCTTCACCTTCCTGCTTTCATTAGTGAATTTTTACTACCTTGGGGGCCTCCAGATGTTTAGACTTTAGCTTCCACCCCCTTCCAGCCACTGCCTTTTTAATTTTCTACACCAGGGTTGACTGACCTGTGGCCTTCTGGTACAGTGGTACCTCGGGTTAAGAACTTAATTCATTCTGGAGGTCCGTTCTTCACCTGAAACTGTTCTTAACCTGAAGCACCACTTTAGCCGTGCCGCCGGAGCACGATTTCTGTTCTCATCCTGAAGCAAAGTTCTTAACCCGAGGTACTATTTCTGGGTTAGCGGAGTCTGTAACCTGAAGCATCTGTAATCTGAAGCGTCTGTAACCCGAGGTACCACTGTGTTGTCATATTGCAAGGCCATCAACTGCAGCCAACATAGCCAATGGTCAGGGATGCTGAAAGTTGCAGTCCAACAATATCTGGAGGGTAACAGGTTTGCCACCCCTGTTCTACACAGAAACCCCAATCCAGTATTATCTGATGTTGATCTCAGCTGTTAACATCTCCAAGTTATACCCAACTGAAAAACATAAACTGATCAATAGCTTTATTTCGATTTGTGACCCCATTGCAAATAAAAAAATGTGCAGGGTAGAGTCTGAAATTCAGTGTGCTGAGCAAATCCCTTGAAGAGGGAAGTGTGTGGACAATTGTGGAAATTAATTAGTTTTGTTTGTCGGTTCCAATGTTATTCCTATTCACAGGGCTCTGTGTGAAGTTTTCAAGATTGGGGTAATTATCTTGTCCATTGGAAATTCCACTCTCCAGGTAGTTTTAACCCATGGCATTATTTTCAGAATACAATGACTCATTAGGTTGAAGTATTTCATAAGATGTGTGTTTTTCCATAGAAAAATAATCATCACTAAAGGAGGTTTTGAATTAGCTTTGCTGGAATCCTTTGAAAACCCAGTCTCTCTCTGTATGTATACAAGGGGGGGGGGGTGGAGGAGAGAATCTGAAAAAGGAAGAGAATCTTAAAATTGCAGTCTAGAACACATTAGGAAATGTATGGGAGATCAATGAAGAAAATAAAACTGACTTTAAAAGCATGCATTCGCTAACTTTTTTACAAGTAGAAGTCTAGATGTGTACAGCGGTACCTCGGGTTACATACGCTTCAGGTTACATACGCTTCAGGTTACAGACTCCGCTAGCCCAGAAATAGTGCTTCAGGTTAAGAACTTTGCTTCAGGATAAGAACAGAAATCGTGCTCTGGCGGCGCGGTGGCAGCAGGAGGCCCCATTAGCTAAAGTGGTGCTTCAGGTTAAGAACAGTTTCAGGTTAAGAACGGACCTCCGGAACGAATTAAGTACTTAACCCAAGGTACCACTGTATATAAAAATGATTAGCACTCTCACCTGGGCTTGGACTTGCTTCCCTTTGTCTCCCGCAAAACTTCCAGACTTGGGACCCATGATTGTGACTTCATTTCTCACCAGTGTGGCTTTAACTCAAACTAAAATTCTAAGACACTTGACTTTCTTAAACAAAATGAGTTCATTAGCCAACCTAAACAAAATGACAGCCAAACTAAAATCACTGCTAGAACTTTGCTAAAAGCAGACCCACTCTACTTCTTGCTGTGCTACAACAAACTGTACTTATTTCTTTTCTGATGCATTTCCCCCATGTAACTGCTAACTTGTTGTCCTTAGGGAAGATGACATCTTACATGCATTCTGTACAGTTTCCAGACAGTCTTCAAAGACAGCCTCATGTATAGGTCCATTAATTTTCTAACCTGGAGCATCTTCTAAACCAGTGGCTCCCAATTAGCTAATTATTGAGGACCCCCTATTTTTCAAAAGCCAAGCCACAGACCCCCCTACTTTCTATGGTAGTTACCTGTGCAAAGCAATTTTTTGAAGAAAATGTGGGGTGGCCCCTAATAAGCAAAGGATCTTTGGTATAGTAAAAAAACAGACCATAAAATTTGTGATATTACCACAACTTGCCTATCCCCAAACAGTAGGAAAAACTTGTCTCCATTGCTCCACTACAACTGAATTTAAAAAAGTAATTGTGTCCCTAACTTGCAAGTGTTCTATATGCAGAAGGCTATTTATAGGAGAGAGTATTCAAACATGCTCTTCTTTACTCCTAATCTGAGATGGCACTTTTTAGCAAAACTTTGCAGCAGATGGTTCTGCTAACTGAAGGATCTTGCACCTTCAAGACATAGGTGTAGGCTTGGATAAGGCTTGATAAATTATTGGTGAAGACTGAGTAGAAAAACAGCTGGAATTTTGTAATGTTGGCAATAGTCGTCGTGGCAAGACAGTCCAGTATGCAACCTGAGGGCCGCACACAGCCCTTGAGGCCTTTTTTTTTTTTTTTGCAGTCCTCAGCAACATTTGATGCCTCCCATCCACCCTGCAGCCCTCGTGTGGGTAAGCAAGGCAAGGAGTTGGGCTTCGGGGAAGGAGGCAAGAGGGCTTTGGCAGGATCCTAGAGTCCCTCAATCTCCTTCCCAAAGTCTAGTTAGCATAGGAGCAAACTCCTGGGGACCGAGGGGGCTTCAGTTCCCCCATAAAATATTTGAGGGGGCCAGGTCACCCCAAAGTTGATGGGCACTTGCCATTCAAATGGTGTGTGTACACCATGTAATGCGATTGATTATGTGGGGCAGGGTTTACCTGCCCCCCCCAAATATTTTAATCAAGTTGGCACCCCTGCTAGATCTGCACAGGTTGCTGATTTGTTACTGGGCCAAGTTATATTAGCATATACCGGTAATACGCTTAACTGAACATGTAAATTAAAATCCTACAAATGCTTACCTCTGGATCTTTGGCATGAGAAGCAGGACAGGCAAGGCTAGCATGCACTGAAGCACTTTGTTTACTGCAAGGATGAAAAGTGCTGCTTGCTAGCAATCATGTGGGCTGGGATTCCTTACATTCTACGCGTTCTATGCTCTCAGCTGCAACACCAAATTACAGTTCCCAGATGCCATTTCTCCCTACAGTAAGTAACCTCTGGCACCATTGCTTTGGCAGTAGCAGACAGCTGGATAGACACATTCTCTATTGTCTTAATTCCCTTGCTTGCAAGGAAGGTGGAGAAAAGGAACGTGGTATTTCCGTGTCTCCTTGGTTTTTTGATGACAGCAGCAGCCTGTGTGCTTTTCCTCTGCAAATGAGAAACGCCTACTTTCAATGGATTCATTCAAGCCTTCTATGAACACACTGAAGAGCACTAAGCCACCTGTTTGCAGCAAAGGAGGAATAACCTTTCCATTCACAGTCTCAGTCAAATGTGACCTTCACACTAAAGCTCCACATTTCATGTATTAAGTACTGCACATCAGTTTTAAACGCCTTACAATCAAGTTATTCTGCCTCGCACACAGGGCAGCAAGGGATAAAAATATTGCTGTTTGGGCATGATTCATGACAAAGTTATACTAATCTACTTCCCACATACAGCTTTCTCCACCCACCCTCTCTCGATTTTGCTAGGATTTAAAATGTGAATACGTACTTTCCTTCTGATTTTCTTCTTCTCCTCCAAGCCCCAGGGCATTCCTGTTGCCTTACTGGGAAATAGTCCAAACACTCCCTTGCTCTTGTCATTCCAAGCCAGAATCACGCAAATGTCTTCGTAACCCGTTCATATCAGGAACGTGGGAAGAGAGCAACACCTGCAGCTGTTGAGTAAACCAAGGTTTACCCGGCTTTCTCTCTTCTCTTCAGCCACAGCAGATGCTGTAACTCTCCAGCCGTTTGACTTCACCCCTGAAGTCTTCCATTGTCTTGTGAGACAGACAGATGCCAACAACAAGAAGACCCTGCTTACCCTCTAGTTCAGATGGCAAATATGGTATCTTGCATTCAGACTCTCTGTGCTTTCTTTATAACACTGAGAGGCAGGGGATGATTGGAAGTTTTAATTATTTAATTTAAACTATTATTTCAATCAATTCATTCATATTTAATTAAAATAATTATTGTAATTATCTGTTGCAGAGGCTTAGCCCCCTTAATGGGAATGTAAACTGAGTGGTTAATCTGTTTAAAAGTGGGCCATTCTGCAATTGCACCAGGCCACGTGGAGAATTTGAACCCTTGCCTTGGACACAGGACATTGTACGGCTACAATTCTTATGAAGTATTCCATGAGGAGCGCTGCTGCTTCCACTTCATTGCACAGGAGTGTTCCTCCGGCACAATGAAACCGCTCTAGTCTGGAAGCACTCTTTTAACTAGTTTATTCCATGTCCCAGATGAGGGATTCCTCATCAGAGGACGACCTGAAGGCCCCATCATTACATGAAGCCCTGAATTAGGCTCAATATGGGGGTGAGGAACCAGGATTCTCAGAAGCTAAAGAAGGAATGTCTGCACCAAGGGAGATTCTGACCTCTGGCACTGAGGCAAAAGAAGTCAAAGCCTGAGGGGGAGATGGCACCTCTGGGTGAAGATAGCGGATAGGAGTCATCTGAGGTCAGGGGTTGAGTCAAGCAGCTCCAGCTCAAAAACTTTAATGCTAGGCTGGAAGAGAAACACCACCTCTGCGCCAGTGTTCTGCTTCATCTGCTATCTGCTTCATCTGCTATCTAATCTGCCTGTTGTGAACCTGACCTGGGCCTGTCTTGCCCATGTCCTTATTTGCTCCTGTATCAATTAAATGAGGAAGACAAACAATAAAAAATATTATTTATGGGGTGATATGAAAGCAGAGGTAGTATATGTATTGCTCAATCTTTTCAGGTGCCCTGCTGCAATTCAAAGAGGAAGAAAAAGCAAATTATGGATGCAAATCAAAGGAACGCTGCAGAAATTACTTTCCTTTTGTGTTGTTTAGAATTCCAATTAATTTTGTTCAGTTGATGTATTCAGATGTGTCTCGCCCAGATGCACTTCAGGATAGTCCTACTTAAAAAAATATTTATATGGGAAACATAAAATTCCTTTAAAAACAAGTAGTAACTAGGGCACTTTTTCCAGCCTGTAAACATGGTTTTATTGAATTTCACTAGTGAGCTCTGAATTCCATGCAGAGTGGGGTGGCAGCATCTATAACCAGCAAGGAAATAATCATATTTCAACAGTGTACTGTCACCAGTAACTGGAATAGGGCCTCCCACCTTCTGTAATTGCTCTGTATAGGGCTTGAAAGCTCTCCTACAGTTTCGGGCCACAGGCCATAAATCAGACAGAATCATGCCATGGTTTCCTTCCCACTCCAGATTTTCTCAGGTGTGTAGCTTCTTCAAAATGGTTTCTTTCACTGAAAGGTGGGAAAATTTTACTACTGTACTATGTCTCTGGGGTGATTGTTGCTTCTTGGATTCTCAAAAATCTGTGTCATTTAGTGGGGTTTCAAGTAGAATTTGGTGAAAACATCATTTTATGACACAGTAGAATTGGGCCCTCAATTTTCCCCCAAAATGCCCCTTCTCTTAGTGTTCAAGCCACAGGGAATTGTTGTTTGCCCCTTCAGCTGGAGCTGGACCTGTTTGGTCAAATCTGAAAGCTTCTTAATTTTAGTTGAGTAATTGATGCCAACTGCCAATGCTTCATTAGCTGTTTCAGTGACTTTGGCCAACTGGGTTTCCTTGCAGTCAACTCTGGCCTCCAGCAGCTCATAAAATATTTTCACAGATCTTGACAAAGTTGTCAGACAGATCTGACAACAGGAAATGTATCGCCTCATCCTTCTTTGATAATCTCATGCCCTTCAATGCCGTGGTAGGGCCTTCTTCCTCCCCTGAAAGCTCCGGGGTAGCCAAAGTATCTCTAGGTTCAAAATACAATCTTAAGTTTCACTCTTTAGTTAACTGCATAGAGATGCTGTGTAGAGATGCTAATGTGAGGTACCGTCAGACAATTCAGAAGGGTGATTGAAGGATGATTTGACGCAGTGAGGAGTGGCGCAACAGAGTTATGTTGCCATCTTCATTTGTAGATACCAGGCCTCCCAACTGTGCACATTCTTTCACGTTCTTGGCATAAATGAGAGATGTCTTAAGACGCCCATGCACAGTGCAAGCAACTCTTTCTTGCACTGAATTAAGAAAAAAACCCAGGCTGACAAGGAAAAGGAGGTTAAATTTAGGCAGATAAACACCACTGGTTTCAGCCACCAATAAGCACTTTCCTAAATTGCAGCTGAAAATTAGGTCATCCTAGGTGACAACTGCACTAATTTCTGTGCTGGCAAGTGTAATCTTTTTACTTGTTTACATAGCTGGCCACATTTCAAATCCGCATGTCTCTAAGCTAATCCGCATTGTAATATTAGGTCAGACTTATATATAATTTAACAGTGTTTCTCCCAAACTTTAAGTGCATTATATATTAGAACACTCGGTCGCTGGCTTCCAAACTGTGGTTGCATTGCAGCTCTGATGCAGCACCTTCCTGTACAAGGAACAAATGCACTGCAAGGCACTGTAAGGTATTCCAATAGCAGGTGCTCCAGGTCTATAGCTGACAGGCACCTAGCACAATGGGAGGCCAGACGCTTGCTTGCATTGACAGCAACAGTATCCTGGCAAAAGGTCTTTCCTATTTCATGTTGGTTAATGCAACACTTCTGCACATTCCCGCTTCTAGTGGGCTGACAGTCATTACAACACAAAATCAGTGTGTAGTCCCTGAAACACAACCATGCTTTTCAGCCAATTCTGAAATGTAAACAAATTTACTGTGTACACTGAGAACTTCTCAAGACAGAAATATTTCAGGCTTGGACCCAGATCCAAACAGACTTGCTTGCAAAGCACAGAGATTTCAATTACTGTATTTTTCCGTGTATAAGACTAGGGTTTTTTTAAACCAAAAAAAATAGGTTTAAAATTGGGGTTAGTCTCATACACGGGTAGTGCTGAGGGGGTGTTTTCTCAATTTGGAGTCCCCCAAAATAAGGGGTGTCTTATACATAGGGCCATCTTATACATGGAAAAATACAGTATGTCTTCCTGCCTGCCAAATAGAAGTAATAAGCAGTTCCAATAAACAGTACACAATGTTCATTTTGGAGGTCAGATGTGGGAAGATGAAGAAGCCGCTGAAGCTTTCACCTTGAGTTGCTGGGAGAGATAGTTCGCCATGATATGACTTTAGAAAAACATTGGGAGGTTAACTGTGCTTTAGAAAAGCTCATTAGATAGATAGATAAACTTTATTTGTATTAGTCAACAGCTATAGCAACATAAAACAAGAAATATATACAATTAAAAAGACAACAATCGGTAAAAAGGGCAATCAAATGATCAAATTATTGTTCAGATAGAGGCCCTTAATCTCATTGCACCCTTGATAAGCTTGAAAAGCTCATTTTTCGATGGTGAGTAGTATTTTTGAGCTTTCATTCTTTTAGAATCTGAACTATGTCAGATGCCAGGCCTTCAAGAAAGTGTAAGGCCTTGGGGGCAAAATGATTAGTTTAACGCTTGCCAGCTGATCACCTACAATTCTGAAGCACTATTCCTTAAGAACTGAAGAGTTTTGCCTCGGGACATCCTCAAAAATACTTTAGGTTCAGGTGGGGAACCTGTGACCCTTCAGATAAAACTCCCATCAGCCCCAGCCAGAATAGCCAAAGGGAACTGGAGTCCAGCAACACAGATAAGAACACAAGAGCCTGCAGGATCAGGCCAGTGGCCCCTCTGGTCCAACATCCTGTTCTCACAGTGGCCCACCAGGTGCCTGTGGGAAACCTGCAATACTCTCCAATCCTGCAGTTTCTAGCAACTGGTATTCAGAAGCATTACTGCCTCAGACCACAGGAACTCATGGAATTGCGTTATCCAGCAGGCCTGTTTTTATGAAGTGGCAAACAGAACATAAAAATCTGGTATTATTTTAAAACAAGAAACACTACACAGTTGAAACAAAAGGCTGTTGTCTGGACCCGTGGTTTAATATTCTTTCTTCAGAAAATACTGTGCATGGCTGAATGTTTCATGTCAACAACCTATTAAGAATTCACCCATCCTCATCGCTGCTACTCCATGCATCTTCATAAGCAGGATTCAGGCGCTGCTGAGGCCGCAACTGGAAAAAAGAAGAGAAGATTCCATCAGCGATTCCATCTAGTCCGGCATTCTGTTCTCACAGTAGCCAACCAGACGCCTGTGGGAAGCACACAAGCAAGAGCACAACAGCATTCTGCCCACAGAAACTGGTAATCAGTTGTCCTGTCTCTGACAGTGGAGGCGTGGATTTCGGCAATCCTCTTTTAAAACCATCCAAATTTGTAGCAATCACTGTCTGCTGTGGGAGTTCTATGGTTTAACCATGTACTAGAAGTACTTTGTTTTTTTCCTGCCCTGAATTTTCTGACTATATGATTGCAACATTCAGCTTCACTGGATGTATGTCCATGAGTTCTTGTATTATGAGAGAGGGAGAAAAACTCCTCTATTCACTTTTCCCATGCCATGTGTAGGACTGAGAGTAGCTCAGTTAGTAGAGCAGGAGACTCTTAATCACAGGGTCTTGGGTTCTAGCCCACATTGAGCAAGATATTCCTGCATTGCAGAGAGTTGGACTAGATGACCCTTTGGTCGCTTCCAACTCTACAATTCTGTGATTCTATCCTGCCACCTCTTACTCACCTTTTCTTTTTTAAAAAACTTTTTTTGTGAACCACCCTGAAATATATGGGTATAGGCAGTGCTTTTTTCTGGGGGGACACAGAGGTACACATACCCTGAAACAGTTCGTGAATCTTTGTACTTTTGTCCATTTACTGTATTTATTTTTCCCGATTTGAACAATAAAATGGTGATTTTTTTGTGTCAAAGTGAGAGTACCCCTTAACATTTTTTAAAGAAAAAAAGCACTGGTTATAGGGCAGTAAACAACACACACACACACACACACAGAGAGAGAGAGAGAGAGAGAGAGAGAAGACAATAAGACAAAAGAAACCAGCATAAATAAAAACAAAAACAAAAACAGAGAGAAAAAGAGAAAAGGAGATGCAGAGTCCTCCCTCAAAAGTTTTGTCTCACAAAGACAGTGGTAGACTCAGCTCTCATCTGGGAGCTTTCCTTTCTCCTCCCAGTCCCTCACTCTGGAAAGTCTTCCCTTTTCTCACCTTTTCTCTAAATCCAAATGCGGCAACCTTTCCTCATAGGGTGCCACTCAGTCCCCTTGATCATTTTGATTGTCCTTTTCTAAATGTTCTCCAACTCTTGAGGTGACCAGAACTGTACAGAGTATTCTAAATGCAGTTGCATTTGTGGAATCAAGCCAGTCCCCCCCCCCCCGTTCTGCATGCATTTTATTCTGTATCTTAAGTTCTCAAGACATTTTAATTTCCCTGACCACAACAATAATAATTTTATTATTTATAAAGGAAAGGCTAAATGCAGAAGGGAGGGGACATGCCAACTGGATCTAGATGGACAGCAGGGCCAAAAAAAGAAGAAGGGTGGGGACAGAATAGTACTTTGCACATGTTAGGATGCATGTTATTTCTGTGTCCAGGGCAGCTGTCTACCAGCGCCATCTGGTACACTTGTCTTGCCAGAGTGGTGCATGCTCTACTTATCTCCCACTTGGACTATTGCAATGCACTCTACTTTTGAAGGTGACCCAGAAACTACAACTAATCCAGAATGTGGCAGCTAGACCGGTGACTGTGAGCGGCCGCTGAGACCATATAACACCAGGCCTGGAAGACCTACGTTGGCTCCTAGTATGTTTCCGAGCACAATTAAAAGCGTTGGTGCTGACTTTTAAAGCCCTAAACGGCCTCAGCCCAGTATACCTGAAGGAGCGTCTCCACCCACATTGTTCTGCCAGGACACTGAGGTCCAGCGCCGAGAGCCTTCTGGTGGTTCCCTCACTGTGAGAAGTGAGGTTACAGGGAACCAGACAGACGGCTTTCTTGGTAGTGGCACCCGCCCTGTGGAATACCCTCCCATCAGATGTCAAGGAAATAAACAACTATCTGACTTTTAGAAGACATCTGAAGGCAGCCCTGTTTAGGGAAGTTTTTAATGTTTGATATTTTATTGTGTTTTAAATATTCTGTTGGAAACTGCCCAGAGTGGCTGGGGAGGCCCAGTCAGATGGGTGGGGTATAAGTAATAAACACCACCACCACCACCACATAACATTTAGGATTCCATACAATTCCAGGACCTGGAATTCCATACTCTGATTTCTATTAACTATTATCCAGTACTGATGTGATGGTTCTGCAGAGGAACACGATGTATCAGGTCCTGCATTACAGCAGACTAAACTAAATGGATACCTTGTTCAGGCTTATGGAGCTACAATCCATCATCCCAGCCATGTCAGTGAGAAATCTTTCTTACAATGACTTCATTACTCACATGCAGGGATTTCTTCCTTTACTATCATGCGCAGAATATATCCCTTGTGTACAGATGCTCTAGCTTTCATCTTGCTCTACTAAAAAGCTATTTACCTCTTCAGAAGTATCATCAGGCTCTGGCTCTCTCAGAGATGGTACCCAGGCAAGGATATTGCCGTCTCTCCCACCACTATAAAGTTCCTGGCATGAAGGAACCAACAAAAAGTCACAGATCAGTTACTGAATACTGAAGAAGGTGAGCTTGAGGCAAAATAGGAATTGGGGGAAGGGGATCTGGGGAAAGGAAGTAAATTATCCACACTGGAGTCTTCTCCCAATCATAGCAACTTCAGTGGGACTAATAGTGTGATCTTGAGCATGTTTATTCCCAAATCCCACAAAGGGCAAGAGGACTTCCTCCCAGGAAGTGCATTTAAGGTTGGATCTCAAGTCACTTGCTGCAAAGTCACGCTGACGCTAAGCCCAATTCTATTCGCATACCTCATAAAAGCAACATAGTTGTATTGAAATTGTAGATGAGGGGATTACAGGATTAGTCCTGCATGAAAATATAAAATAACTTTTAAAAAGTATAGCACCTAAATTACAATGCACGTGTGCAGTGCACAAACATATTCTTTTTTCTGTAGTAATTTTATTTTAAAAACACTGATAAATAACTTAAGCTTGCTGAATTTTTTATTTCCATCTACTTCATCTTACCTGCTTAAAGCATTTTTACCCTGCTATTCAGCCAAAAAGGCTCTCAGAGCAGCAGACAAACAAGCAATAAATGAGTTTATTCTATCTCACTTATGAATTGACTTATGTTTACTTTAACTTATTCATGACTTGCTATAGGCCAAAGGTTGAACTGATGTTAATCAGCAGAGTAAAGCAAAATGAGGCCTAATTAACTAATGTTACGGAAATGACAAACGGGGGAGGGGGGCCGGCACATCTTTAAAGTTGTTACAATGTTACAAATATTATGCCTGAATACAGTGGTACCTCTGGTTACGGATTTAATTTGTTTCGGGGTGCCGTGCACACCCTGAAAAATCCGTAACTAGAGGCACCGCTTCTGTGCATGAGCATGGTGCACTTCTGTGCATGCAGTGAAACCCAGAAGGATATACTTCCAGGTTTGCCGCGGCTGTTACCCAAAGATTCCATAACCTGGAGGTTACGCAACACGAGGTACCACTGTATATCCTTTCGACTTGACAGCTCAGGGAAAATACCTAGCTTTATAAATTTGTAGAAAATCCATACTTTAACCGACTCTCCTCATTCCAGCGCCATTTTAACCTTTAAAGAAAGGTGAATTTGGGCTCCACCTCCCTCCCTGAACCAAGAAGCAGGAAATCACTGTAGGCAGCAGGAACAGGGCATCCTGCCATAACTCCCCAAGCGTGAGAGGACATACACGGCACCCCACCCAGGGAGTGACCAAGGGGGCAACAAGAGACATCCGCAGAGGCAGTTTAGCAAGTCAAGTGTTCTGAAAGCCCACCTCCCGACAAGTCCTGAGGGCAAGGATATGTAAAGTTTTATTGTTCTTTTGGTGTTGAGAAAGGTGTCTCATAAAGTGACCTAATGTTGAACTTATGTAAGCATGGTATACCCTGCCCCATTTGTGACATGCTTGTGATGTAGTGATGATGTATCAATGATGCTGCTTGAAGTGTATTCTGGGGGAAAGAGGGAAGTTTTAAAAGAGGATGTCACCCCATGCTCGGGGTTCTTACTCCTGGGGGACCTGCTGCGCAACAATAAAGATTGTGGTCTACTGACCGCTGTTTTGCTCCAAATTACTTGGCTGGAACTTCCTTCTTTTACTGACTGCATAGACCCGCAGGGGACTTGCACCCCAATGAGCTGGGCTGTTGAGTAGTCTCTCACCCCAGATTTTTTTCCAAAACACTAACTAGATATAAATAACTAGGGCTAGGAATCCATGGCAAGCTTATCTTAAAGCTTATTTTGGTTTTAGAGTACCAGTGTAATACAGGCCCAGGTAAGCCCCGCCCCAACCCACAAAATCAATCACATGACACAATGCAAACACACTATTTGAATGGGAATGCCCATCAACTTTGTGGGGGCCAAAGCTCCCATTGCCCCTAGGAGTTGGCTCCTATGGTATGTGTAGAAACCTCTGGCCTTTGCATACTTGAAATGCAGCCTACCATACAAGAGTAAGCCACACATCTGTTGTCCCATCCACCTGTTTTCTGGTCACACTCACTATTGGCATATAGCACCCAGAAGGATGCCCACAAAGGAATAAGGATCTCAGACTAAAAAAAAAGTGTGTCCCATGGACAACCCATGGTCAGTAGCTTAGTTGTTCGGTTGTAAATTGCTCTGGGTTGCCTTGGGGAAAATCAGCGACTAACAAATTCAATAAATAATAATGATAGCGGCAATCAGGGCACACTCAGGATACCATTTCAGATGTGGCAGAAAGCAGCTACAGCAGTTCTCGAAAACTCACAAATGAATCTTTCTTTAAATGACTTGATTCTAGAGGTGTTGGGACAAGACACTTCAAGGGGAAAGGCTTTTTTTAACAAGTCAATTTATTTCTAAATGGAGCAAAGCAGCTTTAGCAAACTCGCCTCTTTTCATATCACAATCTAAAAATATTTCCCATGGAATCTGAATACAGTTAGGGCGCTGCATGTGTGCACAGCTCAATCAGGCAAATTGCTAGGCACAAGGAAGCCTTTATTGAGGCCAGCAAGCCCATTATAATTTACGTCAGTTGTTGCATAAATGTTACACCATGCTGCCAGCCTTTCAAGTTAGGATTTCATATGTTTAATAGCTGTGCTGGTGGCAATTCCACATTACAGTGGTGCCTCGCAAGACGAAAATAATCCGTTCCGCGAGTCTCTTCGTCTAGCGGTTTTTTCGTCTTGCGAAGCAACCCTATTAGCGGCTTAGCGGATTAGCGCTATTAGCGGTTTAGCAGCTATTAAAGGCTTAGCGGCTTAGCGGCTAAAAGGCTATTAGCGGCTTGGGGCTTAGAAAAAGGGGGGGAGCGCGAAAAAAATCGCAAGACTCGCAAGACGTTTTCGTCTTGCGAAGCAAGCCCATAGGGAAATTCGTCTTGCGAAGCGCATCGAAAAACGGAAAACCCTTTCGTCTAGCGGGTTTTTCGTCTTGCGAGGCATTCGTCTTGCGGGGCACCACTGTAGATGTCCCATTAGAAACACACAAATTAAGATAAAATGTTAAGGTTAGGAGAGTGTTATACAATGTCTGTCCTGCTTAGCATCATAGCCAACTTGCATTCACACTTGAGCACCATTATGTGCCTTTAGTTGTATTTAAAAAACAAAAACAAAACATTGGGGTGTTTTTTCATTGAAAGCTACTCTTTACTGATGGCCACAATGGCTAATAATTTCATTATGGTCGTAGGCTATATAAAAATATATAATACCTACCGTATTTTTCGCCCTATAGGACGCACCGGCCCATAGGACGCACCTAGTTTTTTGGGGGGGAAATCAAGGGAAATTTTTTTATTTCCCCCCCAAAGGTTTGGGGGTTCTTTTCTGGCAAAGGTTTGCGCAGCCATCCCCAAGCTAGAAGAGGGAGACGGAGCGCTCCGTCTCCCCCTTCTGCCTTCAGGGACAGCCTCTCTAGCCTCCGTGGGGCAGCGGCTTGCCCCGCTGTCCCCCGAGTTTGTGGGGCTGGCGGGGCACCGCAGCCTCCAGATCAGGTCGGGGAATAGCGGGGTGGCGGCGCTCCGCCTCCCCGCTATCCCCCGAGCTTGTGGGGCTGGCGGGAGGGAGAAGCAAGCTTGCTTCTGCCCCCGCCAGCCTCCAGATCAGGTCGGGGAATAACGGGGTGGCGGCGCTGCGCCTCCCCGCTGTCCCCCGAGCTTTTGGGCTGCAGGCTGCTGCCCGCAAGCCTTGCAAGCCCGCAGGACATCCCGCCGGGCTTGCAAGACTTCCAGATAGCTTCCTGAAGCCTGGAGAGCGAGAGGGGTCGGTGTGCACCGACCCCTCTCGCTCTCCAGGCTTCAGCGAAAGCCTGCATTCGCCCCATAGGACGCACATAGATTTCCCCTTCATTTTTGGAGGGGAAAAAGTGCGTCCTATAGGGCGAAAAATACAGTAGTTTAATTCCTCAAGACGAAACCAGCCACAACAGTTTAAGACAGGAGAGGATTCAGTTGACTAGCCCTGCCACTAGAAGTCCTGTGCAAGGAGTTCCATTTGTGCAATAAGGCTTCCTCTCCACAACTGGGTTGGGAGAACCCACACAACAGCTTGCAGGGGGAGAAGAGGGGATATCTTTTCATATGGGAACCTGGAATGGAATTCCATTCCCAGTATTTGGAGGGAACTGTACTGACAGATGAGGTAGGGGGCAAGTATTGTTTTATATGAGAAATGTTACCTCAATAGAGATACAACGTATCACTATTCAGCATCAGATAGCAAGCTAAATTAGTATTTTTAGTATATATAATATGCAGAAGAGAGAGCAAACCTCAATCTCTACAAATAATTTTATGTATCTTTTCAGAGATGCTCCCAAATATTATTTCAATACATTATGGATATTTTCCAGACAATTTGAGCACTCATGAACTCTAATTAGGCAAAAGGTGTGGAACCTATAACCCCCATATCCATCACTTTTGAGTATTAATTATTTTCAGGGCGTGTGTTTTTAAAACACAATTAAGATGCTTCTTCAGTGAGAACTACTCATTGCTAATGCAGTAATTTATTTAATTGAACCCTTTCAGATAATACTGACCACTCCTTCTGGCCCATCAGTCATAACAGCAAAGAAGATCCTTCATGTACAGATGCAGTATATCTCTTATTATCGGGTACTGAGGCAAACAAAAGTGAAAGGCCATTAAACATAACTGGTCTGTTTTCAGGCTAAATAGCCTAAAAATCAGCCAGAGGACTTCACTTACCTGAAAATTAGGATGAAAGACACAGCAGTCGACGGAACTATAATGGCCCCCAAGCATAGCCATTCGATTTCCTGAGTAAATTGTATAAATAGCAATAGTGCTACCGTATGGCACAAATGCAAATTCCGGACTGCAGCCATGCGAGACTGTAAATTTGAGTCCTTTTCTACTTTCATTGCACACCTTCCCGTAATTCACCTGTAAAGATGTAAAGATACAAGATTTTATTTTATTTTTTTTAAATGATATTTATTAAAGTTTCAAAAAAAGGTTACATAGATAAGAATAAAAAAAATAGAGAAAAGAAAGATACAAAATACAAAAAAAACCCAATTAAAAACAATTTCATCTTTTCATCACTTATCTTTCATTTACTTGTTTCCCGGACCTCCTCATGCCTCCCTTTTTTGTATTCCAGTTCAATTTATCAGTTCAGCAATTCCTTTCCCTCCTTATTTTATCCTGATCTTTAATCTTAGTATATTACAGCATTAGGTTTTTGCGTATTAAAAATCCAATTTTTCCGTATTTTTGTATCACTACAGCTAGAAACCACTTAACTTCAATCCAACAGCATTCTAACATTCATTAATTTTGCAATATTTCTGTAAATAGTCTTTAAATTTCTTCCAATCTTCTTCCACCGACTCTTCTCCCTGGTCTCGGATTCTGCCAGTCATTTCCGCCAATTCCATATAGTCCATCACCTTCATCTGCCATTCTTCCAAGGTGGGTAGGTCTTGTGTCTTCCAATGCTTTGCAATAAGTATTCTTGCTGCTGTTGTAGCACACATAAAGAAAGTTCTATCCTTTTTTAACACCGTTTGGCCGACTATGCCCAGGAGAAAGGCCTCTGGTTTCTTCAAGAAGGTATATTTAAATACCTTTTTTAATTCATTATAAATCATCTCCCAGAAAACCTTAATCCTTGGGCACGTCCACCAAAGGTGAAAGAATGTACCTTCAGTTTCTTTACATTTCCAGCATTTATTATCGGGCAAATGGTAGATTTTTGCAAGCTTGACTGGGGTTATGTACCACCTGTATATCATTTTCATAATATTCTCTCTTAAGGCATTACATGCCGTAAGCTTCATACCTGTGGTCCACAACTGTTCCCAGTCAGCCATCATTATGTTATGTCCAACGTCTTGTGCCCATTTAATCATAGCAGATTTCACCGTTTCATCCTGAGTATTCCATTTCAACAGCAAGTTATACATCTTTGACAAAATCTTAGTTTTTGGTTCTAACAATTCTGTTTCTAATTTTGATTTTTCCACCTGGAAGCCAATTTTCTTGTCCAAATTGTATGCCTCCATTATCTGATAATAATGAAGCCAGTCTCGCACTTTGTTTTTTAATTTTTCAAAACTCTGCAGTTTCAATCTATCTCCATCTTGTTCCAAAATTAAAGATACAAGATTTTAAAGCTAGCTCCTGATGTCACAATGCAGGTATACGATGATTATTCATTACATTTACAAGCTGTAGCTCACTTCCTGTCATTATACTGTTGAATGCATACTCACACACCTGTCACATTTTATAGTGTTTCAGATTTGACGTTGATGGCTCAGGGTTATCTTGTAACTTGATAGCATCAGAACAAAACGTGAGATCAAAAGGGGAAGCAGCTAGCCAGCAGGAGTAGACTCTCTTTCCTGAAGACTATTTAACTGGTCTTGAACAGACCATAATATATATGCAGTATATTCCCAGAAAGGCAACCAAACCATTAACCAGCTGGACTAGACTCACCTGTGTTTACTAAGCTGGTGCACATGTATTTTGATCACAAAGACATGGCAGAGTCCATGCATTCTTACAGGCAAGGATATGTTTTTTAGTACAGTCGTACCTTGGTTCTCCAACGGAATCTGCTCCAGAAGTCCGTTTGACTTCCGAAAACATTCAAAAACCAAGGCGCAGCTTCCAATTGGCTGCAGGAGCTTCCTGCACTCAATCGGAAGCCGCGTTGGATGTTCGGCTTCCTGAAAACGTTTGCAAACCTTCCTTACTTCCAGGTTTGCGGCGTTTGGGAGCCAAAATGTTCAAGTCACAAGGCATACAAAAACCAAGGCACAACTGTATCTGGCTATCTCTAGTGTGATGTCCAGATTATAAAATTCTCTGTTTTGCATAATATCGCCTGGGTGGCATACTGTATGAGCCCTATTGTGCATGAAGGGAGCACACAGTGCCCTATCCCAAATGTCCCAGGTGTGCCAGCCCAGTCCCTTCATTCCTCACCATTGAGCTTTTGGTGCCCTTGGAACACAACCAGGTTGATATAGAAGCAGACTCTACCTGGGGCCCTAACCACTTAGGGCAGGCACATCCAACAGGTAGATCGTGATCTATCAGTAGATCACTGGACGTCTGTGGTAGATCACTGGCTCCCCCCAAAGAAGCCCAATAACTTTGGCTCCCCTAAAAAAAGTTAAACATTTTAGCCCTGCAGCCCATAAAAAGAAGCTCAACAACTTTGACCTGAACCCACTGCCAGTTTTTAACTCTGTGAGTAGATCACAGTCTCTTGGGAGTTGGCCACCCCTGACTTAGGGCTTTAAAAGTAAGAACGAGTTCTCTGAATTGGACTTGGACATGGTCAGGCAACCAGATAAACTCTTTTAAAGACTAGAAATTTTTTAACTTGTCTCAGAATCTGACCAGCTTGTATCCTGCGTTAACCATAGCTTTTGGATCATCTTCAAAGTCAACTGTCTTGTCCAGGTCTTAGACAAGGGACACGAGGGAAACCACAGCTGGCCACAATGTCATAGTAACTAGTGAGTTAGGCAGCTGTGTGAAGATGAGAAGGTTAAGTACTACCCATTTAATTTATGGAAGCATCACTGCAACTGAAATAAAGGCGCATCAAATACATTGTGTGTCAGGAGCTAAATCCCAGCGGAGGTACTCTGTTGAAAAATTATAACCCAATAACTGAATCCAAGGGGGAATATTATTGTAGAAACTTAATTTTCGGTTCTACTTGAGCAGTGAAGCCTTGTGTGGCTGCAGGAAAGAGCAACCAGAAACCTAGATTAGTCTCCAAGCCAGAGGCCTGGAGGAAATGTCAGAGGTTGGGAAGGTGATCTGGCCCTGGAAAAACCTTCTGTTCATTTTTTCAACTGAAACAAATTACTCACTTGTGAAAATACTTTCTGCTTCTTAAATTAAAAGTAAGCCAGAGTGAGAAAAAGGGAAGATGATTCATGAAACAAGCAGAGATCCACTTACTGTATTGGTGATGTGCAATAAAGTTGATATAGGCTAAAACACTTAACCTGACATTACAACTAACAGCAAGTTTTGTTTGCCCAAGGGAGAAGAAAATAAAAGCAAGAATAACTCCTCTTGCTTTCAGCTGATTGTCTTTCCTAGTTGGAATTATACATGCAGTTTCCAGTGGCTTACTGTACAGTATGGTAGGGAATTGGAAAACAGACAACATGAAAGGCATGCACAGAGATATCACCTGGAATAATGCAATAAACTTTTGTTTCAAAGAGAAAGATAACAAGAATATATGGTGAATTACAGAAGAAAAAGTCCACTGTCTCTTTGCAAAGTACTTTATATGCAGCTTTTCACAGGAAGAGTTCAAGTGAATAGTGATGAATTAAATTTGTAGATCTTGTAACATGCAGTGGAAGACAATTACCCTTCTGGAAGATTCAGGATTCAAGAATATAATTGCTCCCTCAAATACCTTTGATTATGGGATCACAGCAACAAATGCTGAAAATATGACACACAAAGTTTCAGAAGCAGCCACCCATGTGCGCAACATAAGCATGGATTAAATAAATTGTAGATTCATTTCAATGAGTTGGATGGTGCAATCAGAAATATTTTCATGAGTAGCTCACTGCTGTATCATCATTTAGAAAGAACATCTGTTCTTTGCTGGAGGCCAAATTGTTTGGAAAACTACTGCCATGCCATGCAGCAAGACCTCTGATGACACCAACAAATCAGGACAGGAAAGCCAAACGGAATCGTTACTTGCCACACACCTGATGTCAAGTATAGGGGAGGTGAGTGTGGCTTGCTCAAAACAGCCTGGCAGGCCAAATGAAGACACCCGTGACACAGAGGTTTCCTTCCACTGCTCAATGACTTTGGCTTCAAATGTCACAGAACATCCTTGAAGAAGATGTAGACCAAAATCCAGATAAACACTACTACTATGTTTGTACATGCTAGCTCACTGGAGCTATACACATTGTTGTACATACAACTGCTACAGGGAAAATCAACCCACAACTCAGGCATCAAGATTTTGACATACTGTTGTATGCCATTTACTGTAACTCAGATCAGACCACAAAATATTTATGGGCATTTCTTCTGGTTTTCATGACACTTGCCAGAGTCGTTTACATGCAACTAAAGGAAGGTATGTTTAAAGATTTGTTTGTAGTTATTTTCTTCTAAGGAGACAAGATGGACTTTTAATTTTTAAGAGCTGATTGCAGCAATGGGGCCTTGAGTTTAAAAAAGGTAATATATTCATTTTCTTTAACCAGAATTAATCCAGAATATATGTGAATTCAACAGTGCTTAGTCTGTGTTTGCTTGTCAGTTTGTTAATGTTGTTGATAATGTTCTGTGGAATATGACTGTTGTAATGCTTTGTGAATTTTATAATGTGACTTTTCTTGTGGCTGTGCTGTTTAGCCTATTTTTTAAGTTGCTTTGTAAATAGTGTTTTATAGACGGTGGTTGTTTTACTGATGTTCTGCAATTGTTTTACTGATTATTTGTTAATTATTTTATATGATTTGTATTGTAATTGTTTTTTTAAATTATTTTTATTCCCCCCCCAAATTATTAAAAATCGAAACAAATTACTTTAATACAATTTCTTAAACTCAGGTTTCTCATTTCCGTTACAATCGTATGTCCAAGATATTCCCCTTTCACTGCTTCCTTTCTTATTTAGTCTCCAGTTGACATTCTTCAGTTGTCATTAAGCCATTATTCCATCTGTCCGCTTTTTCACCTTACAAACAGCAACCTCAGTTACATCTTACATATTTATAATCCATTTCACGTGTGTAGTCTTTATCTTCATTTCATTCCAGACCTGGCGTGTTAAAAGAGTTCAGTTCCTTCTCTTGTTGTTCCATTCTTTGCAGTGTTGGTCTGAGTGGTATAAGGTCACATTTCATTCCATTCCGCTGTTATCGAACTAACATGAGAACCACAGCCATAGATAACTCGCAGAGTGAACTTTTCAGACTTCCGCCATTAAATTTCCCTTTGCAATTCTTTTTTGGCACAAAACACACAGCAAAATATTTTCTCAGCTTCAGCCACTCTTCAACAACTGTCCAGCTGTGGGTCATATCCCCTTTTCCTCACTGCATTTATCCAACAACACCCCCATCCAGAAGTGGTCGTAAATAAAGTCCATTCACCCTTGGTCGAGGGGGCGTGGAACCTTATTAAATTCCTTGTAAAGCATAAATCAGAAGCCCCCCCCCTTCAAAGTGACAAGCAGAGTAACAACTACACACGCCTCTTCGTTGTGTAGAGGACAGGAGAGAAAAAGACCATGAGAAAACCATAAGAAAGCACAAAGCACCTTGTCCTCCCCATTTCCTTTCACAGCTGTTGTAGAGAATCTCAAGCTTCAGAAAAGCTTTCAAATACCTTCAGAAAACCAGTCTCAGTTCTTTTGGCAGCTGATCAATTTGGATATGATGCTTTGGAAGCACCTCTTGATGAATGCCAATTATCCAGATTAAGGAAGAACCTTCCCCAAATTATGCTGGTAATGGAGGGTCGTCCATTGCAGGGGCACACTCCCTGATCTCCTTGCAGGATGCAGTGAACTCCCCAGACCCCACTGGAGAGCATCAAGAGTATTTATGCCTCATTTCCTCCCTTTTCCCTGCCTGAACTTCTTCCTAGCCACCGGAGGACTGCGAAGAACAATCCCCATTGATCGTGGGCATGGCTGGAAACCGATTTGTGTTGTAATTGCGATGTTCTGCTATGTTATTATTTATTGTATGTAAGCCACTTTGTGACTCATGTGAGTGAAAAGCGACACAGAAATAAAATAAAATAAATGAAAATACAAAATTTGTGGAAATGTACTTTAAATACACTGACTTGGAACCTGAGCTGCTCTTCCATTTCACAAGGCAGAGTGATTTCTCATTCCTTTTGCAGATCCCTGCAGCATTTTTCAAAGCTTCCCCATTGTCTTACAACCCTCAAGAGCATATTTTCAAAGGTACAGGAAGCTGAAGAGGGAAGATGGTGGCATGGCCTACCATGAATGTGTGCAGTTCACAGAAGGGAAGTTAGAATTCAAGCCATGTGAGAACATAAGAAGAGCTTGATGAGTCAGGTCAATGGCCCATCTAGACCAGCATCTTATTCTCACCATGACCAACCAGATGCCTATGGGAAGCTCAAAATCAGGACCTGAAAACAACAGCACTCTCTCCTATTGTGATTCCCAGCAATGGGTATTCAGGGGTATACGGCTGTTAGCCGCTTTGAGACTCCTTAAAGGGAGTGAAAGGCGGGATATCAAATCCAAACTCTTCTTCTTCTTCTTCTGTGACAGTGGCAGTAAAACATATAAGGCATGTTCTGTTGGGTGTGTCCAGGTTCTGCTGCCTTCCGGGGATGGGAAACAGCAGGTAGATTGAAAGTTTGCTACAACTCAGTGTAGCAGTTTATGAAAATCAATAGCCTGATGGTAAGGATGGATGGGGAAAAAACAGAATTTTGTCCATTGTGGAGTGCCCAGCCCTCTGCTGTTCAACAAGTGGCTCTTACAGAGTTTATTTTTGACACTTGATTGAAAGGGCAAACAAATTAAGTTATTAAGAAGTTAATTCTACCATTACAACATCTGTGGCAGCCAAGTCTGAGGCAGTGGAGATTACAGCATCATTCCAGAGATCAAGCTGCAAGATAAATATTTCCAAGTGACCTGAAAAAGTCTCATAACATGGGTTGCACAGTGTGCAAGCGAACAAGATTATGTTTCCTGGGTACTGTGTGTATATGTGAAATTGCGTATAGTGGGGGACGCCATCTAAAAAGCCTATAAACATCCTCTAAACCTCTGGAAACCCTTCAAAAACCCTTTTACAAACCAACAGCACTTACCAGGCTGACTTGAATCCCCCAAACTCCTCTAGAATCACTTCCACCAAACCTCCTTTCTCAAACTCCAACTCTCCATAGGCCCCAAAGGTTGGTGCAACGACTCATAGGATGTAGTTGAAAAAGCTCCTAGAATTGCTAGCTGTTTCCCCCACTCTTTTTGCACAGTTCATGCAGTTTTTGTGCCTTTTTGTGGCCCATTTATGGTGTATAAATGGTCGTGAGTGAGTTGAACATGCATAATAGGGGAGTCACATACATTACATTCCTCAATATCAGGACCAACTTGTTTAGTCATAGGTTATAATGAAAACAAAACTGTACGCAGTCTAAGTTGCCCCCCCCAACCCCAACAACTTCCTCAACTTACTAATGTGTTCTCTCCACTGGAACTGTTCCAGAGTCTCATGCGGTCATCTGTACCAAATGTCAGAAGGTGAAGTCCATCATTTGTGAAGCACAAGCCATTAACTCTTCCATTATGGGCTGTATTTTCTGTTAAGAAAATATGAACAACACCGGGTACTACAGAGTTTGATACGGCAAAATGTAAAACTCATCACGGCAAAATATTTGTAATTGCAGTGTTTGGAAGGGAAATGGTGCAACAATGTATTCTACTATGTGACAATGCTTGTCACCAAGGGTGAAACCAAATGCTTAAGTGTTGAAATGTTTAAGAACTTGATATACATGTGAATGCGGGTCCTACTATCAGAACACACGTTATCTGCAAATTCACTTATCTGAAGATAAAGAATTATGCCCAAATATCGCTAAGTGAATGGTTGATTCATATATTTGAATAGCCAGAGTTTGCCCACTTCCTTGTTTGTGCTTTTCTGGTCAGCAGCAACTATTTTTGAGTAGATGCCATGCTGGGGGGCGGGGGGGGGGAGAGCGGACAAATGAGGGAGCAAGAGAGATCAGACAAATCAGTTTTCCCCTTTGTCTCTCTTTTGCTGGTTGGCTGCAGCCATTTCAAGAAGAAACCATGGAGGGAATGGGGCGGGGAGAGACTGGAGAAATAATGGATTAGAAATATTCTCATATGGACTTCTGGGGAGATGAATGGTGGTTTGGCTATCTGTCTGCGAGCTCCTTTTGACAGAAGATAATTATGTGGTAAACAGATAGTCCAACTATTCATCACTCTGGAGTTAAGGGTGATCTGGAAGTTTACCTCAAACGCTTGGATTGAGGCCATTTTCCTGCTGTCCTTGTCTGGGAGCTTGGACGGGAGTTAGAATGAACTGGCAAGCTATTCTGCCCAAATATCACACAATAGGGAACCCATCTTGCACTTTTCGTGGGAAAAAGAAATGAATGATTCTGAGACACCTTGAACAAAATATATATTGTTTAACAGAAGATGGATGAAGATGGATGTTAGCATGGACTGAATGTTGTAAATAATCATTTTTTTTCTTTTTTAAGTGGCAGATAAGTTTTCTTTTTGTATCTTTTCCTAATGTTTCTTTTATTGTATAATAGATTTTTTAAGATAAAAACGTCATTGGGGGGGAAAAGTTCCCATATGAAATATTGTAATGGAAATAATCTAACAAACAATTTCCTGGGCATTGTGTTTGGAAAGTGAGACCTGTGTGTACTGCATATGTATACTGATTACCTGCTTCAGAAGATGCTTTTGACTTTTCACCATTATGTTGATCAAGAGTAATCAGACAAGCAGATGCTCTTCTTACATCCCACAATTTCACTCTACTGTCAGCACTAAAAGAGGAACAACACCTTGTATTGATTTATGGACAAGATTCATGGTTTCTATCCAACCCTACCTCACTCTGTCATAAAGGCAAGTGATGTCCTTAGGTTGGATTAGAAATTTTCTGTTAACATTAGTATGGTTATGTGCAAGTTCTTGCTAATATGCATACAATATCTGGTCTTCCCTACCCTGTTAATTTTAATACAGTGAGTTACCGTTTTCCAAGTGAAAAGTTTCTGACTACAGTGGTGCCCCGCAAGACGAATGCCTTGCAAGACAAAAAACTTGCTAGACGAAAGGGTTTTCCGTTTTTGCGTTGCTTCGCTAGACGAATTTCCCTATGGCCTTGCTTTGCAAGACGAAAACGTCTTGCGCTTTTTTTAAAAGCCGCTTGAAGAGGCGCAGTTGCGATGGACCATGCTTCGCAAGACGAAAAACATCGCAAGACGAAAAGACTCGCGGAACAAATTCTTTTCGTCTTGCGAGGCACCACTGTATTTCATGCGCTTCAGAAAAAGGTAAACCAAGGAACGGCTTATTTCTACAAATTTCTCTGTATTTCATTATTGGCCTATTCTGTCAATGAATTATATTCATTCTGAATTGAAAGACAAATGCAGTGTAGTTAAAAAATAATAATCTTGCTTTCTAAAGTAAAAATTTAACAATTGCTACTTATAAGAGTGCCTTATTAAAAATATATATTTACTTCAACTTTGGACCTTAGCCCTCAAGGCAGCTTACAAAATTACAAAATTTTAAATGGTAGCCATAAAAATGAAACAATTGTTATCAAAACCCAGAAAGTCATACTCACAAAACCTTCATAAAACAAGTAAAATATATCAACAATAATAAACAAATTCTATTACTTGCCACTAAAATGCCTAAATAATTTTTTCCACCTGGCACCTAAAAAACCATCAGGGATGGCACCAGATGGTTAACTTAACAGGCTTTTTGTTTGTTTCTAAGCATTACCACATTCTTTCTGTTGATGTACATGTTAAACATTTTATTTATGGCACATTTGAGCTATCTGCAGCCTTGGGTCCATATAAAGCCCTTGGGACTCCCCTTTATGTCCTGCTGAATTTGGCCCCATCGCTGCCAATTTCTCTGCACTGCAGAAAACCTCCCCCTGCCACAAAAGGCTGCTAGTCCATTCCTAGTGTGCTTTGTGGTCTGGGTAGATGCTGGAGTGTTTTTACGGATGTGGCTCAGAGGAAGAATTAGAGTGTGCCAGGTATAGTGTCTACTCAGTATTCCACCTGGCATCCCTTATTGTTGGGCATCACAACTTGACAGCTGGGCTTGACAGCTGTCTTTGGCTGGCTCCTCTGTTTCCCATTGAGATGGCACAAAGGTAAGTCACCGGGCACAGAGGGAAACTGGCTGGGGGAGATCCAAAAAATGACATCACCATGACAAGAAACAGAAGAGCTGGTAGGAAAAGCTGAAGAGGCAGGAGAAATAGCAAAGACCTTGGGACTCACAAAAGAATGCAAACTGGCTAGCAGAAGAGACAGAAAGACAGAGTCTTTGTGTGAGAGAGACAAAGGAAGAGGGAAGGGATGTCCCCACCCACTTTTGGTTTTGACTGTACCTACCCCTAGTATGTGTGCCCCAACTATTTTACCTTTAGGGAATGCGGACCTTGACTCTGCAAAGCTCACCCTTCCCTGATTTAATAATTCTATCCTTGTTTTCAGCCACATTGAGCTGTTTGGAGTAAAAGCGGGGTATAAACGTGTTAAATACATTATTATTGACTTTACCCCCAAAAGGCGCACTCCTCCGTTGTCTCCCAAGATAGACGGATGCCAACATCTATTATTATTATTACAAATAAATCAATGCCTAGTCAAACAAACAAGCTAGCTTTTCATTTAGCTAAGCATTCTGTGAGTCCTCCGCTGCAGCTGCCATCACAAGTGAAAACAGAGAACTGACCTCCACCTCCTGGTCATCAGAACATCACTTGTCCAAAATAACTAGGTCAGAGTCTGAAAGGGTTGAAATTAAATTGTGGCTGGTTTACTTCTGTTCAGGTATAAAGTCTGTACTTAGTCTCTGTTGGTGATTTGTGTAGGCTTTTCCACTTGCACGTGAAGTGACTGAGTTCAGGCAACTACCATTACGAAATGTTTTATTTGAGCAATAGCACTATCTGCCAGCCTCTCCTCAAGCCTGCTTTCCCCCTTTTCCCAAGCAAGCAAACAGTCAATCAAACAAGCTTGTATTTTTCCCCCTTGGCAGGCAAAGATAAGCAGTTATGTTAAGAGGTGGTAAAACACTGAAAAGTTTGAAAGGTTTTTTTATAAAAAATCCTTAGAATAAAGTTTAAAACCTGTATAGATAAACCCCAGGAATGCCACAGAGACGGCTGCTGAACTGCCTGTGAAACTGATTTATGATTCTTGGCTCCTTGGAGAATAAAACAACACTGAAAAGGTCCTTGCCCTCAATAAATCAGATAGCTGCTGAGCCGGCAACAGCATTAGCACATAAAAAGAAAAAAGAAAAAAACCCCAATTAAACAATTAAAACAGACTGTGGAGCTCAGTCCAGAATGATCTTTCTTGATGCCATCTTGGCCGGAAGTCCGTGTGAAGAGATGGTTCCCACCTGCCTCAAAAGAGGCGGTGGTGCAGCTGCTTATAAAGAAACTGGATCTGAACTAATAATAATAATAATTTATTATTTATAACCTGCCCATCTGGCAGGGTTTCCCCAGCCACTCTCAGTGGCTCTCAACAAAATATTAAGAATACAATAAAATAACAGACATTAAAAACTTCCCTAAACAGGGCTGCCTTCAGATGTCTTCTAAAAGTCAGATAGTTGTTTCCTGATGGGAGGGCGTTCCACAGGGCAGGCGCTACTACTGAGAAGGCCCTCTGCCTGGTTCCCTGCAACCTCACCTCTCAAAGCGAGGGACCCACCAGAAGGCCCTCGGAGCTGGACCTCATAATCCGGGCTGAACAATGTGGGTGGAGATGCTCCTTCAGGTATACAGGGCCGAGGCCATTTAGGGCTTTAAAGGTCAGCACCAACACTTTGAATTGTGCTCGTAAATGTACTGGGCGCCAATGTAGGTCTTTCAGGACTGGAGTTATGTGAGCTCGGTGGCCATTCCTTGGACTGGCACAACTTTTAACCAGTCACAAACACCTCCTTTTGGGGAAAGGTGGTGGAGAGTGTTTTGGTGGGACAATTAATTCCATTCTGATCTAGGTTCCGACCTGCCCATGGGACTGAGTTGCCCTTGGATGCCCTGATGACTTTTGCAGAGCGTTTGTTCCTGCTTCTCGATCTTTTTTAGGCTTTTGATACTATGGACCATGGTACCCTCCTGGACCAGCTACTGGGAATGGGAACTGACACTGTGTTACAGTAGTTCCAGTCCTACTGCCAAAACCAAGTCCAGAGAGTAGCACTTGTGGAATGCCTTTCACTCTGCCTGGCAGTTACAAAACGGAGTACCGCAGGGCACTATCTTAGCTCTAAGACTATTTAATAGCCATATGAAGCTGCTGACAGTGGTCATTTGGAGTTCTGGGACAAGCTGACATTAGTATGCTGATGATGTTCAGCTTTCTTTCTCCATAACATCTGTCTGGGCAGTGGTAAGATGGATGAGGTAAAAGCTGAGCTTGAATCCTAGCAAGATGGAGACACTGTGGGTAAGTAGTTCCCATGTCTGAGAAATTGGTCAACTCTGGATGGGGTTGCACTCCCTGTAACAGAACTGGTTTGCAGTCTAGGAATGCTTCTGCATCCAGCTTTGTCACTGCAGGCCCAACTGCAACTGGTACCACACTACAACTGCTCCTGGACTGGGAGAACTTGACCACAGAAGTTCATCTCCACTTTTTTCCAAAACAAAAAGAATTGGGGACATGCGAATAAATGAACCAGGAACATTACAATTTCTCCAACACATCACTGATACATTTTTGGTCATATTACTCAATAATAATGGATATTCAGCATACAATTTTGAGTGCATTTCACAGATTCTGTCCCAGATTCTTACTGAGACAGGTCAGAAGGAAGCTTTTACCCAGATACTGTTCCATATAGTATCATCTAATGGCTCACCCAGATCTTTTTCCCACCAGGCTTTTAAGGTTGTGAGAGATGACAGCATTTGAGAGTTTAATGTTTTGTAGATTAGGGAAATGAGGCCTTTCTCTCACAGCTATACAAATACTGCACACTCCATTCAAATAACCCTTAGTTTTAAATTTCAGTGAAATACATACAAAACACTAGTTAAGGGGAACTCCCTATATTTCAAGTTAAGAGCAAGAGACTAGACTATGAAACAAGCACAGAACTGGTTTTTTTTAATGGGTTAATTTTCATTCTAATTGTCACTACTTTATTGTTGGTTCTTTCTTTTACCTTGCAGTTGCTAAAATATATTCATAACGTGGTGACCAAGATACTGCTAGTATTTCTTGTTTGTGACCTAAAAAATAAGAAGCCATAAGAATCCTTAGTGGTATACAAGAGACTACTCATATACAAACAGCTATGGCACAATTCTTTGGAATTACCAAAGCATCTGACTGAACAGAACCTTATCTCTTCACCACTGTTGTAAAGGAGGCACTGTACCAGGATGGAAGAAATGGAAGACATGCCTTCCATATCCTCCAGCATAGGAAGTGAAGAAGGGGGCTAGATAGGGATACAAGAGCAGCCTCCCATTCTCTGAATTGCCATGGTGTGCCATATGCACACCGGGGGGGGGCCTGAATTAAGGCCCCTCCTGCCATTTGGAAGGATAAATGCTTAGCCCTGTTTTGTTTTGTTTTGTTTTGTTTTGCTTTGGTTTGTTTGCTATGGTAAGAAACCAATTCTTCAATGTATAAATGAGTTATTTCAAAGTAAATAACTCTCTCTGAATTAATTCAGAGAAAGATTGATTGCAATCTACCAACTACTTGAATTGATTTAGTTTCTTTATTTTTTTGCAGAGCATGTTATGGGATCGCTTTCTAAACAGAGACTTCAATTCAGTAATGGTCAACATCCTTCTTTCATTGTCCCCCACTTGAGTACACTGTTCTGTAAATTCAACAGCAAGTTATCTTTAAAAGAAGAGACATGCAGTCCCTCCAGTAATTATTTTGCTTATGAAGCTACAAAACACAATCTATGGAATCCTAGAGCAACATTCATACAAGTAAATCTACAGCTTAGGCTAGTTTAGTACCTTAGACTATACAAATTAAATTTTCTACATCAATGGCCTCCTTCTGAGGAGAGACTCAACATTAAATATTATTTTGGTAAATCAGAGAGTTACACGATCCCAAGAGCATAGCAAGCATAGCAAGACCTAGTGTGGACAGCAGACTAAGCAAAGTGGAACTCCCTACAGCTTCTTTCATAAAAATAAATTGGAAACTAAATATTTCTGATGCAGGAGGGAGGTAATATGGTCTGGCCTACAGATGCGGCAAAAAGAGGTGGTAATGAGATGGTAGTAAAATGTGCAGTACCACTATAGACTGTAAGATCTTTGAATACTCTCCTGCACTGTCAATAGAAAACAAGCACAACAGAGAACAGATTGTTATGCTAGCTTTGAACTGGAAGGGAAGGTTTTGTTCTGTTGTCACTTGGGGGAGCATTCACACTAGTATTCCCTAATTGCTTCCTGAAGTAATACAGTTCATTGTTCCTCTTAGGAATTCTAATTCTGTTGCATGTGTAGGTTAGGCATGGCACATATATTCTTGCCAGCTACTATGTACTAGTCAGCTGTAGCCAGCAAAACATCTTGTGTTTTTTATCTCAATTGTCATTCTGAGCAGCAAGAAATGGGAACTCCAGCACCATTAAAAGTAGTATATGGCATAAGGGGCAGGGAGGAAGAGCAGAGGGCAGGAAACTGAGAGGCTGCCCAGGGTACAGAAATGATTACTTATGGAACCTCCTACTACATCCTTCTTAAAGCTATCCCAAACATTCATTTTCTGGAATACAAAGTTTTATTTCATGGCCTATCTGCATTAGGCTTATCGGCTGCACTCCAATACATGCAAACAAGAATAACCTAGGCAATTGTCTAGCTGATTTTGGGTAAGTGGTTTCCTCAGTTTGCTGGGAACACTTGCCACTTTATATTTTAATGATGTGAAATTCAAGGAATCTAAACTGAACTAAATTGCCCAGTGTTTTCATAGTGACAAATCCATATTTTTACTTCTTCAGGCCCACAGTGCTAGAACAATATGTGGAATATATTGCAATTCTTGCTGTGTTGTTTCACAACTGGAACACAACATGTCTGTCATATTACTTACAAATAATATATTGTTTAGAGCAGTTCTTTATGCTGTGTAGTTTACTCAAAGTAGTTATTGTCTAGAATTTATGTTTCAGACTAAGACATACCCTGCAGAATGTGAGAACATGATCCAGACTTCAAGTCACAAAGCTGTACTTTGGGGCTTTTGGTACCGACTGTAAGAAAAAAAGACAAAATACATTAAGGAAAAGAGAAACACACTCTGCAACTTAAAATTGCAGCTATAAAAAAGCACACAGAGAAAGTGCTAGTTGTATTGTATTTTATATATCTTTGGGGGGCTTTGAATAAATGTATTACAAAAGTTACAAATTCCCCCAATATTTTTTTTTCTAGTAACTGTATTCTGCACCTTCATTCAGCTTATTTACCATAACATTAAAATAAACAGAACAGGGTGAACAGTTTTCTTTTATTCTTTATAAATTGACACAAAGGAATGTTTTATAAATGAAGCATTTGGAAGTACAAACAGAAGTCCACTGTGTGCAAATTACAAACTGGACACTGTTAAAAGTATTTATGGCTCTTAAGTCTAAATGCTAACTTGTACCACAGTAATTTGAGCCATCTCTTATCTTGAATATTGTCTCAGTATTCTAACAAGGCAGAATCTGAAATACTGATCAATTAATAAAAGACCAATTAATGCATATTTAGAAGGTACACTGTATTTTTTTAAACAATGAATACAAATACATACATTTAATTAACAGCACAACTCTAGATAAAATATTCCGTCTTATTAAGGAAATTACTCTGTTTTGGTAAATGTGTTTGATTTATGAAGAGCCTTAAAGAAGATGCTGAAAGAGCTAGAGAATTGGCCAAGGAGAGAGCCCAGGAAGAACAAGCATGCTCTGTCCCCCACTCTGCCTTCACACCATTGGCTGCTTGGCATCTGCCACTTCAAACATGATTCAGATTTTCATTTATAAAGTAATTCACAATATATAGGCATCATGGCAACAACAAAAATATTCTAACAATGCAATCAGTCTGCATGTTTACTCAGAAAAAGTCCTGCTGCACCTACTGAAACTTTTATCCTAGTATGTGTATTTTAGCCTGAATGTAGGGGCTGCAGATTTCAATGGCTGCAAAATAGTAGGCAAATAAAAGATTGCAGCACAATTCTTTGCAAATTATTCAGACGTAAGCCCCACAGCTTTAAATAGTGATTATAGGATTGCAGTCATAGCCTTTTACCTACCCTGCCCCAAAAAGGTAATTTTAAAAAGCAAGGTTAAAATGTTCTCACTAATCCATCTTAATCCTTACTGAAAAACACCAAAGTGATTTGTCATCTGGCTGGTGCTTTTTATTAGATAAGATTCAATGCATATTAGAGGATATTTCACAATGTCTCTTTAATAATGTGTAGGTGATTTTTATCGTTTGTTTTTTATTACTTTGGTCACAAATTGCTTAGGGATATTTTTAGTAGCAAGAGATGCGCCTATTGGGAAAAAAAACCCCAACCCCAAAACCTCCACCCAACCCATTTTTCATATTCATCTAAACCTGTTTCCTAAAATTAACTGGAAGCACAAACATCTAGATAAAGGTAAAGGGACCCCTGATCATAAGGTCAAGTCGTGGCCGACTCTGGGGTTGCGGCGCTCATCTCACTTTATTGGCTGAGGGAGCCGGCATACAGCTTCCGGGTCATGTGGCCAGCACGACTAAGCCGCTTCTGGCGAACCAGAGCAGTGCACGGAAACACCGTTTACCAACTATTTTCTTTGGTCTTGGTCTTGGTGGCTAATTTGTGTACAGGTGTCTTTTGTACAGGTACTGTAATGAGCTGGGATTACAGGTAAGACCTCTCCCTTACAGCAGGTGCTTCTAATCTCAGCTAAATACATACAGTGAAGATACCAAGTAGCCTGACATCTGGCTGGTTGATAGGGGATCAAATATTTATTTCACTCATTATAATGCACATCAATCTGTGACTTTTGTCTTCTGGGTTTCTGGGGGTTTTCCTGTTGTTATTCTGTCTCTCACAGCTACAATAAAGGTAAAGAGTAAAGGGACCCCTGGCCATTAGGTCCAGTCGTGGCCGACTCTGGGGTTGTGGTGTTCATCTCGCTTTATTGGCCGAGGGAACCGGCGTACAGCTTCCGGGTCATGTGGCCAGCATGACTAAGCCGCTTCTGGCGAACCAGAACAGTGAATGGAAACACCGTTTACCTTTCCGCCGGAGCGGTACCTATTTATTTACTTGCACTTTGATGTGCTTTCGAACTGCTAGGTTGGTAGGAGTAGGGACCGAGCAACGGGAGCTCACCCCGTCGCGGGGATTCAAACCGCCAACCTTCTGATCGGCCAGTCCTAGGCTCTGTGGTTTAACCCACAGCACTACCCGTGTCCCTAAGTTAACCCTAAAATTAACTGAAAGCACAAACATCTAGGGGCCAACAAATTCACAACTATCTCTTGGTAAGAAGAAACTGAAATTAACTGTAAGCCAAAAGCATTTGCTTCTAGGCTCACAGCTGACCTTTTATGTGAATACAAACCTGCGATTAAGCAATGCTTGGTAGCAACTGGAGACATATGATGACTGTACACTGTTTCCGCAAAATGAAACACATCTGCTGGCTGTCAATTGAAAGACAATATGTTTATTTAATTTGAATGTCCTGATCCAAATCTTAACATAAAAATAAGATTTTAAAATCTTATGATTTTATGAAATATATTGTGAAATATGGCATCAAAACCCCATCCTGCGAATGCCTTCAAATTGTACCCAGGCACACACTTACATTTGCAAGATGGGACCCTAACCAAAATTGATATTTCTGCCAAAATGATTAGTTTAAACCTGCTAACTATGACAATGTAAAAAACAACAACATAGTAGTACGTACTGGGGTATCAAGAAACAGCAGAGAAAATTTTCAGTGAGAGTGGCTTGTATTAATACATTCACCACCTGCCATGAATAAAGAGAACAGCAGTAAAACGAACAACAAAGAAAACTATCATTTGAATATTATCCAAGGCAGGTAAAGATGAAACTTGGTTGAAAAGAGGTTTATAGGCACCTTGAAAGCTCTGTGGAAAGCCTACACACAGCACTTTGCAAGCATTAATAATCACCTTATTGCTGGGGCTTGAAACACCCTGTGCACAGTGCTATGTAAAAAATGTGTCACCTGATGTCATTGTGACATCATGTGGTGACAGGTAGGTGGCTTGTATAACTGTAATCCAAATCTAACTCAGTTTCATTATGCAAATGTTATTAGCATGGCGGCAGAAATGCAGATTAGGAAGAATACATCATGAAAATCACACAATATGGAGCTGTTCGCCCAAACTGCAAAAACTTTTGATTATGCCATAGACTTCCTTTGTTTAAATTGTCCATGACTTTGTCTACTGTCTGCCTCTATTAGTGAGTCAACTGACTTATTTACTCTAAAAGTGATCTTACCAGCTAGATTTGCATGCTTAGTTTCCCCAACTATGGGTCCCTGCTTGCCAGACACAGATTCTGGATCAAATCCTGGTACCATAAGACTTGATCCTGCTGCAAATAATATATAGGCAGCCTTGCAGAAGTTGAGTAAACACTTGTAATTACTGTTTTTATAATGTATTCTAGAATTTAAGCTTCCCATGAAACCCAAACACATTTCCGCTTTCAAAACACTAAATACTTCCCATGATTTAACCCAACAATTAAAGATATGACTTACTTGTAATGTGTTTGTGTCCCATATTTTCAGGGTTTTATCAAATGAACTCGACGTAAACATGCCAGTATCATGAGGGTACCACTGAACTGTTTCTACACTGAATTTATGAACATTAGGATGACTTCTACAATGCAATAACAGAAGGACAAAGGTTACAACCGGCAGGTGTTTGCCCTAACTCTGTGCTTAAGCCTTTGTGGCTTAAGAAGCAAAACTCTGAAAGACTGGGGTGGGGGGTGGGGAGTCTACGGTTTCTTCATTTAAAGTTTTCTTCTCTACATTTATGATGTGGCAACCCTCCTCTGAATGTTAGTTCAAATTATATTTGTACAAGCGGGGATGGATTTTGCAAAAGGTTTATGATGGAAACTGACTTTATTATTTACGAAGTGAACTGAATAATGGTAAGAGGACTTGGAATTTAATTTAATTGGAAGTATAATTGCTCATATATCTTCAGTTGGAAGGAAGGATGAAAGGAGTCTGTGAACTGCCAAGGTTCTTTACTGAGTCATCTGCAGTTTGACAGACCGCTCTTCTTCCAAGGCTGACAGGAATAATAATAATAATAATAATAATAATAATAATAATAATAATTTATTTATACCCCACCCATCTGGCTGGGCTTCCCCAGCCACTGTGGGCGGCTTCCAAAAAAATATTAAAAAACTGTAATACATGGAGACAACAGGTAATATTTACTGGGACAGAGTGACTTTTGCAGCTGTTGTTAAAGTTGCAAAACAATGAAGCACAGGACAGAGCAATGGAGAAATTTCTGAAACAACAATGGGATATCAGCTCTGCCCAAAGCATGATGGGTAACAGCAACAACCGAGGGAAAGAAAGACATAACATCTTACAAGGAGAGGAAGAAACACCACAGACAGAGTAACTGCCATACACAGGAGGAGGAAGGATATAGTTTGAGTTCCTCACTTGTAGTTTTATAAATCATTTAATATGTTAACACAAATAGAGGTTATGAATATTGCAGTTGTTGTATGAGGGATTATTATTATGACCGGAATGTAATTGAAATCAATAAGATTTTGAAACGCAGAAATAAAGAAAACCATCAAATCTAGCACGCTGGGGGGGGCACGTTATCTAAATTATATAATTCAGTATTTGAACGATTGGTATTAATTGTATTATAAATAAGGTACTGTTATAATGAGACTAATATTGGACTGTAATTGAAAATAATAAAAAATTATTATTTAAAAAAGAAGCAGATCTCTGCAGGTAGTGGCTAGGGCACTAACAGCACTAAAGTTCCTTTAATGATTCAAACAGGGGAGAAGGTCTAGCACAGCTCAGGTAACAACCTTCCCAGCCAAGCAGTCTACATCTACTCAGAGATTAGGCCACGTATACAGACACACATGGACAATTTCGTGGGGTCACCTGTCTTTTGTGGGAGTGGCTTGCCATGCTAGATATGAGGAAGCAGAGGGTTCCACGCCATCTCTCTTTAACTTCTAGAAAAAGCTTTACAGTGGTACCTCGGGTTAAGAACTTAATTCGTTCCGGAGGTCCGTTCTTAACCTGAAACTGTTCTTAACCTGAAGCACCACTTTAGCTAATGGGGCCTCCTGCTTCCGCTGCGCCGCCACCGCACAATTTCTGTTCTCATCCTGAAGCAAAGTTCTTAACCTGAGGTAATATTTCAGGGTTAGCAGAGTCTGTAACCTGAAGCGTATGTAACCCGAGGTACCACTGTACTACCACTGCAAATGGCAGTCATGTTCCTCACTGCGTATGGCCCAAAGGAAAGAATGCTACATCATGGCATAGTTTTGTTCCCAGGGGCCTTCTTGGTAAAAGAAAAGTAAGGATGGCTGCCGCAACTTATAAAACTATACATGTGTACCCAGAAATAAGTCAATTTGAGTTCAGTGTTGATTAATGCCAGTTAAGTGGGTACAGGATTCCAGTTTAATTTGTGGTAAAATGTTTTTCCAAAATTTTCAGGAATGGAAGAGGATCTTCTTGGAAGCAACAGCATGAAGGAAGTATATAAAGAGATACTAGTGTTATAATACAACCATTGAAAAACAGTAAAATAGTGTAATATACACAGAGACACAGTATACAAGACAGCAGAACAGATAAAAACAGGAAATCAATAATAATAGGCTCCAATAACAGAGTTCAAGAAAACCTTGGTGAAAAGATTTGTGTTTAACAGATGTCTGAAGCAACGGATGGATCACGTTTCATGTATGGTAGAGGGAATGGCATTCTACAGGGCAGGAACAATGGCAGTAAATGCCCATTTTGGAGTTCTGCGTATAATACAGTTCTGCGTATTCTATATGTTAGAGTGCTGCAAGTAAAATTTCTCCAGATCTAAGTGATCTTACAGGTGTATACAGGGACAGGCGTCTTTCAGATAACCTGGCGTCAGGTTGTTCAGGACTTTATAAGTCGTCAACATGACCCTGAACAAGGTCCAGGAGCTAATAAGCATCCAGTGCAAAGCTGCAATATGTACCAAGGTTCTCCACCCAACAATCTGGCCACAATAAAATCAATGTCTCAAAATTTTATTACACCATCTAATGATACTCTGTTATTGGATTACCGGCATAACAATGCAAATTTCACCTACTCCAGACTTTATTTCTTCTTTTGTTTCCCCTTATGGTAATAACAGCCATACAGGTAGATATCATCTTATGCGTGGGTTATGTCCCTGGCTATCAGGACATATATGCAAAATCACATGAAACCAAAACAACCCCTGGAATGATCCTGCATGACTATCCCTTCCTGTCCAAAGCTGGCACTTAGCGGGCTTTTTAAGCCACCTGCCTTGCCTACCGTGCTCTGGGAAGGTAGCACAAAGTCTCCCATGAGATCTGTCCCTATTATTTATTTATTGGCGATTTGTGTAAAGCTGTGATTGTGTAAGTAAAATAAGTGTTGTGGGAAGGAGGAGTGGTAGTAATTTCTGCCTTCTGAGTAGAAAGAAGGAGGAAGAACCCAGACACTGAGGTCCAGCACCAAGGGCCTTCTGGCGGTTCCCTCACTGCGAGAAGCCAAGTTACAGAGAACCAGGCAGAGGGCCTTCTCGGTAGTGGCGCCCTCCCTGTGGAATGCCCTCCCACCAGATGTCAAAGAGAACAACAACTACCAGACTTTTAGAAGACATCTGAAGGCAGCCCTGTTTAGGGAAGCTTTTAATGTTTGATGTATCACAGTATTTTAATATTTTTTTGGAAGCTGCCCAGAGTGGCTGGGGAAGCCCAGCCAGATGGGCGAGGTATTATTATTATTATTATTTACCATGCAGACAACACTAGCTAGCAGTACATTGTAAACATACAGTATAATGCCAATAAAAGGTATATTTATAAGGATTCCATTTGTAAAGAGTACATACCTTCCCACAGAACAAACAGCTTTGCAGGTATAGCATGGTTTTTGGCTAAGGTTTTCAAGATCATACAATACAATAACACCATCAGTGCCACCAGAAAGCATGCTGTAAGAAAACAAATTACAACTAACTTAGACACATTAGACTTGGGGGGCTGTGTGTGTTAAACTCCCAAAAGGTAAGTCCAAAATTAAGGCTGTATTGTGAATCTGAACATTTTCCTGGAAATTTCTCAGCTGTAGTAAATCAAGTGGAATCCAATTTGATGTGTATGACTCAAAACTTTTTAAACAGCCATGTCATCTATGTGACTCATAAAATTATCAATAGTAAAACATATTTAGGTAAGAATTCAAGCAGGAACAAGCCACAGCAACCTCCAAGCTTATGTGCTTCTTTTCCTCTGCATCCAGAAAGAGTTCAGAAGCTATTGCTTACACACTTTTTGAAACTCAGTCTTGTCATGTTGAGTGGACAAACCAACAGTTGTTAACATTAACTACAGTTTGTTTCAAACAAGCCAACTTCAAATGATAGTTATTAAAGTTACTAAAGCTGGCTTAAACCAAACCATAGTTTGAGGTCTGGACCACATACCATGCTGTGATAAATCAGAAGCTTCCAAACTCCTTCTCCCAGTTGTGCAGGAGAGGAAAGAGGATAGCACATTAGTCTTGAGGGTCGCAAAGAACTATTTCGTCAAAAAAATAGTAATTAGCCATTGTAGTTCAAAAGCTTTCTTTAGAAAGTAATTTTATTGGGCTACTAATACATGTTTTAAGACAAGAGTGGCCACTTTTGTCCTCCTGAGGTTTCCACTACTTCAGGAGTCATTTGCCAGGGATCACATGCCCGTGGTGAGTGGGGTGCGTGTTACATCAAGTGGTAGACCGAGAAAAGATCTCAAAAAGCTTGCTGAAAGGTGGCTTTCAATAGGCCCTAAAAAGATGACAGAGACAGTGCCTGTCTAACATTCAAGGGAGGGAATTCCAAAGAGTAGGTGCCACCACACTAAAGGCCCACTTCCTACATTGCAAGAGACAGACCTGCTGATAAGATGGCATCTACAGGAGTTCCCTACCTGCAGTGATGCAGTGCTTGATTGAGTACATAAAGAGTGAGATGTTTTATGTGTCCTGGTCCAAAGATGTATAGGGCTTTATACACAACCATCACCCTGAACTTAGCTTGGTATTTGACAGCTGACTGGGGATGGGGGGGTGGAATCATCACCATCATTTGTACCCTGCCCATCTGACTGGGTTGCCCCATAGAACTGTACACTTGGAAGGGAGCACAAGGGTCATTTAGTCCAACCCCCTGCATTGCAGGAATCTTTTGCTCAACCTAGGGCTTGAATCCCTGATTAAGAGTCTCATGCGTTACTAACTGAGCTATCCCTGGGGATGCAAAGCGGGATGAGGCCTAGGATCTCCTGGATGGAAATAACGAGCTGTTCCCTTACCAACTAGGGCTCCTCCTCCTTGGCTTAGGTCTTGGGGAAGACAAACATTCCATGGTGTTTGATTCCTGATTGCTGTGGTTGTGTGGGTAGGGATCTACCCATGGTGTTTGCAGCATGGGTTCAAGTCCTGGGAGTGCTCTCTCTTTTGCAGCTTGAATTCCTGCTGCCTGTTTTCCAATCTCCTACCATACTGTGCAATAAGCCACTGGAAAGTGCTGTTGCTGGCATGTGCAATTGGCTCCTCTGGTTGGATGTCCTTGGATTCTTCTTAGCTGCTTGGCAGAGCAGTCTTTCTGCACAACCACCACCCTGGGTGGTTGTCAAATCTTGGGTCTCAAGAGGGTCTCTTGTAGTGTTAAGGTATCTTACCTAAGGAACTATGAGGCTGCTGTTGAATGGGCAATCAACCTTTCCCTTTGTGTGATGTGCTTGTTAGCACCAGAACAGGATTCAATGTTGAGTCTGTAAAGATGTGTGGGGACTGGCAGTAGTAAGGCTGTTCCTCCCCTTGCCATTGGGACATGTGGAGTAGGCATGCCATGGTGTGCACAAAGTAGCAAAGAGAACGTGACCCAAAACCAGAACTATACTAATTTTTGATGAGCCAGAACATAATTTTGTTGCCTGAAAGAATCTGTCAAACCTGAACTGAACAGAAAGGTAGCTATGTGTGTCAGGTTACTAGTTCACAATCATACTCCAGCCAAACAACATAACACCTGATGTGATTCATTAGTAGCACCAGAACTAGAATGCGCACATACAATAAAACCAATAGCTGGAAGGATTTGTATATTTTGGATCTATACAGATTTCTATAGGTCTTCAGGGCCCATGGAGGAGCACAGTGCAGCAGCCTACTAGCCTAGTAAAGGCACTGGGAATTGGGGAGATGAGTGAGCAGGCCCTCCTAGGCCCAGGATATCTGAAGGAATCTTCAGCCCAGACACTGGGGAGTATGGTGTTTGTGTGGGGAAGGATCATTAGAGATGGTATTCCTTTCTGGACTGGTTCTGAGGTTTTCTGCTTCCTGGGGGCTTAAAAGTATGTTGAACACTTTTTATGTTAATGCCCAGTGGTTACGCTATCATGTAGCTCTTATGGTATGAATTGGGCTAGGATGGTACAGTGGTACCTCGGGTTACATAAGCTTCAGGTTATATACGCTTCAGGTTACAGACTCCGCTAACTCATAAATAGTACCACGGGTAAAGAACTTTGCTTCAGGATGAGAACAGAAATTGTGCTCTGGCGGTGCGGCAGCAGCAGGAGGCCCCATTAGCTAAAGTGGTGCTTCAGGTTAAGAACAGTTTCAGGTTAAGAATGGACCTCAGGAACAAATTAAGTACTTAACCCAAGGTACCACTGTACTGAGTGGGAAGGGAATGTTACTTTTAAGTTTGAATCTGCCCATTTTGACTAGTATTGTATCTATTCATTATGTTACCAATTTTATTAAACAAAACATTTTCAGAAATTGATTTTTTTCTTTGGAAAAAATTATCAATGGGAAATTTTCAATTATTTTATTGAATATATTTTAAAATATGTTTTATACAATACATTCCACAATAAAACATATAGTAATATCATGTACATACTATCGACTTTCCACAGGTTCAATATCCAAGGTGTTAATACCACTTCCATGGATTCTTTCTATATCTTTATCCTTGTTTAACTCCAGGCTCAGCACCCTTAACAAGAACAACAACAAAGTCATTAAGAAATGTAATATATGACACAACTTCAACCTATTCAAAAATTGTCAGTATCAGGCACTTCAAGCTGATCCATCAAATTCACCATTCACTGCTTAAGTGGACTCACAAATCAGTTTCAGAAAACTGATCTTCTGCATGTTGGTGGAGTATGTTTAGGATACATTTATATTTACATCAAACAATAAAAATGATAAATGTATCAACAGGCATATAATGCTAGGAAAAAAGTCCATAAAACAACAAATCTTCAGTTGTATATATTATAGATATCCAATTTGCACTCACTTGAAAGAGAGTGACATATCTGAATCCTATGCATATTTACTTGAAAGTAGGTCCCAGTGGGTTCAGTAGGATTTACTCCCAATAAGTGTGTATCAGATTGTGTATCAGATTGTGGCCTCTGAAACTTAAACTGCATGGTAGACACTAATAATAATACCCTAATTAGACACTAATAATAAATTTAGGACATCTAGTGGACAAAATGATTTGAGTAACAAATGAAATTTCTGTCATCAGTGAACTAGTATTTCAAGTTCCAAAGAACTGTAATCATCCCTGAACTGGGGTTCATTAAGGTTGTCTTAATTGCCATACATTCAAAACTGAATGAAGTGTCATTGCAATCTTATTCAAGTGTATGGAAAAGCAAGCCATATTAACTATGGGACACACTTCTGAATGAACAATTATAGGATTAGACAGCAAAATACGTCACTAATTTGACAACATTCTGGTTACTAGAATGGCATGCAGTACTTGTTCTTATAGTTTAAAGTATGCATTGTATTACGGACCCAGAAATGAATAGAGTTCAGATGCTTTAAAACAGGTATGGCAAACCTTTGGCTCTCCAAATGTTGCTTAACTACAACTCCCATCATCCCTGGCTGTTGGTCCTGCTTCTGATGGGCCAAAGTTTCCCTATACCTCCCTGACTACTGATAACATAGTTTAAAAAGTTAGAAAACCTACTTGTTAGAATATTCTAGAAAGAACTTGAGAATTGGTCTTGAACAGGTTGCTAGGCAGGGTGGATTAAAAAAAAGATTTAAAAAACAAAAACAAAAAAGAGAGATTTTTTAAATTTAAATTGGATTTTTTAAAATTTAAATTGTATTTTTAAAATAAAATGCTTTTGGAGGAAACATCTTTCTAAAGATAGATTTTTATTTAAGTTACATTATAGTCCAAAGGCTATTCATCAGGAAATAAGGATTTGTTTTAAGTTATTCATGTGTGCTAAAACTCAGTCTGTTTTTTAAAAAAATCGTTTAACCACATCAGTTAACAAACATGGATACATATGCTATAATGTTATTGTTTTAGTTAAATAAATTGTTTAAATTGTTATTAAGGAAATGATTATTTTTCTCCTTCCAATTAAGTAGAGCAGAAAAGTTGTCCAAATATAAATAATAATTTCATAATTATCTGTTTATGTATTTGTAATAGAATAACCAAATCAGTAATTTTTGATATAATTGTAAAAACTACTCCGAAAATTTCAAATTCCAAAAATGAAACCTTCACCGGGTTGTAAATATTAAGATTATACCAGCAAGAATGAGTCTTTCTGTAAAAAAATGATTTAAATCAAATCTTACTGACTAGTGATTTAAATCATTTGATTTAAATCAAATCCAACCTGTTGCTAGGCAACAGAAAAATCTCCCCAGCAACAGGTGCCTTTTTAAAGGGCATGTGCTCAATTAAGCTCAGTCAGTGTGTAAATGCACAGAAGTGTAAATGAGTCAACAATTGAGTCTCAGAGCTGGATGGCTAGAGGAGAATGAATTATGTTGTTTTATTTGAACCAGTGTAAATTTTTGTAAATAATAAAGATTTTATGTAAAAAGAAACTCTGCTGCAAGCCTGAATAAGAATACAACCCAATAAGAATACAACCCAATCCATACACGCATCAACAAGGTTATGGGCCGAGATCCGAATGTTCCGGAACTAACAGTTCCAGAACCGGATGTTGCAGAACCAGATGTCTCAGTACTGGATGTTCCAGAGAATCCAGTGAGCACTGAACATAATGTTTCGGAACACCCTGAGATAGGAATTTTGTGTTTCAGGTTCTACCTTAACATCAGTTTCTCTATCCTGGAAAGTTTCTTCACTCATTGCTCTTTGTCTCGTAACCTGTTTTGAATTTTCAGTTTGTCTCTGTGTCTCACTTTGATAATCTCTGACTTGAAGGAAGACACACTGCAGAAGTATTTTGTCTACCTTGTGCTTGCTCATGAAAAACGACATATCGACTATTACACTTTTGCTTTTAAGAGATTCGTCTATACCCTTTTGTTTGAGAATCATAACCAAGAAATTAACACTCTAACTCCCTTGAAGAGAGTTTCCTGCGTGTATCAGCTTGAACATGCACAAAACATTTACATCCAAACACACGCAAATGCCCTAACTTGGGTTTTACACCATAAGGAGTAGTGTTAGCTACAGAGGTATACAATCTATTTGGAATGTAGTTTGCTGTGACCCATGATTCTGCTCAGAAAACCTCTGAACAGTTCTCCTTTTAATTGTGCTCTAAGCATTTCTTGGTGGAAGCTCCAAGTCTCTGTGCCCCTGTCAACCCTTTCCAGCTCAGAGCCAGGTGTACATAAGCTACATTGCAACTCGCCCCCCCTCCATCTACAGTTAAACAATTTACAATCAGAAGAACAGGGTGAGTCCTAAAAATATGTATCTCAGGTGTCAAAGACCAGTATGAAGTGGTGGGTCTTCAGCATATGTCAGAAGATATACACTGAATGTGCCACATGCACCTCTTTGGGGAGGGAATTCCACATTTGAGGGGCTGTCACAGAAAGCCAGTCAGTGTAATGTGATCCCCTGCAGTGGTGCAAGGGCAGGACTCAGGGCCAGGGTCCCACTTCACAAAAGAAACAGGTGGTTCCTCAAATACAGAAGAGCTGGTTTAGAGCACTTTGAAGTAAGTGAAGCAATAATAATAATAATAATAATAATAATAATAATTTTTATTTATACCCCGCCCTCCCCAGCCAAGGCTGGGCTCAGAGCGGCTTACAAGCAGTAATAAAAACAAGTTAAATGATTACAACTTAAAAACAAAAATACAACATTAAAATACTGAAACATTAAAATATTAAAATGTAGCCTCATCGCAGAAGGAGAAGGAAAAGAAAAAAGAAAGAGAGGGAGGGAATCAAATTGGCTCCAAGCCAAAGGCCAGGCGGAACAACTCTGTCTTACAGGCCCTGCGGAAAGAAATCAGATCCTGCAGGGCCCTGGTCTCATGAGGCAGAGCGTTCCACCAGACCGGAGCCAGAGTTGAAAAGGCCCTGGCTCTGGTTGAAGCCAATCTAACTTCCTTAGGGCCCGGGACCACAAGGGTGTTGCTATTTATGGACCTTGAGGTTCTCCGTGGGGCATACTGGGAGAGGCGGTCCCGTAGGTACGAGGGTCCTAGGCCGTGAAGGGCTTTAAAGGTCAAAAACAGCACCTTAAATCTGATCCTGTACTCCACCGGGAGCCAGTGCAGCTTGAAAAGCACTGGGTGAATATGCTCCCATGGCAGGGACCCCGTGAGGAGTCTCGCTGCAGCATTCTGCACCCGCTGGAGTTTCTGGGACAGCTTCAAGGGCAGCCCCGCGTAGAGCGAATTACAGTAGTCAAGCCTGGAGATGACCGTCGCATGGATCACTGTGGCCAGGTCGGGGCAGGAAAGGTAAGGGACCAACTGCTTGACGCGGTGAAGGTGGAAAAATGTCGCCTTGGCTGTTGCTGTAACTTGCGCCTCCATGGAAAGGGAGGCGTCAAGGATTACACCCAAACTCTTAACGGAAGGCAATGGCACTAATTGGGCCCCCGCAAGAGAAGGGAGTTGGTCCCTCATCCCCATGCCATCCCAACCCAGCCATAGGACCTCTGTCTTCGAAGGATTTAGTTTCAATCGGCTCCCACGAAACCATCCAGCCACAGCTTCCAAGCATCTGGTCAGTGTGTTCGGGGCCGAGTCGGTGTGGCCATCCATCAGCAGATAGAGCTGAGTGTCATCAGCATATTGGTGACAGCCCAGCCCAAAGCTCCGGATAATCTGGGCAAGGGGTGCATAAAGATGTTAAAAAGCATTGGGGAGAGGATTGCGCCTGCGGCACTCCACACACCAAGGAGTGGCGCGACGACATTTCCTCCCTAGTGCCACCCTCTGTCCCCGACCAGAGATAAAAGAGCACAGCCAGTTACGGGCTATGCTCTGTATCCCCACGTCTGCGAGGCGGTGGTCCAGAAGATCATGATCAACCATGTCAAAGGCTGCTGACAAATCTAAAAGGATCACCAGTCCTGACCCGCCTCGATCCAGCTGTCTACGGAGATCGTCTGTTAGGGCAACCAGAGCCGTCTCGGTCCCAAAACCAGGACGGAAACCGGACTGAAATGGATCTAAAGCCGATGTTTCCTCCAGAAACCTACCAAGCTGTTCAGCAACCACTCTCTCAATTACCTTACCCAGATATGGAAGATTTGAAACTGGGCGGTAATTGGATAGGTCTAAGGGATCTAATGAAGTTTTCTTTAAGAGTGGACATACCACTGCTTCCTTCAGTTCCCCTGGGAATGTCCCCGTGTCAAGGGACAAATTGATAATTTCAACCAGGGGGGGTCGGGCAACATCTGGACACTCCCTAATCAGCCAAGACGGGCACGGGTCAAGGAGGCAGGTGGTGGGCCTACTAACTTGGAGGAATCTATCCACATCAGCAGGGAGTATTCGATCGAAATGGTCCAACACTGGACCTGAAGTCAGTCGAGGGGCCTCCAGTTCAGTCACTGTATCTAAATTGGCAGGGAGGTCACGGCGGAGCAACAGGACTTTCTCCGCAAAAAAGCTCAGGAATGCCTCACAGCTGTGGGTCAAATTTGTGCTTAAATTTGGTTGTCCTCCTAAGGACGTTATTGATCTAATTATTCTAAAAAGTTGTGCCGGGCGAGACCTAGCGGATGCAATGGAAGCTGCAAAGTAAGATTTCTTAGCAGCTTTCATAGCCATCTCATAGGCTTTCATAAGCGTCCTATAAGATGTTCTTGAGGCTCCATCACGAGTCTGTCGCCATGCTCGCTCTAGCCGTCTGAGATCCCACTTCATTTTCCGGAGCTCCTCAGTAAACCAAGGGGCCCGGTTTCGACGGGGTCGCAGAGGGCGCTTAGGCGCGATCTCATCAATGGCTGCCAAGAGCCGGTTATTCCAGTCCTCAACAAGGTCATCTAATGAGTCGCCAGGAGGAGCAGGGTCCCGCAAGGCTTGTCGGAATCTATCAGGATCCATCAGTTTTCGCAGACGAGCCCAAATAGGTTCACCACCCGAGCAGGGGAGGAGCGGGAAGTCAATCTTGGCTTTCAGAGCGTAGTGATCAGACCATGGCACTTCCACAGGGGGGAGCATGATCACATCTATGCCAGCCCCAAAGATCAGATCCAGCATGTGGCCTGCTTGATGAGTGGGGCCCAAAACAAACTGGGAGAGCCCTAGTGTTGCCATGGAAGTCACTAGGTCCAGAGCCTGTGAGGAGGGAGCGGCATCAGCATGGACGTTGAAGTCTCCCAAAACCAGTAGGCTTGGGAACTCCAAGGCCCAGCCTGCCACCACCTCCAGCAGGTCTGACAGGGTGGCTGCCGGTGTGCTGGGTGGTCGGTACACCAGCCAGACAGCCAAGCTCTCCTTGGTGCCCCACACGAGACCAACACATTCAATGCCGGAGATTGATATACACATTGCCATCTAAAGAGAGGGCTCACCTTTAGTCCAGAGTTCACCCAACTGCACCACTGCTCCCTTTTCTATGTATGCACATACTCTGAACACCTGCAAAAGGACTTGTCCAGAGAGAGTCTTGCTCTGCTGGGATGCAAACCCAGGCACAAATCACAATACGACACAGCTCCTGAATGAGATCTGGCCAGCTAAGTGACACATTACCATGATTCCCCAGATGTTTGTGACATCAGGAATTGCTTTATGAATTACTAGGGTTCAAACACTGTAATTAGCCCTGCCTGTACTTTTCTGCACTTCATTTTCCTTCTACCTCACCGTTTACAACCCCCCTCCCTGTAAACCACGCGCATGTATGTATGTGTGTGTATAAAATAACTCAGGATAACATCTCATGTATCTGATGACACGGACCACAGTCCACGAAAGCTTTTGCCGCCATAAATGTCTTAGCCACTCATGCACCCCAAGACTCTCTGCAGCTCTCGGTGCCATAAGAACCAGACAGCCAGAAAGAGCTGCCAGGCGAGGCCAGAGCACAGCTCCGGCCTGCCCCAAGACTTGCTTTACCTCCTGGTAGACTCAGCCCGGCGAAGCCTCAGCGGGTCTTCCAAGCCTGCTTGGCGGGCAGAAATAAAGCCCAACATGACGAAATGTGATAAGCCGCAGCCACGGCACCGCCATGTTGGGGGAGCGATCTAGCGCTCATTGGCTCCCAGTGAGAGCCCCTCAGCCAATGCTGGGGCTTGTTATTTAAGACGTCGTCTCCCGTCGCCAGCGCTGAACCGGAACAACAGAGCGCCCATCCGCAGAGTTTTGGAGGCGGGTCGGCGCGCGCGCACTCCACACCCCTAGTCAGCGTCGGGCTTAGCTTGAGCTGCGTCAACGGCGGGAAGCGGACATGACATTCAAACGGTTTCTCGACGGTTCGAGGCTCTAGACCGTCACGTGTTTGACTCCTGTCAGTGTGGGGAACAGAACTCGAGAGAACCGCGCATGCGCCTTATTCTTCCACGGGCATGAGCGGCGTCTGGCGGCTCTTGCGCTCGCTGAGGCTCCGGGTTTTGGGGCCAGCGAAAGAGTATGTCGGCGCAGACCCCCAGGGCAACAAGTACTACCGTGTCCCGAAGCACGAAACCTGGGCAGGTGAGGGGAGGGAAGGAGGCGGGGCGAGCCGGTCTGAAGGTCAAACCCGGGTTATGTTTACGAGCCGCGCGCTCTCCTCAGAAGGTTTTTGCGTATCCAAAGTTCCCTCTGGCCGAGCTGGAATAACGGCCGCCCTCTCGGTCGCTCACGCGCTCCCTGGAGCCTGGCGGGAGTTGAGAGCCCGGCGTCGTCTGAAGGGCCACAGGTTCCCTACGCCTGCCTTTTGCTTCCATTTAGTGGGCAGCATCCTCTCTTCAAAAGCCACCTCAGTTGGGCTTTCTCCCAAGGAATGGTGTATAGTATTATTAATCTGTATATGATGGAAGCTGCCCAGAGTGGGTGGGGCGACCCAGATGGGCAGGGCACAAAGAATAAATTTATTATTGTTGTTACTATTAAGGCTCTGAAGACCATTGAGAGCTAACTTATTACATACTTCAGTATCCTCTGCAAATTTTTAGGGATCTCTGGGCTTGCTGGCAGTGATGCAGGCAGCTGGATTGGACTGTCACTTTATAAATTAATATTTAATATTTTGTTGGGAGCCGTCCAGAGTGGCTGGGGAAATGGGCGGGGTATAAATAATAAATTATTATTAATTCTTATTATTTCCCACAGTGCCCCAGAGCGATACTTGGTTGGAATTGTGGGGAATTAAAAAGGTAGTTTTACATTCAGCTGTCTGATGCTGTACCAGATCTCCAAGGTAGGCATCGCCAGCGAGCCTCTGGGTCATTGACAGCTGCTCAAGGATGCCAACTGCTGACACAAACTCTGTGAATAACCAAAGCCCCAGCCATGTCCACTCAACACTTAAATAGTATTCTATTAAATGGGACTTAGTTAAGTGAGGCTAGGGTTGCACTAATTTCATTAAGATATTAGCCAAGTTATTCTGTAAGTGAAACTTAGGTTTGTATTCAACATTAGTTCTACTCAGTTCTACTTAGTTGAATACAACCCTTTGTATTTACATTTTAAAAATCTATTTTTATCTACCGTGACCCTAGTATAGTTAAAATAAAATTCTTTATGCTGTTATTTTTTCTAGTTGCCAAGAGAGCTATGCTCTCTGATCAGAAAGTAGCTTTACTGGAAGGTCACATTTGAGCTAAAGTTCCAATCAGTAATTTACAGATTGGGATTTGGAGAGAGACAGTTTTAGTACAGAAGCTGCCACTTGCCAGCCCATTGTTAGATTTCTTTATGTATCTTGAACGATGAGGCTCTTTTTCCATGAAGTCGTCTAGAAATAAATGATTAATAATCACATTTTAGAAATTAGCACTGAAATTCTAGATCTTTGTACATCTATGATATTTTGAGTTTACACTTGAAAATATGAAGTATATTGTGCACATGGGCACAAGAACAGGGTCTTTTCTGCAAAGGCCACCCAATTATGGAATTTAATTGTCGGCCATATCAGGCCAGCTTCATCTCTTGTGTCTTTTGAACAGGCCTGAAAGATTCATTTCATTCTTTTGTCTTTTAATATAGGATGATGGTTACCAGATTGTAGTTTTCAATGTGCCACTTTTTTCTTATGCTGTTTTTATATTTTTAGAGATCATTGGATATTTTAAATGTATTAAATGTGTTGTGTTTGTATGTTTGGTTGTAAACTGCTTTGAGAGATAATCTTGCCTGAAAAGCAGAATAGAAGGGTTTAATTTAAATAAATATTATACTGGTATACCGCTTGGGTTGCTGTGCTTTACTGCAGCTTCCTATTGAGTTTACACTTAGTTGGAGACCTGAATGTCTGCGTGAAAGGACCCTACATAGGATTGTAACTTGTCTCAGCATTACCTGTTCCCAACTATGTCTGTATGACTGCATATTCTCAGATTTTTTAGCACGTTAAACTTGTTAAAAGATTAGTTTGACAGTGATTAAATAATACAATTCCATCATGCTTGTCCCAAGAGAAACATCCAGGCTAAGTCATTTACTCTGAGATGACTTCTGAGTTGCCACTCTTGAAACTGGATGAGCTGGAAGGTGGGATTGGACACTTAAGCAACCATGATTGATGACTCATTTTTAGTATCTCAGTCAAGTATTTCACTAAAAAGGGTAGATTTATCTGTGTAATACATTTATTTTTTTACTGTATAACACTGTCAGGGCTTCACCATAGCTTTGCTACATGATGAATTGCCCTTGCTATACCAGCCTATATTGATTTTCAAGCTATTCATATCTCAGTAATTACAAAACAAGTTCCTTGTACAGTTTATGCATTTTATTACAACATGCATTCAGTGTGAAATAACTCTTCCTATTTGGTAATATGAATACAAAAATGGTTTGTAATAGTAATGAAAAATTATGCTGCAGCATAAAACATGCGAGACATTTAATATCTAGCACATATCCTCTAATGCATATTGTAAATATGTTTTTAAAACTTTTTTTAAAAAGTTTTGAGATAGGTAGTACAATATTAATCAATAAAACACATATTCAGTATGGCAGCTTTAAGAGAATGAAAGTGGTGGAGGGGAATCATCACTGGTTTGCAACAAATCTCATTTCATTGTCATCCTTTGAACAAAGAATCAGTGCAAGTTTATATATGAATACCATCACTTGGTTAAACAAGATCGAGCAGGATTTTTCTAAATAAGTTATTAGCTGGCACCATTCTTCGAGTTCTTCATTTGAAATGTCAAGTTTCAAATAATATAAATGTTCCCAACCTTTAAACACCATTGTTTGTTTTTCTGACTGCCTAGAATAACTTATATCCAGATTATGTTTTTGGCGGCTGCAAACAAGACACCTAAAAGGTTCTTGCGCTTATAAACTGAAGTTGGCCAATGAAGAGCAACCAAGCAGGAATAATAATAATAATAAATAGACATTTGTATACCACCCTTCATCCGTAGATCTCAGGGTGGTTCACAACATAATATTACAATATAAAAATGGCAAAAAATATGACAGCGTATGGTCTTAAATGAGTTAATTTGGAAGATGCTTATTCTCACCATCATAAATATGTACTAAGATCACAAAACTTCAAATATTTGGAACCTCAGTTTGTATCCATTTGGCAAGAGTCAGGCTTACCTCATACAAAGATGAGGATGCTCAAGTTTCAGGTTCTCACACTTCCTTCTCTCCTTCTTTCTGTGACGTGCATTTTAATCTTGACTGAACTATCCTGACTGACAAAGAGAAACGTCATTTGGTCTACTTCATAACATTTTTTATTATCTCTTTCACGGTGACACAATTAGTTTTTTTTAAATATGATTCAAGGAATTAAATAAGATATAATATGAACCCTTAGCTTAAACGATTTTGTGGCTTATTGGGTCAGCTAAACAAAGCTTAGCTTGCAGCTATATTTATTTGAACAGAAAAAAGCAAAGTAGTATTAATCATTTTTAAAGTTTTGAAAGTTACCTAAAGACACATGGGGTTGCTTGGAATATAAAGGTTACTTAAGATCAGAGGCAAGTTTATTAGTAACAAATAATCAAGTTAGTTACAAACATGCACATCTAGCTATTGTTTGGTACTCTGTGGATACACCCAAACAAAGCTAATTATTTTATATTTACATTTGTTTAATTTGAGCCCCTGCACTCCCTACTAGGATGTTTTGTTGCCCTGGGTATGGTTTGTCATAAAAGAGTAGGATTTTAAAGCAAAGATAAGTAATAAATCAGTAGTTTCATTGAGATGATCAAAGTACTTTTTTTTGTTTCTGTTTTTAAACTTCACCTTAGTTTCTGAGGCCAGGTGGGTAAATCAAAGGCTGAAGCAAGTTAAGTTGGTGTTAGCACATGATGAGTGACTGTGACCAAGTATAGAGTCATCCAGTTTGTCAGTTATAGTGCACCCTGGGACCAGTTTCAAAGATTCATTCTCCAACAGGATGTAGTCTTTTTATGGAGCAATACCGGCTCCATTTCCTTGTGGGTAGAAGGAAAAGGTAGGGTAGTCTCCTGACATAAAAATGTGACATAGGTCATCATGCCAGCAAATGCAACAGGAATTTCTGTTCACCTCTTCCCCCAATGTGTTCCCCAAAGATACTGCAGAGGGCTGTGAGACCTGCTGACACAGATTTAGGGGAGCATCACAGATGTTGCAGGGGAAGGAGATGAAGCGGAAATTCTATTGTACAAGCAGAAGTCAATTATGCAACTAGAATTAGTTATTTAGCCATTATCTTCTGTTTTTTATATATCATATTTTCATGCTCTTGAAACATACAGCAGAAATGGCATGTTGCATACCAATTCTGAGTTTCTTTGTTTCCAGTCTTCATCTTTGGAAAAAATGGTAATTGAACCAGCAGAGGGAGTACTATAGGTTTTGCTTTAGTCCTAGTTGGTTTCCTTTTGAATATCCTTATGAAAAATACAGTAATGTTGTATGAATCTAATCAATGCCTTAATCACTTTGGGCAATATTTTTGAAACTGGGTTCTGAGCAGAAGGGGTTATCCCTAATTGCCCATGTCATACTGATAATGGCATATAAACAACGAAGTTAAAAGTTTTCTAGAGTACAGTTGTGATACTGTAATAGAAGAGGAAGATGAAATGACAGGAGGACTGTACAGGTTGTCTTTTTTCTATGTGCTGATAGGGTCCTAAGAACTGATACACCATCTGTCATGATTTTTTGCTTTCACTACAGAATCTATTTGGAGTAATTAGAGTTGTTATCTGAATAAGCAGCTACTTGGCTAGATTAAGGAAGGCAGGGTCTGTTTATAAAAGCGTCAACTACTTGTTTGCAATTTTTAAGCTATAAGGGTGGGTGTTTTTACAAAACTATCAATTCTTAGTACATTCATTGTCTAGTCGCTGATAAAACTGATTTTTCTCGTCTCCTGTCCTTCATCCCATTGTTTCTTTTCATTCTTTTCATTCTTTTTAAATGATGCTGTAGATTTATATTAATGTATACATTGTATGCAGTATTGATTAGATACTTTGTACCTCAGAATGGGGGGGACAACGATGACACACAGATACTGTATACAATTTGTATAAATACTACAGTGGCATGGTTTGTGGGAAACTACTGTATTCTTTGATAAAACACAAACTTGTAGAATTTAAGTGTGGCCAGACGGCGGCAGCATTGATTCAAAAAGCTTTAGATTGATGGCTTGTCTGTGCACTCTTATTTCCTCTTGGCAAACAATATTGAGAGATAGGCCATATCTCCTGCCCTGTTCCATTTTAAAGAGAGATGCTCTAGATTTGGAACAGTACAAATACTTATTTCTTTATGAATCACTTCCCATAAAATATCTCAAAGTGATTTTACATTAAGAACAGCAACAATTTAAAGTGTCACATCATAATCACAATAACAGTGTAGAATCATAGAATTGTAGAGTTGGAAAGGACCATGAGGATCATCTAGCTCAACCCCCTGCAGTGCAGGAATCTTGCCCAAGTATACAGAATTGCATCAAGGAATAGAAACAGTCAAACTACAAAACACAAGAGAGTGGTAATAATACCAGTATTATCCTTGTGACAAATTGGCTAAAACACTAACACAATAAAGTAAAAATTTGAATAATGAATCATGATAGAGTGATGTTCATAAGGTCATTATAGCAATGCCTTATTCTTCAAGGGGCACGCGTTTCTGTAATTTGTACTTCCTTTATCCTCTTGTCTCATGGCATTTCTTTTTTATTTTAAATAATTTGGTCATAAATTTAGATTTCACTTACAGATCCAAGCACTACTACCATTTTCCCATTGCAAATAGAAAAATAAGAATTTTGTTTTAGCAGAAATGTGCATTGGCAGAGTACTAAAATTGTACTCCTGTTGACCACCATCTAGTATTTGTGGACAGATAATGTGCTAGATCTAATTTTTTTTAAAAAAAATGTTCCATGAGGGTGTGTTTTTTGGAAAAGAACAGTAAAATAGGTATCTCTCTGTAGCACGACTTCCCCTCCCTTCAGCCTGACTTCCATTGTTAGGGAAAAAATAGCACCGTAGTCATAGCAGCTATTAAAATTCAAAATTGGAAACAAAAATTGCCTCACATCATTCTCATAGGAATGCATATAGAGCCTTAAAAATAGCTCTTTAAGAGTATGAGCTACCACCACTCATTTTGATATACTGTTAACATTGATGCCTAACAAATTTTGATAACTTGTTCCTGCATCAAAACAAGCTGGCTGTTTTGTTAGATTCTATTTCATGGAAATATTTCTTGTATTTTAACTTCAGTATATATGATCACTCTATTATTTTTAAAAATATTTTTACTTTAAGTTGACCTCTTGTAGAGCCACACATCTGCTCTATGCTTTTGTCATCCCCCCCCCCCACCATAGGCAAATCTGTGCTAATAGTGGCTAAATTAGTGTAATATAATACTTTGACTTCATGAGAACTCTTCACTGGGCAGCTTTTAATAGTCCAATAAAAATCTGATGTTTCATCTGCAGTATAAAGAATGGTCAAAAGTCAGTTTTTCCTGTGATGGGACTCTGCCTTCAAAGAACCTAGGGGTCAGCTTCTGATTACATAGTATTGTAAAAATGCTGATTAAATGTATTCATAGGATCATCTCAGTTCTTAACAGTGCAAATAAAATTCATAAATTATTTTTAAGTCAGTGGTGGTATGCAATAATCTTGTTTTACAAGTTAACTCTTTTTACATTTTGTCCTTTTCTATAATCTGCCTCTGGGTTCTGAAACTTCAGATCCCTTTATTATCTGTTTTGTGGTGCAATAAGCAATCTAATATTGTTGTTGTGTTTTGCTGTCATAACTCTCCTTTATCTAGTTCAGTTTTATTTTAAAAATTTGTACACTGCTTAGTTTCCAAAACCTAGCAACATCATTTTAAAGTGTGGAGGAGAAAGAGGGATTTAAACCTTGATTTTAAGTTTTTGCCCAAGTAATTTCATTAGTCCAGTAGAATGCATATTTAGCTCTTGAAAACAGTATTGCACCTCTTTAATGAAATACACCTAGTATTCTGGAATGTTATTGTAATATGGTTACCCATTCAAGTTAATATTAAGATCCTAAATTGGTAATTTAAAAAAGTTTTCCTCAGGAAAATAATTTCCTGATGTTGTTTTGATGACTCCTACATTTTTATTTTTAAGTAAGGATGTGGGATGTAGCTGGGCCTCCAACTCCTTCATCACCCCAGACCAAAGGCCATGTTGGCTGAAGTCTATTCAAGTTGGAATCCAGCATCAGCTGGAAAGCCAGTTCTCCATCCCTATTTCGAAGCCCACTTTAAGAATACTGGCCACAATTTTTAATATATGAAGAAGCAGGCGCAGGAATTCTGTGTGCATTTGGGCCACAAGGGGAAAGGAGGAAGCTGATGCTCTCATGTTTGTTTGTATGTCCTGCAGAGGTGTCTTGGTAATATGAAGAGCCAGGCATGGGAAAGGGTAGGTTGGATTTGGGTACCAGGAGTGGTGTTTCTTTTTGATTTACCCTTCCTTTGCATCCCAATGGCTTGTTTGGAAACAAATCCTGACTATCATCTGCCAGTGAGTGATACATAGTCTCTTTGTGAAAGTTTCACTGACATCTGTACAGTTCTATGCTGTGTTCTAGTTACTGAGGAATTTTTGCCATAGATGTTGCACATAGTAATGTGGTGGATTTCTTTGTTTTATTGGCCCCAGGGATGCCTTGAAATGTGATAAGATTTACATCCAGCATATTCTATCTTGCTAAGGCCTGTTTGCAGTGACAGGATTTCAAATGGTTTCTGGAATGCATGCATAATCTGTAGCAAAAATGGCACAGTGCAGCTGGTATTAATGAGCTGTGTTTACTATTTGGAGGTTTTAAATAAATTATTTCAAAACTCAAGTGTAGCTTTAAGTGCTTGCCAAATGGCACTTTTTGTAATTCAGATTCCATTGATGGGAATCAGGGAAAACATTAGAAATGATTTCTAAATCCCCATTCTCTTACACTTAAAAAGAACAACACATTTATAATAGCACTTTAAGTAAAAATGGAAAGTGTCCTAGAGTAATTTTTATGGTGCTGAGGAGAGAAGGAGATTGATGTTCGGCATGTTTGGTATAAATATGATACTTTGTATTCTCGTGCAAGAAAAGGAAGTCATCAATATCTTTTTTTAATAGTTTAAATTATGGAGTAATATATGAAATTAGAACACACTATATGCTGCTATTTCTCCGATGCTTCTTTGCTAATATTTCATGTTAAGTCAGTTTGAATATTCTCTAGTGTTCTTATAAACGAAATTCTCACACAAATGTAATTTCTAAGAAAGTTTAGTTAATTGGATGGATAAAGTTGCTAAAATGGTACAGCAGGCTTCAGTTTGTTATTAAATCATTGTTAACCTGTTTTTTCATTAAAAAGGGTCCCAGAATGACTTGCAGATATCAGTTTAATAAAACAGCTCCTGCCCTTAGGCATACAGTCTAAAAGACAGTACACAACGGGGAAAGGGGTTGGGAAAGAGGAAGAAAATCAAACCAACTTGGGTGTTAGATTTTAGTTTCAAAGTTCCAGCTGGGTTAGAAACAGTTCAAGAATTTGACTTAAGTGTTGGTCATTTTTACTGTATTTTATAAATTCATGATGTATATCACCATGATATTTTTTGAATGAGTTGTCGGGTTAGAAATACTTGTGTACAGTGAGGGGGAAAAATATTTGATCCCCTGCTAAATTTGCCCGTTTGCCTTCTGACAAAGAAATGACCGGTCCTGGGTTAAACCACAGAGCCTAGGACTTGCTGATCAGAAGGTCGGTGGTTCGAATCCCTGCGACGGGGTGAGCTCCCGTTGCTCGGTCCCTGCTCCTGCCAACCTAGCAGTTCGAAAGCACGTCAAAGTGCAAGTAGATAAATAGGTACCGCTCCGGCGGGAAGGTAAACGGTGTTTCCTTTCACTGTTCTGGTTCGCCAGAAGCGGCTTAGTCATGCTGGCCACATGACCCGGAAGCTGTACACCGGCTCCCTCGGCCAATAAAGCGAGATGAGCACCACAACCCCAGAGTCGGCCACGACTGGACCTAATGGTCAGGGGTCCCTTTACCTTTACCTTTATTGTAGCTGTGAGAGACAGAATAACAACAGGAAAACCCCCAGAAACCCAGAAGACAAAAGTCACAGATTGATGTGCATTATAATGAGTGAAATAAATATTTGATCCCCTATCAACCAGCCAGATGTCAGGCTACTTGGTATCTTCACTGTATGTATTTAGCTGAGATTAGAAGCACCTGCTGTAAGGGAGAGGTCTTACCTGTAATCCCAGCTCATTACAGTACCTGTACAAAAGACACCTGTACACAAATTAGCCACCAAGACCAAGACCAAAGAAAATAGTTGGTAACACACTACTCCTTGAAGGACTGAGATCTTGCAGAGCCTGCAAGGTCCCCTTGCTCAAGACAGCACATGTACAGGCCCATCTGCAGTTTGCCAGTGCACATCTGAATGACCCAGAGGAGAACTGGGTGAAAGTGTTGTGGTTAGATGAGACCAAAATCGAGCTCTTTGGCACCAACTCAACTCGCCATGTTTGGAGGAGGAGGAATGCTGCCTACGACCCCAAGAACACTATCCCCACCGTCAAACATGGAGGGGGACATATTATGCTTTGCGGGTGTTTTTCTGCTAAGGGACAGGACATCTTCACTGCATCGAAGGGACGATGGACGGGATCATGTGTCGTCAAATCTTGGGTGAGCACCTCCTTCCCTTAGCCAGGGCATTGAAAATGGGTCGAGGATGGGTATTCCAGCATGACAATGACCCAAAACCCACGGCCAAGGCAACAAAGGAGTGGCTCGAGAAGAAGCACATTAAGGTCCTGGCCAGTTTCCAGACCTTAAACCCCTCGAAAATCTGTGGAGGGAGCTGAAGGTTCGAGTAGCTACACATCAGCCTTGAAATCTTACTGACTTGGAGAGGATCTGCAAAGAGGAGTGGGACAAAATATGTCCTGAGATGTGTGCAAACCTGGTGGCCACCTATAAGAAATGTCTGGCCTCTGTAATTGCCAACAAGGGTTTTGCCACCAAGTACTAAGTCATCTTTTGCAAAGGGATCAAATACTTATTTCACTCATTATAATGCACATCATTCTCTGACTTTTGTCTTCTGGGTTTCTGGGGGTTTTCCTGTTGTTATTCTGTCTCTCACAGCTACAATAAACCTACCATTAAAATTATGGACTGGTCATTTCTTCGTCAGAGGGCAAATGGGCAAATTTAACAGGGGATCAAATACTTTCCCCCCTCACTGTAAGTAAAGGAGAATCCAGGAGTCACTGTTAGCTTAGCTTAGCCAGTGGCAAGACCCTGCAGTCCCATCAGTCCTTCTACTTTAGCCTGATGGAATATACTTGAAAACTGAATTATGTTAGCCAGTGCTAGAGATGATAAAAGTCTTCATTCAAGTCAGGTAGTGGAATTGGCAAGTGGAATATCCAGAAGAAAATTGTTCTGGGAAGACTGGAAAAATAGAAATAGCCAGACCTCATAAAACATGCATGCAAGTGTATGATAACTTTATGTCTGTCAACCTAAAAAACTTAGATATTATCACATCTGGATTTTATTTGCTTGCTGAGATGACTGTGTTTACATTATGCCTGCAGTTTGCTTTTGCCAAGGCTATTCACAATTGCCTATTATTCTATCATTCATTTGTATACTAGTATTACATTTGTATAGTAACATTAATTTTAATCACAGAGTTCCATGTTACGTTAAGCATTCCACATTTGTTTCTTGAGTGAGGCATTTGCTTCCTTAAAAAAGGGGGATAGTTGCATTTAAGTGTTGGTCCATTTTTTCAAAAATGAAATAAAAAAATCCATCTGTTCATCTGTCACGTGGATGAATGTGCATTATCATATTTTAAATTGACAGCTTAATCTTTCTGTTTCTCAACTTCTACTCTGCTTTTTTTGCTACAATTCTTACTTGCATGCAGAAAAGGATCATAAACTGTCTAAAACAGCACTGTTTCTCCCCTATCTTTTAGAGTCTTTTTTGCAACATCTCAGTGACCTATCAACCCATGGATAGCTGTTTTAATAAATCAGGCTTCCTCATACTCGGCCCTCCAGATGTTTTGAGACAACAATTCCCATCATCCCTGACCACTGGTCCTGCTAGCTAGGGATCATGGGAGTTGTAGGCCAAAAACATCTGGAGGGCTGAGTTTGAGGAAGCCTGCTCAAGATGGCTACTTGTCTTTTCTTCTATAGTCCTAGCATGCTTGTTAACCTGCTGGTTAAACTATTAAAGACTGATATCCTTCCGTATGTGAATGTAGTATTTCTCTCAGCTTCCATTGTTTGACAAATGCAGAATATTTTAATTCTTCATAATTTATATTTGCAGTATATGTTAGTCCTTTTTGAACTAAATTCAGGCCACTTGCAGTGATATTGCAACACTGTGAATTAAGTCTGTATGAAAATAAAGAGCTGTAATAAAATCAAGCTTGATGGACCACACATTCCTCATCTTAGAATCAGAGGAATATAACCTTTTGCACATGAAAGGAGGCAGGACCTTTTATCTAAAAAAGATAGTTAAAACAGTAGTCCTGATTACTGGTTTGGCCATATTAGGGTGGTAAATGAAATTGAAATATAGTTTCTGTCTAGTGGAGAGTTCTCCTTTACAACACACACGTGCAATTCTGGTTCACACAGAACTTTCTCCCTTCTGTATGTATGCCAAAGCAATTCACTTAGCAAAAATCAGGAAAAAATGAATGTACAAAATGACCCCTTGAATGCTGGTGAACAAGAGGCACAAGAAAAGAAAGGGTACTCAAATATAATAAGAGAGAATACATTATAAAAAGGGAAATATATGATTCTGAGCCTTGGATTCATCCAGTGGAGATGAGTGATGAGTGATGATGAGTTAAAGATCCCTGAAAGCTGTTAAGAACTCTTGAAAATGATGAGTAAAATGTAAAGAAATGTGCAGTGCTATTGAAAATTGATGTGGGAGACAATGTAAAGAAGTGGTGTGTGAGAGAGAAAGAGAGATACGTTTACAGACTGTTGAAAAACAAAAACTTCACCACCACAATGCTACATTGGAAATCTAGAAAAAGAGTGACCATGGGTAACTAGTAAAACACCAACATTGAAATGCTGAATGGCATTTAGCAGATTCTTCAAATAAGTATTTGAGAAGAAGAATGTTAATAACACCATTCAAAGATGTTTGAGGGCTCTTGAGAGAGAACTGAAAGAAAAAGCATTCCACTGAAAAAAAGAAAAGCAATTACTTGGGAAATGGAAATATCTATGTAGTGAAGGGTCAAGGCCAAATTAACCAGTAACTTTATTGCTAGTGAGAAAGGAATGTATTTGGGAAGAGTTAAGTATGGGAAGGCATGCTTCATGTACGCACAGGGGCTACCAAGCACTCCAACAAAGGCTTTGTTGCCTCACCAGTGGTAACAACTTTATTAGCGAATACATATTTGTTTGCAAATACATTTGCTTGCCAAGAACTTTTAATACTCAAATGTCCCTTTTTCTAGTTTTTCTAGCTTATGCAAATAAAATATTTTCTCAGGCAGAGGCAGTATACTGTTTGTGAGCCTTCTTCACAAGAATGGAGCTCTTCAATCCCAAAACAACTCTTTTTTTGCAGAGGCCATTGCTTTATCTAATTTTGCTCACATTCCTCAATATGTCACACACTTTGGCTTAGAGGAGCTAGCACAAAGGTGTGAACTATAGTACCACGGTCAGTTTGCCAGATTTGCAAAATAGCAGCAGGAAACTGTCTGCAGAGATGGCTTTCCTCTCATGAGAGTTCTAGCTTCAAAAGCTGGGTTTCATTCAACAGTAAATGGGTATTAGCTGGAAGGAGAGATTGAACGCTTTATAATTGGAATAGAAAAAGAGGGCAGTTGTGCCCTGGAGAAAGTGAGGTGCATGGAAATAATATGGAGTACAGTATTAGGGTGAAGTTTATTGTGAAACTTGGTAGAGTTGGGAAGACGAGTCTTGGGTGGAGCTGTGAACCATTTCTGTTTCATTTGTCTTTGGACCAAACTGTATGTTGCATCATGTTAAGTGTACTTAAGATCTGAACCAGGGGCTTGCACCAGTTTCCCTCTCAATCACCCTCTGCCCGATCTATTTGTTCCCAAAGGTGTCGTTTATTGCAAATATGGTGCATGGTCAAATGGTTCTGGGGTGGCATTTTTAATTTGGAGATGCACAGATTTCCATAGAGCCATACCTACCTTGTCTTCAAAATAAGCCAGTTTCAGCGTGCTTTTGAAGAGGTGTGAGTAATGTAATATGTATTTGGTCCTTTGTCTCATTCAGGGATTCGGCTCTTTTCTATCAAATTTTACTTTGCTCTTTATGTTGTTACCTGTGATATAGATTTTCTTTTAGTCTACTGAAGTAGAGTGTTAGTGCAGTAGTTTTGTGTCCTCTCTCACTCTGGCCACTTTCTAAACATGTAAGGAGTATAGCTTCTTTGGTAAAATTTGCTGACTTAATTGTGTTTCCAATTTTACGTTTAGGCTATACCTTTTTTATTGCTATCTCCTATTACAGTACATAGTCAAAATGGATCTTTGTGCTGAGAGCCTATGATTATTCAAAAATCCACAGCTGCTGACAAAGCACTGCAAGGGATCAGATTCAGGCTGCAGAACATATCATGCTCTGATGCTCCTGTAAATCAATAGAGCGGTGTGTTCTTCCCTAACGTTGGCTACCCAGAACCACTTCTGATATGTAACCTGCAACGCCTGTATGAATGGTAATCTTTATGAAGCCCCACACATAATGTCTATGAAATAAGAATTATTAATCTGAACAAGGTGTTTTCTAAAGAACAGTAAGAAATTTAAATGCATAGGAGGTGGATTGAATAGAAAAGTATACTAGGAGAAACTTGCATCGATTTCAAGATGAGGTTGAAAGTACTAGTGGGGTAAGACTGAAGGAAATGCCAATATTGATTTGCTTTTGGAAAACAAATAATTAACTGTCAAGTTGTCCACTGGGTGATCTATTTAATATATTTTTCTTATATTTTAATTCACCCTCTCCCATTGTACAGGTGTGCTCACGTATACATAAATCTGCAAATATTATGCACAAAGAAAGAACTGTAGGTTATTAAATGGTTATGCTTTTCATCTCAAGTTGCACATATAGATTTACAAGTCTGAAGAGGATTAAATACTTGAATTAACCCCGTTTAACAGTGCAATCCTAGGCACATCTACTCAGAGGTAAGGCCCATTGAATTGAATTGGGATTCTTCCCAGATAAGTAAGAATATGAGTGTGTCCCAAGATTTATTGTCTGAAATGAGACTAAATTCAGTCCATGCATTTTTAAAAATCTTAACTAAGCTGAAGGGGTATGGGTGCTATGCTTAATCCCCCCCCCCTGCTTTCTGCTACTACCTATATTATACTTGTGACTTCTTACCAAGGAGGATATATATGCCTCTGTCAGAAAGATTTCAGGTTGTATATGATGAGTTCCCAGAAGTTCTAAGAAGTGGTAGGATATTATACGTCCTTTAGAGGAAGAAGCACCCCAGAGAATTATGAAATCGCAAGGCAGGAGTCCATTCAGAGAAAGAGGAACTCCCAGATTAACTCTGCCTCATGCAGCAATATACAAGACTCCTTAAGGCTTCTATGTTAAGTGTGGGGCTTGATCTCTTTTTAACCACTGCAGCAAGTATTCTCCCATCAGAGTTTGTAGGAGGCGTAACTGACCTTCAGGTTTTCTTTTTGAGGAAGATCAATCATCAAACCACTAAATTGGAGGAGTCTTCAAAGCTGTCTAGTCCAATCGTTGATCGGGTTTTCCAGCACTTGATCTGAAAGTCTTGCCAGTATTCAGTCTGTTCACCTTCAGAATAAATCCAAGACAATGAAGTAATTCATGCATTATTGAGATAAGGGAGCAGAAAGAACAGGTCCCCTTTCTGCAGTCTTGACAGAGACACCACCTGTGTTCTTCTTCTTCTCTTGCAGCTGTTGTTCAAAGTGGTCCAAAAGATTTGATAATTACCCTCACAGGGCGTAAGAAAACCATGGTTCATGGAACTGATAAACATTTCCTTGTGTATGTTTTGGTGGCTCCTAAAGATAGTATATTTCCTTAATCAGGGGATGCCATTGCACTTGAGGTCAAAAGTGGCCTGTGTGCCAAAGTATATGCAACCATAACCGTTTAACTCTGCTCTTGACTACAGCCTCCCTCACCTCACCCCATTCTCATTTTCTACACACACACACACACACACACAGACACACTTTGTCAAGGGCACAAGGGACCCTAGGTACACCTCTGCCTCCGGAGCAGGAGAAAACAAGCTTGTTCTGTCTTCCATGTGACACCTTATCCAGGCTAAACATCCTCAGCTCCCTCAACTGTTCCTCATAAGGCATGTTTTCCTGACTCTCGTACAGAGATTCTCCACTTTGACTTTTAGTAGGGTTCTATCTGAAATGGATTTTTCTTCATACAGGCATGGAGAGCCTGCTTGTGTCATTTAAATAAGGTTCCCTAAGTAAAAAGATCTCAGATGGTTGCTATTCCTCACATCTTTTCTACTGCTATTTTCTTCTTCTGTATGGAGTAAATTGTTGCTGCTACTGAACAAAAGGTTACTTTGAAGCATAATCATATCTGAGAACACCTCTCTCAGATGTTGCTTCATATGGATTAGGATACATCTCAGGGCCATCCCAGTTATCTACTGTAGTTTTCGCTCTATAGGACACACTTTTTCCCCTTCAAAAATGAAGGGGAAATGTGTGTGCGTCCTATGGAGCGAATGCAGGGGGGAGGCAGGCAGGAAAAGCCCCCAAAAGCCGCACACAAGCTCCGCGCGGCTTTTGCGGGCTTTTCCTCAGGAGGGAGAAGGGACTGACATGGCCAGTCAGTCCCTTCTCCCTCCTCATAGAAAAGCCCACAGGAGCCGCGCGCTCCTTAAAGGGTGCACGGCTCCTGTGGGCTTTTGGGGGAGGTGGGGGTATTGCCATAGCCGCGCGCAGCCTCTCCCTGCCGGAGAGGTTGCGCGGAGCTAAAGAATCCATAGCCCCGTTCAGCCTCTCCCGGCTGGAGAGGTTGCGCGCGGCTATGGCAGAAGCCAAGACAGCGAGCGGGATGCATCCCGCACCCTGCCTTGGCTTCTTTGCTCGTTGGGGCGGGGGGGGGAGAACCCGGGCTTCCCCGGCAGCCCCGAGAAGCTCGCGGAGCAGCAGGAAGGCTGTGCACCTTTCCGCTGCTCCCCGACCTGCTCTTTGGGGCTGGCAGTGGGCTTTTCCCCGCCAGCCCCAAAGAGCAGGTTGAAAGGAACCCGAAGCTTCCAGAGCGCAGCGGGAACTCCCGCAGTGCTCCGGAGGCTTTGGGTTGCCTTCACTGAAGCCTGGAGAGTGAGAGGGGTCGGTGCGCACCGACCCCTCTTGCTCTCCAGGCTTCCAAGGTAGCCGCCTGAAGGTGACTGAACACACCTTGAATGGCACCTTGTTTTAGAGGGGGAGAACAAGGGGAAAAAATTCTCCCCCTCTCTGCGCAGTGCCTCCTGCCGCTTCGCTGAAGGGGCGCTGGGCAGAGAGGGGGATATTTTTGTTGTTGTTGTTCTCCCGTCTAAAACAAGGTGTGTCCTATGGTCGGGTGCGTCCTATAGAGCGAAAAATACGGTAAATATGATGTCCTGCCACTCCATTGAATGTAAATTATGTTCAGCAGTGCTGTTCTGGGTGCCGTCTTTGTGGGCGATCTTAGGCTACATGCAGTGTTAGAAACAGATATGAAAGCTAGGAGCTAAATGACACCTTAAATCTATGTTATGGGCGCAACAATGGAATGTCTAGGCACGCTTATTTATAACAATACAACAAAGCTGAAAATGAATGAACTGCAGCTAAAATTATGTTCATTTTTCACATGGTCTAATCCTTCCCCTGCCCAGCCCCCTAATATTCTTAAGAGGGTCTCTTCTCCAGTCTTCAGAGAGTAGCTGGAAGTGGAAAGACAGAAAAAGCTCCTCCTTTCCTTCCACTCTGAATTTTAATCAGGAATCTTAGGTGCAGTATTGCACCCAGAGCTCAGAAACTGCTCGCGCTAATGAAATTCCTTGTCTCAAAATGCTCCTAGAACAATGGGAATTTCAAACACTGGCTACATGTGAGTATATCTTCATGGTAGGATTGTCTGATACCTTAAGAAGATTAGGTGTGTTCTGGCTTAGGGGCAACACAGGAGAGAGTCAGTAGTTTTGTTTCCATACTTCCCTACATGCTGAGCTGTGTAAATGATGAAGCAATCAAAGAAAGGCATTGCAATCTCCCTGCAATGATTGTGGCAAATCAGGTACTGAGTAAAATCCTCTTATTTGTGGTCTGGGACTGCCAACTGCAGTGCAAGGGTGATGGGCTATGTCTGCTTCAAGGTCCAGTAATTTGACAGATTTAAGGGGGGGGGAGTATTTTAACTTGCAAATTGCTGTGCAGCAGGAATCATTTGAACCTTCTCTAAATTAATTTTAAGTTTCACATGTGGATAAAAAAGTGCATCTCTGTGTGGGAGTAAGAACTGAGTATGTTGCATGTGATAGCTGATGTATCATCTCAAATCCCTGTGAGGCATGGAAGCCTTTTCACCTTTTAAAAGAAAACTACAGAGAAGCAACTAATCCATGGTTTCAAATACAGCTATTAGCAGAGCTGGAAGTAAAATGGAATCTCCTGAGGCCTTTCCCACATGGCTGTTAAAAGCAACACAATGGAATGAAATAAGTATGAAGAACTTGCTGTGATTCCCACGGTTGGTGAAATTTCTTGTACTGAGTAAGTGTGTGGGGGTTCAAACACTAAAAATGAGCTTTAATATTTAATCATCTGTTCTTCTTCTGAGACCTATACCTGATTTCTTTAAGATGTAATCGAGAAGAAATTATTATTTCTATGGTTCCACCATTAAATATATACTGACAATATAGGCATATTCATGTACCAGGATGCTAGGAACAAGGTATAAAATGTGGAAACTGTCCTTAAACCTTGTTTATAGTTGGAAATGATAATTATCAGATTAAGTCAAAAGTAGGCTGAAATGTTAGCTTTTGAGGAAGGATTCTAATGAATGGATGAGGTAGCACTGTGCAAATGTCCAGGGAGGGAGTTCTGTGCAAGGGAGAATGGACAAAGCAGGATATACAGATTTGGTTGGTTGAGGATGGAGGAGCAGTAGAAGTCAAGGTAAGGACATAATGTAAAAAAGGGTAAAATGATACATTGTTCCAAGGCTGTGGAGAACTTTAAGGTAGAGACATTGGGTTTGTGGTAGATTTAATTGGGTATGGAAAACATATCCTCTTTGGAAGAGAAAAGGATATGGATGTGTACAGGCCATCCCCTCTTCTAACCCTCCCTCCATCTATTGGATTTCTGGTTGCTCGAATACTGGGCCATCAGGCCTGGTAATGCGGTTACTTGATGCCAGCTTGGTTCATAATAAGACTTTGATTGCAGATGTGGGAGTGCTGAAACCTGCATGGATGAGCTTAGTGTTTAGGGATGTTTTTAATAACTGATGTTGTAATGTATTTTTAACCTTCTGTTGGAAGCTGCCCAGTGGCTGGGAAACCCAGCCAGATGGGCGGGATAGAAATAATAAATTATTATTATTATTATTATTATTATTATTATTATTATTATTTTGATCTGACTCACTCAGCTTTGGGTACTGAGTGCAATCCAGGGTTGGCAGTGCTATGGCCTATAGATTGCCATTTTATAGTCATACCTCATGTTACAGAAGTAACGGAAGTAACAGAATGGATTACTTCTGGGTTTCGCCACTCGCACATACGCGCAAAATGACATCATGCACAGAAGCAGTGAATTGTGACACGCACAGACGTGGGTTGCGTTCTGTTCAGGTTGCGAACAGGCCTCTGGAACGGATCCTGTTCGCAGCCAGAGGTACTACTGTACTCACCAGAAAGTGCGCCTGCAATGGGAGGGAGTTTGAAAACCTGCACCTGGTGCTGAGAAAAAAGACAGATTGGAATTCCTGTTGGTATATTTCTTACTCTGCTGCCTGACAGCTTCCCTGACCAAGGTAACTGTGGTGGTTGTAGTTGAATAACATCTGAAGGGTATCACGTTGGTTACCCCTGATCTAGACCCATTCCTGTCTCCATCTCAGTTCAGACTCAGTTTGGGGATGAAATTGGTCTTTGTCACCTTGATGGACTACCTTGATCAAGAGAGGAACAGGGGAGTGCCACCCTATTACTTGCTCTCTCAGTAGCTTTTGGTGCTACCAACTATGGAATCCTTCTGGACCAGCTTTGTGAGGTGGGAGCTAGGGGAACAGTGTTGCAGTGCTTCTGCTCATGCTTTTGGAGAGTAGCATTGGTTAAGTGGCAGTTATGCTGTGGAGTGCCCCAAGGTACTATTTTCTTCCCAGTGCTGAACAGCATCTATATAAAGCCACTGTGTATAGCCATTGGGAGATTTGGGGCAAGGTGTCCCATCTTAATACTTCCCTTCCATTTCATCCTCAGCATTACCCCCCCCCCCCCATGCTGATTTCTCTGATGACATCCTGTTGCCATTTTGGGAATCAGGGTGGAGAAGTGGTAGTAATTGTTCAAACAAATGGTGTATCATGCAAGCCAAGACTTGATCCCAGTGATTCTGTGTTACTCCCAAGTAACCAGTCTATTAAAATGGTATGTCTTATGTGTGGTAAAATCTTGGCAATTACCATTTGTATCTTTGCATTCTGTAATAAAAATTGAAAAGCAGAGAACATGCAGGGGATGGATGGGGAGGGATCCAGTGAGCAGTATCAGCATTGTTGAGAAGATATTTAAAGTCATGCACAGCTGCTGGAGGGAAAAGTAATAAGAAGAAAGAAGGGAAAACAACACTTTGCATATTTGGGATTTAATATCCTTGGAGGAAGAGACAATCCATTCTAAAATAAAATATTTCACTTGACATAATATGCTCTGTCTCTTATACATTTTCTTTAAGCTATTGTAAGAAATAGCAGCTTGAATAGAAAATTGCCATCTTTTAGAGCCGCCCAGGAGAACAATGAACAGTTAGAACTATGAGCTAGCGGCCCTCTCTCCCTCTCTTTTTAGCAATTTAAATTAATTTTTATATTTTTGTATTTTCTCTTCCATCAACACTTAATTAAAAATAAGATTTATATCAAAGAGGAGGAGGCAGCACCCTTTCAAAACTAAACTTTTCCTACTCAACTGTTTGACTGTTTTGACACCATTGAATCTTTTTAAATTTTGCCAAGCTAATTTCTGGATTTTAATCATTGCAAGATTCTGGAAAATGAACAGTGACAACAATAGATAAAACATGTAGCTTATCTGAAAAGCATAAAAAAGCCCACTGAACATCTTTTTTATTCTCCTATATTTCTGAATGGAATAAAATTTGCAATGTAGTTTAATTTTGTATTGCTTTTTAAAGGACCAGATATTGTTCATAGCTTCTTTTTATAAAAAAATTAACTCTTTGAATACTATGCAAAAATTTTTTTTACCTGTCCTAAACTGATATATGCTTTATGTGAGCTAGTTCTGTTTTAGTGCCCCTTAAATTCAAACATGAGAAAATTGCAGAAATTTACAATTCAATGCGCGTTTCATCAGGGAGGAATCCACAGATTGTTTTGACACTCAGTTACAAATTCAGCATGAAGATGGACGTCTCATGAAATTTGCAGCTGCTGATTGAATTTATATTTCCATAAAGCCCATCAACAGTTGCAGCCTGAAGGGAAGTGTGGGGGGGAAATGACAAAAATTGTGAGGCTAGCATTTTTCTTCAGACTTATAATGACAAATTACTTGTAATAAGGTCTTACACTGACCAGGATTAAACGAAAAATATAGGCAGCCAGAAGGGAATGATTCTACTCCCCCCTCTCTAATTGATTTGAACTAAAAATGTCTAGAGTTGATATCTAAATATATGTTTAGTCATCTGCAGAGTGTGCGAAATGCATCCACAAATCAGAAATGTTCCAACACTGAAAAATAAGGCACTTGCAGGTAATTATAGAGGATTTATCATACAGGTAATCTTATTTTGTAATAACCTCCCATTCTAGAAGATGAATGTTATGCTCACATAAAAGTAGGTCATCTTCATTAGGTTATAGGACACCCACCCCCCACTGTGGTCTTCTTCCTCTCAGCTCTGAAATTGGTTTTTCTGCAGAGCAAAAACAATGTATGTCTAAAAGCCATAAACCAAGAAGAGACTGCTCTGACATTCAAATACACATAAAACAATTAGTGAATTAAAAATAATTGTACAGATTTATTCTTGTTTTAAAATGTTAAACGTGAAATTTTGATCCTATGTTTCCATAGAGAGAAAGGGAAAAAGTTAAATGTTTTATTAGGTGTTGGGTTTTATGGCTATAATATTGTCGTTATTATCCTTGAGAGAATAGAACTCCCTTAATATCCAAGTTTCCAAAAAAATTGCTTGTCTCAAGACTATTGGAAAGTTAAACATTTCAGGACTATAGCCATTTCATTTAATTGCTAAGGGATTTACATGTATATTCATGCATAATTTGGACATTCTCATCAAGCTATACTCTCAGGACTTTAAACTGATCAATTGAATTTGTCCCACCCTATCCTGAAGACATGAGGCAGGTAAGCCTACTTACAGACAGGTAGCTCGTAGCACTAACATAATTGCTGTTTCACTGTTACCTACAAACAAAATTGCAATTTTCCACACTACTGGGAATATTGCATCCCCACATCTATATCTCATTCATACCAGTGTATATGATATAGTGGCTATGATGCTGAAGAGTAAGGTCCAATTCAGCTGAGCAGCCTTTTAGGGGAGGGAGGGAGATTCCAAGGGATATCTCTCCCTCCCTATCTCTCTGTGTGTGAATGTGTGTGTATAGTTTGAAAGTGTTTAATTAGAACAGAGCTTTCCAAACTGTGTGTCGTGACACATCAGTGTGTTGGCTGCAGTGTGTAGGTGTGTCACACGAATACTCCTTGCACTCCTCCCAGGGCTGGAAAGGGATTAGTTTAATCTCTGGTTTGCTAGTAAAAATGATAAATGTCTAAAACGCGTATCACCAACATGAAACGTTTGGAAAGCTCTGAATTAGAAATATAACAACAAGCAAAATGTGACAGCAAACTGAGCTCTCAGAGCTGCTGGGCTGTTGCAGCAGTGTCAAAGGGTGGGGAGGGAGGAATTGGGGTTAGTGGTAGGCAAACCTCCTGCATGGACAACTCAGGCCAGCAAGGAAGCGACTGACCCAGGCAAGTGGGTGGCCCTGGCAAACTGTGGAGGTTTGACAAAGTCTACAGGGAGGGATGAAGTGTGGTTGTGATGAGTTCTAGTAGGTGAGAGGTGGCTTTGGCAAGGAATAAGGTGATGAGGTAGTTTTGTTGAGTTTTAGGTGTCTTTGGTGAGGTAGAAAGGAAGGGGATAGGCAGAGTTGGTAACTGAAACAATCATGGACACAGCCCCTGGTATTGAATATGAATGTAAGGAACAGAGAAGAGATTGCGCTATAGGTTGAGGGAGGGTTTCAGATGGGGGTACCCTACCTGCACTAAGTGAGGGGCCCACATTGACCCCCCAGGAATACCAGACCATCTCTCCTCCAAATCTAACTAAGAAGAGGTTACAAAGGTTTAGGAAGATGTTGAGGCTGGACTTTTTCTAGTTTTCAAGGGCAACCATCTTGAATAAGATGTGTGATCTGATTTGTTCTTCTGTGCGAATTATAAGGAAAGAGTGCCCAATGGGTCTGTGGAAAACATGAATTGGATAATGAAGAGAGCAATTTCTCATGTGCCCATGCTTTTAAGCTTTGTGTGGGTTAAATCACCATTTTCTTGTGTCATGCATGTTTTGGCCCTCAGTTGTGCTTGGTGAGTTATAAGAAGCCAATGCAGATCTCTCTAGGAGCACTGATATAATGACTAAATGACTAAACAACAACAAAAGTGTGTTTCATACAGAAGCTATGGTTTCTAATCGGATTACATGGACAGCTGTGCCTAACGTGCATTACTTTAGTCTTGAGGCAGAATTTGTGGTGAGCAGAAAAATTTGGTTGGCTACCAAGGGACCACTGTACATCATACATGCACAGGTTCTTGAAGCCCTAGCATTTCTGAGATGATTTCACATGCTCATATCTGTTTCTCAGCATTCTTTTTAGAAGGGTTAGAATATATCCAAGGACTAAACAGACTGCAAACTCAAAAATCTTATTAATCTTTAAATACCTGCAAATTGGAGCAAACACTGGCAGTGGAAGTAAATTGACAATCTTTGAAAAATGGACTGGCTGGCAGAAGCATGATATAATTATTTATAAAAATTACTTGCTCTAAATTAAGAATGATTATGTTCAGTTGTACCGTTATGCAACAATTCATATGGTTTGCAATGGTATGTTGAGCAGAGGACAGTTTTCATTATGGATGAGAGCTGAAATGAGTTTCAAAGAAGAGCAATTCCCAGGTGGGTTTTAAGTCTGATCTCTCTAGAGTATTTTCCAGCATTCCTCAGTATTAAATCCTCACATTTTAACTACAAAGAGTGTTGCTAAAAATGAGAAAACTACAGAACTAATTATTCTGCCTGTAAAAGAAGGGAGGTCAACATACAGGTATACTTCAGTCTCTTAAATAAAGCAACATGAGCACCTTAAGCCTGAAATGTCATTTTCTACTGCTCTGGCTGGATAGCTTCCCCACCAACAGGATCCAGCAGAGCTTTGAATGCACCATTGGCCCCAATGTTCCCTGTTGCAGTTAGGATTGTCCTGTAAATCTCTTCTTCAAATAAAATCGTTATAAAATAGAAATAAGTAGGTGGAATATAACTTTCTTTCATTCATTCTTTTAAATTTGAAAGAATATTTATTTACATTTATTTATTTTATTTTTATTTACTTTTACGTTTATAGCTCACCTTTCCTCCAAGGACTGCAAGATGGTGTACATTGTTTTCTCCTCCCCATTTTATTTTAACAATCCTGTGAGATAGGTTAAGCTGAGAATGAGTGGCTGGCCTAAGGTTATCCAGTGAGCTTCCTGGCTGTAGCGATTTGAACCCTGCTCTCCCAAGTCCTTAGTCCAACACTCTAACCATTATACCACACCGGCTCTAATGAACATACTGCATTTTGCAGTGGCATTTCAGACACATAAAATTACAGGAAATAATCAGTTGGACAAATTGCACATAGCATTCCTTCAAAAATGTGCAACATATGTATTGTTTCCCTTTTAGATTCCCTATATGCCAAGAATAGTCCTTACAATGGTTGAAGTTAAACCAGCATTTAGAGTTCCTTCTTGATCAGGATTTGTTAACCATCTAGTTAACAAATCTGTGTGAAGAGGCAACAGTTGTCAACATTAACTGTAGTTACATTTTGTGGGGAGGGGTTGAGGAAAATTCATACGAGAGGAAGAGAGTGGTGAAGAGAATGGTGAGGTGGAAGATTGCTACGGACAGCTGGCATTTTTGGTGCTTGATTTTTCAGTAATACTGAATGTCTGTGATAATGGTCCTGAAAGGAATTTGTGTAACACTGTCATTGTGGTGACATGGCCTGAGTATGTGCAGAGATCTGAATTCAAATCCTGTTTTATTCCATGAACTTTGCTAATTGGCTTTGGTTAGATCAGTGCCTCCATTCTTCTTCAAAGCATTTATGCCAGGAATAAGTGAAATAACTGCTTTAAAATTAGTAACAAATTTGGTGGTTTCTATCCCAAAATGCCTTAATCTTGAAAACTAGAAAAAAAAATCCTACTGCCAGACTTAGTTTAACTGCAGGAGTTTAATCTAAGGATAATATTCATCTCTGTTTGATTTTGGAGATAAATATTTCAATAAGAAATGAGTTGAAGAGCATGTATTTTCAGCTATTTGAATGATTAGAGTTAATTATGTATCTTGTTAATTGGTATATAGTAGCACCTTTCCTATGTGTCTATTTTGTTTGAGTTTTAATTGCATTTCTTAGTCTTCTGTAGCATGTCTCATGTGTTTATTTTGGAAATGAAAATAATTTACTGGCCTTGTGACAACAGTGGTTCACGTGACAACAATTTCAGAATAGTCATGTTAGTGTGGTGCTACACAATCAAAAACAAAAACCCCAAGGAGTCTTATGATACTGTAAAGACCAACACACCTATTATGGCATAAGCATTTGTGGCTTAAAGTCAGCTTCATCCAGTGTAGGAAAGTTTATGTCATAAGGAATTGGTTAGTACCTAAGGTACCGCAGGGTTTGTAATGGCTGAATAAAAAGCGTGTCTATGTGATGGGAAGCATCCAAGATAGGAAAAGAGCTGTTGCTCAGGTAGCTGTACAGGACACACTGGTGACCTGTGGCAATATGAGGAGATACACTCAGTCTCCACAAGCTGCTTGAGTAATCTTTATACTCGCATTATGAGTGTGCTATACTCCAGAGATATGGTCCTCCCCTGAACTTCCCAGCAGGGGCAGCTAGTACATTTGTGGGATCCAGTCCCTTTCTTCCTGTTGCTGCTGCTATTTGAAAGGAAATAATCTTCCTTTCCCCCGTTCCAGTCAGTGACAAGTTGTATCTGGAGCAAGTGCTGGGAAACATGCAGCTCTCATAGCCGCCCCATCCTCTGAAATTAGGAAGTCTATTTACATACAGCATTTGCACCCTGCTTTTGAGCTCAAAGGGCTCTCAGAGCAGCTTACAAAAGTCACTACTAAGACTTTCTCCTTCCCCTCAGGCTCATAATCTAAAAAGACAGTTCAACTAAGTCATTGTGCATGTGGAAACATTTGCCTTGCCTCAGTAATAGACTGGATGTGAGCCAACAAACTAAAGCTCAATCCAGATAAGACTGAGGCACTGTTAGTGGGTGGTTCCCTAGACCAGATGGGTGGGAGGTCACCTGATCTAGATGGGGTTACACTTCCTTTGAAGGAGCAGGTTCATGGCCTGGGGGTACTCCTGGATCCTTTGCTGTCACTCGAGGCTCAGGAGGCCTCAGTGGCCCAGAGTGCCTTACATCAGCTTCGGCTGGTGGCCCAGTTACTCCCCTAACTGGCAAGGATAGCCTAAATACTGTTGTCTGTGTTCTGGTAACATCAAGGTTAGATTACTGCAATGTGTTATATGTAGGGCTGCTTCTGAAGACGATTTGGAAACCAGCTAGTGCAGAATTCAATGGTCAGGTCGCTCACCAGAGCAAGATAGTTTGAACATATTATACCAATCTTGGTCCAACTGCTCTGGCTACCAATTCAAAGTGCTGGTTTTGACCTATAAAGCCTTAAACAGCTCAGGACCACAATGCCTCAAGGACTGCCTCTTCCCATATGAACCTCCAGACCCTGAGATCATTTACTGAGGCCCTTCATTGTGTGCCTCCTCCTCAAGAGGTTTGGAAGGTGGCAACATGAGAACGGGCCATCTCTGCAGTGGCTCTCTGTCTGTGGAATGCTCTCCCCAGGGAGGTTCGCCTGGCGCCTTCATTATACGCCTTTAGGTGCCAGGCAAAAACGTTGCTTTTTAACCAGGCTTTCGATTGACATCCTATGCCCTTTTAAAATGTAGCTCTTTTTTGGGAGGGGTGTGTGTTATTGGGTTGTTGTTTTTATTTTGATTTTATATATTGTGGTTTTTATGTTGATCTTTTCTGTAAACCGCCCTGAGACCTCCGGGTATAGAGCGGTATATAAATTCAGTAAATAAACAATAATAATAATTGTCATAACTTTAGGAGGAGTTAATACAGTTGCATTTTCCTTAGTTCATTTGTAAAGCAGATAATGTTCAAACAGCATGACACTCTTTACAAAGCAACTTTCTCTTAGACATTTATAAATAATACATAACTTCATAAAATAGAATTACTTAGTGCTTTACACTGTTGACCAGATAAATAAAACACTCAGTGGGAAGCAGAATTTGGCTGCTTCTACCCAAAATGTTCCTTAAGGCAAGATACAGTCTAGCAGTGGTGCCATACCTTGACAATGAACCAAACAGATCACACATCCTTTCATATGTTTTGTTAAAATTGTAGCTCTTGGAGGTAGGGCTATAGAAGTGGGGTGAGATTCATAGAATAATAGAATTTAGTAATCTAGTCCAACCCCCTGCAATGCGGGAGTCTTTTGCCCAATGTGGGGCTCAAACCCATGACCCTGAGATCAAGTGTCTCATGCTCTTCCAAAGTCTATCAATCTCTTCTAATTTACTTCCAAAACATTTAATATATGTGACTTCCTCCTAAAAGGCTGTACAATTGTTTCCCTTTAAATCAATACTAGAATGATACAGTGCTTTAATTATTTTAATAGTGCAGTTCATTTACAATTACTGAAAATATATAGAGTGGAAGAAATTATCAAGTACTGTATAAAGTAGAGAAATAACACCCTCCTTTCCCTTTTCTTTTAAGTGTAAAAAGAAGTGAGATGTTAATGGGTCACTCTAAGGCTGCAATCCTATGCACACTTACCTGGTTAAGTCCCATTCAGTACAATAGCAAATATAAACTTGCATGGAATTGAAATCTAAAGGGCTTTTTAAACCCTGCTCTGAGTTGAAATCTTCTTGTACTGTTTTTAGTCAATCTATTTCTGAAGTCTAAAGTGTAGCTCCATTTCATCTGATGCAAAGTAGAAGCGTCTTCATCTCTTTGATTGGGCAGATCCAGGTTTACACACTCAACAACAGTGCAGGATATTATTTAGTTGCGGCAAAGGTGCTGAACCCTACCTATACCCACTCCTAATCTTGCTGTTGCTTCTCTCTTACACACAACTTTCTCCCAGCTTAGTTTACTTTACTTCCATTATTGCAGCTAGCTTGAGAGAAAATGGTGTGTGTGTGTGTGTGTGTGTACTGCAGATGGGTTAAAACATGAAGCAAGAGATGGGAAAGCAGACAGACCCAGATTTAAACAACACCTAGTGATGAGAAAAAAGAGGATATGATTTTCTCAGTCAAAATATCTACATAAGTAATAGCATTGAAGAATATCAAATGTTCACCCGTGCATGTGAATGTTTTATGTAATGTTCTTAATCAGCCTTTTTTCTCTTTGAAATAGGTCAGCTTATTAAAGAGAGAAGATTTGTAGAAACTTCTGGAATAAAAGAACACCAATATGAAGCGGGGGACATACCCACAGAATGGGAAGGTAATACATTTTTGAGACAGCTAAAGTAATGTATGATAAAGTGACTTGTAATTCTCCCAGGCTGAATTGAAAGGACACAACAGAGCATCTAAGCCTAGCCCTTGCCTTAAGATTTCTTAAGATGGTCAAATTTTGTTTCCACTTGACACCCATGATTCTGGCTTGTCCAGTTATTACTTCTCCCTTAGTCCTTTGTGGCAGGTGGAAGAACCACTGAAAAGGCTATTGCAGCAGACTGGTATATCTTGACGTACCATCTCTGAATTTTCTGTCTAACCTCAAACACAATGGGCGAGATCCAGTGTTGCACAAGCAGATGCAATGGAATTTCTCTTCCTCCCTTCCCCGCTGCCACTCATCTGTCCCAGAGGCTCCCCCAAGCCTCCAGAGCAGATTTTGGGAGCACATGAAGACCTGCAGAGAGGAGGAGAAGCAAACAAACATTCTGCTTGTGGAAGTGGAAGTACTGTACATTATGCAGGTGGGATGCCACCTAATTTTCCTCTCTTTGAATTCTGAAAGTATGGCTCTTAAGCAGGGAAAGTAAAAAGTACATATGCTTAAAATGCATCATATGATTTAACATCAAGTGGCGCTGTGGGTTAAACCACAGAGCCTAGGACTTGCCAATCAGAAGGTTGGCGGTTCGAATCCCCGCGACGGGGTGAGCTCCCGTTGCTCGGTCCCTGCTCCTGCCAACCTAGCAGTTCGAAAGCATGTCAAAGTGCAAATAGATAAATAGGTACTGCTCCAGCGGGAAGGTAAACGGCATTTCCGTGCACTGCTCTGGTTTGCCAGAAGCGGCTCAGTCATGCTGGCCACATGACCCGGAAGCTGTACGCCAGCTCCCTCGGCCAATAAAGCGAGATGAGCGCCGCAACCCCAGAGTTGGCCATGACTGGACCTAATGGTCAGGGGTCCCTTTACCTTTACCTTTTAGGATAAAAACAATGCACAACTCTATAATTAGGGATTGAGAAAATGGCCTTGTTTTACGTGGCCATGGATAAGAAAAGAAGACACAATGCAAAATGCCTTTTTCCTATGGCTTTCTGAAGCATAGGATACATTTGCAAATCTGGGCAGTTTATTTGGCTTTCCAGCACAGAAAATAAACCATGTGTGGCAAGGCATACTTTTATTAGCAGCATTTGCATTTTTAACACAACACTTGCTCATGCTTATAATTACCATAACATTTTTTCCCCTTTGTGATTATAGTGGCATTGAGTTGGAAGGATTTGTGAAGAGAAGGGAAATAAAAAGTGTTATGAATAGGCAATGGTCTCTTTCTCTCTTTAAGCACAGTTCCTTTCAGGGGATGGGAAGAAAATGTTCAGACTGCTTTGTTTCCCCATCCATTATTTGGGCAGAGGAGGTGTGCAGTGTATTCTTGTTTATGACAGAGCAGAGAAAAATGTAGGTGCTTAAATGCAAAGAACAACATTAACTGGATTTTTCCAGTTAACATGTTAACTGCTGAAATCTTCTGTTTGGAAATGGTGGGAGGAAATGAGAATCATATTCTCCCTCTTTTTTATCTGGGGCTGTTTCTGTAATAGGAGAAAGAAGTAGGTTTTAATAATACTGTACTGCGATTGATATAACTTTTTTTAAATGTTCAGAGCATTTCCCCTACATTATCTCAGTGCTTATAACAATACTAGATAGTGAAAATTGTTGCTCATCATTAAGGCCTCCCCTGTGGGATTTCATATTTTTCCAGTTCTGTAAAACATGAACAAGATTGCACAGATTTGGAAGGAGGTGATGGGTGGGGTGCCCTTGCAGATAGTTTATGGGATTATAACTACATTGGTACCTTGGGTTACAGACGCTTCAGGTTACAGACGCCGCTAACTCAGAAATAGTACCTCGGGTTAAGAACTTTGCTTCAGGATAAGAACAGAAATCGTGCTCCAGCGGCGCAGCAGCAGCAGGAGGCCCCATTAGCTAAAGTGGTGCTTCAGGTTAAGAACAGTTTCAGGTTAAGAACGGACCTCCGGAACGAATTAAGTTCTTAACCTGAGGTACCACTGTAAATGTATGGCTCACTTCTTTATCAGAATGAGCTTCCAGTACACCCCTCTCCCCCAGTTTTCTATACAGTGGTGCCCCGCAAGACGAATGCCTCGCAAGACGGAAAACCCGCTAGATGAAAGGGTTTTCCGTTTTGGAGGTGCTTCGCAAAACGAATTTCCTATGTGCTTGCTTCGCAAGACGAAAATGTCTTGCGAGTTCCTGCGGGTTTTTTTCCTTTCCCCCCCCTTTTTCCCAAGCCGCTAAACCGCTTATCAGCTGATGGCTAAGCCGCTTATCAGCTGATCTTTAAGCCGCTTAACAGCTGATGGCTAAGCCGCTTAACAGCTGATGGCTAAGCCGCTTATCAGCTGATCTTTAAGCCGCTTAACAGCTGATGCTAAGCCGCTTATCAGCTGATCTTTAAGCCGCTTAACAGCTGATGCTAAGCCGCTTATCAGCTGATCATTAAGCCGCTTATCAGCTGATCTTTAAGCCGGCTAAGCCGCTAATACTGTAGCCCTAAGCCGCTAAACCTCTAATGGGCTTGCTTCGCAAGACGAAAAAACCCGCAAGACGAAGAGACTCGCGGAACGGATTCTTTTCGTCTTGCGAGGCACCACCGTAGTCTGTTTTCTTCAGGCTTGCTTTGACCAGCAAACCTTGAAACACAGTATCATTTGATCCAATTTCCCTTTCCTTCGTTTTCATTGTGATTGCTCATAGGAACCAGGAATGCATTTTGACAATAATATATCTATGCCACTGGTACACAGAAGAGTATTCTTGGTGGATGTCCTTCGACTGGAATTCCTCAAGGATTGAAGCTTGTTCTGAAGACAGGGTTTTTAGACTTTTGGGATGTCCAGGAGTTGAAGTCAGCATGTCATTTGTTTAAGTGGACAGTTTTTTGTGGGGGTTTCTCCCTCTGTTCTAAGAATCTGGGATGTGAACAGCACACATTCCCCCCCCCAATACTCCCAACAATCCTGAGAGGTACAATTAGGCTAAGTGTGTATGATTTTCTCCATGAACACAAAACATAAGCTTCATGGCAGACCAAGCGTTTGAACATGAGTGTCCCATGTCCAAACCAACAATATGACAACCATGGTTTGAGGAAATACATGAATGAGTCCCCGATTAGCATGGATAACATGTGTAAATAACAACTTTCCTTGCTCTGTCAGGGTTCCCTTTCAAGAAAGGAAGCAATGTGCCTTTTGCCAAAGGCATTATCTTGTGGATGCAGGCTGTCAATAACCTTTTTATCATTTTTATTCTAAATTGTCACTTACTGTATCTAGTAACTTACCTTCTTCATACATGTCACTGGTCCTCATGAAAAGGTATCTGTCATTTTCTGTGTCGAGATTTAGGAGTTTGTGTGCCTCATGCTGCATTTTACAGCCTGTCTATTCTAGTCCTTCTCTCTCTCTCTTTTTAATGGGTACCATTTAGTGATTAATGGGAGTTTTAATTTGCATGCTCACTTTTACGCTCATTACAATGCGTTATATGCCAGTAGAAGCCTTAAAGTTCAATGAAAATCTCATGCATACTAATGAGAATGCAAATGAGTGCTGATGAAAGAATGCCAAGGTCTCAAGGTATGAAATATCCAGTTTATCTTGCTAAATTCCTTTCAGACAAATGTAGCGTTATCACAAGCACAGACTGTGGATAGTACCATACCTTATTTATATAATTAATTACAACTATGTAATTAGAAAATTGGAATTGCAGTCAGTGGATTTACAAAAGGTTTAATGAGAACTTTGTAGAATTGGACTTCATCTGTGTGTCTCACTCTCTGTGTGTTTTCTTTGCCTTTTATACTGTTCCAAATAGAAGCTATTTTGGCTAAGACTGAATGAAAGCATTCTGGTTTATGTAAATGTTTTTCTAGAAGTTGATTGCACTGGATGCATTTTCAAGCTGAAAGGGCAAAGAACAATTCTAATAATTGCAAAGATTTTGTCTGCTTACATGTCAACAATGATTTTTCTAAGCTGCAATGGAGGTTTTACTGTCCTGCACATATAGAAGAGGTTTGGTGAAAGTAAAGGAAAAGTATGGGGGAATGGATGCTAAGCAATAATAAAGATGAGATAAAGAATTTATGGATTTGAAGAAGCTGTATTTTTGAACAATATTAAGGAAAACATTGTTATTGGCTGGATTTAAGCTTCTTGTAAACATCCTCTGTTCAACTCTGTAGAGACTATACGTTGTGTAAAATAAATAATATTGGAAATGCCTGTCGTAAGGAGCCATTCCCAAAATGAAAATAAGAGTAAAATCACATTAACTACATTTTGTTCTGACTCAAAGCTTAGTATGTAGGTGAGAATATTAGCGAAATCAACAATAAAAAAATGCACTCCCTTTAACCCTTTGGTTTTGTGATTAGTATTACTGCTTCTTTTTCATTCTCATTTTATGATGATAATGCTCAACCTCATTGCCACTTTACTAATAGAAAGACAATTGGTAAGAACAAGAGAGAGGGTTTTTTAAGCTGCAATATCTATTTTGTGTTTTGATTTTGGCTCATTAACCAAGATGGTTTCATGTTCTGGTATGTAATGTGATTTTAAACCACAGTTGACAGTACTGAAACAACTGCAAACACATTTGAAGACACCATGATAGTTGAGGTTAGGGAGAGGTATATGGGCCTAACTCTTAATAAACTAGGGTTAGGAATTATGCTGAACTGGCACAGATCCTGTTTTTTGCTTTGTGCAGATAATGATTTTATTATACTGTTCCTTAGTGCTGTTTTATTTTGTTGTTGCTGGTGGTAGTTTTAATACTGTGTTTTAATTTATTGATATATGTTTTAATTTTGAAAGTAAGGTATTGAAAGGATAGATATAAATGTTGGAATAAAATTACAGCTTGACTGTAAGCAGGTTCATGTTTAATTAATTATATTTTCTTTTACATCCAATTCTGGTCACTACATTTCTGAAATACATAAATAAACTGAGAAGGAGTTAGAGGAGGACAGCAACAAAGGGAGGAAAGTGTTTGAGAAGGAACATTGGTCTAGAAGCATCATCAGCATTGTTTGGCTGTGCATAAACTAATTACAGTTATTGCTGTCGCTATAACGTTAGTAATAACTATGATCAGCAAAGCAAAGACAGCTATATCAGTGGTATACCAAATTCTGAGAAGGCAAAGGACTCCCTTTCCATTCTTCTGAGGATAGAATCAGACTTTCCAAAATAATCTTTAAAAGATAGGGATAAGGTCCACCGCTTTCTAGCAGATTTACTCTTCTGCCTTGAGTAGGGAAGACAGGTTATGTATGGCAGAAACAACTTGTCATTCCCCCCCCCCTTCGGTTATCAGCAATAAGGAGATTTGTCCACCTCATTTCTTTGCCACAATTAGAGTTTGGGCCTCATCTTGGAAGCAGTGGCGGAGCTTCATGCTCCAGCACTGGGGGGCAGAGAGCAGACAGGGCGGGGCTGGACTGGTGCGCATCCTGGGGGCGTGGTATGCTGCCCACAGGGGCATGGCACACTTCCTGGGGGTGTGGCACGCCCCCTGCGGAGGCGGGGCTCCCAGTGCGGGCAGCTGCGATGGCACCCCACCGGGATTGCGCTGCCGGGGGCGGTGCGCTCCCCCCGCACTCCTCTTCCTCCGCCAGTGCTTGGAAGCAGAATTTGTATTACTTTTTACCTTACTCCTGCTGTCAGTCAGAGGAGCCTCAGTGGGTTATATCCAATGCTAATCATACTGAGAATAAACCCATTGAAATTCATGGACATGACTAACTTGGGGTCATTAATTTCAGTGGATCTATTCTGAGTAAAACTTAGTTGGGTACGACCTACTTGGCTGTATTCAACAAAGTCATCCTGTTAGTACAAGGACTTCCACCCACGCAATGAGGCTTCCTCTTCCTTTTCCTTTCCTTTTCCCCCATGCCTCCTCTCCAAATCTGTACTGGGGTTTTCCCCAGCCTTCCAGAGAAGACTGGGGGAGGGCACATGAGGACAGGGAGGAGAAATCCTGTAGCGCAGGTGGAAGTCCTTGAGCTAATGAGACAACTTCCTTGGATACAATACAATATATATGTGCTTACTGACTTTTTACTCATTGGCAATACAACAGGCACATGTAATGCCACCCCCGCTCTTCCAGTGTTTCCCTTATGACATTTTCTAGGAATGCAAGAGACAGTCTAAATAGACAAACATCTTACCTCACATGTTCACCTGATTAGCAGTTACCTGTCTCCTCCCCTTACTGTTGGCAGGATGATCTACACATGACAGAGCTGGTTTGTTATGAGAGAGCTTGTCCAGGAGCTGAATGGACTTAAAGAAGGCCAGAGTTAAAGTTCCTGCAGTTTTAAGTCAGAAATTAGGGGGGAAATGTTTTGTTATTACGTGTAGCCTTCCTCCAAGGAGCTAATGGGGGTGTACAGAGTTCTTCTTTTCTATGTTTTCCTCACAAGCAACCTTGTAAGGTAGGTTAGGCTGAAGGATAGTGATTGGCTTAAGATCAACTAGTGAGTTTTGTGGTTGAGTTTGGATTTGAACTTGGGTCACCTCAGTCGTAGTGTTATATTCTAACCATTATGCCAGGCTAGGTGTCAAGAATCTTGCTTTAGGAATTATTGGAGAAAAGCACAAGCTGGCCTGGGAGACAAATGTGAGAAATTGTTAGGGATGACTCAGTGGATTGAGCTTTTATGCATTGCTGCTTTCTGGTGGCAAATCATTTGGCATTCTGAAAACTTCAGTTTCAGTTCTTGCAGAACCAGTTCCTAAACCTTCTGTGTGTGGAAGTGCATTTCATGTGTTTAGTGGTGTCAGGGGAAGGTTTAGAAAGTGGAAACTCAAGTGCTTGTGGAATGGGGACGTCCTGTTCTGTGGGTGCCATGCCTAATTTTCTAGCATTCTTGATGACAGCTATTTTCTGCTGCTCTGACTGCAAGAGCCATCTAGCACCAATCTCCATGTCCTTCCGTAGTCCATTTGCCTTCTGGCATTCAAGTCCTTAATTTAAGTGGCCATCAGATACGTAATCTGTACTATTGGTACAATTATGAGCAGTTTTTTAAAAAAATGTTTGACCTCTGTTTTAATATTTTTTTGCAGCTTGGATTAGGAAAAAAAGAAAAGATCCACCCACATTTGAGGTAAGAGAGACTACATTGCATCTAGGTGAAACTACTGATTATTTTATTTGCCTAATGACTTCAGTCAGAAAGCAGTTCTTTGTGCACAAATACAAGATGGGGGACACATGGCTTGCCAGTGATACATGTGAAATGGATCTTGGGTTTCCCTGGACTTCTATTCTGAAGTCTCACTTGTGTTGCACCATGGTATCATTCTCACATCATACCAATGCACAACAATGCACTATGTGCTGTTTGGGGTGTATGAAACACTGCCTTTTAGGCCTCTAGGTCCTGTCTGTTCTCTCTCACCTTTCTGTCTCTGCCTTGGAGCTCTCCTTGCCTGTGAGGGCTCTATACTTCACCTGTTTTGTTTGTATTTTTATAGTTATTATATTGTTGAAAGCTTTAATAAAAATAGAAGAAGTAGTAGTTGTTGTCTGAAATGGAGCTCTCCTGGCCAGTGTGACAAACCTTAGGAAGAGAGGGAATCTATAAAAATGGCTGCAAGGAATCCATGTGGGAGGATTGTTCAAAGAGTTTGTAGCTCCAGTGTAGTGTTCATAATTGAAAGTGGCTTTAGTCAAGAATTGTTCTGAATCAGTGTACAGACCCTGTACCTCTCTGCTTAAAGTTAGCTACTGACTGCAGCAGTATTGATAGAACTTTCAAGCAAAGGAAATTTTTAGACATAATTTCTAGATTCTAGAACGTCCAGATTTTATTCCTAGTATTTGCCCCACTCATACATTTGCCTTTCATAAAGCATTTTTTGTGTGATTCCAAGCAGTTATTTGGTTCCTCATCTCCAAACTATATCAATATATTATTACTGTTTCCACTAATGAGTAAGTCTGTAAGCCTACCTGAAAGTTATTTTTATTTATTACATTTTTGTACCACCCTTCTTCCAAGGATCACAGGATGGTTTACAGTATAAAAGCACAATACTTAACATAGTAACAAACAAAAATAATACAACCCACCCCAGCCACACACAATTTAAAAGGCCATAGATTGTTTAATTAGCCAAAGGCCTGGGAGAAGAGGAACGTTTTTACCTGGCATCTGAACAAAGGTGCCAGACAAGCCTCCTTGGGGAGAGCATTCCCCAAATGGGGAGCCACTGCAGAAAAGGCCCTTTCTTGTGTTGCAACCCTCTGGGCCTTGTGGAGGAGGCACATGAGAAGGGCCTCGGGTGATGATTGCAGAATCCAGGTCGGTTCACATGGGGAGAGGTGGTCTTTATGGTATCACAATCATGAGTCATTTAAGGCTTTATTGGTCAGAACCAGCACTTTGAATTGGGCCCAGAAACTAATCAGCAGCCGGTGTTGTCTGGTTAGGATTGGTGTTCTATGCTCAAACCACCTTGTCCCAGCAAGCAGCCCAACCTGGCTGCTGATTTGGAGTATAGAAGTGGTGGGCAAGCTAAGAGTTAAGCACCCCATCTGCTTCAAATCTTCCTTCAGTGGTTTGTTTGCGAGTGTTTTTGTTGCAAGAGTTCATGTGTAGCATTTAGCTGAGCCCTTGTTCTCCATCTCCCCTTACAGAAATGCTAGAACCTGGGATCATCCAGTGAAGTTGTATATTGGGAGATAATAGAACAAACAAAATAAAGTACTTCTTTACACAGTACATAGTTAAACTATGCAATTTGCTAGCATAAAATATAGTGATGGCTACCAATTTGGATGGCTTTTAAATGGGATGAGACAATTTCATGAAGTATACTATGATGGCTATATTGCCTCTAGTTGCTGAGGACCTTGAGCAGGAGAATTCTGCTTGGGAGCAGAATTTCCATATTCCTCTGGCTGGCTACTGTGAGAACACAATGCTGGAGCAGATAGGTCTTTCGGCTGATCCAGCAAGGCTCTTCTAATGTACTCTGATGTTTTCATTGGAATAACCTGAATGCCATCTGGTGAGTTAAACTTAAGTTTAAAAAAAGCTGTTCTGCTTCTTTAAGGCTGGAGATAGTGGGCTGTTGTTTTTTATTTTTTTTAAAGCAAACTCTAAGTTGCATTTTAATGTGAAATTGAATTCATTTGTAAGTTCCTTTAGCTACTGTGGGAAGTCTGAAAGTGGCTTGGAATAGAAAATACGGTAAATAACTGCTTTTCATTTCTAATGCACCGTGTGTTTGCTATGCAGTAATAAAAACTAAATGGCTTCTGAATTGCACAGTTGGATACAAGGTGAAATGTTAAAAAGAAGAAACTTTTTGTGACAGCTCCTGTCTTCTTTCAAACTATTTCTAGCATTTCCATAATTATCTGTTTTGACAGCCTCCTTGTCAAGGGAGGAAAATGTACTCCAGTGAGTAGTAATAAGCATAAAGTTTAAATTATTATTCTCTCCCCCCCCAGAAGAGAATAATTATATTGGAAATTACATTATGTTTAGTTACTGCAGTGCATACCCGCCTTCCTTATTTGATCATAAGAATATTATTTATTTCAGAAGAGGCATGATGAAAACTAACTTCAATCATGGAGGTTCATTTTCATAGAATTCCTATTCGCCATCACCAACCTGAGATGTGATTTAGAAGTAGTTTTGCTAGATGACAGTAGGAGCACAGACTAGATTTTTGATTGTCTTGCTTTTAAATTCAGTCAAGCTTAGGGGATAGACTGTATCATTTAGTTTGATTGACTGATTAGACTAATCAATTAAAAGCCTCTTGGTTGATGAAAACATTGTTCCTGATTGATCAAGCGGCAGATTTTTTGAAAATATGTATATTCTTATTTTCAATATAAGGACATTCTAAAACTGCATTTGAGAAATGCCTTCTTGGAAGAGACATTCACACAGGAAAAAATGCTTTTTCTAAAATGGTGGCTAATATAAGCATGTCCATAGATCATCCAAACTATATGTTCTACATGAGAATGTATGATTTTCCCATTTTTAAAATGCAGGTCTACCATGCCCACCTCACCCCATTGTATGTAAATGTCTCTCTGCCACCTTGGAAACCCAGCTGTGTCCAGGGGGGCAGAAAGGTTCTACCAGCAATTCTGCTGGCAATAATACATGGAAAGCCCTAAAGGGGCATTGGGGTGGGGTGCCGGGGGCTTTGGATCTCCAGCCCCATGGATCCCCAGAGGCAGACACACTTAATGTTCAGAAACAGAGCACATATGAGCACATGTTCAGCCTGAGTTTGTTTTTAGTGCCAGAACTAAGTTCACGCTCCTCGCATACAAAAATCTACCCCTGGATTTCCAGTCCCTGGTTTTCTTGATTTCATCTGGGTTTTTTGGGTGGGGCGGACTGCTGTTGTGTTACACTGTGTGTCATAAACCCACATGCATGTCCAAGCACTCACATATAATCATACACACCAATGAGAGGTTTGGGATCTTTTGTTGGGATTATGACGTGTGCATGTTATGAATATGTAATAACTGTTAACCATATACCCACAAGAATTTCGCACACCAAAGAAATAAAGAAAGCTTGGTTTATTATATGAAACAGAGGTGACAGACTATATAAATGCTACTTCAGATAGCAAATTACAACTTAAGCAGGCAGCAACTCAGACAATACATACACGCCTTGATCTAAAGAGTAACAAAGATAACCTAATGGTCTTAACCTAACAATGTAGTCCAGGGAGGAAGTACATAACATCATCTCTTTTTTTTAGAAATTTCTGCCAGAGCATTAAGGAAGTGACCTCATACAATTCCTTCTGTATTGATTCAGTAACTCTCTGAGTGCCAGCCCCTCAATATGCTTGTCTGGCAATCATGCATTTGTGATTTTGCCTGGAAATCCCACATAGATAAAATGAAATAAAATGTCATCTGGGGGTTTGTTTGGATATGCACTGTTTCTCTGTAGCTATCTGGTCAGTGTCACCTCTCCCTCACTCCCTCCTCCTCTCCATAGTCCAAATGTTACTGCAAATATCTGTATTCCTTAAGGGCCTGACCTTTCTATTCTAGAAAAATTAGTAAGTTAATTGAAGTCAATTGAATTGTTTTCAACCAGCATTAGTTACACAGTTAGGTTTATTACATTGTGATAATGGAGATTCATTACTCTGCAATCTCAATTTCATTTTGATATGGGAATTTGGTTTTCTTTGGAGCTTATATTTGGCAAAGAGTCATTTGATTATCTGTAGTCATTTCCCCCCTCACTTTGTCTAGGTTCTTGTGAAATTATGTTATATACTTGTTCTGTTTACAACCCCCTTTCCTTTTTCTGTCTCAGAAAATTACTGAACTGGTGTGAAGTCAGCATATTTACACTATTCTTTTGGTAGTGTTACAGTAAATATTATCATTATGCACCAGTTTTTTTATTAATCTGTTTGTAATATTGCAGGCACTTTGCAACAGTGCATATATTATGAAGTCTTGGCTTGAAGTTGCATGATGGAGTTATTTTGCTGAATCGAAGCAGATGTAGAGTGTCTGTAGAGGGGACTGTCTTGAGACTTGGTTATCCCTAAGAATGGGAGCTGTAGCCCAAGAGTTCTTTGGTTCAAATCTTGCAGTACCCATGATCTCAAGTAAATGGTTCTAAGCAAGTGATTGTTGCTTCAGCCTGTTCCCTTCTCCCACCCCATCCCCCCAAAAATGTGTACGTGTGGTACTGCTAATACTAGATTGTGACAAATTTTGCAAGTTGAAACCCTTGAAAATACCAGTGCTAAAGCACTTCCCCCTTATGCAAACACTTGATACCATCCTTGTCTGTGATGCCTCAGACTGAATGGAGGGAGCATTCCCTACCTCACAGAGAAACTTGGATGTCTGGACTAATTTGGGGTGGAAAGCATAATAAAAAAGCACTGTATTTATTTTTGACGTCCTGATAATTAAGTGGGTCCAGTAGAATTAAATATCTTCAGCACTGTGATCAATATGAAGCCACATTTTACAATACTATGTGCTATTTCCCATTGGCATGCATCCAGAAAGTGCACTTTTTATATATAGATAAATGTATCACTTAATTTCTAGAATACACACTACTTATGTTGCCAAACCCTTTGGTGCTTTAGATACCTTCATATCTTTACTGACTTCATCTCAGCATGATGCCAAGGGGACCTGCTGAAGTCGATTAACCAGATCATTAGCAATTAATCCCCCTCTGTTCCAGTGGGACCATTATCACTGCCTTGTGCTAAGCTTTTACATCTGTTCTCTATGTTGAAATATCTAAACTCTACTGAAGTCCATTTGGTTCTTTCTAGATTATTGACCTAGCATAGAAATCAAATTGCAGAGAAGATATTGACGATATGCTGCACACATTTTATATTTCTTATAGTTTATATGGTCATGAAACCCAGTCAGTATAATTTTAACTTCCTCTTAATAATTTTTGCAAATTTGTTTGATTTTAATTATTGGGTGTGAATACACATGAACCACATTTATGTGAAACAATCATACAAAAAAAGAAAGATACTTTTAAAAAAGAAGTTGTGTTGTGTTTCATTTATGTAAAGGATTGCCTGCAAACCCAGTGTTGTTCAGTGTTAGTAGCTTATCTCATGAATTTTCATTTTGTTTGATAGGGCTTTTATCCATTGTGAGAGATTGATATTGAAAAATCATTTTGATATGTATATAAATATTAGAATTAAAATATACTTTCAGACTCATTCAATTAAAACAGTGAAATTATTCCAGCAAATGGATTTTGACTTCTGCCTTAAAAATTACTTTGTTTAAATCATTGCCTTGTGAGACATTCACCTGTTTCTTTGTCACTTAAATGCATTATTGCATTTTTCACAGGAAATTCTTAAGAATGTGGATTATAAAGAAGAAATAAAGAAGAAGATTGAAGATATTTATGAAAAGGAGAGACTCCTGCAGGCGAAAGAGTACGAAGAGGGGCCTGTAGCAGAACCACTTCAAACTCAGATTAAAGGCCATGCATCTGCCCCTCAGTTTGGAAAGAATGAGCCATCAGAAGATCCAGTCAGCACAGCGAAGACTTTTCAGCCTGGATCCTGGATGCCCCCCAAGGACAGTATCCGTAATAAGTAAGGGGCCCATTGCCAAAGCATCAGAAATTAGATGAATAATTATGTTAATAAGCAAAAGGGCAGAATGTTACTTTCTTGATTATTGTTGAACTGTGATATTATGCACACAGTAAATATATACACTTGAAAATTCAGCAGCGTTTTTAGAAATGATAGCTCCGATTCCAAACACTGCAGCTTCCTTACATTACTAGTGGTATTGATTTCATGGAAATAGACAAAGCTACTGGTATTAAGTTGTAAAACCAGATTAAATCTTTACCTTCTACAATTCATTCTGAGACATTTTCCATTCATTTCAGGTTTAAATTAAGAAACATTAGTGCTGTTATATCACTTAAACTGATGTCAGTACTTTCAAATTATTTACTAATCTTATGCAAGATTTCCATGTGCGTTTGTTCTATTGGCTCACAAGTGGTGAACCCTTAATGTGTTAACTCCTGTAAGCTTTTACTTAGGCTAAACATGAGCTGCAGTCTCACATGAGTTCACAGCTTCTCATATGCTAAAATAATATGCACAAGTAGCAAATTTTATTTTCATGAAAGTAAACCAAAGATTTATGTTTTAGAATCAAACAGTGTTGCTTTGTCCATCATGTTTCTACTTAATAATGTGGCCAAGTGCAATGTGATAGACCCGGTGCAAAATAATAATTCGCGTGCTTTTCAGATAACATATATAAGCCTACCCTGCAATTTAGATGCTCATTGTTAAGAAACTTCAATAGGTTCACAGATTAACAAAGCCAATTTTAAAGTATCATTTATTTAAAGTAGGTTAATGTTGTTGCATTATTTAACTGTGCCAAGAGCAATATGTAATATTTACAACATGGGCATAGCCTAAACCATTTGGGGGGGGGAACCATACGCAATTCTGTGAGGCTGTGTTTCTAATGCATTTACTAGATGAAGCTTTAGGTTTCCTAATCTTATCAGTCCTTACACTGGGAAAGGGCTATAGCTCAGTGGTAGGGCACCTGCCTTTCATGCAGAAGGTTCCAGGTAGGGCTGGGAACGTCCCCTTTCCAAAACCGTAACACAGCACTGTACTGAGCTAGATAGGCCAATGGTTTGACTCCGTATAAAGCAGTTTCCTATGTATACCAGCAAACCATTGCTCAAGATAAGGGACAATGGTCACTTGTTACCAATGCAGTATAACAAACTCAGGGCAAAATACTATCAACTGATGCCAATCCAGGATCTTATCACTGTGCAATAGGCCAGCGCTCTTCACTTTTCTTTTGACAGTTGTGATATAATACAAAAGGTGTCGTGGCACTGAGGAAGTACTGGGTGTAAGTTATTACAGAAACCAGTTTTTCAATAGCTGTGGTATTATATTGCCTAGGAGGAACAGATACTGTGGGGCACCTTCACTGGCCAATAGGATTGATGCTTTAAATAAGAACCAAGAACTAAGTTTAGTTAGGAGGTACACCAGATTCTGTCTAAATGTTGATTAGGACTCAGAGTGCTCTCCAATGTACATTAGGTGCTTAAATATAGCAGCATTGTATGTGTCTACCACATTCCCCAATACATAATTATTCTTTGTGTAAAAAGAATGAAGCTGCACCTAATAATCCTATGTGTTCACATCCCACTTCCACATCACATTTCCATGGTCAGTCATTATTCCCAATTATTGGTCATATTTCACGTCGTCCCCCCCCCTCAAAAAAAGTAGGTACCCAGTAAACACCACTGCCTTTTACACTAAAGAAAAAGGGCAGACATACACTTCTGTAAGAATGTTAATTATCAGGTAAGATTCCATAGTCAAGGTAGTACAAGTTCCAACAAATGAATTGATCACTGCAAGATGAAAATACTGACTTTTACAATGAAATCAGGAGAGTCTGGTATATAGAAATAAGTCACAGTAGAAAGAAGCTATCCTGTTAAGTCTGTAGTAGAAAAGAGTGTAGAAAATAAACAGTACATTGCTTTACCATGCTATAAAATCATAAGTAATTAGGTTTTCAATCAATGAAACAATAATTTTAAAAAGACACTTTAGACATTTGTACTGTAGTGTACAAATATACCCTAAATTAGGAAGTAAGTCCTAATGAATTACCACAGATTAACACAAAGTAAAAAACCAAGTCATTTCAAGAATATTCAATTTTATGCACATCCATCTCTGTTGAAGATTACAATGCAAAGACGCAAATTTAAGAACAGTGCCTTTTTGAGAAAAGTTCTGTCCAGTAGGATTGACATCTTAGTCCTTCTTTGTTCGTTTAGCTTTAGCAATATTTTCCTGGCGCTTTTGTTTCTTCTTTTGCTCTCGCTCTTTGGCTTCAATCATTTTCGCTAGTTTCCATGACAGTACTGCACTTGCTAAGAATAGAGGTGTCAGAGCTAGGATCACTGTTGTAAGAAATCCATAAGGATCCTTTGCAGCCCATTCCACAATATATTCAGCCCAAGATTTGATATAATCAAACATCTTTCCTGCCACCTAATTGGGGGAAATCCTAAAAAAGAAGCGGTGACACAATTAGATACACTAAACAATTGAATTAACGGGTCAGCAGATTAATTTAGGTATATACAGTATAATGCAAATTCAATTGCCAAAACTGTGGATGGCAAAAGCTCTTTTTAAAAAAGGTACTCTCTCCTCTAAGATCATGCTTGCTACGATGCATGCATAATCTCAAAACATAGTAGGGTTTCTTTCTTTAAAATGATTGGTTTTTCCTCATGGAGATTTAACCATTTGTTTGATTGACTAACATTTATTTAAACTGGGTGATTGACTAACATTTATTTAAACTGTGTGATATCCATTATGGAGATCCTAGAGATATTCATTCCTTAGTTCAAGGTCAGCCTTGAAATGACTCCAGGACTTCAGGAAGAGTAGTTAACAGTCCTGCTATGGTATCTGCTACCAATTAGTAACATATACTGTAAGTACATTTGTACCATGCTATGGGGCAAAGGGTAGATGGGATTATGTCTGGCCTTTAAACACAACATCCTAAACTGGGATGACTTCTTTAAGGGTTACTTGGTTCCCCCAAATATATATATTTACTGAGCATTTTTAATTGTATTTATGCAATTAATGCAATTTATGTACATATTTAATTTATGCTCTGAACTGCCTTAGGTCCTGCACTGAGAGAAAGGCAGGTTATAAATAAAATAATTAATATAACATGCAAACATCCACTCATATTACAGAAGAACTGGCACAATTCTGTGCTGGTCACTCCTTGTAATAAGCAATCCACTCAGGTAAGGAAATATTTCCACAGAGAACAGAATTTGGCAATGTACTTAAAACTGCCATAACAATGAATTATAACGATGATTCACAGGACCAGACTGCCTGAAATTCTTCTTCCATGGGTCACATGAATACTTTACTCTTTCCTCATAAAATTTAATAATTTTACACACTTCTTGTTCATAGTTAATGCCAATACTGTATTTTAAACCACAAAAGATAAAACAGATGTTATGGTGAAATGAAAACACAGTAGTTAACTATGCTTTTCAGATCCGGACACTTAATTCTATTGATGGATGAACCTTCTCCTCATGCCAGTGGTACATCCATGTCTGTATTGTGTGCTTATCACAGGCCACTGACACAAATAGGAACACATCTGCACTCAGCACCCACCAGTTGTTTCACATGACTACAGCTGGATCATGGCCTTTGGTCAATGCCTTGTCCAGATGAGAATGCATTATGGGTTGGATTCAAGAAACAAGTAAAGGAAGATAGCTACAAGCAGTGTTCCACTGCCAGAATTCCTGCAGTGTTACAAAAGTTCTCATGCTTCTGCAGGAAGTTACAGAAGCAGATCATCTTAGATTCAGTTTATTTTTTTCCTCTCAGCACTCTTCTGCAAGATGAGCTGCAGAGTACCTTTTAAGCACATCCAGTGTCTTGAATTCTGCCCTGTCATATCTCTCTTTTAAGCATATGTAAAACAGCTTTGCTAACTTCATCTCTCTCTTCTGCTGCCATGACCACACTATCATCTCAGGTCCTTTCACTGGGATCTCAGGTATCCTCCAAACCAACCCCTATTTTTTACAATTACATTAATATAATGTACCAGTAAATAAGACTTACCCAAGAGGCAAAGAAGCTCCAGTTTAACTATACGCGACAGAACGGGATACCGTTGTCATAGAGAACAAAAGGAAATCACCTTTAAAAAGGTAAAGTAACTTCAGATTATTAAAATTGCAGGGCAAAAACAATCCAAACTTAAACAATACTTGCGTGTTTGGTTGTAAAGGGCTGCACAACATTCAAGCTGGAGGGCTGACATAAGACCTTCCTTCTGACCCTATTATTACTGGAGGGGCGCAGAGAATACAGATACTCACTTTGGAAACATGAGTCAGGCTTTAAGCCAGGTACGGGGAACCTGTGACCCTCCAGATGTTGCTGAGCTACCACTCCCATCACTCCTGATGGGAGCTGGCGTTTCATACATAAATGTGGCAGATTTATGCACAATTCTCACATTTTGGAATTTACTATCTGTCGCAATCAAGATGTTAGAATAAAGCGAGAGAATCAGATCCACTGAGGCTAGTGCAAGAAACAATGTTTTAATGACAGCCGTTTTAGGCAAAACATTTGCACTCTACTATGAAAAGATAAATGGATGCTAGCTTCTTTCCATAGTGTTTTTCCCCCCTGGAAAAGGCAACCATTACAGGTCTTTTGGGAAAAGGAGAGCCTGTACTAAACTGGATTGGTCTAAATGGCTGCTAGAACTCTTACAGTTCATAGGGTTGTCACACACAATTCTTTTAAGCTTTCAATTCTATCTCCAATTTCATGTACATCTAGGGTGAGTTCATGCCTCAGACAGCAATTCCATAAGACTGCCCCAGGGTCATATCTGTATGGAGAATTGAAATTCTGTTACTTGAGTCCAACTCTTCATCGTGGACACAGCCTCCACTTGTCAGCAATAATCTCCACAGTGACAGATGAAAGTACACCTGAAATACCCCTCCTTTGCTCCTAGCATACACTTATTTGAAGCACATGATTGCCATATTCTGTTCTAAACAAGAATAGATAACAGCTTTGGAGAAGGACTTGCTAGCCAACTATTTCTGTTCGAAAGGTAGGAGCAACTGATGTAAACAACAATGCATGCTCAGAACTGCAACTGAATCCTTGAGGACTAGCAGCACGGTCCTATGCATATTTATTCAGAAGTAAGCCCTATGTACGATGCGGGTGGCACTATGGGTTAAACCAGAGCCTAGGACTTGCCGATCAGAAGGTCGGCGGTTCGAATCCCCATGACGGGGTGAGCTCCCGTTGCTCAGTGCCTGCTCCTGCCAACCTAGCAGTTCGAAAGCACGTCAAAGTGCAAGTAGATAAATAGGTACTGCTCCAGCGGGAAGGTAAACGGCGTTTCCATGGGCTGCTCTGGTTCGCCAGAAGTGGCTTAGTCATGCTGGCCACATGCTGTACGCTGACTCCCTTGGTCAGTAAAGCGAGATGAGCGCCGCAACCCCAGAGTCGGTTACAACTGGACCTAATGGTCAGGGGTCCCTTTACCTTTACCTTTTAGCCCTATGTACAACATTGACTTAATACTAAACAAGGCATACTCTCAAGTAAGGAGAAGAGATTGCAGTCTAAAGCTGGCTTAACATAAGACTGTTACTAGAAAAGCAGGAGGCAAACACTTTTACATGTACACCCAACCCCCTCAGCATCTTTTCATATTTACACTCAAGGTGGCTGAAGAATGGATTTTTCCCCACAAGCCTATGGGGACAGGGGCCACAAAAGAGGATTTCTAATCCAAGGCGACAATCTAGAGTTCAAAACCAAGACTAGTAGCTAACGACATATTTGCAGATGTGGAGGGGACAGGGTACCCTATGTAATTTAACAACTACAGCACTGCTTTGCAGTTGAGACTTGCCACTGGAACATTTCTAAAATTAGGATTGCCAGCGCTTTTCCTGAACGCATAGACAGGTCCTCATGTTGGTTTCGTAGAGACAAAACCCAAAGTTAATTGTAGGGGAATGCTTTTAGCAGGACCAACGGAAACCTCCCCGGACAGGGACAATGCAGTTAAGACTTAATGCGGGCGTTAGAATAAGACACGCAAAAGGAGCCCAAAGCCAGCAGCAGCAGTTTATCCGAATGTCATGTACGAATCTTAAACGGCTGCTGCTCTTAAAAAAAAAACATATGCCCCACTATCGACTTCTGAAACGCTTCGGCAGCAGCCGCGTGACTGGGAAGACGCAGGCGCGCCCCCGGCCTTGAGAAAAACCACACCTGTTGGGCTTCTGCCTGCGCGAGGCGGCCGTTAACCAGACGAACGCAGCGTGGGGGGAGGGGCGGGGCGCGAAGCGGGAGAGGTTGGCCGAGGAGCGCGAGGGCCGGAAGCGAGACCGGGAAGGGCTCCCGCCGATTCCTTCGGGGGAAAGGACAGACTCCTCCCCCGGCGGGCTCCAGGCAGCGGCAAACCGCAGTAGGAAGCGGCCTGGCCTGAGGATTAGGAGAGGAAGCGGGTATCCTCCGCCCGGCGGGGCCCGGCCTCCCTCTCCCTCAGCGGAGCCTCGTCAAGCGCCAGGGGACGCGGGAGCCGCCTTTCCCCTCACGCTTCAAAGCCCCCCCCCTCCCGCCAACCACAATGCCTCCTCCCATTGGAATCGCCCAACGCAACCCTCCCCTCCCCCGGCTAAAATATTCACTCACCCTCCAACCGGAAGCAGGAAGAGGGTAAAGGAAGTCCACACACCCACTCCGTTTCGACTCTGTTGTCTTGAGCGATCATAGAGGGTGCAGTCGGCTAGAAAGGTCAGTAGCAGATCCTCGCCGCAAGATTTATTGTCATATGCAAGCTGTAAATCGCCCCGCGGTCTGGAGACGGAACTTCCGGGTTCCCGTAGACCCGATTCGCCTTCCTCCGCCTCCCGAGAGCGGTAGTGAGAGCTGCCCATAGAAAACTGTGGAGAAGCGAGGTGGGGGTGTTTATTTGTTGCTTAGATTATGAGACCGTAGCGTGTCCACCAAGAAACAAAAAGCATTAGGTACGGTGCTTCTCACTCGCAAGCTTTGTTTCAGGTGCAAAATGTGCACATGGCTTATTTAAGGCTGGCTCTGTTGCGGCCAACGGTCCATTATCTCCGTGTTGGAGGTGGCTAGAAGAGTGAGGGCTGAGGCAGGCTTGGGTTTTCAGTCTTCCATACAATACACCTCTCAGGTTGGAGCAAAGGCCTAAACCCGCTCCCAGCCACGATCCAATACTTAATTGCGCGTGGAAGCCTTGCCCTCCATAGTCTTGTGTTTATAACTAAAAAAATCCAATAGAATTACAAAGTTTTTGACGCAAATAAGATCTGGGTTACAAAGAACACGACCCTCCTGCTTTGGAGCCAGTGTGGTATCGGACCAGGACATGGGAGACCAGGGTTCAAATCCCCACTTGGCCTCGAAATTCGCTAGGTGATCTTGGGCCACTCATAGCCTCTTAGCGTAACCCACCTGTTTGTGGGGATTAAATGAGTGGGGAGCCACGTGCGCCACTTTCAGCTCCTTGGAGAAGGTGAACCATAAAAGCAATCAATTAATAATCAATCGTTTGACAAGGTGGAGATGGAGAAACCTAATTGCCTCCCTGCTGGATCAGGCCAGTGGCCCTTCTTACTCCAGCATCGTGTCCTCAGAGTTGCCTGTCAGCTGCTTCTATGGGAAGCGCGCCAGCAGGACTGGAGCGCAGTGTTACCCAGCAATCCTCAAAACACGCTCTGCTGCGTCTGTCTTTCTCCATGGTTTACTTACGGGCAGCTTTCTCTTCCACACCCCCTGTAGTTTGTGGGGGGAAAGGAATCGGGAAGTGTGAGTGTCCGACTGTTAGAGCAGCTGGCTACCGTTAGAGACACATACAGTATATAGCTCTGTGTTGAATCCGCAAGAGCGGTCACGTGGCTAGAGGCGGGCCTGAGCCGCCATTGCTTTGTGGGGGTTGCTGCGTGTGGAAGGGGGAATGAAGGCAGCCAGAGCGGAATCTGGAGCGAGGAACTTCCGGGGAAGGGCGGTAGGTTCGCTCCGCGCAGTAGCGAAGCGCTCGCCAGCGGCGTCCTTTCTTTCCCGCGCCCTGAATGGGACTCCCGCGAGGCGGGCGGGGCACGTCTCTCTCGCGCGCTTTTGGAGGAGAAGGATGCTCGGCATCCAGAGAGGGCTGGGGTTGGTTTGCCCCGTTGAGCTCCTTTCTGGTGAATTGTGCCTGCGGTTGGGTTTGCGCACCGTTTAAAGTCCCTCCGCATCCCCGCCGGTTGCGGAGGCAGAGACTGGACCCAATAAATCAACACAACAGCAGCATTTTATAAATTGCCAAGCGATTTTCTTTTTTAAAAAAGACGCTCCCGTATGTTATACACACATACATGCAAAATTCGTATAGAAATGTATATCCCTGGGGACCCTTTCAGCAGGTTTACAATCTGAATTTACACACAGCACAAGACAAGTAAATAAATAAATCAGGATAGGGTTCGCAGGATAAGCTACTCTTGATTTCTTTCAAAAAGCAGGGAATCACAAAGTCCTTTTGTCCCTAAACCTGGCCACAAGGTGTAATGCAGAAACGTTACAACAAATCAAATGATTTAAAGTCTACTGTTTGCTTATAATACCATAGATATTTGTATACATACATACATATATACACAAATATGTCCGGAAAGGGTTCCTGTAGTACCTCAAGGAGATTTCAACATTCTTTGTTAATAAGCTAGATGTTAATTATTCTAAATCTTATCAGAAGCACCACACCAACACTTGCAAAGGTGTAGCTTGAGCAGATGTATGAGTATCAAAAAGTTCCCAACTGATTTCACTAGTTTATATCTATATTTTGAATCAGGCTTCATGCTGTTTTACCATGGTATAAGCTGGGCAGTTAGGTATACCTTCTACTGTTCTTATGACTGTGCATTTAAAATGTAGCCTAAAAACAGCAGCAGAATGTTAAATAGCCATGGCAGATATCTTTGGAAAAAGATTTCCCCGAGTGCTACTTTGTGCTGTGCAAACTGAAATTCCTTTTATTCATAAATAAATTCATTATCTTGGACATTGTAGTAAATGATGTAGAACACCTGTTATAGAAGCAAGTGGTGAAAGTAAATAAGACCATTTAAGTTGAAAGATAAGACAAAGCAAGGCAAACCCAGCTGAGCACAGAGTGGCTCGATAGCATTAAGGATCATGATAGAATTTAAATTCTTCTATAAGGAGGAAGGATACCTGAAAATATTTTAAGGATTTTTAGCCTAAACTTTTTGATTTAATTGTGAAAGCATGACCCCATGTGTATTTGCTATTTACTCTAAAGTAATCCCTCTTCAGTCAATGGGATTTCACCTAGGGTCCTAGCCTTACAAACACTTACCGGTAATTGAATTTTTCTTAGCTTGGGGAACTTGTGGCTTTCCAGATGTTGGATTCCCAACTCCCATCAGTTCCAACCAGCATGCCCAGCAGACAGGGATGATGGGAGTTGTGACCCAGCAACACCTAGAATCTCAAAGCAATACTGGAACCAGGAGCACCCTGAAAGTATAATCCTTGAGTCTGCAGTGGGAGTGAGAAACCATCCAAACTAGGCTGGTTTCCTTTTCCTGGGCAAACTGATTTATTGGCTAGGAACACTTCTCTCATGTCTGGATCAAATATGCACAGAATTGGATTGCATACGGATGTCCAGTGTGTAAATGTGTTGTGGCAGAATACAGGGTATGTTACTTGACATCTTGTTGTGAGCATTTCATAAGGAAATTGTTTGGGTTGTATCTGTTAAGCTAACTGCAGGAGAGGACTACTAAGAGAGTGTTAGTGTGACTTGTAAGTACTCTGGTAGTTGCTGTATTCCCATAAGCTTGGGCAAGAAAAAGCGACTATCAAATTTAATAAATAAATAAATGATAATGATAAAATATAAGGGTGGTGATTTACTCAGCTTTACCCACCAAAATTAATCAACATGACTAATTAAAGTTCATTCATTTCAAATGGTAAAAATTAGTTGAATACCACCCCAGGTTTTCGCCGACTGACAAAGATGTATTCATTAAGGTGAACTGATGATGGTCAGGGCAAAAAGTACAATCCAGTCTTAAATTTTTTATATTCAGTGGTACCTCGGGTTAAGTACTTAATTCGTTCCGGAGGTCCATTCTTAACCTGAAACTGTTCTTAACCTGAAGCACCACTTTAGCTAATGGGGCCTCCTGCTGCCGCCGGAACAGATTTCTGTTCTCATCCTGAAGCAAAGTTCTTAACCCGAGGTACTATTTCTGGGTTAGCGGAGTCTGTAACCTGAAGCGTATGTAACCCGAGGTACCACTGTGTGTGTATATATATATATATATATATAAAGGTAAAGGGACCCCTGACCATAAGGTCCAGTCGTGACTGACTCTGGGGTTGCGGCGCTCATCTTGCTTTATTGGCCGAGGGAGCCGACGTACAGCTTCTGGGTCATGTGGCCAGCATGGCTATTAGCCAGAAATGGACTTTGGAGACATTCCTTGGAGGTTTTTACACAGAGGTTGGATGATCATCATGTATGATTTAGTTGAGATTCCTGCATTGCAGGGGGTTGGAATAGATGACCCTCAAGGCCCCTTCCAACTCTACGATTCTATGATTTCAACAGAACCTCAAGTTGTTGCTGTTGTATGTTTAGAACTGTAGATTTCCCATAAAGGAAAAAGGACTTAGGAAATTTGCATTTCAGTATTTACAATATTCAGCCAGTATGATATATTCTTGAACTATAATAGAATGCTCTGGTTGTCTGGCAGATATGGGATTGGTGATATATCAGGTCCACTCAGAAACAAAACTTCTCATTTTAAAAAACATTGGTGGAATACTTAGGCCTTGTCATGGTGACATCAGAAGATTGACGGATGGGTGGCCCCACCCACTTATCAGAGTGGTTCCCAGAGGGCAGGGTAGCTGAAAATCCACCTTACTGGCTGGATCCTGTTCCCCACCCTTATTATAAAACATGGCAATAATTGGAGAAAAGTAAAGAAAACCCAGATCACCCAAATTTGAAAACTTATCCGAATACATGTAGTAATTTGTTTTACAGTACTTTGAAAATAAACTTTCATTTGGTTCTAATGGAAAACAAGGTTTGTTGTTTATTTTATTGGACACATTTTTTATGACAGTTTAAAAAATATTCCCCCCCCCCAAGGTGGCTCACAAAATGAAAAAGTGGAACAATAATAAAACAACAGTTTAAAAAAATTATACAATATCAAATAATAATCAGTGCATTTCAGTGCCATAAAGCACACAGTGGAAGCCAATACTGAGGCAACAGACTCAATATGTAATTCATCACAATCCTATAAATTCATTACAGCCTTCCATAGTAGTTCAGATTTTGTATTAATCCTGCATAAAATGCTGCCTTTCTGTGCTATACTCAATGCTGCTATAGGAAAAAGAGCTCAGGATATGGGGGGGGGGGTGTCAAAATTTTAGGTGTAAAATAATAAACTCACAGGAAACAAAGACTTGTTCTGAGGCCACAGCGCAGATGGGAAATATTGGAAGTGTTGAAGCTGGGCAAATCTTGCTGTCATTAAATACAAATAATATAATTTTACAAGTTATGCATGTATTCCATTGGTCCATAATTCATTAGTGAATCTTTCAGGCTGAATTTCAATCTATCTATTGTCCCTAAAATCTTTTGTGTCGTGTGCATCTTTCTGCTACAGATTAATCTCAGGGGTGGCACCGTTGAATTTAGTGAAGTTATATCAGGTATGAATTTTAGCCTATTGCATCCATAAAGAATCATCCCCAGGAGTGAATTATTTCTTTATGCTTCTTCATGAACTGTTTATCTTGCATAATTTCTTGAATCTTGTCTATTCCACCTGCCGAATAATATCCCCCTTGTTTCTGGATGAGTAATGCAGCTCCCCCTGCAATGGCACGTTGGTGAGTGTTTTCTGAAGGGCCATGAAAATTAAATTTTTCTTGTGCTTCCCCCACCCCACCCCCAGCTTGTAAAGTGAGAGTGCTTTATCAGCACTTTGTCAGCCATGTGTGACAGATCTGCAGCATTTGCACAGCAATAGGTAGTATTTCTTACAGTTGTAGTAGAGCCAGCCAAACCTCTTTTGTGACATTGGGAGTTAGATCTTATTTTAAAAACAACAACAATGCCCCAATGTGTTGTGCAGCCATAGAATGCACAATATAGCATCGCTTCATACCATTTGGAGCCTCTGTAGTCATGAAGGGATTGAGGCTGTTCCTTAAAGCACCTCAGTGACAGCACTTTACTTTAAGGAGAAACGCTGTCATTGTTCTGGCCTGACCTTGACCAGAAGCCCAGAAGGCACACCAGTCCACCTGAGAGCAATGCAAGTAAAGGCCAAAATTCCAGCACCACGGAGAGCTCCAAGCCTCCCACAAGTCCTTAAACCTCAATGGGTCTTTTTATCAGTCTCAAGCCTGCTCTTTCTTGGAGCATACAGAGTTTAAAGGGCCAGTCTCCTGGCCTGGGGCCTAGCACACCCATCTCATTCCCATTAGTTCTCTCCTGGTTCAGTTCCTGTGCTCATGATCTGGTGACTGAAGACATAAGAGCCCAGGTCTAGGGATGGTCAATTCTTTGAGGACCTCAGGGTTTGGGTCTCAGTTGATGTGACAGGCTTTGGCTCAGACCCAGTGTTAAAGGCCTATGCCTGAGTCTTGCTCTTCCATTGCCTTTGTTGCCGCTACTACTATTATGGCTTATCCTTCCTTGTCAAAGTCCAAGCTCTTAAGGGGACCGTGACATCATCATCATCAACAACAACAACAACATTATTATTTCATTTCATTCAGAGACTAAGTGAATGTTTTATGTTTTATTATGGTTTTTGTATGTGTTGGAAGCCGCCCAGAGTGGCTGAGGCAATCCAGCCAGATGGGTGGGGTATAAGTAATAAAATTATTACCATTATCATCATCATCTGCATTACCCATCAAGTCTCACTGTGCTCAATGGGACTTACTGCCAAATAAGTTTGCATAGGTCTCCCTAGAGTTGTGTTGAATAATTGAGAACAACTTGGTGCAACTCATTTGTGGATTAGTCTGTGTGGGCCCAGCACTCTGCAAAGTACAGGCAGAAGGCATGACTGAAGTTTCACTACACAGTATGTCCCCTCTGGGCAGTAGCAAGAAAAGGAAATAGCTTTTAAATGACTGCTATTGGACAGTGTGCTATTGTCTGTACACCTGTCAGGCTGTGAGGTCCCAGACCTGTGCCCCATCTCAGGCACTGTCAACCAAAGGAGGATTTGAAATGGAGGGCCTTTCAGAAGCTGGGCTACAGTGCGAAATCACTAACCTCTTTGTATACAGGCTCTGCTGCAGTGTTGGGGAACTTGTGACCCACCCGCCTGATGCTGTTGGGACTAAAACTCCCATCATCCCTGACCATTGTCCATTTGGCTGATACTGATGGGAGTTGCACGTTGTGATAATAATTATTTAGCAGGGTGGTGATTGGCCCGTGTTACTGATGATTCCATTTGAAAAGCGAGTCTCTTATTTCAGGACTTATTTATTTATTTATTTGCTTGCTTGCATTTCTGTTTAATAAATAGATCCAAGGATCACAGGGTGGTTTACAATATTAAAACACAAAAATACGTAACATAGTAACAAGCAAAACAAAAATAAGAACAAAAACAAATGAAGAATTCCTCTTCCAATACATTTAAAAGGGTATCGGATGTTAATCAGCCAAAATTTTAAAAGGCAAGTTTGTTTAATTAGCCAAAAGCCTGGGAAAAGAAGAATGCTTTTGCCTGGCACTCACTTGGGTCCTGAGCTGAGTTCAGTAGTATATTAGTTTCCCTAGATATAGCCATTCTGCTCCCTTAAGTTATGTACTAAAGACTGAACTAACCTATATACTGCCCCAGGCCTTAATGGAGGACTTCAGCAGAGAATAATTGCCAAGAGGCTTTAAGGCCCTTTGGTACTGCTAGATTAATGCAAACTGGCCTATTCAGGCTTCTTGAGGTCTAAGCATTTTGCTTTGCCAGAAGGGATGACTGAAATTCATTTCATACATTGCCTTTAATGAAAAACAGTGAGATACAGTAAATGCAGATTAATTGTGCTGCTGGTCTTTAATTCCTCCTCATGTTACATTTGCAGTCAAATGAAAGAGAAGAAGGAGACCAAAAAATCATTAGCCTCCAGGCATATTGCTGGAAGCAGTAATCTCTTCTTATCTGCTGAGTTAAGTGCTGGATGAATTCTTGTGTGGTGTTTTGAACTCTGTCTTTATGCATTGACTACCTGACATGGAATACACCTGGCCCTGAACTGACCTCCCTCCCACTTCTGGAAGTGATCACAGCATGAGGCAATGTGCCTCCAGGCTAATGATCTTTTTTTAATGTCTCAACTCTCATACATGAGCAGAAATGACGATTGGAATTGCTGTCCTAATTTGCACAATATATATTGCAAGCAAAATTATATTAAAGGCGATGCATAAAATTAAGTTAATCAGCGGGTATTTTCCAAATTGAAGAAATGACTGTGTAAATAGGAAGAAGATGCTTTATTGGGTGTAGGTATATGAGGGGGTGTGGGAGAAGAGCTAGAATTGTGTATTAGAAGCTCTCTATATTTTCTTAGAAGGGGAATGGACGTTAGCACTCTATTTCATTATTGCCTATAGTATAAATATATAGAGAGCCTGAAATCCAGTGCCTGCTCACTTTGCAAGAGTGTTGCTGGTACTTCACCTTTGCTGTGTGGGGTCTTGCTGCCCCTGTGGTTATTTTCTGGGGTCTGCACATTTTGGCTGACCTTAATATTTGCAGATGCCACCAGCTCTGTCCTTTTTCTATGTCTTCTGGCGTGCCCAGAGAGCTAAAGAAAGGGATAAAAATCTCTCCCTAGCTTCATGATGTGCTTTGGAAATGCTCAAAACTCCTCCAAAGTGTAGCATGGAGACAGTGACCAGTTATGTCATTGAATCAGGGGTAGCCAATGTGGTGTCGTCCAGGTATTATTGGATAGCAGCTCCCATCAGCCACAGCCAATGGACAGGAATTATGGGAGCTGTGAGTCCAATGGCATCTGGAAGGAACCATGTTGGCTACCTCTGCTCTTTCCTGAGGTTGGTACTCATGAAAGATGTGGACTCTTGTCTCTGGCTTAGCATTGCACTTAGGTATTCTCTTTGGTGAGAATCTGGAGCTTCAGTTGTTAGCAATACAATAGGGTTAGTAGCATCAGGAATTTGCCATTCCAGAGAGATTCAGAGCTTCCAATATCAGCACCGTGAAGAGCTCCCAGTGAGTCTAGTCTGCCTGGTGTGTTTTCCCTCCTTAGATAACATTAGGACCATGTTGTGACAACAAGGAGATGGAGCTGTCTGAGGTCATCTTCTGCTATAGGGCTGGAAAGGGCTTGTCTTTTCCTGAGACCCCAGGCTTGGGGTGATGGTGACACTAGGCTTAGAGCAGGGTTGATCTCTGACCTCCCACTGCGTCTCCCAAGTGTCAAGAGACAAGACCCCATCCCTTTCCCAAGGTCCGGCCTCAGAGAGAAGGAAGGAATGGTTCCAGATCTTGATCTCCTTTTTCATGGTATTACTGCCAGAATTCCTTCAAGCCAATGGCAGTTTTCTGCAGGCTTCTGCCCAAGTTATCCCTCTCTTACTCCCTTCCCCTCTCCCAGCCATATCTTCTTATGATCTCTTTGTTAGGATATTTCCGTTCCACCTTAAAAGGGAGCAGGCTTTGTGAGTCAGAGTCTGCGTATTTCCTGTTCACAGGATGTTTATGTTTTCTGTTGCTTTCGTTTTCTCTCTCGGTGTCGTAGACACTAAAGCAGGCAGTCATGTTTTTCTGTGTTCTGATCAACGCTGAATAAACTTGTAAATAATGCTCTCCTGATTGCAACTTTTGGCTGTGCATTATCTGCTGATAGACCGTGCATGAGCTCTGGAATGTGGCAAGATATTTTCTAGAAACTCATGTCGCTGCGTGCCTACGGGAGGTCGATGGATCGTCCGGCAGACGGCTTGGGGGCCTTGATGGACTTTATCTCCCTGGCAGTATCCCAACACTCTTTTGACTCTCCCAGGTATTATCTGTGGCTTTTACCGAGTCTGCCTAGTTCCATTGGGGTGCAGGAGGGGGAGGGCATTCCCTACCCTGGGCAACCATATTCCAGTTTTACTGAGTTTGAGGGGCCCTTATAGTTTGTTGCGTGCCAGAAGACTTGCCAACCAAGGATTTCAAAATGGATGGACCTTTTTTCTTTTAAATACAGAATTAAAACCTTACTAAGATCAATAGATGATCTTGGCCATGCAAATAACTACAAAAGAATTCCAAAGCCACATTGTTAAAGTATTGAAACGTAGACCACAAATTCAAGCTTTACTTCAAAAGCAAAATGACATTGAACCATCCTTTATTCGTATTGGCATTGGACATTATTTATTAAGCACTTAAAGTTTCCAAGGCACTGTACAAAGATGTTAAAACACAGCCTTATCTAACAGATGTGATACAATACGGGGGAAATGATGGGGAATGGGGAAAGAAGCAAAATTCAAGCACTAATTTTTCACAAAGTTACATAATATAGCAATGAATTTTGTCGTCTTAAGGTTGTGGTAACTGATGAAGGCTCTGCAGAGACAATGATGCAACATACCAATTCCCGGGGCTTTAGATGTTACTGCTGCTGTTCCAAATGCTGCTACTTTAGGTGACCGTGGGGGAGAACAGTACCTTGCGAGAAGTATGCTACCTAGCAACCCAGATGTAGCGCCAGATGTTTTGGTTCATAGAGTGAGCAGGACACCTTCTTACCTTGGCTATTCCACCACTTCCAGCTCTTTCTTGCAGCAGGGAAGTCTAGTTTCATTCTTCCAAACACATTTAGAAATTCTGGCTGTGTCTTTGTGCCTGTTTGCAATAATAAGCATGGAGACTGGATCTATTTATACTGTGCTGAAGTACCGTTAGAAGCTGTTCTGTGTACTTTTCGTCCTGATTGGCAGTGTGCTTGGGATGCCGGTCTGTTGTCTTTAGTCGACCTTCTTCAAACACTTTTAAAAGCAATGTATTTACAGCAGAACTATGTCAAGAAGGAAAGTCCACATAAATACACATAGTGGCTGCGTTTGGATGTTTGTCCATATACCCATGCATTCCTCTTTTCCCATCACTTGTTGTGCTCTGGCATAGGGATTTAGCCAGTTTTTCCTGATGACAAACTAGATTGTAACAGGAAACTCTGGCTTAGCCAGTATAAAGTATTTTAACCCCATGCTTGCTTCCTTGGAGGAAGGAGGAGACATACATGTGACAAGTATATGAATAATTGTGTCTAGCTTCAAAATAGACATTTCAAGCTTTAAGGAAGCTTCAAGAAGTTGTGGAACTTCTGCTGATGCAGAACACAGTGGAGAAAAGGCTAGAGCAAGGGCGTGCTGGAGAGAGATGTGCCCCTTGCCCATTGTGGTGAATATGACAGTTTTTGGCAAGAATAGCTAGTCATTCCACAGAGGTGAAGGCAACTGTTATTGCCATCCTTGTGAATCTTAAGGTTTGAAGCAAAGCTCTCAAGTGGACTGCTGCAACAGACTTGAGCTTTTTAAGAAAGAGACCGTGTCAGTCATGGATCTTGCAAATTCTTTAAACAGATCACTGGTCAGGGGTGGGTACACAGAAGTCACAACACTTGTTTTTTTTTCCTATTGAGGTGGTTAATATCACCCCCTTGGTTGCATTCAAAACCATATGGATACTTTCATGCTAGGTGTTGAGAACAAAAGGTGTGGCCCACTGACGCCGAACAAAGCTTATTTTGCATTTTCCCTTGAAGCTTAGATAAAACATATAGAATGTGCCATTGCTCTCATTTCTGTTACCTTCAGTACATGTACATTTAAGAAAGGATTAGAGTTTTCAATGGTTGATTTTGCAAAATGGATATAGTTGATTTCTCTTGGCTGATGGGTTTTGCTATTTCAGCAGTTCAAAAACAGTACAAAAATGTGATCTGGCGTTTTCTGCTGCATTTAAATTAAAGCCTGTTACTATTGACTCTGAATGGCTGTTAGCTAAATGCATTTAATGTAGAACACATTCTGACTTGCCCAAAGAATGGCATTTTCTAGTGCTGAGAAAATGGTCCTTGAATTAGAGAATTAGCTCTTCAAAAATGTAGCCAGGGGAGTAATACCTCTTTCTGCATAATTGTGGGGAGGGTGCTCATGTTATTGTTTGAGTGAGTGACACAAAAATAATTGAAAAGCGCATAATAGAAACAAATAAGTGGGGACTCCCTGGGAGAGGGAAAGGTTGGGGAGAGGAGGGCAAAGAGAAGGATTCTCCTTCTCTTGCCCTTCCACTTTCTGTTCTGGAAGAGAGATAAAAGGGAGTGGGGGTTAAGGCTGCTTATTCTCCTTTGACCTTTCCTTTGACTCTGAATCATTGTGGTGGTGGTGGGGAGCTTGCACCATGGTTTGGAACCCTTATAATCTATATAGACACTGTGGTATACACACCCACACACCCCATATGCACAAATCCCAGAAAGAGGATGTGTGTGACAATCGTGTTGATAATAATGATACAATACTTAATACTTGCAAGCTATGCAAGTATTGCAAGAGTGTGTAAACCCACAACAAATGCTCTTCAATTCTATTGCTCTATGATTCTGCCCTTGAATACGTACAAGAATGGGCCTTCAGCCTTTGCACATGCACACATGTACTTTTGGGTAATCATGTTTAGGACTGTGCTGTAGGTGTTAAATAAAGTAGTCATCTCTGTTTAAAATTCAGAAAATTCTGATTCAAAATAACTGTCAAAAAGAGTAATGCTGTCTTTTGGATCAAGATCCAACATTGCACCAGAACTTCCCCTCTCTTTCCTGCCTCTTCCAGCTACCTTGTTTCCCCAATTTGCTCTGGAGACAAATTTTTGAGAAGATGCAATGGGTGGGGGGAGAGTCCCATTTGCACAAGAGGAAATCCGTTGTGCAAGCAGTATGATACGTTTCTACGTTAAAAAGAAGAATGTAACTTAATCTTAACTCTTTGACAAAAAGATTTTTCTCATTCCCTTCTTTCAGCCTTCTACATGGAAATGAACTGCAGCACCTTCTCCAACGGAAGCTTTTCATCCTAGTGTATTCTTTCCATGTGCTCTGCTGCTTAGAACTCTTCTTTTCTACAACAGCTTGAAGTAGAATTACCATGGTGAAATATTGTGCAGCATATAACTGCACCAATTCAGACACAAAGTTGAACAGGAAACAGGGAATAACTTTTCACAGGTAAGCGTGAACAGCCTGAGCATAGCGTAAACCCTGATCTTTTATTAATTATCATTATTATTGCAGACTATTAGGCATTTGCCCACAGGAATGAATGTTTGGAGGAGGCATATTGTTCACAGTCTCCAAAAATAACATTGCAGGCTACTCCAGATCCTGTTGCATGTTGTGGAGATATTTAATTTAGCTGGCACGCCTGTGCTTGAAATTGCACAAGAATGTGATTTATGTAAGAGCAGAAATGTGGTAATAAATTTTGAATGTCTTATTTTGGACGACATGTGTTAATACCAGCATGGAGCAGTATTCCATAGCGGAACATTGTGCAGGGATGTTTGGGAAGAACAGTTCTCATTAGTTCACAAAAAGGATCTGTCACCCAAATTCACTATCCCATTTGTGACTCTTTCCAGCAAAATCCAGGAGGACCTTTCATTAAAATATAATTATTTTCTACATACAGTAAATGTGGGTATGTATTTGAAAGATATTATGTTCCAGCTTTCCACTGAATATAGGCAAGGCATGTCAGGCAGGCTGTAGATTGGCAGAAGGCAGAATAAGATCTGTTAGTAGATCTATAGTTGATTCACCGTAGATCCTGGCTCCCAACTGTCTAACTGTAGCAAGGTCTTAAAGGTTTCCTCCCTGTTGAAAACTAAGCTGCTGAAACAAAGAATACCTGGGAGAAATCCAAGAGTGAATTTTCATTCTGGGCTGTGCATGTGCTCAGAAATACTCTGCTCTTCATTCTTAAAATGTGTCCGAAAACTAGAACTGTTTTGCATGTGGTTCTAGTTGATTGATCTCAGGGTTCAGGGGTGGGGTGAGGAGATCCTGCAAGTCTAAAATCTGCTCACAATTGTTCTAAGCATTCCCCTAGAAGAACATTTTACACCAGTGGTTTTCAACCAGTGTGCCATGGCACCCTGAGGTGCTTTGAATGATAGCCAGGGTTGCCACAGGGGTATTTTGTGCACAGCACTTGAAAAATGAGTAGACTTACTTTGTAGATGGGGGGCAAATGTTCCTACTGCATGATTCAGGCCTTCAGCTGCCAATTTGTTTACCCCTCTGACAGTCCTGTACAGTTCTACTTGGAAGTAAGTCTCATTGAGTTCAGTGGTGCTTACTCCTAGGTAAGTGTGTATAGGATTGAAGCTTTACTACCCCAAAAGCTGGGCTGTTGAGCATTTAGCCTGACAACCACATGTACATAACACTTTCTATATGTTTGTTCCAAATGTGGTTGTTTATAACATTTCCATAAGAATACTTGGGTTTTATTTGCTTATAACAAGGTTTCCCAAGGATAATGCAAGAAAGCAAGAATGGGCCATGTCAGTACACCGAGCTGACCCTGTTAGTGGCAAACTTTGGATGCCATCTCAGTGGGACATGATTTGTTCTCAGCATTTTAGCCAAGAGTGCTTCAGAGAAATTAATGGAAAGAAGTTTCTCAAGGAAGAAAGTTGTCCTTCTATATTTTCCTTTCCTGACACTTCTAAGGTATGAGATTTGTGTGATATTCTAATTTTATTATACTGTTTCTTTGTTTCTGGTCCTCAGTTTTGGTGGACCATTCATTCAAGCTTCATCTCTTGTTGCCTTCAGGTGACTAGTGAAGACATTCCTGTTTGGCTTAGTGTTTGGTCTTAAATTAGGGGGCTTTTTTCTGCTGCTGCTGCTGCTGCTATGGGTTGTGCTGCTATTCACTCCCATTTTTATCTAATTATATTTCATTATTGTGATTTTATTTTGTCTGTGTGTGTGCTTTTAATTGCTGCCCGCTGCTTTCTGGGGTCTTGTTCTCTAAAGGTGGGGTAGAAAATGTTTAAATAAGTACACCATTCAAGCAGCAGAACTTCTGAATGCAATTGTTGCCACATTTTCAATGACTTCCTAGGAACTGTTCTTTGTTTCCTAGAAAATACACGCTCCAAAAAGACGAAGAAAGAACTCCAAGTGGGCTGGAGCACTTGACCTCACTCTTGTCAAGGCAAATGGCAGCAAAAATGAAATGTGCAGTCAGCAGATCATGCAAACTGTAAGCAGAAAGGCAAAATGAATTATCTGTTTTGTGGAGATTAGTTAGCTACCTTTAGTGGATTGTTAAACTGCTGTGTAAATTGTAATTTACTTTTAGCTGGCTTATTGTTGTAATTAGTGTATATTCAGCATATTGAAGGAAAAATTGCTAAGGTAAATAGCCCCTGTGAAGTTAGATTGCTGCAAAATTCCCATTGATTTCAATGCATGTTGATTTGCACCAATCAGGGCTGGCCCTTCCATGAGGCAGAGTGATTTAGAGTGAGGGAGCTGCCTCAGGTGGCAAATTCAGAGAGGCAGAAAGTAGCTAGAGTATCTGTGTTTGCCCTTCAGTTCCTAATAGGTTAGCTTTCTGCCATAGGGTGCATTGGAGGACTCTGTTCCATCACCAGCGCTGAAGTAAAATTCAACTACAAGTCTAGTGAGATTTTGTGCACAGAATGGTGAATGCACCATCTCATCCTTCATCTCAGGTAGCAAAATGTCTTGGGCAGCTCCTGGAACCAATCTCTGCATGCGTGGAAATTATAGTGAGCCAATGGTTGTGTACAGCGGAATATTTCAGATAGGATTGGACTGAAAATGTAGTAAGCCAAATTCCACAGATTATTTGTAACAGTTATGTAAAGGACATCCAAGTACTCTTTGTCACACCCAACCACAAAACAGATACAGCCATCTTTCTGGTGGCATTTGAGGGATAAGGATGCACTCTTTGGAGCCAGACCCATGCCTAGAAGCATAATAATACTGGAGCTTCTATGCATTTGTTTGTGTTGAAAAGAAAATTAATGCGCTATACATTTCTTTTTTTCCAGAACAGGTGGATATATTATAGCAACAACATGATATTTTCATCTTTATCAGTATGTAAGATTTCTGATTTCTTCTTGCTCTAGAGAAAAAGAAGAAGAAAAGCAAGGAAATGAAAATCTATCTTTAAAACGTAGCAAAGCACAAAAAAGTTACTTTTCTATCAATGATTTAACCACTTTTGGTTTTTTCTGTAGACACCAGCTAGTGATTCACAAAAATCACTTGAGCACAAAGAGCATAAAGTGGATTTGAATAGCTTTTCTTCAAAGATAAGCCCCACTGAGGTATATAGTGCAAAGTATACCCTCACAGTAAGTATAAAAGCAGTAACTTTGTCAACAGTCCTCTTCAGAATCTAATGATTGTAAATGTTGAGTGCAGAAACAGTTGCTTCAAGGTAGGTTTTGGCCCAATCCTGGAATTATGATTCAGATTAAATCTTTAAGGAAGCATGAGATATCAGGGCATTCAGCACAATAATACGACTTTAAATTGAACATGTATGTTAAACTTCAAAATTACATTTATTGACTGCTTTTGAAGAAAGGGTTGGTGCTGTGATGTTTTTACTGTTGGTGGTGTTTTTAATGGGTCTTTTTATATTATTGTAATTACATTAGTGTTCAATTACAGTTTAATTATTTTTTCCCTAGGTTTTTAGCATTTTCTATTTTATCTGTGTAATCTGTCTTCAGTCCTTGACTAGGAAAAAGGCAGGATATAAATATAATAATAATAATAAAGTAATCTCACAACACTAGCTGAATTTACTGTGTGCTTGCCGAAAGAGAGACAAATCTGTTGTCTTTCCCTTAACCATTAAAAAAAAATTTAATACTCTTCAGCTGCTAGCATATAGCCAATGTTTTGAATAGAAGCTATTCATTACATTCTTACTCCTGTTCCCAGGGAACAGATGCCTGCTTTTCATAACTTCAGCAGAACAGCTCTAAAATTATCTTGATGAATATGACAAGCAATTGTCTAAGTAGTCTACATTCACAACAATACATGTTGTTCTTGATATCAAAAGTGGATAGGTCAAAAAGAGGGAGAGAGAACAGGAGGCAATAATAATGCGGGGCAGGCAGGAAGAGTTAATTTCACATAGAAACTAAGTAACCTCTGGATAAAAATGCATAGGATTGTGATCTTTATCACCCCAAAGCATATTGGAGCAAAAAAAGGAGGTTTATCTGTCTCTGGAAGAAGACAAGTGAAATAGACAGTCAGATTGCCTGGGGAGGAAATTCTATAAATTCAGGTTCACTACAGAAAAGTCACCACTGCTATCTAATAGTGTGTGACATACAAGAAAGATGGTTCTTGAATTCATTTGTGACTGGAAAATTTGGTATGCAGGTGAGGTGTTCAACAAGGTTAAAAACACTTTCCATGATACTTCATGATTTCTACAAGCAAGCATCTCAATGAATTATGATGCACAGAAACAGTTAAGAGAACTTTTAACTGAGTTAAGATTAAAAAAGGATGTGTACAAAAAATGGAAAAGGGGGGAAACCACCAAAGAGGAATTCAAACAAATAGCCAGCACGTGTAGACACAAAGTCAGAAAAGCTAAAGCACAGAATGAACTCAGGCTTGCTAGAGAGGTTAAAAGCAACAAAAAAGGCTTTTATGGGTATGTTTGTAGCAAAAGGAATAACAAAGAAACAGTGGGGTCACTCAGAGGAGAAGATGGTGAAATGCAAACAGGGGACACAGAAAGTGCTGAACTCCTCAATGCCTTCTTTGCCTCAGTCTTCTCCAATAAAGAAAACAATGCCCAACCTGAAGAATTTGGAGCAAATGATTCAGCAGAGGAACACAGCCCAGAATAACTAAGGAGATAGTACAAGAATACTTGGCTAGTTTAGATGTATTCAAGTCTCCAGGGCCAGATGAACTGCATCCAAGAGTATTAAAAGAACTGGCAGATGTGATCTCAGAACCACTGGCAGTCATCTTTGAGAATTCCTGGAGAACAGGCAAAGTCCCGGCAGACTGGAGAAGGGCAAATGTTGTCCCTATTTTCAAAAGGGGAAAAGAGAGGACCCAAATAATTACCGCCCAGTCAGTCTGACATCAATACCAGGGAAGATTCTGGAGCAGATCATTAAGCAAACAGTCTGTGAGCACCTAGAAAGGAATGCTGTGATCACCAATAGTCAGCATGGATTTCTGAAAAATAAGTCATGTCAGACTAACCTGATCTCGTTGTTTGACAGAATTACAAGCCTGGTACATGAAGGGAACGCAGTGGATGTAGCCTACCTTGATTTCAACAAGGCATTTGACAAGGTGCCCCATGATATTCATGTAAAGAAGCTGGTAAAATGTGGTCTTGACTATGCTACCACTCAGTGGATTTGTAACTGGCTGACTGACCGAACCCAAAGGGTGCTCATCAATGGTTCCTCTTCATCCTGGAGAAGAGTGACTAGTGGGGTGCCACAGGGTTCTGTCTTGGGCCCGGTCTTATTCAACATCTTTATCAACGACTTGGATGATGGACTCAAGGGCATCCTGATCAAATTTGCAGATGACACCAAACTGGGAGGGTGGCTAACACCCCAGAGGACAGGATCACACTTCAAAACGACCTTGACAGATTAGAGAACTGGGCCAAAACAAACAAGATGAATTTTAACAGGGAGAAATGTAAAGTATTGCACTTGGGCAAAAAAATGAGAGGCACAAATACAAGATGGGGACACCTGGCTTGAGAGCAGTACATGTGAAAAGGATCTAGGAGTCTTGGTTGACCACAAACTTGACATGAGCCAACAGTGTGACGCGGCAGCTAAAAAGCCAATGCAATTCTGGGCTGCATCAATAGGAGTATAGCATCTAGATCAAGGGAAGTAATAGTGCCACTGTATTCTGCTCTGGTCAGACCTCACCTGGAGTACTGTGTCCAGTTCTGGGCACCACAGTTCAAGAAGGACACTGACAAACTGGAACGTGTCCAGAGGAGGGCAACCAAAATGGTCAAAGGCCTGGAAACGATGCCTTATGAGGAACGGCTAAGGGAGCTGGGCATGTTTAGCCTGGAGAAGAGGAGGTTAAGGGGTGATATGATAGCCATGTTCAAATATATAAAAGGATGTCACATAGAGGAGGGAGAAAGGTTGTTTTCTGCTGCTCCAGAGAAGCGGACACGGAGCAATGGATCCAAACTACAAGAAAGAAGATTCCACCTAAACATTAGGAAGAACTTCCTGACAGTAAGAGCTGTTCGACAGTGGAATTTGCTGCCAAGGAGTGTGGTGGAGTCTCCTTCTTTGGAGGTCTTTAAGCAGAGGCTTGACAACCATATGTCAGGAGTACTCTGATGGTGTTTCCTGCTTGGCAGGGGGTTGGACTCGATGGCCCTTGTGGTCTCTTCCAACTCTATGATTCTATGATTCTAGGATTTTAAGTTGGATGTAGAAAAGATCAAGTAGATCTCTTCTTGCACAAGGGTTCTTTTTTAGTCTTCTCGCTGCCACCACTGCCTCCTCCCCACTACAGATCCCTCCGTCAATCACAAAATCTACTCCTGGATTAGATCACTTTTAAGTATCTGTGTGAGATGGGGCGGGCGGGCTACTGCAAGACAGGGAAATTGGTGGAGTTTAGCAGGGCTGCTGAACAAGGGCAAAAATGCTTTTCCTCTTGTGCAAGACATCTCTGGATCGAAGGCATTAGATTTAGTGTGGTTATATATTTTCAGAGAGTGCATGCCTCTCTATACCAGTTGCAGCGGATCGTTAAGTGAGGAGAATACTGTGGGACTTAGGCCCTACTTATGGGCTTCCCCATAGACATCTCTTTGGCCACTGTGTGAATAGAAGGGTTGGAATAGCTGGGCCTTTGGTCTGATCCTGCAGGGTGCTTGTGTTATTCCACATTACACTGCGTTGTTTTTTGTTTGTTTTTTTGTAGACAGAGCATCATTACCATATTACAGATAGTCCAAAAACACTGAAAAGGAAGCTAGATGAACTTTTGGAGGAGAATGATGAGCTGAGAAGAAGATTAAGGAACAGACCTCCCAAAGAACAATGACTCTTATTCAGATGTGGGTGTTTTAAATGGACAAACATTCTAAGGACATGCATCCAATGAGGTATCCAACAGTGCGGCCTTAGATGAATGCCAGGTCTCATCTCTCACCTGTACTCATTAATGGAATATTATGTATCCCACTGTATTTATTTACATAAATATATTCAAGTTTTCATATAAACAGATTTGGCAGCTGTAGGTTTTTGTTTGTTTTTGCTAAACATCGTGGCTACAACATAAGACTATTATAATAAATGGGTCTAAAGTTGTTTAGTGTTTAAATTGAAGCTTTTTTATGAGAGGGTAGATAACAACATCCACCCTAAGCAACATATACATTAAGAATACTATAAAGATAATGTACAGTACTTCTATTCAGTACTATTCCCAGTAATTCTGGGAAGAGGTCTATGATTTTGATCTACATTTTCCCCTGTTCTGCTTAACATGACCCTCCACAGTGTCTACTTGCAAAATCATGTGCTCTAATATATATTAAAATTCATGGCATGGAGGGCTTCAGTAAGACTTGAGTAAATTGTGGAGAAATGATAGGGATGCATTTCAGAATGAGTTGTATATGCACAGCTGTTTGGATACTGCATATACATTTGCCAGATAAGAATTTCAGAAGTATGACACTTTGTACAGATGTGGTGCTCACACAAAGGAACAATAACTTGTAATTCAGAATATTGGCAATGAAACATCCAAATGTTTGCTAATTTGGTGGTGGGGAATATAATTTGGAATATAACACGATCAGCCTTTTCTCATTTAATGCTTACCGGGGGGCGGGGTCACCTTCTGTCAGACATATCTACAATTTGTTTTCTACAGATTTTCTTGGATGCAGAATTCACAGCCTAGTGTAGGGTTTGCACTGGCAGAGCACGTTAGATGTTCAGTAGTTGCTTTCAACAACATTTGAGGCTGTGAAATGAGCTACATGAATGTTCATCAAAACTGCAAAAGGAAACCGCCTGTAAGCGCCAGCAAACAGTTGCAGAACATTTTGTTGAGCCTCTCCAGCACCAGTAATTGTTGTAACTTATTATCCAACAGTATCATTCCAGACCCAGACTCAGTGAGGGTTTCTTTTCGACCTTTTATAAAATTCCATTGAAAGATCAAACTCTTACATCTCCCACATTAAAAAAGATAAGAAGTAAACTGCAATGAGCAGCTGTGAGTATGCTGTATATTTCATATAACAAGTGATATGTAAAACTGCAGTCTTATTGCAGAGGAAATGCTCTAGTGCACATCTTTCCATTTTAGTCATCTTGTTGCTGCTACATTCTCTTCATATTTGCAATTTAATTATCCTCAAGGCATACATATGAAGCTAAAAGTGACTTTCAGTCATGTCACATATAAATGGCTTTTCCTCTGTAGCTGTTCAGACAGGGGGATGGGTTCTGTTTGACTTTGAGCAATCTACAAGGGGAAGTTAATCTATCAGCTCAATAGAAATGGCTGCTAATTTTAAATGGCCAGCTTCATCTTTCTTCCAACAGAAGAGCCCATTTCCCCCCTCCTATAAAATTGTCTCATAATCTAAATGAAGCCATTCCCATGCGTGTTATCAAAAGGTAATAGTTCATGCCTCAAAGTTCTCAAGGGTGCGATTATGATGATAACAACCATACTCTGTATCATGTCTTATCGATTAACTAATAAAATTCAGGAGGGGGAGGACTGAAGACATTTCAGAGGTCACTCTAAACATAAAAGAAGTATCTAATAATAATAATAATAATAATAATTTATTATTTATACCCCGCCCATCTGGCTGGGCTTCCCCGGCCACTCTGGGCGGCTTCCAAAAGAATATTAAAATACTATAATACATCAAACATTAAAAGCTTCCCGAAACAGGGCTGCCTTCAGATGTCTTCTAAAAGCCTGGTACTTGTTGTTCTCTTTGACATCTGGTGGGAGGGTGTTCCACAGGGAAGGCGCCACTACCGAGAAGGCCCTCTGCCTGGTTCCCTGTAACTTGGCTTCGCAGTGAGGGAACCGCCAGAAGGCCCTCAGTGCTGGACCTCAGTGTCCGGGTAGAACGATGGGGGTGGAGACGCTCCTTCAGATATACTGGACCAAGGCCGTTTAGGGCTTTAAAGGTCAGCACCAACACTTTGAATTGTGCTCGGAAACGTACTGGGAGCCAATGTAGGTCTTTCAAGACCGGTGTTATGTGGTCTCTGCGGCCGCTCCCAGTCACCAGTCTAGCCGCCGCGTTCTGGATTAGTTGTAGTTTCCGGGTCACCTTCAAAGGTAGCCCCACGTAGAGCGCATTGCAGTAATCCAAGCGGGAGATAACCAGAGCATGCACCACTCTGGCGAGGCAGTCCGCAGGCAGATAGGGTCTCAGCCTGCGTACCAGATGGAGCTGGTAAACAGCTGCCCTAGACACAGATTTGACCTGTGCCTCCATGGACAGCTGTGAGTCCAAAATGACTCCCAGGCTGCGCACCTGGTCCTTCAGGGACACAGTTACCCCATTCAGGACCAGGGAATCCTCCACACCTGCCCGCCTCCTGTCCCCCAAAAACAGTACTTCTGTCTTGTCAGGATTCAACCTCAATCTGTTAGCCGCCATCCAACCTCCAACCGCCTCCAGGCACTCACACAGGACCTTCACTGCCTTCACTGGTTCTGATTTGAAAGAGAGGTAGAGCTGGGTATCATCTGCATACTGATGAACACCCAGCCCAAATCCCTGATGATCTCTCCCAGCGGCTTCATGTAGATGTTGAAAAGCATGGGGAGAGGACAGAACCCTGAGGCACCCCACAAGTGAGGGCCCAGGGGTCTGAACACTCATCCCCACCACCACTTTCTGAACACGGCCCAGGAGGAAGGAGCGGAACCACTGTATAACAGTGCCCCCAGCTCCCAGCCCCTCAAGACGGTCCAGAAGGATGTTATGGTCGATGGTATCAAACGCCGCTGAGAGATCCAGCAGAACTAGGAAACAGCTCTCACCTTTGTCCCTAGCCCGCCGGAGATCATCAACCAGTGCGACCAAGGCAGTTTCAGTCCCATGATGAGGCCTGAATCCCGACTGGAAGGGATCCAAATGGTCCGCTTCTTCCAGGCGTGCCTGGAGTTGTTCAGCAACCACTTGCTCAATCACCTTGCCCAAGAATGGAAGATTTGAGACTGGGCGATAGTTGGCTATCGTGGCCGCATCTAAAGATGGTTTTTTAAAAAAGCGGTTTAATAACCGCCTCTTTCAGCGGGTCTGGGAAGGCTCCCTCACGGAGGGAAGCATTCACCACCCCACGAAGCCCATCGCCCAGTCCTTCCCGGCTAGCTTTTATAAGCCAGGATGGGCAAGGATCAAGGAGGCAAGTGGTTGGTTTCACTCGTCCAAGCAGCCTGTCCACATCCTCGGGGTAACAGATTGGAATTGATCCCACACAACTTGACTAGACAGGACTCTAGCACTCTCCCGCCCCGGCCCTGCTCCCACGGTGGAGTCTACCTCTTCTCGAATCTGAGCGACTTTATCTGCAAAAACTTTGCAAAGTCATTGCAGGAGATCATGTGGCCGCTACTGGGCCCTGATGGAGCAGGTGGTTCCGCTAAATTGCGAACCACCTGAAAGAGTCTCCTGCTGCTGTTTTCCGCAGATGCAATAGAGGCGGTGAAGAAAGTCTTCTTCGCCGTCGCTATCGCCACTTGGTAGGCTCGACATATTTACCTTGCTTTACCATCCAAAAACAACCACCACCCTAACCCTTTTGAAAAGGTTTTTGTAAAGGTGCAACTAGCATTCAGTGTCATGTCCTACTTATAATTAGTACATCATTTTTGTACAACTATACCTGGGCATATAGTAGTCCAGCATAGACATCTTCAGTCAGAAATAAATCAAGACCTGCAAACTCTATGAACAAATAACCATGGCTTGAACCCTAAATTTGCTCCTGCAGGCAGCAACATATTCTGAGCAGAGTTCTGCTCCTGTAACACTCCCACCAGTGGAATCGGGGCTGGGTGGGAGGGAGGTGATTCTTATGGATGGTCCCTTGCCCTTACAACCTAATGTGTAACTCTCCCATAAAATCTGCTTCAAATGATTTGGGCATCCTCTGGAGCAGCATAAGAGATGGTGGGGGTGGGCTGGCAAAAATGGCCTCCTCCTCTGGATCTCAGTCACAAACATGAGTACAGTTATACCTTGGATCCCGAACGCCTTGTGAGTCGAACGTTTTGGCTCCCGAACACAGCAAACCCAGAAGTGAGTGTTCTGGTTTCCGAACGCTCTTTGGAACCTGAGTGTCTGACGCAGCTTCCACGGCTTTCGATTGGCTGCAGGAGCTTCCTGCAGCCAATCGGAAGCTGTGCTTTGGTTTCCAAACATTTTGGAAGTCAGACAGATTCCGTTCAACTTCTGAGGTACGACTGTAGATTAAACCCTTCTGCTTGTGGAAGCTTAGGATCCAAGCCAATGTATATATTGCTTCATCAATGACTTATTACACATTTGAATCAGGGTCTTTTGCGGGGGGCTGAGGTATATAGTAATTTTTAGAGTATATACAACTGTTCTAAATGAAGGTGGCTAATGAGAATATGAAGTAGCCTACCTTCTCAGTTGCTGGGAGTGAACTCTGTTTCAGCTCTGAGTCACCACCACCACCTTTGGTTTTACATATATCATCTCCAAAAGTCAGTTTTTAACAAACTTTTGAAAACATTTAACAAGCCAAATGTCCAGGAATTGTTCTGCACAAATTTGCTTGAAGCACTTTAGCAGATCTATTCTAGTAATGACCCTTTTGGTACATTTTGCACAAAATGAAACCATTTGTGGCAAGGCTGATACTGTGGAGTTCAGCTGTGCCTCACCAGCAATTTAAGGCCGGTCTTGACAGTTTTCCATGTTGTAAAAAAACAAAGAAAATGGCATTTGCTGTGCTAGACTCTTTCTCCAAAAAGTTACTGCAGTTAACATCAGAATTCAGTTTAGATCCTAGATGTAATTCTAAACCATAGTTTGGTATCATGGGCATGAGCCATGTGGTCATGTGCTCCCTCCTCCTGCTTTCATCAGCACAAACCATTAAAAAATTATTATTATTATTATTACTACTACTACTACTACTACCACCGTTGTTGTTGTTGTGTTTATGTGGCACTCCATCACCCAGGTTTTCTGGATCGTTTTCTTAAAAAACCGTAAAATTTAATCTGACATGGCATAAAACCTGCAGAAGAAGATAAAATCACTTCAGCACCTGAATTTCACAGATCTTAAAACTCCAAAAACTACTTGCCCTTATGTCTGAACTATTACACTATATTTATATTTCTAAAAATGGGGGATCAGCCATTGCATGGCATGTTTCTTCTTTCCAGCAGTCCTAGGCACAAATCAAAACCTGTATAGCACTTAGCACATCTTTGTTTGAATGCCTGCTATCTCCTCCCACATCCCACCTTAAGACTGTGACTAAGGACAGACACTCTGACTCCAACAGCAGACAACTTTCCCCACCAAACATTACTCTTGCTCTGTTTACCATCCAGCCTGAGGAAGAGTCCTGGATAACTCTGAACTTAGCACACAGTTTTCTGCCATTGTAGTTGGTCATGTGGATTTTGGTGTGTATGTTTTATTAAGCTATAGCCTATTTGGACGAGCAGAGCATGTGAGAAGGCCAATCTGTAAACCAGCTGTAGTTTTTAAAATTCTACTTTAGTTATGCAAACATTTCCAGATTTTAAACAGTGTGCATATTGAAAACTCGACTGTTTTTGAACACTAGAATATAAAAAGGTGCTTTTTCTAAAATATAGTCACCCTTCCTTTTGGCTAGGCTTTCAGGGCCTTCATTGCCCTCCCTGTTTCCATAAAGAGGCTGATACCAAGAGGTTCACCGCAGGAATTGCAGTGGGACATAGATAAAGGCACTTTGGACAGTCTTACCTCACTAGGTTCACATGTGAGGAGATGAGTCAAAGTGGACAGGATAGCCTGCATAAAAAATGAGCGGTTAAGTCTCAAGGCACAGGAACAACATGATTTCCGCCCCAGTGCTGTGGAAAGGATGACTTCAATGCACTCACTCCTCTGCTGTCACATTTTTGACATGTTACGGATACTCACGTCAGACCTGAACAGATGTAATCTTCTGCGTATGCTTCAACTGTTTATATGCCTTCAACAGATATGTCTAGGCCCTGAGATCACCAACCTTTTTGGGCTCATGGACACATTTGCAGCCTGGGCAACACACACAGCAACCAAGCCCACACAATTTATTATACTGGCTACAACAGAATGCTTTTTTCAAGCCTAATTTCAGGGAGGACCCTATGTGTGCCAGGGGAGGTTTGCAGGTGCCATGCTGGCAGCCCCTGTTCCCGCCAGCCAGCTCCTCACCCCAAAACACACTCAGAATGGCTTCATATACACATTGTACATTTAAACACAACTTGCCCCGAAGAATTCTGGGAGCAGAAATTTGTTGAGGGTGCTGGCAACTGTAGCTCTGTTGGTAAACTACAGTTCCCATGATTCTTTGGGAGAAACCATGTCATTTAAATGAATGCTGTGTATGCAGTTAATAGCTTTCTATATAACTAAGACAGATTTGTTCTAACCTTGATATTGATTAGTTTGATGTAATCACTGGAGGCATTCTGAGGCGGTGTATATACCATACCTTTAAAGCACATGGCTCCCTTCCCACACAGAATCTGGGGAAATTTAGTTCCCACAGAGCTACAATTCCTAACACCCTCAACAAACTATAGCTCCCAGGATTTTTTGTGGCAAGTCATGTGCTTTACATATATGACCTATATGACACGTGCACATCTGCATTGGGATTACAGTGGTACCTCGGGTTACAGATGCTTCAGGTTACATTCGCTTCAGGCTACAGACTCCGCTAACCTAGAAATAGTGCTTCAGGTTAAGAACTTTGCTTCAGGATGAGAACAGAAATCGCGCGGCGGCGGCAGCAGGAGGCCCCATTAGCTAAAGTGGTGCTTCAGGTTAAGAACGGACCTCCAGAACGAATGAAGTTCTTAACCCGAGATACAACTGTAGAAATTTAAATAAGGTTAATGTTGTTGCATTTGTGGTGGGCTAAAAAAGCTAGTCTCTCCCTTGAGTTCCCCTTGGCATCAGAATGTGTCCCAGAGTGCTAGAAAAGCATGATGCCATAACTCGACTTGTGGAGAAAATATCACCTTAAATGGCACCTGTGGCAAAATCCCAAGTGACTGAGGCTAGTCTTGGCGCTTGTAAATCACCTCTCAGTATGAATCCCTCAAACGACTGTTTTATTTTTCAGATGTACCTCAAATTTGCCTGTTGAGTTAAATTGTCAAGAATCATAGTTAACTAAACAGGAAAAGCAGCGTCATAAATCACTAGGAAGAAAAACGCACTACAGGCCTGGCGCCTGGGAAACAAGAGCCTAGCAAAACAAAAACACCCTGACATTGTGGGGCATTTGGAGTTGATTTTAGGTTTGCTTATCTGTTTATAACAACCATGAAAATGTTGTTAGTGTTGGAGACAAATAAAAGCGACCAGGGGCAAAACTCATTTCTGAGTTAATGGAGGAGTCAAGAAAGGCTCGCCTCAGGATTTCTTTCGGATTAAATGCCAAATGCTGATCTCAGTGCAGCAGGCGTGACTCCCATTTGAAGTTCATGGCTGCATGGACTGGCTGCTGAGGAGAGGGGACTTCGCCTCACTTGCGGTCTGTGAAGACTTGAGCACTTGTTCAGATTTTGTTTTTTTTAATTACTTTCTAGCCCTCGCAGTTCCAGACTGCTCGTAATGGTGATCAAAGTATGTCTCAATGGGTCAAACCCAGCAAGCGATTTAAAATAAAACCCTCACATCTACTTGCCCTGTCAGAGGCCTACATTTACTGTTATGCACACAGAAAGCTCACACCATAGGGGTGCTCCGCTGATTTCTGCTTATATATTTTATTTAGATCATTTCTATTTCTTTATTTGCGGATATCTTTAACAAAATCCCTCTTTTTCTATTATTTTAAAATATCACTCTAATGCAGCTTGAAGAATTTAACAAAAGAAAATGGGGGAGGTGGTGCAATTCTTCCGAGGTACCATTAGGTAATAACATCATTCAGGAGTGCCAACTTGAATAAAATATTGGAGGGGCCCAGGTAAGCCCCACCCAGCATAATCACATGACACAATTCACATACACCATTTGAATGGCAATGCCCATCAACTTGGGAATATTTTATTGGGGGGGTGAAGCCCCTAGGAGTTGGCTCCTATGACATCATTATTATTTGTTTGCCTTTGCAGTTGCCTGTGTAGGGGTTGTAAGACCCATCCGTGCGCATTTAGAAAATTTCTATACTGCTTTACATTAAAAAAAGCAACCTAAGTAATTTACTTCATATCTTAAAACATCACAAATACAATCTTGCAAAATGTCAGAATGCTATCAACACAATGGATATTTAGACTTTCACCCTCCACTGAAACAAACAGAAAACTGTTCAGGTCATGAGCCTTTTGTATACAATCTCTCTAATCCCACAAGGAATTTTTCATATATGCACAGATGTTTGTTTACATATTTATGATAAGTATTCTGCAAATGGTCAACACAAAGTGCCTTACAGTATAGCCCAAACTAGTATAAACACATTTTAAAAGCAAGATCATAAAGACCATCATATATTTAAAAATAGAAAATACAGTATGAAATACATTAAGTTGAAGACACCAACATTTTAGTCCAGGACTTCAGAGATAAAACAAAGCACAATGACAGTTTCAAAACATCACACCAGAATCAGCAATCTGGAGCAGTCTGGCATATAAAAGTCTTTAAGGCCCTTTTAAAAGCAACTCAAGAGAGGCAAAATATACGTCCAGATTACATGTCAGTATATCAGGACCCCTGGGTCTTCAGACTGCTAGACGGCATGCAAAACTCAAAATGTCGAGATCATTTTGCTCTCCTATCAAGTCCTGTTGTTATATCACCACTTAAGTTGCACTGGCTGTATCTACACAGATATAAAAAACACTATTAAAAAATGCTATGGGGGGAAAAGCTCCCAAGGCAATCTGCCATTGACTTTGGATTCTGCTCTACAGCGCCATCTGGTGTCACATTTTTATAATGCATTTTAACATTATAAATTGACCTGTGTAGCTGAGTCCTTAGGAAGACAGCAAGATATCTAGGCCTGGGCTGCTATGTATTAACTTTCTACTCTTGTGACCGAAGGGAACAACTAAATCCTAGCTCATTTTCTGCCTATTGACAAGCAGGACTCCATGTTTATAAGGAAATGTCAGTAAAACTACTCTGCGAAACCCAGATGCTTACTGGTGAACTAAACTTATATCAAGCAGAATGGATAGTACCATTATTAGTTAGGTAAGGAAAGCAATGCAGACAAGCACTTAGAAACACAGAGAGGGAGGAAGACCATTGGTCCATCTAGTTTAGTATTGTCCATATTGACAGGCATCAACTCCCCAGATTTCAGACAGGGAGTGTTTTCCAGCCCTACCTGTGGATGTCAGGCAGGGATTGAACTGGGGATTTTCTGGTTGCAAAGCAGATGGTCTACCACTAAGCTCTTAGACGAGCAAGTCCAATGAATCTAGTATTTTTCCAGTCAGCACAGATCTCTTTACAGATTGCTAATCACTTAAAAGAGCTTGTTATGAAAATTAGCTGTATGTTTGCCCTTTTGGTTAGCATAAGAATAGCCTATTGTAATTTTAAAAAAGGACGTTGAGGGACAAGCATTTAAGTCTGTTTGCAATGGTATATTCTGATGAGATAAAGTCTTCTATATTTGGAAGCTAATCATTTGATTGGACTCTTGTTTTTTTGCAGCTGTGCGAGGGCTTGTTGGGCACAAAGGCTTAAAAAAAATCCAGAATATACAGAAAATGTTAATGGACATTATTGCTTTATGTGGATATGAACATAAGAAGAGCCCTGGTGGATCAAGCCCAGACCCATCTAGTGCAACATCCTGCTCTCACGGGATGCCTGTTGGAAAGCTGCAAGCAGGACCGGAGTGCAATTGCACTCTCCCCACTTGCAGTTGCCAGGAACTGGCATTCAGAAGCTTATCACTTCCAAATTCCAAGTCACATTTTAAGCACAAATACAAATTACTCCTTTAGTGTTGGCCCCACCACTTTTGTAGTGTTCCCCCCACTTCCTACATTCAGTGCAAAAAAGCGGGCAGTAAGGTACAAGTTTTAAAACTAATCACTATAATTACAGGGGAGCAATCGGATTTCATTGGACTTTGGGAAATGTCATACCAAATAAATTCTCCCTTCCGAGTTCACCTATGGCCGAGCAGCTTAGTCCAATTATCAAACTTTTCTTTGTTTAAAAACAAAAACAGCCCCAACAATTAATTACCACACATAGTTTTGCCTGCACTGGCCATGCAGCAAAGTTGTTTCCTTTCAATTGTCTGCCACTCAGATATTTAGACAGGCTGTCACTGCCTGCCACCCACTGCCCCTGCTGCCTTGCCCCAATTTTTTCAAGCCCTACAGCGTTATTGTTTGATGTGTCTGGTGAGGGAATTAAAGTAGATGAAGACTGAGGATACCACTCCCTTAGGTAATATGTATTCCAATTCCCTCCAGCTATCTTGCTGCCAATCCCATCCTCCTCACCCCAGCCTGACTCCCCTGCACTGGAGACTGTGGAATAATTAAAACTCCTCTCAATTAGGTGTGGCAGAGTTAGAGATGCAGCTGAGATCCTGCAAAGGTGTACATACAAACTAGCTGCCCTGTCAAGATGGAGTTTCTTGTAAACTACACAGATGCAGGTTAACTAGCATGCACAATCCAGCAAAAAGAAGGGTGGGGGAAAGGGAGCAATGATGTGCCAGAACAATTCTTGGAACCTACTTGAACCCTACAAAAAAATTGAGTGTGAGGGACACTTGATTTTGCTAATCATCTCAAATACATGTTAAAACTGCAGGAGATGGGGAGAGGAATGAGAAATAAAATATTGTGGAAAGGAGAGAAAAAAATAAATACGGAGAGAAGTGTTTTGGATCTAAGGAAGATATGTACAAAAAAAAAAACATGGTGGAAAAATGAGTAGTAGAAATGTGGAGGTAGGGGAGAAGATAGATGGCAAGAGAAATGTTTTATATTAAAAGGAAGCAGCATGGTCAGGTCCTACAAACCGTGGCTTACATGGAAGAAGAAACCTGCTTCCTACTCTCTTCAGTAACACAGTTACCAGGCCCCAACTTTTAAATGGCCCATGGCTACTGAGTGCCTGGGGTTTTGCATCCTTTGCAAACAACTGTGAGTGATTATTATGAAGCTATAATAATAATAATTTAATAATAATTTATTATTTTTACCCTGCCCGTCTGGCTGGGTTTCCCCAGCAACTCTGGGTGGCTCCCAACAAAATATTGAAAGCACGGTAAAACATCAAACATGAAAAACTTCCCTAAACAGAGCTGCCTTCAGATGTCTTCTAAAAGTCAGATAGTTATTTATTTCTTTGACATCTGACGGGAGGGCGTTCCGCAGGGTGGACGCCACTGCTGAGAAGGCCCTTGACTCTTGATAATACACATGTGTGATGGATACACCACAGTCTGAACAGTTCTGTTGATTTATTACACTTTGTTTATGGAAAGGCAAGCCTTGGTTTGCCCCCAGTCTGAATGCTTTCCATTGCTATGCGTGTGACAGCATAAAGGTGGAAGCCACAGCAGAAAGCCAGAAACAACAGCAGAGAAACACAGTGGCTTGGATTGTCCCTAGCTGTAATGCTTGCTGCTTTTTGGAGTGGGGACCAGAGAGAAGAGAGACAAGGGAAAATGCACCCAGGTTCAGCAACCAGACTGGCACTTTTTCTTTCGTCAACAGAATGAGCTCACCCTGTGCCCACCCAGTAGCCTACCTGCATTCCTTTATTTACCACAATCAATAAACATCTTGGTAGCAAATGCTGGGATTTCAGACCTACCAAACGTTAAAATGAGGGTAGTCTTCACACAGGCAAAATCAAATGTCCTTTCACTAGCAGATTGGATGGGCCAGCACAAAGGAATTCTTAAGGACAGGGTTTGTGGTTGCAACTCTGTGTCAATAGAAGACACAGAGAAGACATGAGTCTATATTTACTCATTGTTAAGATCACAGAAGGGAAGGTCATCCCCAGCAAAGACTTGTTTTTTTGCTGTCCATTGTAGAGAAGTATACAGTGGTACCTCGGTTTAAGAACAGCCTTGTTTTACGAACTATTCAGTATACGAACTCCGCAAAACCAGAGGTAGTGTCCCGGTTTGCGAACTTTACCTCAGTTTCCGAACGGAAGCCAAACAGTAGAAGGGCACTGGCGGTGGGAGGCCTCATTAGGGAAAGTGTGCCTCGGTTTAAGAATGGCTTTGGTTTAAGAACAGACTTCTGGAACGGATTAAATTCGTAAGAATATCTAAATTTCTTGCTAAGGCTCTACAAATTAGTGCTATTAAAGGTGGAAATTATTTATCCTTTAACAGTTAAGAGCAGAAATGTTGTTGTTGTTGTCATTTTCATGGGTATAATGGCTGTCTACTAAAACACAATAAACTGACTTGACTCAGTACAGCATAAGGTGGGGAAACCTGTGGTCCTCCAGGTTTTGCTCTGCTACAACTCCCATCACCCCTGACCACTGTCCCTACTAACTGGGGCTGATGGGAGCTGTAGTTCCATCTAAGGGCACCAACTTAGTGAAGGCTGAATTAAATAACAGATATGAAATAGTAAATGCCTGGAACTGAGATGAGACAGCATGCTCAAGAACTTCATCCATGTAAGGAAGGTTTGACAGAGCTAAGTTTTACTTCCTTTAGAAGCATTGCCACCATAGCTCCAAGATCAAGTTAAATAGTCCTATTCTCTCAGCTTAAATGTGCAACGATGGACCCATGACTCAGTATGCATTAAATCAGTCTTTAATTCTCATCCAGGATCAACCCCGAAATTGTATTATTAACTGACATGGGTGTTTAAAAACAGCACCCTCAAACTTGGAAGTTTCCCGACATTTTCTACAAGGAGCTCTGATGCTGAAGACAGATAGCACAAAGTGGTTTATGATGCTTTTCCCTTTCCTGGTCTGTCCAACCTCCTCTGCCCCAAACACCGTTGATTGTGGCACTGCCATACACAGCTATGCACCCCTTCAACAACTTAGCTTCTCACTGCTGGCCCATGAGGCAGACAGAGTCAACCACCTCAGGTGGCAGAATTCAAGGGATGCCTCTGTGGGCACCCACACAGGTACACCCCCTGCCACAGCTGTGGGGGCTTCCAGGCTCCAACAAGATATTGCAAGAGCCCCATGAAATCTCGCAGAAGCTTTGTGGGCCTCTCACTAGATTTCCTGGGGTTCTTGCATGTTCTCAGCAGAACCTGGAAACCACAGTCTTATGAAAGCCAGATTTAAGGCAATTGTAACATTCTTTCAAAACCCTTTTTATTTGAATGTGTTTTGATGACATTACAGTTTGCTATTGCTGGGGGAATGCATTCTAAAATCTGCTGCAGCTTGTTTTCATATAGTATTTGCAAACAAGTCTGACAGGTGCAGCACAAAACTCTACTAATGACAGCCTTAAGGTATAACCCTAAGTAACCAGTCAAGGAATCAAGCTGCAGTTTTCTACACATAATTGGGTATGTAGAATGAGTGCTAACATTGAGAAATCAATTACTCAACACTGAAAGTTCCCACAGCATTTGTTTAGTTTCACGACCTGCACAAGACCATGATGCATCAATAAGAAGCAATCTAGACACACCAGAAAAGAGAGACAATTTTGCTAAATTCTCAGCCATGCCTTGATTTTCAGTATTTCAGTATCCTAACTGGGCCAAACTCACTCCTCTTTCATTGTCTCCACCATTTTTGTGTTGAACTATTATATGATATTATGAACTACAAAACAAACCCATATTTGCTCATCTAGATGCTAGTAAATTGTTGCACTTATTTACCTCCTCCACCACACGGCATCAGTTATCTTTTTCTGGCTCAATTGCATACTAAACACATGCATGGAGTCAGTGCCCTTCTCCTGTCTAACCTATACACCCCTGTGTGGTTTTATATCTTTCATTGTTACTTTCCTGGCCTGCTTTTTTTGTGTACTCCAGTTGGGTTTTCTTAAAGGACTGTATTTCTAAGCATTTCCTGAGAAGGCTGGGTCTGCCCTCTGCTTTCCATACATTTCCAATATATGGTTGGGCTAGCCAAAATGTTTGAAGCACCTTTCCTTCCCCATATCCTTTGCTCAGTATTATAGCCCTATAACCTGTCCTTATTCTGAAAAAGTATTTGATGTTTTCCTTTTATGGATTCGGGAGTACTCATGGTGAAAATCTTAGTTTATGGAGACACAAGTTAGAGTCTGATTCTGTTGTATTTACCGGTAATTCAGTATTTAACAATACTTTTTACTCAGTCATGGCTCACACAAAGGCTCTGAACAAAGGCTTTGCCCACTTTAAAGATGCTCCCATTCCTTGGCTCTTGAGATCCTTTACCATCTATTATCTTGTTCAGGATTATTTTGTTGATAGGCATCAGCCTATGTCCATTGCAACAGGGAAATTTTTATATTCTTAAATAAAACATGGTGGGTTCGGTAGGAACCCAAGGATTGATTAATGGGATCAGGGTGGGGGTTGGGGGTAAAATACAGGGCTGGATTACAGACAACCCCAGACAGTGTGACCTATTTTGACAGGCTGACTATGTGTTACCTCTCCTATTTCTGTCTTGCTTATTATTGCAATCTCAACCATTTCTCACTCTCATAAGATTGGCTTCCCTATTGCTTTGCATATGAATTTCTTCAGTCAGTCAGTCAGTCAGTCATTCATTCAAAGAATCTTCCTGGTTCTTTCATTGCTCTGCCTCATAACCCCAGATTAGTCAACTCTTTGCCTCTTATTCTCCATCTCTGTATTAGTTACTAAGTATATCATCTGCATATCTGTGTAATCATGAATCATCCGACAATTTTATATTTTAGGAATGGCTTGTTCAAGCCACACAAAGTTACATTTGCTTGATCTTAAGTTATATCTTTTCCCCTGATAAAGTACAACCAGCACCGTCTGGCTACTGAAAAATCCCCTGAGCAAGCCCTTCTTATATTTGCATCTATTTATCAGTCCTAAAATTATTTGCAACCGTTTTGATGTTCCTCCCAGGCAAAACAATTAATGTTCTCTATTAATAACATCCAATATTATGCCCATATTCTGCAATGTACTTTGTGACGACATATGAAAAGTCGATCATATTGTTTAAAAAGTAAAAGGAGCATGTTGGCCTTGTAAGAATGGCCCCGTAAGAAACAGCTAAAAATCAATACTATTACCACACCAACCAAAATATTACCAAAAGCTTTTGTGTGCTCCTGAAATCTTTGTCAGGTTAAATGGTAAACAGATTTGGGAGGGAGTTGTTAAATGCATGGCTGATGTTGAAGTCATAGAGTCTGCATCTGGTTAAAGTCTTCAAATAGAATAGGAGTGGGGGAATCACAGATATTCAAATGTCAGGAACAGCTGGTATATCAATGATTTGACTGGTGAACAGTCCACTGTATGTGATAATTATGTGGAAAGTTTGTATTAAGGCCTGTGACCGTCCCTTGAACAAGTGGTAAAATCTTAAAACTGACTTATTGAGGGGGGTTAGAGTTTATGTTTTGGGGCATGTAACAAAGACCATTTCACAACATATAATTCACAAGTAGGAAAGAAACACAGGTTCTTTCACATGTAAGATGGTGCTAGGACACAGGATTTTGGATGACAGATTGTGGGATGTGAAACACAAGAGCAGTCAAGTACAACAACCCTAGAGAGGACATAAAAGGGATGTCTGGACCAGCCAGTCGGAACTTCCTGTTTCTCCTAAGCTGGGACAGACTTCCTCTGCATGTGACTAGAGGTGGGCGTGGCCTCACCTGTGCAGGTAACAAAAGCATAGGACTGGCCGCCATCTCTGACTACATTCGTTGAAGAAGCAACATCTGCTTAGCCTAAAGATGCTCTCTTGGCTTCCAGCCAAGAGAGGACAAAGGGACTGTCTCTTTATGGGATGGTTTCCAGATATATTACTTTTCTAAGCTACGTCTGCCTTCTGGGATCCAATTGTGAACAGAATGTGAGTGAGTAAACGCTTTTTATACTTTTATAGAAGACTGTGTCGTGTCTTATCTTTTATGAGGGACTAAAGGGGAATTACCTTTAAAACATATTATAGAGGCTTTAGCAAGCCTGAGCAAACGCATCCACTATAAGTTTAAAGAGGTGAATGTTACTCTGCTAAATTGTGGAACTTGTTAACACAAGTTGGAAAGGATATAATTAAACAATATATCCTCTCCTGCATCCCTGAACATTCCCACACAGATGAGACGGATCCACACATATCCAAGACAGACCAAGAAAATATCTGTATATGGAGAACATAACTAGGAGAATCTAAGATTTTATTTACCAATTATGGCAAATCTAATCAATTTCACTTCTTTGCTGGTGGGTCAAAACCCCACCAATACCAGACTGTAGATTTGGGCTGCCCATCCTTTTCCACAACTCTCCCACTTGAATGTACAATTACCTCTCATTTGGCTATATAATGAATGTTAGCTACTAGGGCTATGGATGGTAGGAACAGTTCACATCTGCAGTTTTATGTTTTTTCATCCCACAGACACGGATTTCTGCTTTAGTATCCTTGATATTCTTACTTTAAGGAATTGTGTTGCAATCATTCTGATACACATTCAAGTACAGATGGCCTTTGCTCCCAGTAGGATTTCCATTCTTAACCTTATCATACCCCTGGCTGATCGCCAGAATTGATGCTTTTGAATTATGGTGCTGGAGGAGACTCTTGAGAGTCCCATGGACTGCAAGAAGATCAAACCTATCCATTCTTAAGGAAATCAGCTCTGAGTGCTCACTGGAAGGACAGATCCTGAAGCTGAGGCTCCAATACTTTGGTCACCTCATGAGAAGAGAAGACTCCCTCGAAAAGACCCTGATGCTGGGAAAGATGGAGGGCACAAGGAGAAGGGGACGACAGAGGATGAGATGGTTGGACAGTGTTCTTGAAGCTACCAGCATGAGTTTGACTAAACTGCGGGAGGCAGTGGAAGACAGGAGTACCTGGCGTGCTCTGGTCCATGGGTCATGAAGAGTCGGACACGACTAAACGACTAAACAACAACAACAACACCACCACCCCTGGCTAGCTTGCACATCCAGACCCCAATAACTTCCCTGCCCCACAACTGATAGTAAATCAGAGAACTGAGCAGAAAGTGGGTTTGGGATAATTGCCCACTTCTAGAGAGATACAGTATTGTTTTCAGAAAAGAAACCTGCTGAATTATTGCCACACCCTTAATTGTACACTAGCTTCTGAAACTGTACCCCCTTGCTCTTTATCTTTCAAGCATGCAGAGAATGAGGACCAAACCAGACAGATTTTGAGAGGGCTCTTTAGATGTCAGTGCTTGGCTAGTGGAATGGCTGACACATATTTCAGAAAGCACTTCATGTAGTTTTCTGGGACGGACCACCCTTATCTCCACCCTATGCTTGTTGGTTTCAGAACTGCAGACTTACATTACAGTATGTGTAATACTTAGAAATCCCTGTAGGTTGCATTCATTTACATGCTTATTTTTATTTAAAGCATTTTTACCTGGCTCTTCAGCCAAAAAAGGACTCCTAAAGCAGCTTATATAAGGACACCTAGAGCAACAATCAAAACAACCACTGCCTACAAGTTTTACAATTTAAAATATGCAAGAAAAACAGGGAAAATATAAAGGAAGAGGAACACAAACAAAATCAGGCACCAGTTCTTAAAGTTACATAGTAGCTCTTACAATAACCAGTTGAAAAGAAAACCATTTCCCAACACTCCCTCTGCTGGAATAAGTTTCAAAGTTTGTGGCTAGCATTGTCAGAATTCATCCAATATTTTTCTTAAAATAGTTATAATGACAGAAACAGTTTGGATAAGAGCTAAACTGTTTAATAATTAATCACAGAGTCTTGTTTTTGAGATGTGGGCAGTCATTGTCATCAGTGCCTTTTAAGAAGAGATTATCGGAGCACTTCACAGGCAGCTGTACTTAATGAGAACTAAAACATGGTTTAGAACAAGTTTCTGGAAAGTTCCACATTCTTTCAAATAATACAATTCCTCTCCTACCAAAGAGAGAGGTAATTGCTGCCAGAGAAGTATAATGTACAAGTACAGGTGAATTAAAGTGCAACCAAAGCAATCACTGATGCACTGTGCATTGAATAGTGTATCATTTACATTAATCAGACCAATTTTCTCATCACTGTGAAGCAGCCTTCAAGGATGATCGAAGTATTTTGACACTCACTTCCGATGGTGGCAAAATGCCATTAATAACAGAAAGTCTTAGAAATAGTATAGCCAGGCACTGAAGAAAGAGATGAGCAGCAAGAATGTATCTGTCTACTCAGCAGGGTATGATTGCTACTAGAGAGTGCATGTTTGAATTAAGAAGCTAATCAAAAACACACAAAAATCCCTATTTTGAAGCAACTGATTGGCATCTGTCATTCCCACTCCAGCAAAACACCCCAATCTAATTCTAAGCATGCCTACTCCAGAATAGGTTCTGCTGGTTATCAGTGACTTCCCCACCCCCTGCCTCTCCTAGGAGGTACATTTAGAGCTACAGCTTAAAGGATCTTCTACATCCAGAGATGAATGAACAAAGGAAACACCACAGTTAATTTCTTGCAGTATTCACACTAAATATTCTCATATTTTCTTTCACTGGTCTGATTAAGCTTTGAGAATCAGGAAAATGCTTGACAATCAGTTTGCTTTGTTCTCTGGTGACTGATTATTCACATAGGCCACCAGAGGGAGTGGCCTTCAATGCCTGGAATCTGCAGGGGAAATGAAAATCATGTTCCAGGACACCACTATACTTGACCCTCCATTTTCATAATGCAAAAAGAGTACAGAGGGCTCCCCAAATTCCTTATACGTTTTGTTTCATCAGTGTCTGTTGAATATAAGAAGTGCCCTTTAAAAGAAACAGACTTCCTCATTTTCGCCCATGTCAAATGTTACAGGTATCATTCTGATCACATAATAAGCCTTTTTTTCAGTCCATGCTGAATTTTCGATGTTTCCTATACTGGGTTGGTAGATCAGGAGAAAAACATAAGGAAGGAGTTGCACCCCACCCCTATGATAGCACAGCCATACTAATCTCCTACATGCTTCTAATTTTTTGTTAAACTAATGATAGACATCTTGGTTATTGATCTCTTACCGTGAAGTGCTCCAGAAAGACCTCACAAAACTGGGTGATGGGCAACAAAATGTCAAATGAAGTTTAGTATAAGTAGTCATAAAATGGTGCATGCCATGGCAAAAGAAACATTGCTTATCAGGCAAAAGGTGCGGTCCTGCTGGCACAGAAATGCTGGCCCAGTCATTGGTAGGCCAGTTTGTTGTAGGCTATAAACTTATACGCTCAGCCATCCCAGAGCTTGGCACAGTCTTTCCTTCAACAGTAACTGGACATTAAATGAAGGAAGAGAATTGGCACAGGATTTCATGCAGGTAATGTGAAGAAAAAGGAACAATACAATGATGGGTTTTGTTGCCCATTAACCAACCTCCTCCTCATTATAAAATCTCTCTCTCTCTCTCTCTGAAGGCACTCAAAAGCTAAGGGTATTATATACAAATGACATTGCAAGTCTGTCCAGAGTTTATGTTTTACAGCAACCTCTAGCTACATTTAACAATATGTTCTGTTTTATTTTAAGTATAAGCAGAAACTTATACTGAATACAGTAAATCATTTCAAGCAAATGCCTAACTGCCATTAAAAATGAAGGACAAAAGCTGGCAATGCTTTGACTGATCTGACTAGAGCGTCTCAAGCTCAGAGGCTCTCAAAAACCAAATAGTGAGAATGAAGAATGGGCCCATCACCATGAGATAACACAGGCTTATTTTCTCCCCATAGAGAAGCAAGGTTACAGTATGAAGTGCTGAAGTTTTCATATCTCATTTTTAGAAATTGGAAAAAGGCGGCACTGCTTGTACTTTTTAAAGACATGCATGAGTTCTCGTTAATTTATGTTGTGATTCTTTGGATTTTTAAATTAAACCCCAAAATAATTCTAAATTTGGTATGAAGACCAAAGCAAACTTAGCAACTGTATTATTCAAGCCAGTCTAGTTTGCCACAATTAGACCCTCTTTTATATAATCTTAGATGTCAAAATCAACAAAAAAACCAATGTTCTTATTCTCTAAGGGCAACTATAGGCCAAGGTATTTTCAAACCCTCCTTTGAAGGCCCATCCATATAATGATGTGCGTAGAAGTACTGTTAAGAGCTATGCATAGACTCTCCTGGCTGAAAGTAAAGTGCTGGGAATTTGCCAAAAATACAACCATGCTTTAAAGGAAACCATTATAAAAGCATCTACTTGGGCTTCTTTATATACAGAAATTCTCCTGGTTTTTCATACCACCTCTGTGGTATAATGAAAGCTTTATTTCCATAAATAGGTTAACTACTAAGGATTTGTTATTATTGCTGCATGCCAATTTCGAATATATTTATTTTCTTAAAATTGAGAATATTTCCTCCTCAAAAATCCCACAAAATAAAATATGCTTTTTCTGACGGAGGGAAGAAAGATTGCTAGTACTAATTGCTCTGTCAATAATTGCAACCACTGGTTTCCTTTCCCTGTTTACCTTTTCTCAATATGCAATCTGCTAATGTAACACTTTACAATATTTGTCCTTGGAACCAGATAATAACACTATTTTGTGGGCCTAAAAGCAGCAGACAACCCAAGAATTGCACTCCAACACTTTTTATGACATTTTAAAATAATCTGCTGTGCAGCCATTTGAGGGAGCAGAATATCCTAAGCCTTTCATAATTCTACTTCTCTTTGGTACATATAATCTCTTCTCTAGAGTTCATAACTTTTCTCTCTTTCAAGCACACTTGCATATTCACTGATTATTCTTTCATCCCACTATATACAAAAGCTCTCACTTGTCATCCCCACCCAGATGAATCACTCTAGTACAAGGCCTGCAGCATGGGTGGCATCTCAGCATCTTGGCCAAGCCTGGCAAACTGGTACACCTGCTCTGCCTCAAGGCTAAGGCAGCAGTGCTGGACAGATCTTCATCTTCTCCTCCCCTTAAATCAAAGCCATTTGAGAAAATGAACAAATTGCTCTTATTGAGGGAGTTAAAGCAAGAGAAACGTTTACACACATCCATGAATGCCTGGCTTGAAGAGCACAAACACTTGATGCTGAAGAGTATTCTTGCACTTTTTATCCAAAAGCCTAATGTTCTAATAGGCCAGCGTTCACAGAGGACACACATAGGATCTCCCTGACTTGTTGAAGGAAGGGATTTATTTCCTTCACGAGCACAAATTACCCCATATATATGAGATAAGCCAACAGGTGCAAGGTCAGTCAAGCCAGTTGTTATGGCAGTGCCATCTATATAAATGAATAGGGCATGTCAGCTCAGGAGTCAGCCAGTGAGGGTCAGGGAGAGTTTTGAGAAGGCAGTTTGAGTCTGTGTTATGTTTTGAACTGCTGAAGCAACAGAAATACTTTGTACTTGTATGTATGTATCTGTCAAAGTCAAAAGCCTACAAGTTGTATGCATATATCAGCATCCAGAACTGTGTTACTGAAGCCTTTCTATTCTGCAACAATAAACTATTTGGACCTTAAGCTGCCTCTATGTTGTGAATGGAATTGGAGGTCAACTTCCATCTTGTGGGTATCTCACCTAAGATTCCCAGCGTGACATGCCCCTGAAATAATCGTAATTATTGTTTATTAGATTTTTTAGTCACTTGTTACCCAAAGATCTCCAAATGATTTACAGTGGCCTACAGAGACTGACCCACATTACAGAAATCATCTGTAGTACACCAGACATTCTGTTCCTAATAATAGCTAGAATGCCAGTATTAAAATGTTTTTCTATATATGGGAATATGGCTGTTGCCCCACTAAAAGCATAGAATCATAGAGTTGGAAGAGACCACAAGGGCCATCGAGTCCAACCCCCTGCCAAGCAGGAAACACCATCAGAGCACTCCTGACATATGGTTGTCAAGCCTCTGCTTAAAGACCTCCAAAGAAGGAGACTCCACCACACTCCTTGGCAGCAAATTCCACTGTCGAACAGCTCTTACTGTCAGGAAGTTCTTCCTAATGTTTAGGTGGAATCTTCTTTCTTGTAGTTTGGATCCATTGCTCCATGTCCGCTTCTCTGGAGCAGCAGAAAACAACCTTTCTCCCTCCTCTATGTGACATCCTTTTATATATTTGAACATGGCTATCATATCACCCCTTAACTTCCTCTTCTCCAAGCTAAACATGCCCAGCTCCCTTAGCCGTTCCTCATAAGGCATCGTTTCCAGGCCTTTGACCATTTTGGTTGCCCTCCTCTGGACACGTTCCAATTTGTCAGTGTCCTTCTTGAACTGTGGTGCCCAGAACTGGACACAGTACTCCAGGTGAGGTCTGACCAGAGCAGAATACAGTGGCACTATTACTTCCCTTGAGCTAGATGCTATACTCCTATTGATGCAGCCCAGAATTGCATTGGCTTTTTTAGCTGCCGCGTCACACTGTTGGCTCATGTCAAGTTTGTGGTCAACCAAGACTCCTAGTCACTGCAATAGTCACTGGTTTTAGTTGCAAGTAATTTTTACAGATACTTAGGAACAGAAAATATCTAGTAACTACACAGCCCCAGGTGCCACGTAATACCCATTTCACATTTGTAAGAAGTCAATCTTTAAGTGTGGTGGTCCTTACACTTTGAGACACCCTGCCTGTTGAGATCACACAGGTGCCTTCATTGTACTCTTTTCAGCACCTGCTAAAAACATTCTTGTTTAGAAAAGACTACCCAGATGCTTAGAAACTTGAGGTAATTTTAAACTGTTTTAGTAATTTAACTTTAGCATGTTTTAAGGTATGGTTGTATTTTTTTCTGGATGTTATTGTTTTATCCTTTTGTAAATTGCTTTGAGGGTTGTTTTTTTAACAATCAAGCAGTGTATAATTTTTATTAACTAAAGGGAAGCCTCAGAGTCACGCCACGGCTTAAATCGGCCCTGGCCAAACCCCTAAAGCAACCTGATTGGCTGCCTGGCTACGCGGCATGGCCGGGGTCTCCCCTAGCATGATGCGGGAGGGGAGTGGCCAGGAGGCCTGACCACAACCCAGCCCCACAAAAAAGTGGAGATGATTTAGGAAAGCTTGTTTAGTTTCTGGGATTTTGTGCTCTGTTATAGGAATACATAAGAATATAATCCTGAATACACAGGAATGCAATTCTATGTATTTACCTGGGGATTATGTATGTACTATTGAATTTTGTGGATAAAACTTTCAAACTCTAGATAGTGTCCAAGATTGATTATTGCAATGCATTGTTCATGGCTTTAGAATACAGTGGTACCTTGGTTTACGAACTTAATCTGTTCCGGAAGTCTGTTCTTAAACTGAAACCGTTCTTAAACCGAGGCGCGCTTTCCCTAATGAGGCCTCCCACTGCTGGTGGTGCCCCTCCACCATTCAGATTCCATTCTTAGACTGAGGTAAAGTTCACAAACCAGGACACTACTTCTGGTTTTGCGGAGTTCGTAAACCGAATTGTTCGTAAACAGGGCTTTTCTTAAACAGAGGTACCACTGTACAGTTGAAAAACTTCAGTTAGTGCATAACGTGACAGGCAGACTGTCAGTGAAACCAGCAAAGAGTTAAAATATAATGATTCTGGAGCATCTGTACTGCCTGTCAGCTAGTTTCCAATAAGTATTGTCCCACATCAGCCTGCCAGGATACTGATTTTATCACCTGAGATCCTTCTCTTTGTTGCATCTCCAAAAGAAGCCCAGAGGGTGGGCCAGAGGGTGGCCCAGAGAATGGGCCTTCTCTGAAATAGTACCCCAACCTTTGGAACTTTCTCTCCAGGGAGGCATGCTTGGTGCTACCTTTAAGTACCAGGTAAAAACCTCTTTATTCTCCTTAGTATATGGTCAGTTTTAATTATATTGTTGTTACAATCCATGCTTTAGTGTGTGGTTTTATAATTGTTATTGCACCAATATTTTGCACTGTTTAATATCTTTTATCATGTTCTGTTGTAGTATTGTAAATCCCTTTGAGACTTTTATTTTAGTATAAAGCAATATACAAATGTTCTAAATCAAATCAAACTGCCCTGCTTTGTTATTTTATTGTTTTACAAATCTGTTGGTTTGCAAATCCCAAGTAAGAATAATAATCCTTCTAATGTCTGAGAAGGATAATGTTAGAACTGTAGATATTATAATCCTCAAGGCAGAGCAACAGAGTAAATAATTGTATATAAATATTTCTGTTTTAAAATTCTGTTCCTTCTATTTCAGAGGGAGAGAGGATTGCTAGATGTAGATGCCGATAGTTTACTGGAATTTGACAAAAACTGTAATAATCAGCTTCCATTTCTAGTGCCAGCTCTCTCCACATCCAAATCCCTGGGACCCTCTACTGCCAGATCTTATTTGGGCTTCCAGTGCTCCTGAGGTTGTTTGTTTTCTATCACTTTAATGCGGAGGCTATGGTACACCTAAGAAGGCTGAGTGCTTCTCCCACCAAAGCTGACTGCCTTTTGGGATATATCACTCCTGCTTCAGGGCACAGGCAGATTGGCAGAAGATGGAAAAATATGTGGGTTCAAACACACCGGGGTCATAAGTGATGCACTACTACAGATAATGCAAGATTTGTTACAAAAGGAAAGCTGAAGCCTAATTGTTTCCCTTTAACCCTCATTTTCAAGCTCTTGGAACAAGTAGCCCGAAAGTTATTATCATCAGTTTTAAGGACTAAGCAAACTATTTAATTTTCGTGCTTGAAAATTAGTATGAGGATACAGTGTAAACAACATTGAGACAGCAGGAGTAACCATAACAATCTCTCATAATCATCCAAGCGTTTCAGTTTCTGTCTGAGCAAAAGCTCATTTGACCATCACAATTCACATTGGCTTCTAAAATTAGAAACTAAGTACCACTGGGTGGTAAGAGAGATGACAGTGCTGTGACATTACGACATGGATACGTTATCCTAGCTCAGGCATAGGCAAACTCCGGCCCTCCAGATGTTTGGGACTACAATTCCCATTATCCCTAGCTAACAGAACCAGTGGTCAGGGATGATGGGAACTGTAGTCCCAAACATCTGGAGGGCCGGAGTTTGCCTATGCCTGTCCTAGCTATTACAGAGGGTGAAGGGAGAAAGAAACATTTAGTTGCTCCCTTTAGGCAGCCATATGTACAAGGTAACATGCCATTCAGGCCTACGCCACTAGAATTTGATAAAGCACCACCCACCCACACCAACTAATCATTGCACAATAAGAAAGCAATGCATAAAAACAAGGTTGCGCTTGCCTGGAAGTGATGCTCTTCAGATGGTTCTGTATGCACAATCACACAGTAGACACCATGCACACACGTTAGCTACTGAATACTCCACAGCATGGAGCATCCTCTTCCTTTCCTTTATGGTTTACTCACCTTTCTGTTTCATCAGTTCCTTCACAGAGTTGTCACAAGAGCTGCAATACAGCGTGGAAGACTGTGGATTGTGTGACTGCACAGAGCCACTTGGAAAATTGGGAACAAGTAGGTACTGTACAACCTTTTATTTGTCTTCGTAGTTCTTGAGTAGCCCCTATGGGATCTGAGGTCTCCTTTTTTTAAAAAAAGGTCTCAAATAGTATCTTCTCAGCATTTGCCTCTTTTCTTGCATTAACATCAACTGATTAAAGCTGAAGGCAAGGGCCAGGTTACTGCTCTGCGGATGGTCTCCACAGCTACTATCTTCTAGACAACTGCAAATGTAGCTTGGGTCCCTGTTGAAGGCACATTATCTTCTAACAGACTTTGCATCTGAGCCCACCCATAACAAGTTCTAACAGTTGTGACACAACCCACCCTGAGGTTGTGTTCAAGCCCCTAACATATTCCTTTTCCCTTTTCCAAAACAAATAAAAATATGAGACTCCAGCTTGAAGTCTTGGGTCCTTTGTACAGTAGATAAAAAGATAAAGCTGTTGGGCCAGTAATGAATGGTCTCGCGTATCCTGAGCATTGCGGAAAAGGCAAGAAAAACACAGATAAACACAGCATCCTGTGTAGCCTGAAAACATGAAACAACTCTAAGCAAAAATTCTAAACAAAGGACAACCTTTTTCTTTTCTTTGTTTTTTTTTTTTTTAACTTGATAAATGGAGGATTGTACCTCAAATCAGAAAATTTGCAATCTGTGAGCTAAAGTAACAGCAACCAAAATTACAATTGTAACGCAAGGTCCAGAGGACATGTAGCCATGGGCACAAAAGTTTTGAACATCTATCTTGTCAAAACTAAAGATTCCGTACTTCATGGGGACTTACTAAATAGACACAATTTAAACAGCCTTAAAGGAATGTTTCCAATAGTAGGTCTTCCCTCAAAAGGTACATGAAATGCTGCAGTACTTGCTGATAAAATTAACTTGTAATGAATGTACTGACAGATTTACTTATAGCAAGCAAATAATCAAAGTCCTCAAATAATGTTTGGGGAGTCAAATCTTTCACAGGCTAACTCTGAAACCTGCTCCATTTATTGTTATACAATCAGAATGCACAATCCAATCTAGTATGCAGAACACTACAAACCTCCTTAGAATGTTTAATATGGCAGAGTCCTCCACACTATGAAATGAAGGCACAGCACATTAATATAAATTCCCATCCCCTTTCCATAGCAAACCAGGTCTGGAACAAGGACTCTACGCCTTAGATGTGAAGGCTGTTTATGTACCTGGAATCACTGAAGGCACAATGAGTCACGTCCCACTTGATCTCCTATAGCACCTGAGTCATTATCTCAACTGATGGGAATGCATAAGAGAACTGAACAGACTACAATAACAAAGAGCTACTGCAATGCTCTTTGTTTAAAAACTTTATGTTTTTATCTTTAAAAACATTATGGAAGGTACAATTGACCCAAAAAGCAGTTGCCACAATGCTGGTTCGAACAAGTCAGCTCGTTTTACGCTAGTTGGTTACCAATTTGTTTCCAACTCAATATAAAATGCTAGTATATACCTTAGATGCATGTATTGCCAAGGACTGGATTATGTGAAGACCCTACATGCCAATATGTACCTATCCAAGCCCACAGATTGGCTTTCAAGATGCTGCTCTCTGGACTGTCATTAGGTAATATCTGACTGGTGGGTACTAGAAACTGTAGAATTCTCTCTCTTACTGTCCTCAGACATGTGGTGAAGTCCTTTTTGTTTCACAAGCCTTTTTATAAGAATTGTTTTATGATCTCTGTACTGGCTGACTCAGATTTACAGATATTCTGGTACTGTCCAACATACCTTTTAACTGTTTTTACTACTGTCTGGTTTGTCTTACTGCAAGCTGGAAATATATATATATTGAAAGATGAGGTATAAATGAATAAATAAAATAAAATAAATAACAGGACAGCCTTTCTTGTATTCTGTTAATCCCTCAACATCTGCAATTCTTGAGTTGCTATTCCGAAGTTGTAGGGATACTTTGAATTTCAGTCTGTGGCAGTTTCTGATAGAACCAAGACTGGTCTCTGCAAGCTTGCACTCAGTTGGGACAAGTGTCCTTTATCCTGACCCAAACTGAATATATCTCCCAATGACAAAGCCTTCTTCCATAGTGCTATTTGAGATCACTTTAAGCCTTGGAGGTCAGACGACACCTGATATACTCCCTGAAGACCCTTTCTCAAGTCATTATCTGCCTCATTTCTGAAGGTAGAGAGACTGAAGCAAGTCTCTGAGGAAGATCTTAATACACCAGCAAGTTAATGCAGGAGAGGACCTGACCTGAGTCCCAAACTATTTATGGTTTTAAAAGTTAACATCACTCTGAATTGTGTCCAGAAATAGACCACAAACCAATGCAGATTTTAAGATCCGCAGCACAGGTTCCTTTCATCCAATCAGTAATCCACCTTCTGCTGTTTGTCCTTTCTGTAGTTTTTTTTAACAATCTTCAGAGGCAGTCCGATGTACAACACAGTCTGAGCTGGATGTTACCAAAGCATGGAAAACTTGCATGGAAGTCTATGTCCATATGTCAACGGGAGAACCAGCCTCCGCTGGTGAAAGGTAATTCACGCTACAGAAATAACTAGGCCTCCAAAGTTAATGTCAGAGCAAATAGTTATTCTATCCTGCAAACGTGATTAATAGGAGTTATGCAACCCCATCTGTAACAGGCTGATCATCACCACCATGGCAGATGTACCACTGATCAGCAGTGTATGGCTTGAGTGTCAGTTTACTGGCCCTTAACTAGTCCTTTACCAGTTCACAGTACTGATTCACCACTTCAATTTGATGAGAGGGAGAAAGTCTGTGTACTGCCTATCTAGATAAAATTACAGAGATTCTTTCTAACTGAAGAAGAAAGAATCAGTTCAGTTACAATCAATTCTTGGTATATCTGGATATTTCACAATATTGGCATACCTTTAGTTTAGCTGTTTTATCTATAGATTTTAGTGTGGTTGCACAACAGGAAATATTCTATATTCTTAGACTTAAAAGAAAAGAAATATTAAACATAGCATTCCATTCTAGCATGAAAGTGGTAGCTTTAAATTACTTAACTGTAAATTACCTTAAATTTTGCATAAACCAGCCTTATGTTCAGAACTCTCATAGATACATCTTCCTATAACAATATAGCTTATATACAAATTTAAATAATTTAGCTAATTGATTTAAATCTAGAAGCTTTGATCTAGATAGTTGACAGCCTTACAAAAAAGGTCTTCTAAATAATTAAAAGTCAGTCTAGATGGTACAAGCACCATTCATTTCCTATACTGTGAGCAGAAAAGTACAAAACACATTAATGAATAACAGATTTAAATGTCTACTAGAACAGATTTACTAATTTGAAGTGGTAAAGTAATTTAAGATTGAGAGCATGAAACATCTTAAGTTTAAATAAAACATGAAATCAATTGTGGGAATTGTGCATGTTTTGGGAAGGACACTGTATATTATGTTTGATATGTGATCCATAATTAGAAGAAATTTGTTGAAAGAGGGATGATACCTGTCAATTATCAGCAAGCCAAAAATTCAGCTTACATACATAATTCATCAACATGCTGTCCTTTGTTGTTAAGGTGACTGATATAGCTCCCTAACAAAATGCTTTATTCAGAAGAAAGTATTTAATTCAAACAAAACCTGTTCTATTATATTGATTTAGAAATAAGTACATCCTTCTAAATTTGTTGGGAGAAAACAGCAAAGCCTACAGATTTCTGTGTACACACATATCTGTTGCATAAAGAAGCAAACAAAAGCACTATCAGTGCTAGATATTCATTACAGTCACTAGCTCAGAATTGTTCTACAGTTTAGTCAACTGTAAAATTTTAATAAGGATGACATCCATTTGTTTCCTTATTTCAGCTACTGTACTGTTCTTAAAATGTTTTAGCTTTAGCTTATGTAAATTAAACAACATTGACAAATTAACCAGAGAGACAATACATTCAAAAAACAAAGTCTCAAACTAAGTGAAAAAATACAAACTTTAATATCAACACTAAAAACAATAGTCAATGGAAGGGAAAATCCTGAGGCCTCCAGGTTTGGTTTTTAGTTTTTTAAATTAAGATACATACTGTGGTGGGTAGGGAAAATGAGACTCAAACCAAATGGAGGAAAGCATTAAAAGAGGTGTAATGGTGTCTTGGTTAGGAAGCACTCTGCTGCCTTTTCCTTACTCTGTCATCAGTGCTTTGCATTTTTGCTCGTTGCTCTCTTTCCCTCTCTCCACCCTCTCTCGATCTAGAGCAGGGTTCCTCACCCTATTGCATACCCTCCAATACAATGTGGGGGGAAACCAGGATGCTATCTTTCAGGGCTGCACTCCCATATGAGTCATGTGACCTGCGTGAGCCTGCTACCCCAGAAAAAGCGCTTTTTTCATGAGATCACTTTTGGGGGGGTGAGATCATGTCCTGAAATCATGCGAGAACACAGTGCCCAAAACAGCCGCCATGCTCTCATGGGAAAAAATGGGATGTCCTGGTTTTTATGGGGCAATTGAGAGTATGCTATGGAATCTTATGAACAAGCAAATCTATGTTAGACCTAGTCTGCTGCAGTTTCTGTGCCCTCTACTCTCCACTGTCCTTGACTAATAAGATTGTAATACAAGCTTGTTGGATCAGACCAATGGCTCATCTAGTCCAGCATCCTGTCCTCACAATGGCTGACCAGATACTTGTGGGAAGCCTGCAAGTTGGGCATGAGTTCCCAGCAACTGGTATTCAGATGGTGAAGCCAAAAGAAGATTGAGAGGAGGGGTGTCCCTGCCCACTTTTGGCATTTTGGCATTAACCCCCAAACAGGCAACTCACCATTTGTGCTGGGCTTGTGTTCCGAGTCATTGCACTTCAGTGAAATTGTGTGTAATCAGAACACACATTGAAAAAGCCTGCAAACACCCCATTCTGTCCCTGCCTCTTTTTGTGATGTTTTTGGGTCACTTCCAGGTTCAGTGTGATGCGTGTGTGTGCAGTTGCGCACATACCGGACATGCCTAAAATGGTCACTGTCTGTACTCTATAAATGTTGCCCATTCTTTGTTGGTCCTTTCCATGAATGGAAAGATATATTCCATTCACAGAAGCCTAGTAGGATTCAAGCCAAATGCTGGTGTTTCTTTTTCAAAAGGCGTTGAATGAAATTCTTTAAAAGAATAGCCATCTTCCAATTAAATAAGAGTATTACAGTATCAGCCTTAATTACTGTAATGTTTGTCTTACTTTGCTTCTAATTTAGTTGCCATCTAAATCACCAACCCACGTTTGTCTCACACATTAATTCCTTTAGAAATTAAAACAAATAACTTATTTTAAATGAAAGCAGAGATCCTGTCTTTGGTTCAGTCTGTAGGTTCTCCACCCTTAGTAGACAAAAAACTGAATTTAAACATCAGGATATGGCAGCTAAGTTAAACACAAACTAGCACAGCAAGTTACACAAGACATGCTACTACTGATAAAGGCATCATATATATATATATATATATATATATATATATATATATATAGCCTACACAAGAAAAGAAAGCGAGACATTGAATATTCAGTATGTTTGATATGTGCAAAGTTTACATGCAAAATATTTGAACAATGAACAGATGCTCACATAACTGGCACATGCCTTCTCCCATGTGCCCAGCATCCTTATTGCTCTCACAGACGGCACACAAGCTGGGCCTCAGATGCAGATCTCAAAAATATGGGCAGCATGATATGGGTGAAGGTAGTCTTTAAGGCTCCAAACCACTTAGGGTATAAAATGTTTAAACCACTACTTTCAATTATCACACTGGCAACCAGGGGCAACTGGTGCAGCAGAAATGCCACATGCTCCAGCTGCCTGACCCTCACCAATACCTAAATGGCCTCAGTTTGCGTCAGCTGAAGTTTCCAAACTATTTTCAAAGGCATCCCCACAGAGAAAGCATTTGAGCAGTCCAACCTAGATGTGATTAGGTAGCTGCTAGTTATCCAAGTCTGCAGAACTGAAAGGAAGCACTCTTTGGCCTCTGCCACCACATAATGGCAAGTCCATTGGTCAGTAAAGGAAGCAGCTACTCCAATGCTTGTTTCCCTGTTCCTTCTTGATTGCTTTTGCCCTTTGTATTGCAGCTATTAGATTGCAAGGTTATTGGCATGAGGTGTATTACCTTTTTAATATAGCATAATATAACAGTTTTTAAATAGGCAATTTATAAGTGTTTAATAATTAGTGCATAGATAACTGATGCAAGGTCCATCTGTTCTGGATAGGGTCCCAGTTGCTACTACAAACTAAGCAGGTAAAAAGCACTCCTGGCCACACCACCTTCTGAACTTCCTCAGTTAGTGCAGACTCCAGAGCTCCCAGACTACCAACTTGGTCCTCAGGGGAACTGAAGCCCCATCTAAGACTTGTTGCAAACCTGATTTCAGAGTAGCAAGTTTCCCCAACCCAGTACCTCCTTTTTGTCTGGGTCAACCTCATCCACTCAAAAACCTCCATCAGATATCAGTTGTAGTGTTCAATAGCCTGCCAGAGACAAGTACCGTATTTTTTGCTCCAAAAGCACACTTTTTCCCTCCTAAAAAGTAAGGGGAAATGTGTGTGCATCTTGTGGAGCGAATGCAGGCTGCATAGCTATCCCAGAAGCCAGAACAACTAGAGGGAGCGCTGTGCAGTGCTCCTCTAGCTGTTCTAGCTTCTGGCTTAGCCGCGCAAAGCCTCCATAGGGCATGGGTAGCCTTCATCCTGCTGCCCTGCGGAGGCTTCGCGGGCTACCCCAGAAGCCAGAACAGCTAGAGGGAGCGCTGTGCAGCGCTCCCTCTAGCTGTTCTAGCTTCGCACGAAGCCTCCGCAGGGCATGGGGAGCCTTCATCCCCGTGCCCTGCGGAGGCTTCGCGGGACTATTCATGGCTTTTACGGGAGGTGGGGGAAGGGACAGAGCTGCCTGCTCTGTCCCTTCCCCCACCTCCCGCAAAAGCCAGGGATAGGTGCGCTCCCTTTAAAGAGCTGCGTGGAGTGTGTGTGCGGCTCTTGGGGAAAAGCCTGCAAGTGCCGCACACACACTCCACGTGGCTGGTGAAAGGGAGCGCTGACAGAGCCTGGGATGCATACAGGCTCTGCTCAGCGCTCCCTTTAAATAATATTTTTTTTCTTGCATCCCTCCTCTAAAAACTAGGTGCACCTTATGGTCAGGTGCCTCTTATGGAGCGAAAAATACGGTAGATGGAAAAGAGGAGTGGAGCAGATCCTTATATGCAAGTTGATGACTCCTATGCCCAACTTAAACAAATGGCCCATGAGGATACTGTGGTTAGTGGCATAAAAAGCCACTGATAGGTGCAGGAGGGCAAAGAGGTACTCCCCTCACTCATCAACCAAGACTGTTTCCATCCCAAAACCAGACCTGAACCTGGGTTGGAATGGATCCAATGCTACTTGGAATGGAGCAACCAACACCTTGATCAGAAATGGATTAGAAACTGGGCAGTAGTTGTCTCAAACCAATCTAAACTTGTTTACTTTGAACAACAAAGCTTTACTACTGCTTCCTTCAAGACACAATGGACTACAAGGAAAGCCCCAGAAAAGCGTGGCTGAGTAACACAGAACAAACACAATGGCAGTGGAGAAGTAGTAATTTGAAACAATTTCCCAATACAATCAGCACTGGAGTCCACAACACTACCCCTACTAGCTCAAGCTGGGAGACTGTTGGGTTGATTGTCCACCATGCTGCCCAGCAGACCCCAATCCTGTCTCAGATTCTGAGCATGTGGTACTAGCTGATTGTCAGACAGGATACCTGGTCAGAAAAGTAAAATCATGACCAAAGTTAATCTACCTCCAAGTCCCTCAAATTGAGGTTGTTGCTGGAAACTTCCAGTGAGGCTAGATGGCAAACACCACGGCTGCGCCAAGCTAATATAAACAACCAACAAACTATACCTCCACAATTACAACCCCTTGTGGCGACAAATCAGCAAAGACTTGAGGAAATGGAACAACACCAACTTCACCCTCTCTGACAAAATAGCCATGATCAAAATGATCACCCTCCCAAAATTAACCTACCTATTCCAATCTGGATTCCCCAACCCAATTCCGCAAATGGCAGAAAAAATTACACTCATTTTTCTTCTTACACACACACACACAAAACAAGAATAAACCCCAAATACCTACACCTCCCCTCCCCTCCTCAGAAGGAGGGTGGGGAATCCCCAACATGGAACTATATTACATTGCCAATCAACTGCACCACATAATCCCATACATTCTAGAAGATGAGACAAAACAATGGGTACACCTGGAGAGAGACATAATCAAAAATACCCCCACCACAGCATAGCCATTCCTCCCAAACAACACAGACCATGCTTAAAGCATGGGAGGAGGAAGCAGGCAAACTGTCCCCATCCCCACTAATCCCCCCGGCTCATTACCCACTATTCTACCACACAGCACAAAATGTCCAGATAAAAACCTGGCAAGCCAAAGGCTTATACCACCTAGCAGACTTCTACAAAAATAACAAACCCACATCGGCACAAGAAATACAAGACAAACTAGGGGACAACCAAATATCCTGGTTAACACACCACCAATTACATGCCTTCTTAAACAACCCAGTAGTAAAATCAGCAGCAACCAGACCCTTGACAACTTTTGAAAACCTCCTCCTAACAACAAAGAAACACGGCAAGGGGATGGTATCCACTATGTACAAAATAGTGCTCCAAAATCCCACAAACCCCCTCAACATAATCAAAAAACAATGGGAGGACAACATAAGTTATGAAATTAACCCCACCCAATGGAGTAGAATGTGGTCACACCTCCCTTTAAATCCATCTCGGCTAAAAGAAAAGAACTCACCCTGAAACTCACTTACAGATGGTACCTAACACCACGGAAACTAGGGCTGACGACGCCCAGGAGCCTCACCAAAATGCTGGAGAGGCTGTACCTCCACAGGCATTTACCTCCAGATGTGGTGGGAATGTCCCAAAATTCAACTCTTCTGGACATCAGTCATACAAGAAAGATGCAAAATAACTAAGCAAGTCATAGAATCATAGAATCATAGAGTTGGAAGAGACCACAAGGGCCATCGAGTCCAACCCCCTGCCAAGCAGGAAACACCATCAGAGCACTCCTGACATATGGTTGTCAAGCCTCTGCTTAAAGACCTCCAAAGAAGGAGACTCCACCACACTCCTTGGCAGCAAATTCCACTGTCGAACAGCTCTTACTGTCAGGAAGTTCTTCCTAATGTTTAGGTGGAATCTTCTTTCTTGTAGTTTGGATCCATTGCTCCGTGTCCGCTTCTCTGGAGCAGCAGAAAACAACCTTTCTCCCTCCTGTATGTGACATCCTTTTATATATTTGAACATGGCTATCATATCACCCCTTAACCTCCTCTTCTCCAAGCTAAACATGCCCAGGTCCCTTAGCCGTTCCTCATAAGGCATCGTTTCCAGGCCTTTGACCATTTTGGTTGCCCTCCTCTGGACACATTCCAGTTTGTCAGTGTCCTTCTTGAACTGTGGTGCCCAGAACTGGACACAGTACTCCAGGTGAGGTCTGGCCAGAGCAGAATACAGTGGCACTATTACTTCCCTTGATCTAGATGCTATACTCCTATTGATGCAGCCCAGAATTGCATTGGCTTTTTAGCTGCCGCGTCACACTGTTGGCTCATGTCAAGTTTGTGGTCAACCAAGACTCCTAGATCCTTTTCACATGTACTGCTCTCAAGCCAGGTGTCACCCATCTTGTATTTGTGCCTCTCATTTCCCCCCCCCCAAGTGCAATACTTTACATTTCTCCCTGTTAAAATTCATCTTGTTTGTTTTGGCCCAGTTCTCTAATCTGTCAAGGTCGTTTTGAAGTGTGATCCTGTCCTCTGGGGTGTTAGCCACCCCTCCCAGTTTGGTGTCATCTGCAAATTTGATCTGGATGCCCTTGAGTCCATCATCCAAGTCGTTGATAAAGATGTTGAATAAGACCGGGCCCAAGACAGAACCCTTGACCTTGACCTTCTTAAGGGCAATTAGAAGTAATGATCAGATAAAAGGGGTAACGGTGGGTAGGAAAGAATATAAGCTTAAAGCCTTTACGGATGACTTAGTATTAACTCTGGAAGACCCTATGATTACGGCAACAGAAGTGTTGAAAGAAATAGACCAGTTTGGTCAGTTGGCAGGATTAATCCTGAATAAGAAAAAAACTAAAGCAATTACTAAAAATATAGATCCGGAGATTGTTAGCAGATTACAGCAGCAAACTGAAATAGAAGTGGTTAAGAAAGTTAAATACTTAGGAGTTTGGTTAACCCCCAGGAGTATTGACTTGTTTCAGAACAATTACATTCCAACATGGAACAAGATCAAAAGGGACTTAGAGGTCTGCGGAAGAATGAAATTGTCATTTTGGGGAAGAATTGCAACAATAAAAATGAATGTGCTACCGAAGATGTTATTCTTGTTTCAAACAGTTCCAGTAATCAATGGGGCAGCGATTTTAAAAAATTGGCAAAGAGAAATTTCAAGGTATATCTGGCAGGGTAAGAAGCCGAGGCTAAAATTTAAGATATTGACAGACGCAAAAGAAAGAGGCGGCTTCGCCCTGCCAGACTTGAAATTGTATTATGAAGCATCTTGCCTCTGTTGGTTGAAGGAATGGATGAAATTAGAAGACACAGATGTGTTAGATCTTGAAGGTTTTGATAATAGATTCGGGTGGCACGCGTATTTGTGGTATGACAAGAAACGGGTACATAAAGGTTTTGAAAATCATATCATAAGAAGGTCTTTGATTGAAGTGTGGGAAAGATATAAAAACCTGTTGGAACAAAAAACTCCATATTGGTTGTCGCCGTTGGAGGCGATGAGTGTGAAGAAAGTCAATATGACAGGGGGATGGGTGACATATGAGAAGTTAATATGTAAATGTGAAGGAAAATGGAAAATGAGACCATTTGAAGAAGTTAAGGACTATGTGAATGATTGGCTGCATTTTTTTCAAATTAATGAGATGTTTAGAAAAGATTTGAATCAGAGGGGTTTTGCTGATAAAGAATCAAAATTTCAGACAGAAATATTGAATAATGACTATAAGATTTTAGCAAAAATGTATAAGATATTATTGGAATGGTGTACAAAGGATGAGGAGGTAAAATCAGTTATGGTTGACTGGGCCAAAGATATAGGGTATAATATACAAATGGAGGATTGGGGAAGACTCTGGAAAGAAGGTTTAAGATTCACTGCATGTACAGTTATAAAAGAAAATGTTATGAAAATGATGTACCGATGGTATGTAACACCTGTGAAGCTAGCAAAAATGTATAAGACAAGTAACAAAAAAAAAGAAGGTACCTTTTTTCACATGTGGTGGGAATGTAAGAAGGTAAAATGCTTTTGGGAGATGATTTATAATGAATTGAAGAAAATGTTGAAATATACATTTGTTAAGAAACCAGAAGCTTTTTTACTAGGCATTACAGGTAATGAGATAAATAAGAAAGAAAAGAAGTTATTTCTATATGCAGTGACAGCAGCAAGAATACTGATGGCCCAGAAATGGAATAAGGAGGAGCTACCTACGATAGAAGAATGGAGAACTAAAGTGATGGACTATGCAGAACTGGACAGAATGACTGGCAGGATCCGGAATCAACGAGACCAAAGATTTACAGAAGATTGGGAAAAGTTTATCCAATATATGCAAAAACTGAGTGATAATCAAATTACGTTTGTAAGTTTTAAGGAAGCTCTGTGAGGGGAAATGGTTAAAATGGCAGAAATGTGTTAAAAGTAATAAAAGGGAAGGAATTGCAGACAAATTGAGGGAAGTCAAAAAGAGAAGCAAGATTTAATTAAGATGTATGGAGTGTATAAATTAGTTTTTTGTATTTGAAAACCAATAAAAATATAATATAGGGGAAAAAATAAAAGTAGATATGCTTCCATAGGCTGGGTGATCAGCACACAAAACAATTCTAATTGTATTCAGATGTGTACTTTACAATTATATTTAGCAAAATAAAAACCTCAACAATAATGGTAGATCAATATAACAAATATATAACAGTTCAGAAAACATTAACATTTCAACAGATTTAATAAGAGTTTTAACCTAATTTCAAGTAATGGAGAACAAAATACAATTTCTACACAAGAAAATTAAAAGTCAAGTGTTCAAGAATATAAAAAGGGGTAAAGGGGACCCCTGACCATTAGGTCCAGTCGTGACCGACTCTGGGGTTGCGGTGCTCATCTCACTTTATTGGCCGAGGGAGCTGGCGTACAGCTTCCGGGTCATGTGGCCAGCATGACTAAGCTGCTTCTGGCGAACCAGAGCAGCGCACGGAAACGCCGTTTACCTCCCCGCTGGAGTGGTACCCATTTATCTACTTGCACTAACCAAGAATATAGTCATTCCCTAATACATGTTTGGGTTGTAATGAAATAGTATAAACAAAATGATCCATTTGTTTATTATATAGTTCTAAGCAATCCTTGTGTTCAATCCATGGAAGACTGCCTCTTTAGTTAAGAAAAATAAAGTACTACTGAAACTCCTAAGGTCCTCACATAGAGTCAACTGTTTGTCAAGATGGCACTCATGAACAAGATAGCTTCCTTTATCCAAGAGCTTTTGAAGTTAAAGCCCATTATTCAAAAACTGCATTTAGAACATTAAATAACTCTTTTCTCACTGGAATAATTTCTGAATGCCTTCCCTCAGCTTTATGTGGCATTTAAGAATGAATAAGCTATAAATAGACAAACATTTCCAAAACATTTCCTGAGGAACTAAAAACCTAAGTCATTCAGCCTCCTGTAACATTCTACTGTTAAATAGTATGCACTGGATTCAAAATACTGGTGATGCTGTCAGAAGAGTCAAAACTTCAGATTTCTTGCAGTTATAACAATTTTAGAACTAGTTACAGGTAGGTAGCTGTGTTGGTCTGCCGTAGTTGAAACAAAATAAAAAAAATCCTTCCAGTAGTACCTTAGAGACCAACTAAGTTTGTTATTGGTATGAGCTTTCGTGTGCATGCACACTTCTTCAGTGTATCTTCTTCACTGCTCCTCCATATTGTCTCCTTCCTCCAAAGCTACCTAATTGTTATGAACCCCCTAATCAGTGTTAGTAATAACTTTTTTTCTGAGAAGAGGAAGCAAATACAGTTGATAGAACCATAGGGACCAGCTCAAAGAAGAATAGTTATGCACACTTAACTGTATGTTGCTGCACTTTCAAAGGTGGACATTGCACTATAAATATTGGTAATGGGAGCACGGGGGGGTATCTTTATGTCTTCTTCCCTAGAGTCATCCTGTACTTGTCTGATGTCACCAAATTCTCCCTCATTCATTTCTGAATGCTCTCCATAAAGGTCATCTCTACAGCTACTGCTCACTCTCAGAGAACCTGAACTCTATCCTGCATTCTTCCTGAATGCTTTATGTAACTACTCTATCCATGATTTGTATCCACTTCAGTAAAATAACCATGTTCCCAGCTAGAGCTAAGGTAGAGAGCTCCAATTTGGAGCACAGTACTGATCTTTAAGGAAACAGTGCTTTAACAATGAACCATCCATGTGCCTTGCTTATAATTTTATTGCCTACCTATGTCAAAATGGACCCAAGGACTACTCAGACTTCGCCTTTTGCCTGACCCTTTATTGTGCATCCTGCTTGCTTATTTGCTTCCCACTTTGGTGTTGCTGCTAAGTTCCCTGATTGTTCAGTTGCCCAGTGAGAAAGGGACAGCTGAAGGACTTCCAAGTCCTCTGTATGCTGTACACAATCAGTCTGTTCCTTAGTCTTGCTGTCCAAAGTGTATTGGGTAGTGGAGCCTCTTCATGCAGCCATTGCTAGGTGAAGCCAAATTTTCCCCTTCCTTGGATTGCTGTCCATGCATGGTGCCTTTACAGTGTAAAAAAAAAAAAAAAAGCTGAGAAAGGAACTGTTAGAACTATTTTTTTGTGAGCATGTGCAAAGCTCTTCTAGCAGAAGATGCATAAAGTGGGTTCTGTGTATAAAAAGGGTCTCTGAGGCTGACTGAGTCATACTTTAGGTTGTTAGTCATGCCAGAAAATGGAGAACTTGGGAATCAAATTATCCATGAGTTGCTAAGTCTTTTCTTATGGGTAGCATTGAGTGAAAGCTTATTGAAGGTGTTTTCCTCCAAGAATTATATTTCTGCATCATACAGAGTTTGAACTTTTAAGCTTGCCAGTTTTACTTATGTGAATGCTCATTTTCATTTATTTATTTTCAGCAACTGCTGTTTCTTCTCTATTTTTTACATTCAGATATAAATGGTTCCTATAATGTAATAAGGCAAATTGGAGCATCACTGCATACTGTTCATTTAACTGTGCTGCTTTTCTATTAATTCCATTTCAGATATTAGAAGGGAGTCATTTTAAACTTTTTCTCCTCTGCAACAGCTGTGAAATGTAGCTGCCTGCCTTGTGAAGGAGGGATTGCAGCAGAGTAGAGGGGCACAGAAAATCTGTAACTAAGCAGAGTTCTTATTTAAGCAAAGCCCAAGTGGGCTATTTAGTCCTGGGAGTAGTTTCATTTTGTGTGGCTCTGTAGTTTGGTGAGCATTTATGGTGGACAAATAAATCATCCTATTTTTATATATAGCAACAAGCCATAGTTAGAACAAGCCAAGGTAAATAAGCCAACAACAAACCATGGCTTACTATCCTGATTGTGCTTTGTTGGGAACAAAGAATTTGTGGTTAAGTGATGGGCTGGGTTTGCATGATCAAACAAACCATGATTTAGTGTTACATGTAAAGTAGGCTATTTGAAGAGCCTTCAAACATCCCATTCCATTATGTGGAAGGAGGCTTGGATGAGGTGGAGGAGTTTGTCTACCCAGCTATGTTAGGCTGTGTTGGGGTGGGTTCAGACACTGTAGAGCTTCCAACAGTGCCTACCTAAAATGCACACAGGCAGAAGCCACCAGCCATGGTGGTTCTCAGGCATCCTGCTATGGGAATGTTAATTTTCCTGTTGCCCTTCTGCCCTGGATGGTGTGAACAGCGGGACCACTGCCCAGCAGGCATTTTGGATTAAGGGGGCTCCTTAATGGAACATTTAAGTGTTGTTTCATAGAAACTAAAAAAGTTATTTCCAGGTCATAGTAGACTATTCTGACAGTACAATTCTGACTGACTGCAATCAACCTAAAACATCATCATCACGTGTGAACAGGTAAGTATTACTTTCTGATCTCAACTCCTCACCACTTATGTCTGCAGATATGAATGCACAACCCACATATTTTAGGCAGGCATACAAGATCAGAATTTCTCAATCTTAGGTACTCAGCAACAGGTAATAAACCCGATCATGGATAGCAATTCAGATCATTCCACAGTTCTACTTTACTATTTGTGGAACACATATCTAGACACAGCACTCAAAACATAGCTTTATTATTTGTTTCATTATCATTAAGATTATATCCCACCTTACCTACAGGGAGCTCTAATTTTATTCTCAAAATAAATGTCTTCATTTTATCCTCAAAATAATTCTATGAGGTAGGTTAGGCTGACAGATGTGACTTGCCCAAGGTCACCCAGTGAGCTTCATGGCTGAGTGGGGATTTCAACATGGTCTCCTGGATCCTCATCTGACACTGTAACCACTAAGACACACTGGCTTATCACTTCATGCAAGATGAAAGAAGCCTGCTACTACTACATTATATGTTTTGACTCCTGCTACATAAAACTGAGCCATACAACCAAGGACTTTACAGAAAAGAATGCAATGCTCTCAGGACATGGAAAACCTGTATTACATATTGCTCCTCTTTCACAGTGATAATTCAAAAATATTTTGTGAAGAGGCTTGTGTTCCTTGCTTACTGATACTAAATATTTATCTGCAGCAATTATTTTCTTTCTTCAAAGACTTTGGATTTTTGAGTCAGCTGTAAAAAGAAACTCAACAGAGAGGCATTGCTTTGGCTGGCAATTTCAAATGTGCCGTGTTTAGTAAATATTGCAGAATAAACACATTGGATAATAATAACATAATTTAGTCAAGGTTTTCAGATTCCCCTGGGAATCAGAAAGGCAGCCTCCAATTCAAGATAGTACCTCCTTTTGCACAACTCTGATATGGCCAAGGATCTCCTCATAAATATATTACTTTTGAATAATGAAGAGGAAAGGGGGATTTCATCCAAAATTAATATTTTTTCCTTTAAAAAAACAACAACCCACTAGGACATACACCAGGGGATTTTGCTTGATACTTCTTCATTGCAGATGACAAACAGGTAAATTACCTTTGCAGTTGATAACACCCATTGGAAGCCCGTGGGCCAATTAGAAGCAAAGTTTTTGTGTATGAACAATGAGCAGGCTACTTACACAGCACAACAACTATAAAGGTAAAGGTAAAGGTACCCCTGCCCGTACGGGCCAGTCGTGTCCGACTCTAGGGTTGTGCGCCCATCTCAAGAGGCCGGGGGCCAGCGCTGTCCGGAGACACTTCCGGGTCACATGGCCAGCGTGACAAAGCTGCTCTGGCAAGCAAGCACCAGCGCAGCACACGGAAACGCCATTTACCTTCCCGCTAGAAAGCGGTACCTATTTATCTACTTGCACTTAAGGGTGCTTTCAAACTGCTAGGTGGGCAGAAGCTGGGACCGAAAGATGGGAGCTCACCCCGCCACGGGGATTCGAACCGCCGACCATACAATCGGCAAGTCCTAGGCACTGAGGTTTTATCCACAGCGCCACCCGCGTCCCTACAACAACTATAGGCTGCATCTAATACAGACATTTTTAAATGTAATTACTTACAGGAAAATAAGGATCAGAATGTCTCATAGAAATACTGGACATGGTGATATAAGCCTACAGAAAACTATTTTGACTTGATTTCTAGCTTGCAAATGATGTCAGGCACCTCTATTCACATTTTACTGACACATCAAGATAATACAAAGGGTCCATGACAGAGAGTTGGAGATTCATGCTTTGATTCTGAGAGTATAACACTGTAATCCAAGGTTTGGGAATGCATGGTTGTGATAATGCCTAGGTTGCAGGTTCAATCCCCATATGCATATTCCTGCATTGCAGGGGGTGGACTAGATGATTCTCAGGGTCTCTTCCAACTATACAATTTGATGATTCTATGATCTACCTACCAGATATTGTTGTACTCCCAACTCCCATCAGCATGAACTAGCATGGTCTCAGGTGATGGGACTTGTAGACCAGCAACATGTGAAGGTCCACAGGTTCCTCATCTATAATTGTAATTCATTCAAAACTGCCACTCAATATAGAAGTTTACTATAGCAGGTGAAAAAATTATAGCAGTGAGGTTTGAGCCAGAGATAAACAGAGCAGAAGGAACTAGATGTTTCACACACTAAATAAATTATAAGAATGCAGATGCAAGCATATCTAACAATCTAACTGAAGGAAATTGCATGCTTATGACTGCCCATGCATTCTTAACATCTGTTCCCATATAGCTCTCCGTTCTGTACACTGAATGAAAAAGGCAGAAATATTCTGAATAAAATTTAATTGTATAAAGTACATTTCACTATTTTTACCCAAGTTCAGTAACACGAGGCACCAGAAACAGATTGAAAAACTCCTTCGCTGATTACAATTAAGACTAAGACATACTTAGCTATTATTATCTTTGGGCATAATTGTAAGTAGTTGTTTTGTTTTTGCACTGTAGGCAGATAAATGAACTAGGATGATATTTCTTTGGCCTCTTTCCCAATCCCTTCCTCTTAGCATCACACAGCTTTAAAATTCTGGTTTTCAAGCTTATCAAAGACCACCCCCCAGCCACCCTGGGTTCTGTGCTACCTAGGGAAGGAAGATCTGGTTACAAGGAAGAGTGCTCTTCTTTTTAAATAACTTGCTTCCATGAAATAAAGGGGAGATTATTTCTACAAGGCTGCTCTGTCAATCAATCCATAACCCTTGTGTCCATCTGAAACCTCTAAAGATAGCACAGTTTATGGCTTCTAGGTCTGGAGGTGCTAAAACAAGAAGAGACCACAACAGGAAACAAGAGCTAAAGTTTACTAAGACAAAAGCATGGAGTTTTAAGAATTATATATCATATGTAAAAATTACAGAAAATCAGCAAATTACTTTATGAAACAACCGATCAAAGAAAGGTTAAATGCAATCTTCTGTCTCTATCTGTAACCATTCCCTTAAGAGTGAATCTTATGCTCCTTTGCTGTACTCAGTGTTGATGTCTCCCAATTTCTTTCTTGAACTAATTGCCTCTAGGCTGGATACCTGTAGATATAGCCTCTGGCAGGGGGCAGGTCACAAGCTCCACCAGCAGGCTACTAGAAGTCTTGCAGCCCCTCCCTACCTTCTCCCCACCTCTGCTCTTTCACCTTTCTGGCTCAAATTTTTTCATCCTTCATGAAGGGGAACAGATTATGCAGATAACAGCAACAACTAGTTTAGCTCATCGAATTGTGATTCAGTTCATGACATTGAGCAGGATGATGGCGGTGGCAGCAGCAGCAGCAAGGGCAGTAGTTGCCTCAGCTGAATAACTCACAGTACCCAGATCCATCTCCTCCTTCTCCTTCAGTTCTTGTAGAACCCAGGTATTGTTTTGTGAGGAAACTAGGCTGTTCCCACTTTTCAGCGTTTCTAGAAATGGTTGACCTGTTCTCAGATGTATATGCTTATTCATTTCTTTGGGTTATTTACTTGGCAAAAAGTGACATGGAGAATTGGATTCAAACCCTTACCCATGGCTAGAATATACTTCTTAAATTATTTTTCTTTCATTTTGAATTAACTATCATGGACTGGATCTAGGAAAGTATGAGCCAAGTTTTACTTGTGTAGGACCTTTCCTCATCCTTTCCACAGCAGTCCTCTGTGCCCACTGAAAAGGCACTTCTAAGGCTCAACGGATCTGCCAAAGCAGCATGGGATGAAGCATAGGAAGCAAAAGCTTGAAAAAGGAATTAGTAGCAATTAGGACTCCCTCCCGCTCATGAGCACAAGTGCCCTCCCCTCACAAAGGAGTCTGTGGAGCCAGCTCAGTATTTCCTATGGGAAGTGCAACATTACACTTAAAACTGCTTGCTAAAAATTAACCAGAGCAGATGGTTAATACCAGTATTTTTATAGATCCCTTTAAACATTAAAGGTTTTAATTGCATCCAATTTGCTCACAATACACTGTGGCATAAAGTTTTTCACCTTGGGGTGCCTGTATTTATTTAGGTTGGACCATATGTTGTGAACTTAAATGTAGGTGCAGAGTGTAATATAAGTAATATCAATTGCAGAATAAGGTAGGCAAAATACACTATGTTGTTTTGACAGCTCACAGCAGTTCAAGAACAATCTGCTGCATAGGTAACACCTGTCACCCTAAATTTTGCCACAGCAGCCAGATTTTCATTCTGATGACATAAAAGCCTTTTTGCCTCTCCAAAGCTACCAAGATCATGAGCTGTTTATTTTCCAGAAGGAATAATTCTTATACTGGGGTATCACATTCCCCTACTCTGCCACACTAGAGACTTCATAGCTAAAAACTTGAGCCTCTCTCACTGGTTAATGTTGCAAGGCTTTTCCACAACATATGTGCTCTATAGATCCAAGAAGGAAGTAGCAATGCGTTACACACAAATTACACACAAATGAACATTAAAGCACAATGTACTTTTCTTTAATAATTAAAGAACCATTTCAGAAAAAGACAATTTGAGATGAGGAAAACAATACTGGGGCACTTAACTCTCATCCATAATTTTCCCACTCCAAATCTCCACAGTAGCTCCCCTCACCCCAAGTTTCAAATGCGTATTTGCCACAGAAAATGTATGTTTGCCTTGTTAGGTCAAACTTGCATTTGATATCCAGTGGAGGGAAAAGTCATTGAGCTGAATGAGACTAGAGCGGAGGAAAGAGTATTAAGCACCCACTACAATTCCCCTGCTTTTAACTGCCCCTTGCCAAAATGGCTTTTTAAATTGGCACTGAAGTTCCAATACATGCATCTGTGCATAATGTATTGTTATCTCTAAACCACTTAGCCTGCTAGGAAAAACATAACAGCTTCACAACAGTCTACCAAAATGACCAACTTTCCTTTTTTTACTAGCCTGCCCTTAACCCCACCCTGCATGTCCCCCAAATCTGCTTCAGAGAGCCCCCCAACCCCCACAGAGCTGATTTTGAGGGTGTGGTGTGCATGTGCATGTGTGTGAAGGGGACAAGAAAATAAGATGAAGCCACATTGTGTGAATGGAAGTCTATATACAACCCACAGTGTTTTGGGTGTGTGTGTGTGTGTGTGTGTGTGTGTGATTGCAGCATTAGTCTTGCAATGGAGTAAGCATCAATGAGAACTGTGGGATTTAAAAAGGCATTGGTTAATGGGTACTGTATTGACTGCAATCATATGCTTCAGGTTACATATGCTTCAGTTTACAGACTCTGCTAACCCAGAAATAGTACCTCGGGTTAAGAACTTTGCTTCAGGATGAGAACAGAAATCGTGTTCTGGCAGCGTGGCGGCAGCAGGAGGCCCCATTAGCTAAAGTGGTACCTCAGGTTAAGAACAGTTTCAGGTTAAGAACGGACCTCCAGAACGAATTAAGGTACCACTGTATTTTGAAATAAGCCCCATTAATACATTAAGACACTTCCATGGAATAAGCATGGAATCAGAGTTCAATTTACCTTTTATTTACCACAAATATTGACAGCAGGGTTTTGCAGTTAAAGGTAGACCTATATGTTTCCTTCTACCACTTAACTTAATGTGATCTAGGTTGCTTTCCTCAGTCCCAGAAACTATTTTCAATATTAGGGCTGAGCCTGAGTAACTATAACCAGCTTCCCATACATAGGTACAGGAAGCTTACTAATGTACGGCTCTGTTTCCTGTAGGTGGCCATGTTGGTCTGACGCAATTGAAATACATAATTTTATTATTTTTTTAATTGTCCAGTAGCACCTTAGAGATCAACTAAGAACAAACTTAGTGGGTCTCGAAGGTGCTACTGGACAATTCTTAAATTTTTTAAAATTTCTTTTGATAGGCTCTGTTTCCTGTAAGAGATAAATAGCTACAGGTCCTTCAAACAAGGAGTCACTAACCTTTCCAAGGACTTGCCTCAGGGCATTCAGAAGGTGAAAATAAGCCTACAGAAATAAACTAGCACAGATAATCAAGCTGACTCAGACAATTAGGTACAAAATACAAAGAAACTATCCTGATTGTATTACAAATCAGGAAGCTTCAGGTGAAAGTGAAATTACCAGTCACAGTAATTTCAGCATGTGTAATTGGCAGTTTACTCAGCCTAGGTGCAATGAAAGTCCCTGCCCCAAGATAAGTCATTCTGAAGAGGAGCTGCAAAGAACAAACTTTTAAAGCCACCTAGGACAATTTATACTGCTACCTGACCACCGGTTATTTCTATGCCTGTTAGAAAACAGATATTGATCAAGTTATTGTGTTAAGATCTACAAATTTCCATTCCAGGTAATGAGTTCAAACCAAGATATAAGATTTAAGTTGTACATGAACTTCAGCTGGATTACTCCCTTAAAATGTTTTTTGCTGAGAACACGTTTAAAGTGACCTCTTCCTCATTCTATCAGAAATACTGAACTGCAAGGTTTGAGTGGAAATATTTAAATTATTAATGTTTCCCAACAGAATAATAGAACAAAATGTTATTTCTGAAATATACTCTTCTTTTAAAACAGTTCAAAGAAGTACTTAAATCTAAACCTAACAATTCTTTTTTCATTTTTATTCTTAGAGTAGCCTAATTAAGATTCACTTTTCTTTCAGAATAATATACAAAAACTTATGGAGCTGTGAACTGTCTCCAACATTTTCTCTTCATATGTCCCACTTACTACATCAGTTTAAATATTCTGTGCCAAAACAAAAACATATATGCTATTCTTGTTTCTGCTTCTGTATGGCAGACCTTTTCTCTAAGCAACAGAAGAAGATATACTGATATTTGCAACCTACACTGCTCTAACAGCATTTGAAGCCATAATTCTCATATTTCCAAATTAGTTTACCAAACTTTGTATAAATACTTTTTAAAATGCTGACTTACAAAGAAAGGTAACGGTATAGTAAACTCTGTGACTAATGGTATACATCAAAGAAATGTTAATACTATTACTCATACCTTAAAAATTCCTTTCTATTTCCCTCCTACCATCACAGCCCTCATGCTGGCATAGAATAATAGCTGGAAGAAACCTCAGAGGTCATCTAGTCCAATCTCCTGCTCAATGTACGATCTGCAATGCAGCATGCAACTACAGCATTCATGACACATTACTCTCCAACATCTGTTTAAATACCACCAGTTATTGTCTGTTCCAGGCATAGGAATGGAGTATGAGTGCGTGCAGCATCCCACTCTAATAGTGTAAAAAATATTTTTCTCATGCAATGTAAGCAGGGCTTTCTGCTTAAAGTTGGCAGAGCTCTTCACATTTTGCAGAGAAGCCACAACAAGATAGGCATGTGCAAATGACATGTCAAACAATATTTACCATATTTATCCTTATAGATGTGACATACAAAAGGGAAAGGAAGTATGGGACAATTTTATAGCAGATGTGCACTACTGAAGTGTGGGGGAGAAGACAAAATGGTCTCAGGCTCATATAGTGTAGCTGAGATTTGGTAGTTTTCTGTAAGAAAACTGCTGTGCATCTGACCTAATTGTTCAGCAAATAGAGAAAATCTCACTATTTTGTATCTGCTTTGTTTTGTACCTACTCTGATCTTCCACTGGTGAAAAGTTTTTCAACTGCTCATACCACTTTCACAGAACCACCAGGCCAAGTGTTAAAAGTTGCCAATTCTAATCTATTTACAGCAGTGGTGGCCAAACTTGGCCCACCAGATGTTTTGGGACTACAATGCCCATCATCCCTGACCACTGGTCCTGTTAGCTAGGGGTGATGGGAGTCGTAGTCCCAAAACAGCTGGAGGGCCAAGTTTGGCCAGCACTGATTTACAGGGTCAGCTTGCTAACACATGCAAATACTTATAAACAACTCAACTCTGTATGGAGATGAAAGTTAAGCATCTTTCCAACATGCTTGATGAAGAGTTCTGGAAGTCAGTCTTGTATTTAAGGCTTAAATCTTAAGCTATACCCTGGTAGCCATAAGTGGCAAGGAACTGTATCAGACAATTGAGTGGGTTGATGGAATCCTCCAAGCAGAAAAACCAAACAGGCTGCCAGAGGCAGGAAGCTTCTTCCCTGTAGCTGACATAGATAGATACATAGATTATAGATAGATAGATAGATAGATAGATAGATAGATAGGGGGCTGCTGTGGGAGAGCTCCATCACTCCTTCCCTGCCCCCAACAGGCTAGTAAAGATGTATGTATAGAAACATGTGAGCTTATATACAAGCCTGCTCTAAACAAAACATTATTTTCATACTCCAAGTATCTGTTGGTACAGGATCTTGAACACGTCTTAAGCCATTCACAAGTCCAGGATGCCTCCTTCACATGTCCCTTCAGCCCTTTATTCACTTTACTGGTGGACCAGCTGATAGCATGGATGGGGGGGGCAGGGAGGAGCAGTAAAACCATAGAAATACTTAACCAGCTGACCAATCATGTCAGTTCTGCCCCCCCCCACAAAAATCCTGGCTACGCCCATGGCTGATAGGGTTTTCTGGCACAGTCCAGTCCATTCCCTAAAATGTCTTTAGTTGAGGCACCTCAAGTACTGCTCAGCCTACCAATGATTCATTCTTTTCAAATGTCTAAACTTGAGTCTAGTCTTAGTCTACTTGGGCACATTTTTAAACTTACACTTCAGGAACATATGGCTTGCCTCAGAGACACTCTGGAAAACCCAACTGAATAAACCTAGTTACTCATAGATACTTCTTAAACATCTCACATTTCTTAAGACTCTCCATTAGCTCAGAACAACTCCATCACATATTCTCACTACTTATTCTAAAGTGTCAACAAGTAATACTTTGAAATACACTGCTGAAAAACAGTAAATATTCCAAAACTTAATAAAATCTCTACGTACCATCATTCCAAAACACATCCCATAGTTTTAGACAGTAAACCCACCTTTGCCCATGCCTCAACATAACTCTTATGACACCTTATTTTTCATAGAAGTCACCTCTTCGTAGAAGAGCAACAGAGACAAGCTAATGGCAGAGTGCCAGGACACAGATGAATGGCTGGAGGCTATACTCACAAAGCTGGCATTTGTGCAAAGAATGACTGATAGCACAGTCCTAACCATATCTACTCAGAAGTAAGTTCCACTCAATTCAGTGGGACTTACTCCAAGGTAAGTGGGGATACCTATCCATTCTTAAGGAAATCAGCCCTGAGTGCTCACTGGAAGGACAGATCCTGAAGCTGAGACTCCAATACTTTGGCCACTCATGAGAAGAGAAGACTCCCTGGAAAAGACCCTGATGCTGGGAAAGATGGAGGGCACAAGAAGAAGGGAACGACAGAGGACGAGATGGTTGAACAGTGTTCTTGAAGCTACGAACATGAGTTTGACCAAGCTGCGGGAAGCAGTGGAAGACAGAAGTGCCTGGCGTGCTCTGGTCCATGGGGTCACGAAGAGTCGGACACGACTAAACAACAACAACAACAACAACAACAAAGTGGGGATACGACTGCAGTTTTACTTAAGCATTGGTAAGTCCATTAAATCAGGGACCAAAATTACCAATTGAACCAGTCGTAGTAGCCAAGCTGAAATGCCACCCTCTGCCTGGATAGCTAAATTGGGTAGAATGTGATGCTGATAACACCAAGGTTGCAGGTTTGAAACCCATATGGGACAACTGCATATTCCTGCATTGTAGAAGATTAGACTAGATGATCCTCAGAGTCCCTCCCAACACTACAATTCTAGTTGGCTAGCCCTAACTATAACATTTTTAAAAACGAAAAGAATAAAGGGTGCTAGAGACCACTCCCAGTGGGGTCTGACAGGCCTGGCTGAGGTGCTGACATTAAGTCTCTTTGCTGCTGTCCTCATCCACTGATCTCTGGGTGGTCATTTTGTGGGGTCTGGTATCCTCATTTGATTTACAATTCCCAACATCATGTTTAATAATGGAGGATGGGAGTTGTAATTCTAAACATCTACAGCGTACAAAGTTGATGAAAGCTAAATTAAAGTGTGTATGTACTCTAGGCTGCTGTCGGGTCTGCATATTTGAAAGCTTTCCCATATGGCAGAGAAAAATACTTCCAGAATGTAAAAGAACTGAACAAAGTGAGAACCCTTGTCCCCTTTATGTGTTGTGGGTTATGTATTCAGTCTTGCAATCCCAATTTTTCACTTTCAAAGTTATTTCCTATGGCATGATTCGGGACTACAATGGCATGATTCGGGACTACAATTGTTCAGGGTGCCTGACCCTACAAACTCAGCTCCAGCAAATCGAGGGAGAAGAAGAAAGAAGGAGGGGTGTGTGTGGAAACCTAATTTCAGAATTACAAGTAAGCATTGCTTTCCTCATGCTCATGTTACCTGGGGAGTGTTAGCCTTCCAGAAATCCTTATGCCCTTATAACAGGTGTGTGTAAGATTAGAAAAGTCGCCAGAATTTATCAATATGTAGGAGCTCCACCCAGGGAGCGCTTAATCGAAGCAGACAGCCTGTCCACCTGTTTTTTGTTTACTAAAAATTATATATACCGCCTGATTGCAGAAAAAAACTTCAGAGCGGTTTACAAAAAGAATATACAAGTAGGATTATTAAGTAAGAGCAATCAAAACGTTCAAAAACAAATTTTAAAAGTTTATTTCACAAAATAAACACGGGAAGGCCGCGCAGCGTGAGGGGAACCTCCTTTCCCAAGTTTGCCCAGCAAACTTAATCCATTCGACCGCCCCCCAATTAGTCGACCTACCTCAGGGAGGCGCTAAAAAGCGTGAAAATCAAAGCGCCTTGCAGGCACCGACAATTTTATAAAGGTTTAACCCGCCGCCCCTTCCATATCACGCCCCCAACACACACTTTTTAAAATTAAAAAGCGCAACGTAAAGGTGTTTCCCACTTCCCACAGTGAGGCTGTCCGACTAACCCATCGCCGCCGCTTTGCTTTTGGTCTTCTTTTCCCCTCAGACGAGCAGCGAAGAGAGCATGAGGATGCCTCAAGGGCGCACAGTCTGTCTGTCTGTCTGGCCCGAGGGCAGCGACGCGACCGTTAAGAAGCGGCCGGGCGCGTGAGGCGACCCAACGGCCGTTTGCTTGCTGCTACCGTATTTCCCCAGCCGCGCGAGCCTTGCCGCTTTCGCTCCCCTCCTCCTCCTCCCAACTTTTGGTTTTTGTTTATCCCGCCTCCCTCTCAATGACTTTTCCTGCTGAGCTCAGAGGAAGGATGACCGGGTGGAGGAGCCGCGGCCACACCCCTCACCCGCCTTCCCTTCCGTAAATGGTGCCACAGAGGGGTCCGGCGGGCCCCGCCCCCTTTTCCCACCGCGCGCGAGGGGGCTGGCATTGGGTGCCGACGCGTCAGAAGGCCGGCCCCCCTCCTCCGTGCGGCGGAGACAAGATCGGGCGTGTGCGTGCATGTGCGCGCGACTCCGTCCCTTCCCCGAACTGCCCTCGGCTCTCCCCTCTCCGGCCCCGCCCTCCCACGTTTGAACAACGCCGCCTCCCCGTCACAGCTGACGCGTCGAGCACACGGCCGCCGGGCCCGTTCTATTTATGTTTGTGGCCTCTGGCTTTTGCATAGCCCCACCCCTCCCCGCCCCTTTCTCCGAGGGCCGGGCGGATGGGCGCCGCCCACCTTTGCCCATATATGGACCTGAGGGGCGGGGCCCCGCGCTCCGGCAGCCTCTCGCAGCGCTCCTGGTGCCGTTTATAGAGTACAGCCACTTCCGCTGTCTGTTTAGAAGCGGCGCGATCATGGCGGAGCGCGGTCAGCTCCCTCCCCCCGCCAAGCGCCTCTGTTGCAGACCCGGCTACGGCGTCGGGTGCAGGCCGGGCCAGCGAGCGGGCGGCGGCGTCGAAGGCGGCCTGGGCGGCGTGGGCGGCGGCGGGTCGCTCTGCATGGCGGGGCCTTCGTCGGCCGCGGTGGCCGCCGCCTCGTCGGCCGCCGCCGCTTTCCCCCCTGCCCTGGCCGCCGCCTATGCCGCGCTGGGGGTGCTGCCGTTGGGCAAGACGCAGAGCCCGGAGTCGCTGCTGGACATCGCGGCGCGGCGGGTGGCGGAGAAGTGGCCGTTCCAGCGGGTGGAGGAGCGCTTCGAGCGCATCCCGGAGCCCGTGCAGCGCCGCATCGTCTACTGGTCCTTCCCCCGCAGCGAGAGGGAGATCTGCATGTACTCCTCCTTCAACACCGGCGCTGCTGCCGAGGACGCCGCCGCCAGCAACCCCGCAGCCGCCGCGCCCGGCGGGGGATCTAACGCCGTCGGGTCCACGGGCACCGCGGGGGGCACCGCCTCGGCCGCGACCGCCGCATCCAACAACAACAGCGGGGGAGGAGGCGCCGGAGGAGGAGGCGGCGGTGGTGGCGGAGGCGGCAGCACCGCGCCCGGCGGCGGAGGAGCAGCGGACGCCGCTGGCGACGAGAACCGGCTGCCCTTCCGCAGGGGCATTGCTTTGCTCGACGGCGGCTGCGTCGACAACGTCCTGCAAGTCGGTGAGTCACTCGGTCGTTGGGGGGCAGGGTGGGGTGGGACCGAGGGGGAGGGCGAGGGCTTGTTTCCTCTCTCTTTTCCACCCCCTTCCTTTCCAGTCACTGGGTTTTGGGTCACGGTCTCTTCTCCTCCCACATTCTCCAAACATGACACCCCCCCCCGCTCATCCACCTGTGCAGTCATGCCGTCCTTGCTCCCTCCTCGTCTGATACTCCCAAGCTCTTTCTCCCACCGCACCTGCCTCCCATAGTTAAAGACACATTTTTCTTTTTCTAGACGTTAAACTCCTCCTCCCTGCTCGCCTCTCTAACCTAGCACCCTAAGAGTCTAAGTCCATCCCCGCAGCTTCCTCTCCCTGGCACACATGTCGCTAGCCTTAGCTAGCCTTTTCTCTTTCTCTCCCTTTAAGTCTCCTACTGTTAAGCTGTCCTGTTTAATCGTTATTCCGCTTTTGCCTCCAGGCAGTCTCTTCACCCCCGCAGGATTTCCTTGGGCTCCCCCCCCCCCAGGAAAAAACATACCCAGGATTATCCCAGAACATTATAATCCTGCACTAGTAACTCGTCCCCTCCTTCTCTGCCCCCTCCTTCCAGCTTCTGCTGACTGTGTGATCAAAATACCCTGAAACATAATAAGAGATGCTCCTGTCCGTTTTATTTCTCTTTCCCCTTCTCCTCTCCCCACACCGCCCGCCCAACCTCGACCCGAAGCATCAGGGAGTGCGAATGGAAGTGAATCAGCAGAGGGAGCCCCCAGGGAAAGTGCGGGGGAAAGGGAACAGGAATACCTCCTTATCGCTAAACAAAGACATTTCTAGGACAGTGGCAATTGAGAAGGAGACGCAATCTCCCACTGGCTTTGCACAGACTTCTTGGATGCTCATGTGGCCAGTCTGTATGTCCCCATCCTCCTAGATTTTGTTATTGGTGGCACTGGGGGTAGGTCATTGGGTCGTAAAGCTGTCAGATTGCTGATGAAACTGGGACTGAAAGGAGGTCTGTCTGCGATGAAAGTGGGGGGGGGGGGAGAGAGAGAAGAGAGCTGGCTGCCTGCCTAGGGGGAATGCTGTGCAGGAAGGCAGAACCATCTTCAAATGCTGCCAAATAGCTTCAGGATATAGCAGGGTTTTTCCGTCTCCTTTTCTTGATGGGAGGAAATGCTGATTTTTCTATGAAATAATCCTCTTCTCCCCTGTTTATACCGATCCTGATTCTCTGTGGTGGAGAGTTTCCATTCATTGCATTTAACTCCTCCCTTCTTTGAATCAAAGGGCACTGGAGGTGGTTCTGCTTCACCATTCCATCCATCTCGAGTGGGAGGCTGGCAAGGGATTACTTCTGTCATGAAGGGGGGGGGCTGGGTTTCCGTGTCTGGCTTTACCCATTTCTCCTTTCTGGTTCCAAAGTCTCTCCTTGGAGAAACAGGCAGATGTGTGGTTTATTTCCCTTTTAAAACTTCCTGCTCAGGGTGAGGTTCTCAGTGGAGCTGAATCTTTTTGTTGCATTTTTAAAGAGGGTTATGTTTTGGCTGCACATCACCAATGCCTTCAGGAAATTCCCCTTGGAGGGAGGACCTGGCACCTCGCTCATTTTCATGTTTGTGTCCTTTTCAGCTCGCTCTCTGTGTTGGTGTGTTGCTCAATGAAAAGGGGGAACCAAACAAAAGAGTCTCTTTCATTGCTTTTCACTGCCTGCAAAACAGCAAGGATCTGACAAAGGGGAAGGAGATCTGGAGATTTTAAAGCTGCACAGCTCAGTTTTTCATCTACTCAGTTTTGCTCAGCTTCCTCTCTCAAGAAATTTAAATTCCAGCTGCGTGTTTGGGGTGTGTATGTTTCTTCACCCTTTGCCTGCTGGCTTTTGAACATGGATGGAGTGTCTTTTTTCTTTCTTTTTTAAAGTGTGCTGAAACCCACAAAGCTCAACATCATAGTTCCTCCTCCACAAGATCACCTTTTACTGGTGATGTTTAAAGATGTGGACATGTCTAGCAATTCAAATTTTAATGTAGTCATGCCTGTGGACGAGTGTGTGGTGCCCTTCTCTTTTTCCTGCAAATGATTTAGCTTTGGGCACTCCTCTAAGTTCTAATTAACATTCCTCAGACTTCTGGATCTGTCTTTTTAGTAGGGGTTTGAGGCATCTCTCTTTTTCCTGGTGGCACCACCAGAGCTGCGTCTCTTCTGGTTTGGCTGGCATTGCCAAGAGCTTGTTTTTGCCTCTGCTTGACTCCACTTGCAAGGGATGAGGAATGACAGGAGTGCACATAGGGAGGGTTTTTTTGGCTGATTACATTTAAGCTAGGAATTCACTGTGAAAATAAAGCCAAGGGGTGATAAATAAAAGATGCAATCTTCTCCAGGAGACAGACACCCAGCATGGGCTTAGCTTTTGCTTGCTTTCAGCACTTAGAAGAGGCCTCATTGAGAACTCCTGAAGGGAGGGGAAAAATAACTTGTGCTGCTTCAAAAAGGGGAGGGCCCTTGAGTGATGTTGGCAAAGGTCAATGTGAACAGAGGAAAATATGCATAAATAGAACTTGTGTCCTCTGCTGCTTCTGGAACACTTAAATAAAAATGCAGTAAACGCTTTACACACTGGACACACACTTTCATTTCTTCCTGACATGATGCTTTTGGAAACCATCCAGGCTATTAATGTATGGAAAATTTGCATTTCACAGCAGTGTTAAAATGTGACTCTATATGGGGTGTGGTGAGCGACGAGCATAACAGATGCTGAAGTTTTCCAAATTTCAAATATTTTCCTACAGCAAATGTTGGGCTCATTAAGATTTGTGTAAAAAGGTTTTTTACACAGCGCAGAAACAGCCAGTGAATAAGCCTCTGAGATAGGTAGGACATTGTGAATCGTCCTCCTCCCATGTTGCACTAGATTTTTGTGAATGGATTTGAGATAATTGGCTTTGTGAACTGACTTTATAATGCACTGTTAGCATTTTATGTCGTAGCCTCCTTTGCTTTTGTTGCAAGTTCCCCTGGGGGCTGATTGGTTGAAAGGTGGGGTAAGTATAGCACTGTGCAATGAGTGGCTTTGCGGATTTCAGCAATCATCTATTTGTAATCTCCAGACTTCACGTCTATAGTGTGTATTTTATCCACACATTTCAAATTCAGGGAAAGCATTCTGAAATGTTGCAAAATGGTATGGTCTGGGCAAGGTATCTATGAATGCCGACTTACATTCTATTGATAATGAAGAGCTTAGATTTGCTGGCTATGCTTGTGTAAGTCATTCAACCTTTTCCATGATATATATTCTGAAATCTGTGAATGCACCGTGGTGAATATAGGAAACCGCCTTAATACCATTTTGGATAATTGATCCGTTTAACTGTATACTGTCTACACAGATGATGTACAGCGTTTCAGGCATATGTCTTTACCCAGCTGTGTACCTGCAGATGCTAGGGATTGAACCTGAATGTTTCATATGCAAAGCCAGGTATTGCTGACCTATGAGCCCTATTTCTTGTGTAAGCCCGCATATGTTATTCTAAATGTCTGTACAACCTCTGTTTTGGGAAAACCTCATGCCGAAACCATTGGTCATGATGAAATAGTTTTACATGTGTTTGCCACTTCACCCAGGTTCTTAAGAAGTTAGAATTATGTATAACACAGAGAACCTATTACATTTGTTGATTATTACATCAGATTTCACACTCTGAACTCATAAATCTCTTGTAAACTCTTTCTCAAACAATAAATTGTTGCCAAGCCTACTACCTCAGAATTTCTCAAAGCTATAAAGACCAGTGCTTTAGACAGTATGCCACCATATAAAGGAAATACACAAATACTATAAAATTCTGCCTCACTTCTTCATGAATATAGGGCAATGAAAGTCATGTCCATATGGGAATACGCTATTACTATTATTAATACAGACACACATCTTTTGTAACCATGGTTGCATACTGTATTATCTGAAAGCAGCAACTGGGGTTGTTGGTTTTTTTTAATCCCTTAGCATTAATTTTCAGGAAGGAAAACACAAATACTCATTTATCAGAAACATGGGTTTGGTAATTAAGCATCCTTCAGTGGGAAAAATTTGGTTAGTTTCTGTAAAAGAATTACAACAGCAATTTTAAGTGAGCTAACATTCATATTAACTTTTAGTGGTCATACATTAAAGTGCAGGTCTAGTATCAGCAGAATTGTGCAGCTTTGCAGCAATTACAGTTGTTCATAGGGAGAGGGGTGTGATGTTTCTGCTAGTCGTATCGAATAATAGGGAATTTGCCATTCCCTAGTAAAGAGCCAGACCATGTGGAACATCCATTAATTTACAAATGGAACAAATAGTTGTTTTTCCTTTCTGATCTGTTTCCCATGAATATGAATACTTTGAAATCCATCAGGATTTATTTAGAACACCAAGCAGTTATCTGCATTTGTGGACCTTTGAGCAGCTTTACGTATGTGTGGGATAGCAGGTCTTAATATTTCTGATGCATGCATGTTTGGTATTTGTATTTTGGTATTTTAGTAATCATAATAATAAATAATAAAATTGTATTTTCAGTGTCTAAGCTCCGCTATCAGTAATTGTTTTCAGACTGTCACTACAATTACATTCTGTCTTACATTTCTATCTTGGCTATTTCAGTTAATGACTATCTACCTTTGCTCCTCAGCATTTATTAATTTCTGTGCTGGATTTCTTGCTTCTGAAGAACTGTAGGCTATGTCATGTCAGCCCCAGTTGTAGCTATGCTATTGGAGCCATGCCACAGTTGCATCATGGTTTGCTGGAGCCCTGCATGTTTCTGAAACTGTCAGAATGAAGTGTAGCTAGAGCTTACAGCAGGGCAGGTTTTGCTGCAGCATTTCCCAGGCACATTTCCACTCCCTCCCTGAGCCTTGCCATTCTCCATGTGTCTCCTGCCTGTGCTCCAAATGCCAGTCCCTGCTTTAAAGCCGAGAAAAGAACTCAATTTGTTTTTCTAAGGGATTGGCATAATTATTCTTTCTGCCTGTGTTCTGATCTCAGGAGTGAGGAATAATTCCACTTCCAATAAGACCTTATATAACTCCCCCCCCCCAACACATTTGTTATGTTGTCATCACAGTAAATTATTTTCCATGCTTTAGGTTTTATAAGCGAACACTTCCACTCTGCACATTGCTATACATGTTCATGAAGTTTATGCTTATAATTTCTAAACCAGTCTGAGTTCGAGTCAGTGAAACCGAGGCTCAGTTTTCACATAAGCCTATGAACTGAGAACTGCATGTTCTGGTCGGCATTAACAGCTGTGGTTGCTACAGTCATATGGAGGGTAGGGTTCAGCAGTGTCACCGCTTGCCTTCTCACACCAAGGTGATGTGGCAGTGATTTTATTGCCTCTCTGTTGTTGCCTGGAGATGCAAGCAGTGCTATAGCAGTGCTACGGTGAGGGCTGAAACAGAGCTCTCTGACTCTACCAGCTGTCAGACTAACAGAAGGCTCATTTACACCTGAGGCTAGTTCTCAAGGTTCCTGTGCGAACCCGCCCTAAATTTTCTTAAATCCCAACACCTAGTCTTAACTGGCTTGTTAATCAGGTTGCTGATTAAGTTTTGTAGCATGTAACTGTTCCTGAACTCTGGCCCAGTTGTGGCATTGGCTGATGATGCTGATATATTCCTATCTGTTGAAAGTCCATCAAGGAACTAAGATGGGTATATGGTGGGCTGGTACTCGGAGTCAAAAGGTAGTTGAAACAAGAACAAGTTAACTTTGCATAAAAGTGAGGAAATAACAATGTTCCGTGCAATTTCAGCTGTCTGCCTGGTGACTGTACGCACATGGTGCATATTTTTGGCACTAAGTAGCACCTGCATAAAAACCCCACCCTGAACATCGATGAAATCAGCAGACTGCTGATGATGGGTAACCCACTTTACATTGCACAACTTAAAATGCTTCTAGGGGGTGGGCTGGTTAGAATTTCACCTGCCAGTTAATCCAGTTTTCATGCCAAGAACAACTTGGGTGTTGGAGCGATGCAACACTTGTGTCGTGCTGGCACATAGCCGAGGGAAGTGGGTGTACTTGACCCTCCACTTTTCTGGATCTGATCTGGAAGGGGGAAACTTAGCAACTTGAGATGCATATCAAATGGATAGCAATGCTAACCCAATCCATCTTTAGCACAGTAACTGATTTAGAATGCTTATGCGTGACAGTAGTTTTTTATTAAATGCAATCAGCATGCAAATAACAAAGTTCCCTCCTCTTATTGTTGTTACTACTACAGTTGTTTATATCCTGCCTTTCAGGTTATAAATCATTCTAGGCAGATTGCAACTATCGTGATCAATGCCTAGTAAAAAATGTTCACAATCAGTAGTCTCAATATACAACAAGTCTTCAAGATCTATCCCACAGTGGAGCTGGGTAGTAGGTGCCCCTGTGGCAGGAGGAATCAGTGTGGCTCTGAATGTCGTCTTCGTCTGCCTCCTTTGCTTTCCTGGGATCTTTCCCGTAAGACAGCTGATGGTGGTTGGTTCTGTGGGTGAAAGGCAGTCCAGATGGAGCAGGCTGTGTTGACTTCTAGGAACTGTAGATACCTTTGACACTAGGGAGTGGCAAAGGTATCTACAGTTCCACACCAGGCATCAGATGTTACAGCTGCTACCCTGAAACTCTGGGCCTTGTAGGAAAATAGGGCCAGCTTGGAAAAGAATGCCAAATTGAGCAAATGATTAGTCTCTCACAGGGCAGGGCTTTCTCACCCAGGTTTTGCTGGTGGTGGCAGAAGCAAGAGTCCTTCTCTGTCCAATCAGTTTCAAAAAAAGATATTGGCATTCTACAATCTTTTCTCTGTCTTTCTGCTAACTTGGTCCTCTACTTTCTGTTTAGCACTTTGCTCCCAAAATTATTCACTTTTCTCATTACTTGCAGTGGCGTAGCGTGGGGAGTGCAGGGGGGCCGGCCGCACCGGGCGCAACATCTGGGGGTTAGGGTTAGGGGGCGCAAATCCACGGGTTAGGGGGCGCAAATCCACGGGTTAGGGGGCGCAAATCCACGGATTAGGGGGCGCAAATCCACGGGTTAGGGGGCGCAAATTACTTGCCTTTCCCCCGGTGCTGACAACCCACGCTACGCCACTGATTACTTGGACCATTTACACCCCTCAAATCCCTGCTCTGGCTTCCTGCTTGCCCTGAAATCCAGTGCAAGTTTCTCAATGAGCACTTCCAGTGATGCTGTCCTGTTCCTTCAAGCGATTCCCTTTGTACCTAGAGTTATCTTCCAGATCTGGTGATGTAATCTTCCACTTCCTTTAAATCCCCCTCCCCAGTTCTCCCCTTCTCTGAAGCCCTTGGCACAGCCTCCAATCTCGGTATCGTAACTATAGCTCTACAAGTAGCTAAGCCCAGCTATGTGGACATAACAGACTAAGGACTACCACCCATGCTCGCTTTGCTCGTTTACAAAAACTTTAAAATGTTCATACACTGTGTGAAATCTAATGTTTTGTGATCACACTTATTGTCGACCATTCCTGCAAAGCTGATTTGGTGGGCATGTGGGCAGGCAGTTTGATATCACACATTGCTCCTCCTTTTTTGGCACTTAATCTTGAATATATCAAGGATCAGACCTTTAACCCTTGGTGGGGATTTGCTTTTGTATGGAAATAATTTCCCTTACCTCCCCTTGCTCTTGTGAAATGGGTCCCTGTAGTGTGTAATTGGTTTATAAAAGCCTGTGTACTAAGACTGTACTTCTTGCCTCCTGGTGTTAGGGCTGTAAGCTAAACTGATGTTTTACCCTAAAAGCAAGATGAATTCACTTTTGAAGAAGCCACAAGTGCAATATGAATGAACATCAGTTATTTAAATCTATAAAGTATATTAGAGAACCTTGGAATGATACGCATCACCACACCTGGAAAAGGATGGCTTAAGGTTTTTTTGTGGGGGTTTTTCAGAGTATTGCTTCTTGTTGGAAGCAAGCGCATTTGACAGCTTTGAAATTGCTGGAAGTTGTGTATGGGCAATGGCTGAGAAGGTCTGACATTAATTGGAAAGATGCTGTAGAACCTGTCAGTAAGTTTAAATTCTTGCTACTGGAGTTAGCAATGATTGGATACATTGGAAGTTCATTTACTGAATTAATGTGTTGAAGAGCCAGGTGATCTACCTCTTGTCTTGCTTTAACAGCCTGTCTGTTTTTATAAGTCATCTTCTGTTAATTGGTGTCAGATTAATAACGGATTTTATGGAAGACATGGTGGGGGTGGGGGGAAATAGCACACAGACCCAGAGCCACACACATTCTGTTGTACATTCCCTTTTCCTTTGGCCACAATCTCCTTTTGTTTCAGTGATCCTAGAGATGGATAATGTCAGGTTTTTAGAACAGCTGGGTTTTAAACATTATCTAGTTTCTTGCACTTATGCAATGCTTGCTGGTGTGCCATAAGGGTAGCTTATTGCCATTTTTTTGTAGTGTCCTGCCCAGTAGGATTATTAGATTCTTAAATACTTAACTGCTACTGGTTCAGTTTATACAACCCAAATGATGTTGGGTTACGAGACGTTGGACTGGTTATACATGTAGCTTGTCTTGGTATTTGTTGAAACAGGTTCCAACCACAGCATCTTCCCCTGGGATGGAGATTTGATCAGTGGCATTTACTCTCTTCCCTATGGATTGGTGGCTTTGGGGCCTCAGGCTCTGGCAGAATAGGTCCTTATAGGTTAACTAACCTTTAATTAGTTAAAAAAGAACACAGCTTCTGTTAGTCCCTTAACCCAACTTCATGCTGAGCTAAACTGTTCCTCTTTTCTTATTCTGCAGCGCTTTTTACTGTAAGTATACTGGTTGCATTGCCTACAATCTCTGCCAGCCTTTCCTTTACGATTCAGGCCAGAGAACTTGTTAACAGCAGTAGCCCGTTCCTTGAACTAAGATAATTGCTTGAAACTTTCCCCCCCTTAATGTAGCCTTTGTTTTGAAAGATGGTTATCTATCCTTGAGGGCAATTTTCTGAAGGACTACAAATTGTTGTGGCTTTCTCAGAAGGCCCTGACAATATCAGGTTCACCAGGGATCTAGGAATTCCATGCAGGAGCTGGAGAAGCAAACAGTATCTATTCCAATCTGACTCAAGAGATTCAAATGCTCGGTCATAGCTTTTCCACTGCTTGCACTTTAGGGAAAGGCAGCAATTGTGTCAGTGTGCTACATTATAAACGTACTAGGCAACATATCTGCATTGTCTATAAATATTTCTTCCTGGGAAACACCCCTGCCACCCGGAAATGCCATTGACGCTGCAGTATGGCTTAGGTGAATGATTACTTAGGAAATGTAGCTATGTAAGTGTTTCACCATTTGTTGTCAGCAGAAGCCCTTCCCCCAAGAGGCAAGGTCTTGTTCCTGGCCAAGTCTCTGGAATGAAGCACGAGTTCAAAGGGAAACCTTTTGCTCCTCTCTCCAGCTCTAAGCTTGGAATGCAGGCATCAGAAAACAACAGAAGTGGAGTCTGGGCAGATGTCCATCCTTCTTTTGCCCTGCTGGATACTTGCAGGATCAAGGCAGGCCCCAATTGTCTCCACCTGCTCTCTGTAGCTCGGAGCTCAAAATGGGAAGCAGGGACTTCTTAAGGGCTTTGCAGTTGTGCTCAGCATGTATACACCATCCAGCCAATTTTTGTGCGCTGGGCTAGTAAAACACCCCATCATTTTTTTTCATAGGCAGATGGCCAGGGAAAAGTCAAGAAAATGTCAGTATGTTGGCACAAACCATATAATGTTGTTTGGGGACATTCCTTTAACAGAGGGCAGCTTTCCTGCAGGGTTTTTTTTTAAAACTGGACTAGAAAAATCCCTCAAATACCATTAACATTAGTTTTCAGTTGTAAGACATTTTTCTGAGACAGTTTATAATATTTCCACAACATTTTTACTTTAAAAAAGATGTTTTTACTTTTAATTGCAAACAATGAAAACTCATAGCTTACTACATTGACTGTGACTGTCAGGTGTTTTTTTCCCTTTCATAACCTAGATAAACACTATTTTTTTATCTTCAAAACAAATAAAAACTATGCAGCATGGGGTTTATATTTAACTACAGTATTTTCAGTTAATTCACTTGATAAAGTGTTGCAGAAGGAGTTTTTGCAATCTGTCATATTCAGTATTTGGTGACTTCTTGGTTTATGCTTTTGTAAATGTTAGAGATTTGGGTACATCAGCATGTTTCTGCTTGTTATGTGAATTCTTAACTATTTGGATGTTGCACTGAGGTTAAGCACTATCTGATTGCTTTCCCCCCTTCCGTTGGCAGTAGATAGTGCCCTGATTTGGTTAGAGTGGTTTAGGAGTGTGGCAAACTTATCTTGGTATGCTCTGACGTTGGAAATGTCAGAGTTCTGAAAGAAGTGTCCAAGCTCAAACTATCCAAAATTGAATGATTCAGTCTTCTGGAATTGATTTCTGAATAGGATATTTTAACAAGTTAACCCTTGATATTACACATGATACAATCCAATCAAATTGGGAACTTTAAAGTCCCATTGCTCTCAATGTGAGGGTCAAGCACATGCTTAAATTTGCCCATTTATTATTAGTGAGAGTTAAATACTTAACTTTGGCTGGACGGTGCCCAGAGAGAACACTGTCCATATGGTGTGTGGGTGTATAACTGTACTCAGAACTGCCATGTGGATGTTCCTGTCACTTGCTTTTAGCTATTGCAGTAGGTGGTTTTTAACCTTGAAACAACACCTTTCTGAATTGGTATCAGTACATTGTTAACGGTTTTCTGTTGCCGGTTCACGGTGACTAGAAGAATGCAGATAGAAAAGGCTGTGCAAAAATGCAAGTTACCGTACTAGACTTTCAGCAGTTGGCATCTTTGCTTTGCAGGTGTTGTTTATCTGGAAGCAAACAAACCTACCGATCCCACAACAGCTTCTTGTTGTGTCTTAGGCTGAAAACTCTCCATTATTCAGTTTCTTGTAGAAAAATTGTTCTAACCTATATTGCCTATGAAGTGTTGTTTTTGTTTTTTAGCTTCGGTTTTACCAAGAAAAATGGTTACCTTCTGCTAACAAACCAAAGATGCTATGAAATGATTTCTCCTGTATTAATGCATAGCTCGGCAATGTGCTGTAAATCCTAAAGAGACACTGGTCCAGTTTGCATGTACCACTAAGCCAAACCATATCTGCAAGTGAGAGAGTACATTGGTTGCCAGAGCAAAGATTATGGTTGCTGCCCTCCTCTCTGTGTCCTGCTGCATTACATCCAAACCCAGGTTCACAGAATCCTAGAACTGTAGGGTTGGGAGGTACCACCAGGGTCATCTAGTCCAACCCTTCAGGGCAGGAATCTTTTGCCCAATGTGGGACCCAAATCCACAACCCTGAGATTAAAAGTCTCATGCTCTACTGACTGAGCATGTTAGTTTGCTTTTGACCACTTGTGACTAAGTGAAGATGCCTGGGCACCAGGATGGCACCTGACATCACTATCTGGAAGTGCATGCCTAGAGATCATTGGATCTGGACTGTACACGTTAATGCCCTGTCCTGTAGAATTTTATCAGTTGTATTTTATCTCCACAAGCAGAATGAATTTCTGGAAGCAAAATGGTTTTTCTGTGTAGCCTGAGCAGGAACAGTCACCATTAAGAAAAAGAGGCCGGAATACGCCAATATATATGTGGACTTTCCCTGGATCAAGTGACTTTTTTTTCTGAACTAGCCAGATGGTTAACTGAGAATCAGTCACATCCACTGTTTGAAAAATAAGAATTTAGAGCCGTCTTGCCCCCAAATGGCAACTAGACATTCTGTTTTGGTCTAAGGAGCCATTTATATGTATCTGAATTTCTAACACTGACCCAAAGGGTTGTAGGATTGGGCTAGCCAGTGGTGTCTAAACTGTTTTCAAAGAGGGCCAGATTGTTAACCTTTTTTTAGGATTGAAGTTCTTGAGTTTTTTTTGTGATTTTATTCCAAAGTTCTTGAGCTTTTTTTAGGATTGAAGTTGTTGAGGTTTTTTAGGATTTTTACCCCAGGAAATAAACTGCCACAGGGGCCAGATTAAACCGACCGGTGGGCCAGATTAGGCCCCTGAAACAGACTTGGGACATGCCTGGGCTAGGCTCTTTGCAACTTAACACACATTGCTCATATGCCAAGGCCTGGCTGAGAGGAGGAGGTAATGTTCATAATGCAAGTTCACGAACACAGACTTAAAGAGTTCTCACAAAGCTAGTAGCCAGTGTGGTGTAGTGGTTAAGAGCGGTAGTCTCGTAATCTGGGGAACTGGGTTCGCGTCTCCGCTCCTCCACATGCAGCTGCTGGGTGACCTTGGGCCAGTCACACTTCTCTGAAGTCTCTCAGCCCCACTCACCTCACAGAGTGTTTGTTGTGGGGGAGGAAGGGAAAGGAGAATGTTAGCTGCTTTGAGACTCCTTGGGGTAGTGATAAAGCGGGATATCAAATCCAAACTCTTCTTCCTGATGTCTGTACTTTGTTGCTTTCTGAATGCTCAAGCTCCCCCCCACCTCCCAAATCTGTCTCAGACTCCTGTTTGGAATTTTTGCTGGCTGCTGCGCTGTGGATAATTTCAGGTCTGACTCATTTTATTGAACACTTTAAATTGTTGCTCTTCCCCCATGATAACAGTGGAGTTTCTTGAACAAAATGTGTTTCTCACTTGAGTCAGCATGAAAGGATTTTCTATTAAACCAGTCTGCTGTTTACTTGAGAGCAGCTGACAAAATTTCCTAGTTTTAGGCTCAAAGGGTAAAATGAGCTGGTCCTTCAGGCAGGTCTGGATAAATTCCAGGCTTCTAGAAACTTGAGCCTAGTGTCTGGGGACTGGAAACATGTTTCTTTCCTCTTCTTCTCTCCCCCTACCCTCAAAGCTTTGCTTTCTCTGTAGACCAAAGGTCTGGTCTGTAAAGAGAACTGGTGGTCTGCTGAATAATTATAGCAGAGTAATACTGGAAAATAGATGGCTATTTCAGTATAGTGATGCTAAAGTGTTTAGAACGGCACAAATGAACTTTAACTTACAGCTGGCTGACTAAAGAGGCTGGCAGGTCAGTTTCAATTACAACGGTGGTAATTAATGTATTCATGACTGGCTGAACAAGGGACTCTTACAGCTTAGATATGGGATAACCAATGTATTGCCCTCTGGAAACCAGTGTTAGAAACTCAGAGATATAAAATGGCACCTTAAACCTAGGTTACGGTTGCCACAATGGAATGTCTATTCATCAGGGGGTTGGACTAGATGACACTCAGGGTACCTTTCAGCACTACAATCCTACAATTCTATGTTCTCAACTACATTGTTTCACTGTAGCTTGCTCTTGCAACGATTCACTTGTCTCAGTGTGCAAGAAGGAGAAACACACACAGTGGAAATGGGATTAATTATGGGTTACAACAGAGGTTTTTAAACTGGTCTGTGAGTTCCATGTGAGTGGCTTGTGGAAAGGCTGTGGCACAGTCAAATCTATCTGTACACAGCCCTTTTCTTACTTTCCTTGATGTGATGATGCCCAGCAAGGGGTCCATAATTCACGCAGCAGTGCAGAAGCACAAGATGTGCATCTTGTGCTGCGCATGAGTTAGCTGGCTCAATGGAGACGTCCTTCACGAACCTGGCACCCAGAAATCTCCATGTAGTCGCAGTTGGACCCTTGCCAGCAGCAAAATGCACCTGGCATTGGGAATTTCAAACACTGCTAGAAACTGTTTGACTTCAACTCCCATCTACCTCAGTCGGCGTGGCAAGTGGTTAGGGTTGATGGGGACTGTAGCCCAGCAATGTCTGCAAGGCACCGTGTTGGGTACTTCAATGTGCTGTTACTTCTTTGCAGACGTTGTGCAAATTCCAAACGCCTCTAAACCATTTGAGGTCCTGTGTGACAGTCTCTTCCTCATTCTCTGCAGGCTGTGACACTGCCCGAGCTTCATCTGACATTTTTGTTTCTTTCTGGTCTCACACTGCCAGCAGCAGCAAAATGGCCAAGCCATCTTGCCTCATTCGTTCCCTTCTGGCACTTTTGCATCTGAGTTTAAATAGTGGCCAGTTGCTTAATACCATCAGTTCCTCATAACCCTGCTGCTCACCCCTTACCTTCCCCAACACACAACACATGGCGACTGCTTGGATGGGTGGGTGGGGGACCACCTTTGCTATTAGGTGTTTTGTGGTGGAACTGAGAAGAAGGAAGGTGGGCAGATGGATTGTGTCCAAATGTCACCAAGTAGAAAACAGTACTTACTATGCTGAACTGAAACACTGAAGCATATCTTGTGGGTTCACCTCAGCACTTTGCTCAAGCTGGTTCTCACACTCTCGAATACTGTCCCCTTGCAATTGGGGCATGAGCACTTGTCTTTTGAAGTGACATGAAGTCCATAGGATACCAAATATTGCCTGCTACATTTTCAATCCAATATGTGCTGTCTTTCAGTGTTGACATTTCTTAGTGCTTATTATACAGCAGAGGTGATTGTGGATATCTTGGAGCTGAGTTATTTGCATTGCTCTTGCATACGACTATGTAATTTCTGTTTTTGTATACCCACAGCATTAGACAATAAGAGCTTTTTTTGTTTCACTAATTCTTTGTTGTTCATTTATGGCCCATGACTTTCAGTAAGTGGTCTTGGTAGGCAATATTTTCTTTCTACCTTGTGAATGATGTGTCCCGGTGACGGTGGTGGCAGAGTTCAGACTGTTTACAGGATTCCAGCTCATCAGTAATGAGTGGTGAGTTCTGATGTCCTACTTGACAAACAAATGCCTTATTTTCTTCTCTTGGATCACATCTGTCAAATTCTGTTACTGTTTTCTTTAGGAGAGATAATACTGGTAAATGGTGCTCCTTAGTAGGAAATGAGGCATTGGAAGCAATGATCTTTATGTTGTAGAAAAGGAGAATCCAAACATAATAAAGAAATGTCTAGTTTCAAATCCTCTGTAATTTGTTCCTGGTTGTCAAATACTTACGCTGTTAACAATATCAAATTTTAAAGGAATGTACTATTTAAGGTAGGTTGTTTTAGATAAGATAGGCAATACTCTTGACAACTTAATTCCCAGAATAAGGCTAAAGCTCAGAAGAATGCAGAAGAACATGATGGGAACATTGTAGGCATCCAAAACAAGTATAAACCCTTTTGTTTGAAATAACGAATAGCAGTGATGAAATTCGACTGTAGCTGAATACATTACTCAAGCTTGGCAAAGCCAGAGTTTCTTCTGGAGGAGTTATAAAAGGCTTTCTAGATGACTTACCATTTATATTTTGCACTAAGTTGTTGAGAATAGGAACTAAGACTTCAATCATATTGGATATTACGCTTTTTAATGGTTTGGTATTTGCAAGCAGAGCATTGATGATCTTGGATATAGCACACTTTGAGCTCATAGAAGTAGTTAAATATGGAATACTGATTCCAGCTCTGAACATACTGTGTGGAATCAACAATAAAACTTGATCAAAGGTTGTATCTTATAGATTGAAAAGATTATTGACTCTGGCGTTGCTCTGCCATCCAGGCAACCAAAATAATGATTTCAAATGGTATGCATATACTTATGTTCAAGTTCAAATTGTTCTACTTCTCCCATATAGAATGACCACAAAACTTCCTAGTTTAGCTTTCAGCTTAATGTTTAGAGTTGTCATCAGACTGACCTGATGATGACCCAGTGTGGTTGGAGCTGGAATATGTGAAAGATTTGTGAAGGCTCTTGGTTGAGGATTCCTACTTAAATTGCTTTCCTTGTTGAAAAAATACTATACAGTGGTCCCTCGGGTTAAGAACTTAATTTGTTCTGGAGGTCCGTTCTTAACCTGAAACTGTTCTTAACCTGAGGTACCACTTTAGCTAATGGGGCCTGCCGCTGCTGCACGATTTCTGTTCTCATCCTGAAGCAAAGTACTTAACCTGAGGTACTATTTCTGGGTTAGCGGAGTCTGTAACCTGAAGCGTCTGAAACCCGAGGTGCCACTGTAATAGATAAACATCCATGGCTCTCTCCCACAGCACCCCCCAGAAAACAAGCTCTGAAACTGGTCAGGCATTTTGTTTTTGTTTTTTTTAAAAAAAGATGTCATCCCTTTTTAGGAAATAGTTAGCTGTTCATCAAATTGCCATAGCTGTTATCCTCTGTGGCCTCAAGGCATTCCAAAAGGAGGTAGTCTCTCCTTCCCTGTCATATGATGTGCTGAAAAGGTATTTAGAATCCCCTAAGATGCTCCATGATCCTTAAATGTGTAAGCTCCAGCCTTGTGAAGGACAATCGTTTAAATTTATCGACTTTAGTACCAGTTTCAGGAAAAAAATATTGTTGCTCTCTATAGCGTAAGCCAGTTCTGCAGTGTACAGATTCTAAAGAGTAGGAGCTGGGAAACTTTCTGAAATTACAAGGGAATTTTTATTTTTATTTTTATTTAAAGCTGAGTGTGTTTGTCTGTGCACGGGAGCTGCTGGCTTTTAAAACTCACGAAGAAAGTTTGACCTGCAGGCAGCAAGTCAGACTTGCCAATTGGAAAGCATGAATTTTGCAAGGACGGGAACAGATATCAGTTGTAGAAGGGAAAATGCACCTGAAGCAACTGCATTGAATCAAATGGCAAGACTAAAGTTTCAGATTCCTGGGTGGCAGCTGGGATTTTTCTGTGCCTAAGCAGACTAATAAACCTGTTCTTGTTGATATTGTGGGCTGATTTGCTTGCCGTTCTATTTAAATCTATGTACAGGTGATGGCTGGCATGGGATTAGTATGCAAGGATTTTATTGTGTTAGGTTTCAGTGTTGGAAAACCAGGCAAGATAGTACCCTCTGCTTACCGTATTTTTTATTTTATTTTTAATAATGCCTTTGATGCTGTGTGGTGGAAAGGCAGGATATAAATCTTGGTAATCGGCAAAGCTCCTTTGTGAACACTGAGCAGCTGGTAAATATTTGAGCTTTCAAGGGTAGGAAGGAATCTTACTGCCCCAAAGAGGAGCAGTACTTCTTTACGACCTGCATCTTGTGTATAATAGCAAAGCGACTTCTCTTCCCTACGCATTTGGAGCATAACCCATCAGGAAGCTTCCCCACAGATGCCATGTTGAAATAAGCAGGAGCATTAACAAGAACACAGTTGCTGCTTCCATTAATTTTAATGGGCTGGGCATAGGAGATTTTTCTGGTGGGTTGTACTTCATGGGGTAAACCTCTATCCCGATTCTTCTGCCTTTAATAACACTCAAAATCTGCTTCCTGATGCACACAAAAGGAAAACTTGAACAGCAAGAAGTGCAATATTTCCTGTGGGAAGTAGAACTTCTGCTTTTCACAAGTATAGGTTGATGCTCAACTATTTAATATCCTGAATAGAAGTTCTGTTAATCATGGCTTAGAACTAAACCAGGCGTAGGCAAACTCGGTCCTCCAGATGTTTGGGGACTACAACTCCCATCATCCCTGACCACTGGTCCTGTTAGCTAGGTATGATGGGAGTTGTAGTCCCAAAACATCTGGAGGGCTGAGTTTGCCTATGCCTGAACTAAACCCTTGCTTGAATGTATGTAAGCAGATACATTCGCAAAGGTGTAACTTCTAAATTTGTGTGTGAGAAATAAAACCGTACCAGATAGCTTGTTTAAACATTTTTTAAAAACTCAATTCCTTACTAAATTTGTAGTGCTGCCAGAAGGGTGTTGCCTAAAATTTTTGGGAGTCCTAAAATTAGTTGGTGCTGCTTTTGTTTGGGGAGAATGGAATGATGGCTTGCATTGGCGCTGTTACAGAGGATGGGGCACAGTCAGGAGTCCAGAGATCTTGTTCGGAGAGAGCTTGTTACATTAGCTGAGCTGATAAGGTCTGACCAAGTATGAACTGCAACTATTCAGCCTAGTTTAGGTTGCTGTATCAGGCAAGTTTAAGGGCCAAGCTTTGTTGTACTAGTAAACTTTAAGATCAACTAAATCCTGAAGAGTAGATGATCACACTGATTTGCTCAAAATGCTAATACGTTGATTTATTAAACTATGGTTTACTATTATGAGTGAACCCTGCCCAGTGGCTCAACTATATTTTGTTTACTGCCAGCAGAAATTGTTTACTGAAATCATGGTTTGTTGTTGGCTTCCAAACCTTGGTTTTAATTATGACTTAGTGTTGTGTATGAACCCACTGCCCTTCTGCAATGGTGGTTTGTTTGACCACCCCAATCTGAAACAAAAGCATTAGGAAAGCAAAACAATCAGGTGAAGCTATGGTTTGCTGGATCATCTGTGGGACAATTTGTAGCTAATCAGGAGCTGCCATTACTTTGCATTGGATCTGTGACCTGGAAAGTCATTTCACAAGCAAAATAAACAGGTGTGCTGATTAAATTTCTTCACATTTTTGTTGATAAACATCACTAAATTTATGTCTAGATACATGTAGAGCACTTTAATTCCCTTAGAAATTAAAAAGTAAATGAAGAAATGTGCTTAGAAGGCTGTGGTGAGGCCACTGTAGGATGCAGGCAAGCAGGGAACTTTGAAGTTGGTTTCATAAGTTATGGTATTATTATTTTTCCTATAAGCTGTTTGGCATCTATGTAGCACTTAATAAGGTAGCTTTCTATTCCTAATATTGCTTAAGCATACCCTTTAGCAATTCTGTTGCATTTCCTTAATGTATTTGGTACATTTAATGGCTGTGTTTGTCTTTTATGTAAGGTTGCAAATGAAGTCTGACTGGGAGTTTCTGATTGCACCACATGAAAGTATTGTATTGCTCTTTCGCAGACTTAGCCTACCTGGTGCCTTCCAGATCTCTTGGCCAGACATAGGTCAGAAAGAAGGAAAGTTGTGACACAGAACACACCATACATACTGCAAGTGAGACAACTCATTGGGGCATAAGACCTTCAATTTAACGACTAAACAACAACAACAACAAATGGTTTTTAACTGGGAAGTAGTTAGATATGTCACGCTTTAACCAGCCAAGTTATCAGTGGTCTGTGTTGCACTCATTCATTTAGTGGGGTGAGTAGGATTTGTTCCGCTTAAATACATTGTTGGATTAGTATTTCAGGTTTTGTCTGTTGCTGTTTATTTGATTTTAATGTTGTTGATTTATTTTTTACAGAGGAAGTTGTTTTGAGGCACTTGAGTGCAAAAACATGTCCGATAAATACTATCAGTAATAATAATTGCTGCTGTTCTCAAGTTCCTGGATCAGGTCTATAGCCCACTAATGCAGTGTGTGGCTGCATTGGGATGTAAAAAAAAAGGTAAAGGGACCCCTGACCATTAGGTCCAGTCGTGGCCGACTCTGGGGTTGCGGCGCTCATCTCGCTTTATTGGCCGACGGAGCTGGCATACAGCTTCCGGGTCATGTGACCAGCATGACTAAGCTGCTTCTGGCGAACCAGAGCAGCGCAAGGAAACGCCGTTTACCTTCCCATCGGAGCGGTACCTATTTATCTAATTGCACTTTGACATGCTTTCGAACTGCTAGGTTGGCAGGAACGGACCGAGCAACAGGAGCTCACCCTGTCGTGGGGATTGGAACCGCCGACCTTCTGATCGGCAAGTCCTAGGCTCTGTGGTTTAACCCACAGCGCCACCTGCGTCCCTTTGGGATGTAAAACAGGGCAATAACTATACAGTGGTGCCTCGCAAGATGAAATTAATCCGTTCCGCGAGTCTCTTCGTCTTGCGGTTTTTTCGTCTTGCGAAGCACGGCTATTAGTGGCTTAGCGGCTATTAACGGCTTAGCGGCTTTAAGAAAAAGGAAACAAACTCGCAAGAACTCGCAAGACGTTTCGTCTTGCGAAGCAAGCCCATCGGGAAATTCGTCTTGCGGAACGACTCAAAAAACGGAAAACTCTTTCGTCTTGCACATTTTTCGTCTTGCGAGGCATTCGTCTTGCGAGGTACCACTGTAGTTGGGCAAATTAGGTTGCCTGTGCATGTTGAGCACCACTCCCTTGCTCTTCCTTTCCCCCACTGGGGAAATTCACCAAGCCTTATGTCTGAACCAGTACTTGTGGCTTCTTTCTCCCAAGAAATTGAGACCAGGAAGACACAATTTGTTCTTGGCTTCCTGATTGCGCTTTGTTTGGCCAAAGCAAATGCTGTCTTGGATGAAACAAAGGCAGGGCATGGTTAGTTTTCCCACCGGGAAGGGAGGAGCAATGGAGGAATGTTCAGGTTACACTAACAACCTAATTTGCCAGGGCAGAGTTGCATGTGAACACGGTCACTGTCCCAAATGCATCACAAAGCAGATACTTTAGAGTAGGTGTATAATGCATAGAACAAACTGAGGCTGTTCAATACAGCTAAGGATAGGGCAAACAGTTATGTATTCTCCACCCCCACCCCCACCCTGTTTTCTGACATTATGCCACCAGCTACAAAGATGAATTTCTTCTATTCTTTTCCCCCCAACCCAGTTACAATATTATTAATCTTTGTGACATGATGAATTGGGAGAAACTGCTTTTTTCCCTATACATGCATCAGCAGTCTCTTTCCATATTTATGCTGTGCTACATAAACAGCTCATACACAGTCATATAGAACTGACTGGACAAGATAAATCCCAGCTTAATCTTAAAACCTATATGACCCAACTTAAGCTCACTGTGGATTTCTGCATTTAAGTTCTAAGTAATAGCGATTAAGCAAATGCAAGTCGTTCAGTATCTTGGGCTGGGCAAGTTTCTCTGTCCTAGTATAACATTCTGGATGGTTGTAAATAAAATGGGCAATCTCATGTCTGGACAGGAAAGTTTGGATAGAAATGTGAATAAATAAAATATTTTCTTGAGGCCTGTCCAATTGAATAATTTGAATAAATGCCTTTAAATACTTTTATATGAAAATATAAAATCTTCACATCCTAAAACTATTTTGAAAATCTCCAGAAGACTTGAGGTTTCTCCCCCCTCCAAAACAAATATATCTAGGAATCAGGTTAGCTAAAATATTTTACCCTGTGTAACCTTTATAGGCTACACCTGGGGAGCAGCATGGAAGGCAGTCATATCAAATAGCAATCTAATGGTGTCTTATTGATTTTTATTTTTTTTAGGTGTATACATGACATTACTGGTTGGTTTTTGATTGCAAAGTAGAATTATTCTGTATGCAAATAGGATCTTTCAGGCAAACCACATTGTTTTCAAAATGAGTCTTTGCATTCTCTCTTTCTGCCCCCCCCCCCCGCACTTTGCAGGAAGGAATTTGTTGACTGGTCTGCAGGTCAAGGTTGTTTGGGGCGTTTGCTTGCATTTGTGCTGCAGAAGGCATTTTTTGCTTCAAGTACTACCTGCGGAAAGTTTTTTATTTTAAAATATTATTCTGCCTTTCCAAGGCAGTTGACAAACCCAGAAACAATTCACAGTGAAAAATCAGCTGGGGAAAAAATTAACATATAGCAGATTTCTAACATGGCATTGGCCTGGATTCGGACAAGGATGTTGAGATTTGAAGGGGGAAAAAAATAGATATGTTTGTTTGGAGAATGCACTTGATTAGCGAACTTTTTTTTTTGCACAACAGAATCTCAAGGACTCTAAATATTTGGAAGTCATTCAACCAAGTAACCTAGCATGATAGGGGGAAGCCAGTTCAAGAGCTCTCAGTAGCACAATGGGTCTTTCCACCCTCTCCCCATGTGCCTCCCCAAAATCCACTCTGGAGGGTCAGGACAACTCTCAGGAGGGAGGAGAGGCAGGATCATTCCATCTGGCCCACAGAAATGCTTCTGCTGATGGAGAGCAAGATGTTGAATTCTTTCCATAATTATGCAAAAAGTTAGTTAAAAAGCAAAGTCAGTCAAGTAATCTCTATCATCCTGTAGTGTAGAAGGTTTATTTTGCTTCCCGGAAAGTGCTTGAAGAATTGAATTCTTGTAGTATTTGCGGGGAAATGGGTCTGTTTAATGCTTTAGACTGTTCAGAGCTATTTATCTGAATCTGTTTTCCCAACAGATAGCATAACCATAACATACATCTATTATTCCCCAAGATTCAGTATATTCAACACATAATATGTACCAGGCAGAGTTACAGTCCCCATAGCAAACATAACTTTCAGATCTTGACTTGTGTTCTCCGATTTAAACAGAATTAGGGCAGTACTTTTACATTTAAGAGGGAGTGGGAAATAGTTTCCCAGCAAATCTGCTTACTCCAACACAGCAAATTCAAGAGTCATATTTAGACCTATTGGTGGTGGTGGTGGAGGAGGGGGTAGAAGACTATTTTTATACTTTGCTTCTGCAGTAAATATTTGTAATAAACCTTGTGTGAATTAAGACTGTTACTGTTCCAATCACATGCATATAGAACTGTCCATGTAATGAGTTGTCAAACTATTGAGGCCCCCCCCCCCCGATTCTTGGCCATTATGTGTCACTTGTGCTGCCGAGATGGATCGTGGCAAAAACGAAAACAACATCGCAATAACAAACAAGTGGTGTTAAATTGAGCTCTTTCTCTGTTTAAAATAATGCTGAGATGGAAAACTGAATTAAACCAGGTAAGCAGCAGCAAGGTCGACTGGCACTTGAATGCTGAGAAGGGACCATGCGAATGGGTAGTGGGAGACAGTTCTGGCGATGAGGTGCTACAACTCCCATGCCCATTGAATGTATGTGATTAAGAGTCTGAGTAGTATTGGGAATCCTGGATGTGAAGTGGGGTGGTGGTGGATTCCCTCAGCCCCCAAACCAGTTATACTGCCTCCTCAATTTCGTATACCGCAAAAGGGCACCCCAAAAGGCTTGAGCTGGCTTCCAGCCATCTGTCTCCCCTTACAGCGAGGTCACCCGACTCTGGTTTCCTTTCCCTTTCCCTTACTTTTAAAACTGTAGCAGGAATGCACATGGCATGTAAATTTGGGAGCTTGTACATGGTCACTGCCCTCGCCCCAAATTCCCCCAGAGAAGGTTAATTCATCAGCAACAGGGAGTAAAAGTATAAAAGTATTAAATCTGGTGGTGGTGATGATAATAACAACAACAATGTTTGAATGTCATTTTTTAAAGTTTGGAGTACATTCAAACAACTGAGCAAGGGAAATCATTATCACACCCCCCCATAATCCATATTAACAGTGGGCCAACATGCATTCAGCTACTATTGGCCCTTTATGGTGTCCAGGAAGAGGCCATTTCCCATGGGGAACAGTTTCTAACCTAAATTGGCTGAGTCACACATTTATCGCCGTCACCAACAAACTGCCTAGGAAGATGAGCATTCGTCATCTCACTTGAGATGGAAAGGAGACATGAGGAGGAGCTGGAAATTTAATGGGTATTCCACTTCCCTGAAAGACAGTTATGGAAGTTTTCCTATCCATATTAATCTTTAAACTTGATTGTTATTCACCTGGACTGCCCCATCTTAGATGACTAACAATTTGAATAAAAAGATGGCAGCTTTTACTAATTTTATTTAACAAAATTTATGTACTGCTTGATTGTACTTGTTTGGGCTGTGACACTGCTCCTCCGCCCCTTGCCAGTTTTCTCCATCGTAGTATGAAATTAGTTTCACTGTTTTCTGGAATGTTGTGCGAACGATTGAATGTGACTGTCTGTAAGCTCTGCACCGAATTGCCTTGCCTTAATGTAAAGTTATTTTCTTGACAGTGTTTTTTTATAATTATTTCCTTGGTTTTGTAGGTGTTTTGCAGTAAATTATTTCATATTTAAGCTCATATATTCACTGTTGTTGTTTTTTAAAAGTTGTGCCACACAGAAGTGCTTTAACTTTGGTGGGATTATGCCCTGGGAGCTTTCAATAGCACACTGTCTCTTCAAAGGAGCAAAGAGTTAAGCATGTGCTTTAATCGTCCCTTTTTCAACGCCCCAGGGGAGTCCCCCCTCTATTGTTCTCTGGTGTGAATAAAGCCCTTGACACTTTATTTAGGTTAGGTGAGGAGAGGGTTAAAGGTGGAATGGCTGAGGCATTATGCAAGCTGTTAAGCAAAAAGGAAGTGCATTACAAAATGCTGAGCTCAGTAGTCTGGCTTCCAGCCAAACCTTGCTTTCTTCACTACAGCTGAGGGCTTTCTAAGCTTCCCACCAGTGGGTTTATCTGAACTGTTTAGGAATGCTGCCTCAGCCGCCAGCTGACGTCAGCACAGGCAGTTCAGCTGAGGGCCAGGCCAGACTGACAGTGTGGATGGGAGGGGCCCTGTGTAGGCTGGCTGGCTGGCGCTCTCTCTCTCTCTCTCTCTCTCTCTCTCTCTCTGTGTGTGTGTGTGTGCGCGCACACACACACACACACACACAGAGCATGGCAGGAAGAGTGAGGCTGCAGTTTCCTCTTCTGTAGCTGAACTCGGAACATTGGCGTCTTGCTTTTTTTATGACTTTTCTATGGAAACTTCATATTAATCTAGCGCTCCCAGTCTCCTCCTCTCTCCGAAACACTGTTTATTGGCTTGCCTTGATCTATCTGCGTGCTGCCTTATTTTTCTTGACATAACTCTGGAAAATGAGGCCATTAGAGCATTGATTTCAAGTGCGGCTCTTCAGGGGCTTGGCGAGGGTAGAGAAAGCAGGGGGCGAAGATGAGATTCCTTCACAACTAGGAGCTGTGGTGACAAGAAGGTTATTGCAGAGGTGTTTGTGCGTGTGCAGGGCAGATAGGAACTGTTTGTTCTGCTTGAGTTTTTGGGTATTCGCCTTTTTGGTTGGAACGTACTATGCCATTTTTGTATTCTCTCCCACCCACAACGTGACTCTTGCAAATGTTAAAGACAGACAGCAGCCTATGCTAGGGCTTTGGCTGAGCTTTTTGCTAAAGCAGCCTTCCAAAAGTGTCTCTTTATAAAATGTGTTTTGGCCACAGAAACAGAAACCTCCTTGCTATCGAGAGTTAATCTCCTTTGTCGCTTCTAATTTGATTAGTAGAATGTTATGTAGCTGAAATCTATGGTACAAATGAGACGTTTATATAGAAGCTACTTCAAAATCGGAATCCGTTTCACTGCTGAAACAAAGTTTGCTTTGCTTGCCGATTTTCAAACATGAATAGTTAATCAAGCTCCTTTCATCTTCATGACCCAGATTTGTGTGCATGCTCCATTGCACAACTTTTGAGAAGGAAAGGACAGCTGATGGGAAAATAAGGATTTGCAAGTACACTTTATGTCCATACGGTGGTAACATGAATTGCAGAGGTTGGCTATAAAAGGTATGGTTTAATCATTCAGCAGTCGCATTCACAGGTCTAGAGAAATTTTGTGAGGCTTCAGTGGCTTCTGCCGTCTAAAAGGTAGCCTGGTTGCTCCATGGTGTTTCACTGCAGCATTAAAAAATGGAAAAATCAGCTGCATTTAGAATGAAAAGCCCTGTGCCTGGCCAGCACAACTCAAGATCCACTGAGCCAAATGTTGTCCACCAGTTGTTTTGTATTCCCAGTTAGTTACGTGCTAAAGTTGGCAACTGGCAGACTGGAAATTGTTGTGTCCTCTCCAAGCTGGGAACCCCAAACACGTTCTAAGTTGTGCCCAAACTTCTTCAAAGTTCAACCTGGCTTAGAATAGGTTCATCCGCTTGCTGCTGTTACAGCTCTCTGCTCTTTCCCATTAAAGTAACTTAGTGATAACATGAACTGGTGTCTCCAGTATGTCTTTGAACCCAGCTAACCATCCCAAAGTTCCTGGCTACACAGCGTTACTGGAGCAATATTTTAGGGCATGATGGAAGCAAGAGCATTCCATTACCACCTGCAGATGGGGTTTGGGGAAAGGGAAGAAGGCAGTGAGGAGGGCTTTGGGGGCTCTGGAGACCTGGGACAAGCACTCATGCCCAGTTCTGCTAGTGGTGGTTTGGAATGTGAAAGGTGTCCCAAAATTTGCTATGTGCTCAAAAATTGAACTACATGCTTGTGTGGGGAGGGGCAATGTGATACCTTTTAGAGGAAATTGTACTTGAAAAACAGATACTTGGCTGATTTTGCTTTGTTTACCAGATTGAGTTCAAAATGTTCGGGCTTTAGACACATCTTTTGTGAAGCAGACAAACCCAAATGGTAGATATTTTGTATATGAAAGTACCTGGGAACTACATTGCCAGGAAACAGAAATCTATTCTGTAGGCAGGAGGGGAAGTCAGGGAGGAAAGATTCCAGTCCCTGAATTCTTGTATAAATTGTTCTGGGAATACCAACTGGCCGTCAAAATTCTAGATGCAAATTTTGGAAATTAAAAGTCTTTCCCGGTCTGCATCTGTGTTGGACTTGCCTTTAAGATGTTTTTCAGATGCCATTTTAGTTGTCTTTAAGATGTCACTTGTTTGCTGCCCTGGGCTTCTTTGGGAGGAAGTGGGGATATAAATTTAATTAATAGTAAAATTCTTGCTCATGAGAAGCAGTGTCCTTTTTTGATCTATGTAAATGTTTAAATACATAAATGTGTAAAGCAGTTGGGAAAGAAGTTGAAGGTACTTGGTTCTCAACTTTATACCTCATCAAAGAGACTGTCCCAAGGAATCCACTTCCCTTTTTATTATGTGGTTCTTCCAAAAATGATGTTTCATAAAAGAGGAACTATCCTCCTCTGGTGAAGTTCATTCAAATAGGCTGCTCAGCAGCACCTTAAAGAAGTTGGACAACCAAAATATCTTCCAGAATTAAAGCTTAAAATATAACATTTCTCAATTAAATGAGGAGCCAACTTACAGTAATGTCCATAAATCTGGAAAGCTGTAAAAATAGGACCACATTTTTAAATACCTTTAACTAAATGGACTTGTTTTATGAAACACAGTTTTAATTTTGCCTATAACAGTGGTCTTGACTGCTCTCCCATTTCCTGTGTCTCTCTAGCAGTATTGGGTCCTTCTGGAATGAATATTGCTCCAGCTGCTAACAAGATGACAGACTTCAAATTCTTTTCTTCATTTTTTAAAGGGCCTTGTATGTCTAGGGGAGTTGCTTCGTGTGGTATCAAGTATCTTGCCTACAACACAAAGTTTCTTTGTCATAGTGAGTGAAGCTCAATGATCTTTCAGGCTGTTGAGGAAACAGGTGCCTCTTTTTTCTTTAAGCAGGGGAAAACACATTGCAGCAAGAAAAAAAAACTTGTGCAGGAATCCTGAAGAACAGAACATCTCTGTTAAGCCCATTAAAGTGTGTGGATGAGAAAAGAATACTGATCTTAACAAATGTTCATGTGTTGGTAAATGAAAGGAGCACAGCTGTCTTCAGAAACTCAAGCTAGCAGAACATTTTGAGTCAGACTTGGTAATATTGAGGTCTTTCTGTTAGTATAGGGGAGCACAAACCCTTTTGCATAGTCAATTTGCCCAAGGCAAGCTTATGAAAGTAAAGCCAAGATGACATTGTTCACCCTGTACTGTCAGCACTATTTAGCCTGTGGGGAAAAGAAACGAAGGTGTAGAACTCATAGGTACAAGGAGGAGGGAACATAGTTTCCTATGTTGTACTGATACTTGGAACCCTGCCTTCAGGCTCAATCAAGGTGCTTATTAGCAGCAGTTTAACACTCATTGCTCCCTGGAGAAACCATGCATTTTTCAAGAGATCCACCTCTTGCCTTGAGAACCACTATATTAGAGATAGAGCTGGAGAAAGTGTCTGGGTGGAAATTGTAAGAGAGAGAGAGAGAAGGTCAAGGCGATACACACAAATAAACAATTAAACCTTAAGGCCATGTTACCAAAGCAATAAACGAGCCAAGAGTAGGCATGGGAATGATGGGTTCTTGTCAACACAGGAAATAGATGGAAATATGCTGAAATGTTGGATATAACCACACACGTCTTGGTAGCCTGATGTAACGCTTTCATTTCTCTAAGAGGGTCAGATGGCAAACCTTGTTGAACCAGTTTTGTAGACATTAAGGATCCGGAGATATCCAGTATTAGATTTCTGTGTATGCTGTAGCTCATAAAGTAATGAGATCTTCCTGTGCAACCACTGCATGCTGTTCCTAGTACAAAGTTAAGACCAGAGAATCCTCTTAAGCTCTTGTTGTGGGGAATAATGAACCATCTTAGAGAAAGACAGCCACATCTCATCATCTCTGCCACACATGAGGGTAAGAGTCTTTTCCCTGTATCCCCACCAGCATGTGAGACCAGAGCACAGATGTGGTAGCGTCAGAGTGGCTAAGGTACCTTTGTCTTATCAATTTCAAGAAAGATCCCCACACTGCAGCCAGGACAGATTTGAGAAGAAGTTGTTATTTCAAATTAGTGACCATTTGTAAACAGGGACAGATTTGGACCCCCAGAAGAAGTTTTCAAACCGCAAAGCATCCCTGTCATCAGAGATACCAGCATGTTATAAATAGAAGAAGTTCGCCCTATGGTTTCAGGTGTCGCATTAACACATAGCCTCTTGAAATTAGTCAAAGCTTGCGTGGCTTGCTGAGTGACATGAGGGTTGGTTGCAATGTGGTGAATTTGGTGTAACTGAAGCCAGGAAGATCTGATCCTTTGAAGTTGTCCTGGCAGTGGAGTAATAGTGATGGGGTGGCCTTTGACATAGTGTTTTCTAAATCATCCGTGCATTTCAGGTTTTTTGAAAAAAATAATCCACTCATAATCCAGAACAAGGGATGATTAAGAAAAGGGAAATGGTGGGAGTTTCCTCCAAAAGCTTTCCACAATTGTTGTGCATACACAAACACATTTTGTTTGAAACCTTATAACCTGTTAGCAGAGCCATAGCTACAGTGGTGGTGGGCTAGCCAGGTTCTTTTTCCTGGATGAAGCCTCCAGAGGGGCGCCATTGAGGCTCCCAGCCTGTGTGTATGCAAATGTGCATGGGGGTGTGTGCCAAACGGGATCTTTGACCCGTGTGAAATAAAGCCTGGCACACCTGCCTGTTAGTCTCTGGCTTAGTCATGTTGCCAGACAGGCTTCTGCATAACTACAAGCCAGCACCTTGCCCAGCCAGTGGTTTCACATTGCCAGATTGCCATGGTGGACCCTTGAAGCACCTTTATTCTTAAAACGTTGAAACCCACGTGGCGCTTTCTGTCCAAGGGTCTTAGCTGAGTAGATGGTGTTGAAAAACAAATTTTCCCCTTGGAGAATTTGTCAGCTTTCATCTCCTTGTATTGGGGCAGGAAGTGAAAGAGCAATCTGCTTTGAAATACCTCTGAGGGTAAATGGAAATCCATGCAAATAGGGGAATACCATATTGATGATCCTTAGCGTTACTGGGAAATATGGTAACAATATCCCATCCTTGACTGACAATACATCTCAGCAGGAAATAGACTGCATCTTTGATGTAAAAGAGCCACACCACTAAATTAGAGGTGACTTATGGAGGAGCTTACAGTTGTTACCTGATCCCCCTTTGAGCAACCTTTGCTATAAAACAACCCTGTCTCCCACGTTTCCCTCCCCCCACTGATTTTGCAAGTGAGATGTAGCTATTTCTGATGAGGACGCGGGTGGTGCTGTGGGTTAAACCACAGAGCCTAGGACTTGCCGATCAGATAAATAGGTTCCGCTCTGGCGGCAAGGTAAATGGCGTTTCCGTGCACTGCTCTGGTTCGCCAGAAGCGGCTTAGTCATGCTGGCCACATGACCCGGAAGCTGTACGCCGGCTCCCTCGGCCAATAAAGCGAGATGAGCGCCACAACCCCAGAGTCGGCCACGACTGGACCTAATGGTCAGGGGTCCCTTTACCTTTGCATAGAAGAACAAATTTGGCACCAGATTTATAAAGTAAATTTATAAAGCTTAGAGTCCATGTAGTGTGGTATACCCTTTAGAGAGTTGGACTAGGACCTGGGAACTGCTAGGTTGGCAAGAGCAGGGACTGAGCAATGGGAGCTCACCCCGTCGCGGGGATTCGAACCGCTGACCTTCTGATCGGCAAGTTCTAGGCTCTGTGGTTTAACCCACAGCACCACCTGCATCCCAACAGATTTATACACCAGATTAAAAAGCTTGGCTTGCTGTGTCTTTCCCAGTAGCAAGTGGAGATGGGTATACTGAAGGTACCATTTTCTTTTCTAGCAAATGCAAATACTTGTTGGTTTTGGAAATCAAAAGAAATGTACTGAAATGCAAATGCCTGTTCCGGGTGTTCTTTGCCTGCACAGACAGTTCTGTACACATTACTAATTAAGCCAGAAGCTTCTCAAATGAGAATTGGTACATGTTCATTGTCTATATCACTGTGGAATGCTCATCCTCGAGCTTTTTTTTTGGAGGAATTGTGAACTTGGGTGTTGCCACACTAGTTTGTTGCAAAAGGTGCTGTGTGTGTCTGGCAGGTATCAAACAGTGCTGTATGTTTGGTGTCAAGTACAGTGGTACCTCGGGTTACATACGCTTCAGGTTACAGATTCTGCCAACCCAGAAATAGTGCTTCAGGTTAAGAACTTTGCTTCAGGATAAGAACAGAAATCGGGCTCCGGCAGCGTGGTGGCAGCAGGAGGCCCCATTAGCTAAAGTGGTGCTTCAGGTTAAGAACAGTTTCAGGTTAAGAATGGACCTCCGGAACAAATTAAGCACTTAACCTGAGGTACCACTGTACTTAAATTGGGGAGGGGGCATTTAGCTTGGATGGAAAGTTTAAATAAGTGATTATGGGGAAAATCCTGTAGTAGAAAAAGTTGGTATTTTTAAAGTAATGTCAAGTTTGTCAGCTCTGAATTTGAGGTACCTTACTAGTATAATTAGAATCCCTTTACCTGAAGCCCTGGTCGTCAGCTGGCAAGTTTTGACCCTGAACCAAGTCACATTCTGATCTAAAGTAGGTTGTGTCAGTGGTTGCCATCCTTGTTAATTTGTTTATGTTTTTAAGAAAAGACTGGGAGCCAGAGCAGACATAGGAGAATGGAAATCTGTTGTGTAAATTGAGTCGGTTCTGTTGTAGGTCGGGTGGATCCCGGGTCTGTGAAAGTTGGCTTTAGAAGACTTGCAGAAATTCTGAAGGTTGGTAGGGGCAGTATTGGGTAGCTCTTCCAGCTAAATTGCTTAAAAGTTTAGGCTTTGTAGAGATTCCACACAGAATCTGGTGTGGGACTTTCTTTAAAGGGTCAGGAAACCTTTATTAATGTTGTGTATGAACTATTGAAGAGTTCTTCAGTGGTGATGAAACAGTGATTTTCCTTCTACACTGTTCCATGGGGTTGACATCACTTCAGCCAACTGGCTTAAAACCTGTTTAAAAATGAGGTTTAATTAAGATATAGTTGGCTTCTGCTGACATGGACATAAAATCAATGCTTAGTTTGCTTGAGGAAAGACTATTTTCCTTTTGGTTCTTGACTAAGTCAGATTTTTTTTAAAAAAAGATTAGGAATTCAGAAAGCAGAACCAAATAGCCATTTTTAAAATTCATGTCCTCCAAATGTTAATTTGATGCTTTGAGGCATAAATGACCTTTCTAGCCAGCTCAGACTTGTCAAACAAAGGAGCGATAGAAACAAGCTGCTGTTTGTTCTAATACAACAGCCTGCTTCTCTGGGAGATTTTCAAGGCAATGTTGCCTCCCCCTTCTCAACAACATTAAATGAAACTTTGGCTGGTGCAGTGCTTGGAGTTTGGGAAAAGAAATGTTGACTGTATATGCATCATTGGTTGGATGGTGATGAAATCTGGACAAACTGAACAAATGGGGCCATAGAGTCCAACTTTAGAAGTACTAAAGACTTGAATAGTGCATCAATCCATGTCCACCCAAGCTGGCGTTTTTATGTGCAGTTATCCTTTAAATGGATAACAAAACAAGCCTTTTCAAAACTGTGTTTAAGGCAGGGCAAAATGATTTATTTTCAGGACTTGAGTTACACCAACAACTCACTTTGTTTATGGCCATTGTGTCCAGGAAGTAAGCTTTGCCACAGAACGCTCAGGGTGCTGTTACTGACACACAGGGGCGAGTGGTAAGTGAGTTTCTCCTGATAAAAGAATCTGCGGGATCAGTTTTGCCAGGTTGGTGGTAAAATAAGGTATATGTCTGAGGTCTACGTAGAACCTGAACAACTTCCTTTCTTTTATCATAGCACAAGCATCTCTTAAAAGGATGTGTTGATGTGCTGCCTCAAGGCAATATTGATTTCCCCCCCTTCCCTGTAAAACACTTAAAGGATAGCAATATCTTCAAGAACACAGCCAAGTACCAAAGCCCAGTAGCAAAATACTTATACGTGACCAAAGAATTGATCAAGGAAGCAAGAAGGGCTTGCATGGGGTGGGAAACGTGTTCATTCTTGTTAACACGAGCATCTGATTTATGCTTAGCATCAAAATAAAATTATGAATTTTAGGTGCCTCAAGAGAAAGGGGTGTTTTTTTAATCTTTTATTTCTGGTGGTGGTGTATTGTACAGAAACTAAAGGGCTATGCTGGAAGGACCATACCAGCACGATAGTAGGAGGGCCATACAAACTAGTAGAGCAATTACTTTGCCTAAAGAAGGTCTTTGGCTCAATCCTAGGCATCTTCAGGTAGGCATCAAATGACTTTCTTCTGAAATGTTGGACAACTGCTGTCGGTCAGTGTATACAGTACTCAGCTAAGTGGACCGATGGTCTGATTTGATATAGGGTAGCTTCATCTTTAATATCACTTAGCCTTTTTTCAGTACAGTGGTACCTCGGGTTAAGAACAGTTCGTTCTGGAGGTCCGTTCTTAACCTGAAACTGTTCTTAACCTGAGGTACCACTTTCGCTAATGGGGTCTCCCGCCGTCGCTGCGCCACCACCACTCAGTTTCTGTTCTCATCCTGAAGTAAAGTTCTTAACTCGAGGTACTATTTCTGGGTTAGTGGAGTCTGTAAGCTGAGGCGTCTGTAACCTGAGGTACTGCTGTATATGAAATGAGACAATGAAGGAATGATTACTCAAATAGAATGTGCATGGCTTCACAGCCAGACAGGAGAACGCAGGGTTAAAACTGGCTAGGATTTATTTATGTTTTTACTAAGTTGACCTGGAGATAATGGTGGCGGTATCCCATGCTATGCGCAGAAATAAAAATAAAAAATTCCTGTTCCTTGGAGGGTAGATGTTGAAGAGCAGGCTGGAACAGAACACTTTTTCTTAATACAAGTGTACTGTGTTCATAAATGTTTGGGGGTTTGGAGAGGAGGGAGGAGAGCATTCAGTCACATAACTATCAACAATCTGAGCTGATACAGTCCAGGAATAGTTTTACCATTTGACATACTGTCTGTGTAGCCAGCCTCTTAGTTCCTGGAAGGAGGGCTGGAACAAGCCAGGATGCTTGCTTGCCCATGCATTTAAAACTGACATTTTATTTTTAACCCAACTTTCTAGCCTTGTTTGAATCATTTTACGTCAAGCTGTTTCCACATTAAAGGCTTGCACTTATGGGCAGTGTGAATGAAAAAGTGATGTTGGATGTGACCCTATAGAATGGGCTTTAGATAATATAAGCAAGTGTTCTTCAAAATAATAGCATATTTCTTCGGTGTAATTTCTTCTGTATGCCAGCTAGCATATGGAGATCAGTGTGCCATTTCAAAGAATGTATAGATAGCTGCTGTGTGACCTCTTGGTTCCTTTTCATTGCAAGGTTTTTTTAAAAAAAAAAATTAAAAAATGAAGGAACAATAAGGATCACACAAGATGAAGCTAATTTTTTCATTTCATTTCATTTCTAGAATTCACCATGAAACTGGTTTTCCTGATTTCGTGTAGAATTGGTATAGTTGCTTTATCTTTGACAGGGAGTCCAAATACAAGCTCCTGTAAGGACTCAATTACCCACAATTATAAATTCAAGCACACACAATTTTATTTATTGCATCTAGTGCACCTTTCTAGAATTGATGCAATTCTATCAATTGCATATGTTTTAGATATCTGCATAGATAGTAATCATCTACATTAGTTAGAGGAAAAGAGTAAAACGGGATGCCCCTTTAACTATTTTGATAGTTTCTGTGAACCCAATATTCAAGTTGACTAAATTGCACCTTATTAAAATTGTCAAAGATATCACAGGGGATTGACTATGATTGCAGTCAAAATGGAAAAAACCCTTTAGCAATGCAATTTTTAATATTTATTTTGCTTACTCTTAAGGCGCATGGTTTACTAGGAATGGTAACAGATTCCCTTTTATCTTATTTTGATCCAGTACCAGGATAGCATGTTAGGAAGTTTGGGAATAAAGTAGAATTTAGGAGTGAGGTCCAATTGTGGCAGCCCACTGACACAACAACCAATCTGCTTGCAGGAATCCCAAATCCAGTGGATGGTGTGGGCTAGTGGAAGTGTACACAGTGTTAACCTATTGTATACTTCTGCTTGCAGTGTCACTTGCACAATGAAAATCACCTGTGCAAGCATGCCAGCTCTCCTACTTCTTGCACTAAACATTATGTTTGATCTATCCCTTGGTAATTAATTTTCATTAAAACTGTGTGGATGTTGTATGCCTTGATACCTATTTCTATTCTCAAATATTACTTAAAAAAAATTAACAATTTCAACATAACAAAATATCAAAACTTATAATATTCATTATTTCCCCCTTTCCCCCCACCTCTCCATCGAAACCCCCCCCCCGAGACTTCCCTCAGCTCCTCTCTCTGATTTCTCAACACATGTTATTCTCTTGCCACTGTTCTTTTCTCGGGGTTTCCTCGTTCTTCCATCCTTGTGCTATCAAGACTCTTGCCGCTGTTGTATGTTATCGTGGCCTTCTAAGTCCAATGCTTCTTCCTTTTCCAGTTTTATACAGTCCCTGATCCATACCAAACATGCAGCCTCATAATATCTATTCTCAAAGATTTAAACAGTATTTGCAAAATCACAAACATAGAATAGTAGAATTTTATAGCTAGGAGGGAGGGACCCATAGGGTCATCTACTCTAACTTCCTGCAGTGCAGGAATTGCAATGTATTTTGTTGGATCTAGAGTTGGGATTCCATGTACGGACAACAGTAATCTATCGGAAGCTTCTGTTGGAGGAATAGTAGAGACTTATTTTTAGTGATTCCCTCCCCAATCCCCTGTAGTCCTCTGCAGCAACTTTTTGAGGGGTGTGGGGCCCCTGGCAAAATCAGTGAAAATCACCTCCCCTTTCTCATGTAAGTGTAATTTTGCTGAGCACAAGTGTAACATTTTATGCCCCCCCCCCGAATTCAGTATAGACTGAAAACTCTTCAGACTACTTAAACAGTGTTTTTCCCCCCCTCTTGAGGAGCGTTAGCTGAACGAAATGAAGCCATTTAAAATGTTGGGTATAGCTGCTGCAGAAAAGTCAGCGTAGCTGCTGCTTTGGTAAACAGCTCTGTAACTAGATGCAGTAATGTTTGACATTAAATGATCTGGGCTTAGAATTATCCAATTGGAATACATTGTGCTTTATGGCTTTGAGCACCTTAAATTTAGTACACAGTACATGCGTTCAAATTATCACTGTAATAGCTTGAAAGAACAAATACACCATTGTACAGAATGCAAATAATGCTTATTAAGCTTGCAGTTGATTCTTTCTGATAGATGAACCAAATTGCTGTCGGGCTGTATTTACTTGCACACAAACAGATGTGATTTTGCTCAAAATCAAGATAATTACTCCAGGCGTAGTTGTGTGTGTGTGTGCGCACACATGTATAGGGTAAGCAACTGTTAGGGCTGTATTTTAAATCATTCTGGCTTAATGAACAGACTTTCATGTTGCCCTTTTGAAGGAGGCAGGCAGCCTTACTAGTTTCACCAGCATAAAGCACTGGTACAACTGGTGAACTAGTTATTCCAGTTTGTGGGCTGAGAATTGTAGCTGTCGTTAATAACACCTGAACGTGCCTTATCTGGAAATTCCTTGCCAGCTCTTTGCCTACTCAAAACAGTTGTGGTATATAGCTGAAGGCTGAATTGGTCATTACATGCCCTCCCCATCTCCAGAGAAAGGTGCATTGGGAGAGGCTGATGAAGTAGAGAAGTGGGCGGGTATCTTCAGCCTTTCCAAGCTGTAAAGATGTGTTTGTAATAGACTGAGCACATTTCCCTCTGGCAGTTCTACGCATCACTCTTTCCCCACTCCCTCAGCTGCTTTGCATGGGGTAATTTACCAATCATTTCTGGGGCTTAATCCTGCTTCAGTTTCCTACCAACATGATGCAGGCAGGAATGAAACCAATAATACAAAAAATTGTTCTCCAGGTTTTAGGCTCTCTCTCTCTCTCTCTCTCTCTCTCTCTCTCTCTCTCAATAAAAGCATTGGCGCTTGTGTTCACTTGGTGGTTACAGAGTTATTTTGCCTTGCAGTTGGGCAATGGGTTTGTTACATCACCTTATGCTTTTATACCAGGTTTTTCATACGGTTGTTGTGTAACAGTTCTGTGTTTGTCGTGCATTTGAAATGAGTAATGGCTGGTTCTATAAGGTGATTTTTTTAAAAAATGCACAAGATACTAATACAGTGGTACCTTGATTTGCGAACAGCCTACTTTACAACCATTTTGGATTACGACCAATTCAAACCCGGAAATGCACATCCTGGTTTGCGAACTTTTTTTGGATTATGACCCTTTTTTTGGATTATGAACAATTCTTTTGGATTACAACCTGTGTTTTTTTTTGGAGGCCCCATTGGCAAAAGCGCGCCTTGGGTTACGACCTGTTTTGGTTTACGAACGGACCTCCGGAACGGATTATTACAAGTTACAGGGAACCAGGCAGAGGGCCTTCTCGGTAGTGGCGCCTTCCCTGTGGAACACCCTCCCACCAGATGTCAAAGAGAACAACAACTACCAGGCTTTTAGAAGACATCTGAAGGCAGCCCTGTTTCGGGAAGCTTTTAATGTTTGATGTATTATAGTATTTTAATATTCTTTTGGAAGCCGCCCAGAGTGGCCGGGGAAGCCCAGCCAGATGGGCGAGGTATAAATAATAAATTATTATTATTATTATTATTATTATGATGCTCATAAACCAAGGTACCACTGTATTAGTGCATAAGCAGTTGTGAGCCAAAAATTGTCCCGCATCCAAATTATTTTGACTACAACCTTTAAAGGACACAAGTTATTCACTTTGGGGACATAACGGGTATGTTACAAACAATGCTAAGAAATGGAGGCCTCGAAGGGAATAATTTTGAGCAATGTTACTTAGGAGTTCATGATATCCGAACAAGCAGGCAACGAACAGCATATAATCTGCACGTTGTGCGGCAGCTTTAAATATACATATTAGGAAAGAAGCAGATGCTTTCGTTGTGAAATTGACATGTAAAATAGCAGTCTCCCTCAGCAGGGTGCAGCTCTATCTGTGACTCCTTCACATGTAATGAATAGCTAATTTATGCTCTATAGTTCACAAGAGACTGGAGGGAGATGAGGAGTTGGGGGAGTGTTCTGGCAACCATAGTCAGCAGGATGTGGTGAGATGTGCTTTTAATGGAAGCAAATCCAAGGATACTTTGGGGGTGGGTGGGTAAGGGAGGGTTAATTTATAAAGAGGATTGCTCATCTGTTACTTTGTGTTAAATTTCATTTATTGCTACAAATGGACAGGCAGACATTTGTTCATGTTGCAATAAGAGGAACTGGCAGGCATTGGTTTCTGAATAATGGGGAGGGGGGAGTTGTGAGGAGATCTGCTGAGGAATTTGCACTGGAGAATGGACCAGTTTTCTCTCTTCTCATCCAGTGACAACTGCAGGCTGCTGTCCAATCGCTGTCACATGAATGCCCATCTGTTGAGGAGACCTCAAATTTCCAAGAGGTATATGAGCAGAGATACATTAAACCTCTCCCCTCTTTTTGTGAAAATAGTTTGTCAATAACTAGATACCTGATCCGCTAACCATGGTTAAAACCTAAATTATGTAATAATAGCATGAAATTTGTAGACTCAAATATAAGATTTCGACACTCTCCCCTCTCCCCTTCTTAGAGGGTAAAGTAGTTTTTACAGCATCTGTTGTGATTTTGCAACCAAATGGTGATTCTGGAAGAAGAAAACAGAGGAAGTGTTTTGAGGCTCTTGTTTTCCGCAGTTCTTATCAGAAAAGACAGCTTTCTACTACATAAACAGGAAAGACAAGATAAAGTATTGTAGTAACCTAAACCTACAAATCTTTGTTGGACTGTGGCCTCATTCTCACTGAGGTGGCAAACCTATGTCTGGGCTCTATGATGCAAGGCTGCAGGTAGGAGCTCACATAACATAATGCTCCTTATGAAATTCATTATATGAATATAGTTCTTCAGAAGTCACAAGTGTTGCCCTTCACTTTGTGTGTGTAGGCTTTGATTGGAGTAAAGTAAAGGTCAAGGTGCTGTAGGGAGAGTGATATTATTTTGGAACAAACATTAATTCCTCTGCATGGAGACAAATCTTTAACATTGCTTTACCGTAGCTGAAAAGTATTGAACAGGAAGTAATCTTTGGCTCTTCTGGGAGAATAGAAACAAAAGCAGTAAGTTTTAAAAGTGAATGGAATGGTAAAAAGAATGGGTTATTTTAGGTTTGTTTTAACATGTGATTGACTTAGTGAGGTGGCTGAACATTTCTCTCTACATCATACTTGTCTGTCTGTCTGTCTTTTTGTCTCTAAACTGATATTATGGGTGGTTTATGTGTGGCAGCTGAGAACTCTGTGACTTGGTTTGGCAAGTTCCTGCCAGTAAAGTTTTTGGTTTTACCTATTGGAAACAACACACCCCTTTGAGGAGCTCAGTGTGCGTAGTGCTGTGGCAAGGCAGTTAGAGAACATTGGATTTAGTGTGATGTCCTCATTTATAGAATCATAGAATTGTAGAGGTGGAAGGGACCCTGAGGGTCATCTAGACCAACACCCTGCGATGCAGGAATCTGAGTTAAAGCATCATGGAATTGCACTGAGCTGTGCATATTTGTGTATTGAGATCTACAGATCCTTACAGGGAAGGGCTGTAGCTCAGTGGTAGAGCATTGCTTTGCATGCAGAAGGTCCCTTGTTGAATCCTCTGCATCTCCTGGTGGGACTGAGTATTTCCCCCGTCAGGCGGTGTAGACAATACTGAGCTGGAATGACCAATGTTCTGACCAATGTTTAGTCATCCAGTACAGGTTTAACGTTGAAGGGAGATGAGCCAAATTCTTGCTGTGCATACTACAGTGGTACCTCAGGTTACAAACACCTCAGGTTACAAACACTTTGGGTTACAGACTCCAATAACCTGGAAGTAGTACCTCGGGTTAAGAACTTTACCTCAGGATGAGAACAGAAATCGCACGCCAGTGGCGCGGTGGCAGCGGGAGGCCCCATTAGCTAAAGTGGTACCTCAGGTTAAGAATGGTTTCAGGTTAAGAACGGATCTCCAGAATGAATTAAGTTCATAACCAGAGGTACCACTTTACTGGCTTTTTCAGCTGATGGCTAAGTTTGTGGGATATAGCAGCTACTTGACATGAAAACTGATCAGGTGGAAGTTGAGAATAACAGGGGACTAGCAAAATGTTACAGAGTTCTGTCAAAAACATTATCACTTGGCTTTGTATTCTGAACTTGGTTAAGGATGCAGCTGGTGATAATGAGAACAGGAAGTTCTGTCTCAAACAAATCTTACTTTAACCTTGGACATTATCACTTGTTTCCTCTGTGACTGGATGTCTGGCCATTATCATGCTTGGTCCCAGTGTGTGGGGTGTCAGTCAGCCCTTGTGCCCCTTCAGAGAGAGCCTAGTTTAGGGTTGCCTGACCACAATGTTAGGCACTTGACTGGGAGCCTTGGTCTTTCCAGGCAGCTGGAATTTTGAGGTTGGTGTCGTGTGACCATCCCAGCTCCTCATCTTGGAAGTGTTCGCTGCTGCGGTTTTCTGTGGCCTTTTATTGCTGTCTTGACTGGAAACTATACAAGGTTACAGTAAAAAGTAAAATTATACCGAAGAAAGAAGGATAACGTCCAGAAGAGAGAAAAACCTCCATATGAAAATTGCCAACAGCATGCATAGCAAGTCTCAAGTTGGCTAAATGTGTTTGTGTTCCTTCTTCTCTTGCTTAATCATTTCAGTACTAGAGCTGCTTCGTAGTTGCTACAAGCCATACTCGAATCAAGAGAGGCCACAGGTGTTCTTTGGGTTTGTATGAACGCTGTACCTGTGTTTCAGTACTGTATAGAGCCATGCAATATCCTCACAGTTAGAGAAACCACCACGGATTTCTCCTTGCCCCTCCTCTTCCCTCCCTGAAAATCTCCAGATGGGAGGGCTGTGGAGTGCTGCAGAGGAAAGGGTTAATCGGCACAAATCACCTCCACCATTAAGAGTCTCTGCTGGATCAAAGACCCTTCTGTGAACAGATGGAGCCCCTCCTTTTGTGGAGGGGAAACTCAAGATCATAGAATCAGAGTTGGAAGGGACCACTAGGGTCATCTAGTCCAAATGCCTGCAATGCAGGAATCCTTAGCCCAACGTGGGGCTTGAATCCACAACCCTGAGATTAAGAGTCTCATGTTCTACCAAGCCACTGAGTTGATATCAAAACTTTGCATTACTGTAGATGCTTTTTAAAAAATAGTGAGTACATTCCAATGGGGGGGGGGCGGGGAGCTGATTGCCTAAACATTATTGCTGGGTAAGGCTTCTGGTTTTTTTCCTGTGAAGATTGTCTCTCAACGACTTTTCATACCATTGACCATGGTATCTTCCTGGACCATCTCTGGGGAGTAGGAATTGGGGGCACTATTACAGTGGTTCTGATTCTCCCTTCAGGACCAAATCCAGAGGCAGTAGCATTGGGAGAGTGTTTTTGCCCCCCTGGTGGCTATGTTATGGGGTGCCACATTTAATACCTCCATGAAGCCGCTGGGAGTGGTCATCAGGTGTTTTGGGATGAGGTGCCATCAGTATGCTGATGACAGTAGCTCTACATTTTCATAACATCTTTTTTAGTGATACTGTTTTATCTTATTTGTAAATCAATTTGAGGTTTTTTTTTTAAATACATTCAAGCAGTATATACATTTTATGAATAAATAAAATTAATTGAATGTCTTTTATGGTCAGGAAGAGATTACTAATTGAAAATTATGTGGAAAATGGATTGGATTCCTATGGGCAGGTAGAGAACCAGTGTCACTCCAAAAGGAATTCATGAATCATAGCTCAGTGCTTTATTTCTCTTCCCTTTCCATTTTGGTTTGTCTTGCCTTTCACTTCATTAACATTCATTTGCTAACAAGACACACCCGAAGTTACTCACATCAATCTTTTTTTTCACAATGCTTTGGACATGCAAAATTGATACCCTTTATTTAATCTTTGATACTACTTATCTAATCGTTGGTACAAGAGTTGTGTTGGTACTGTGACTGGTTTTATTTGAAATAGCTTTTAATACATAACTACAGGCTAGGACAAATCTACAGTCGACCTTTGTGGACAGAGGACATTTCAAAAGTGGATTAAATGTGCAGTAAAAGTGCACTGTAGATCCTTTCCTGGATTGTATTACTTTGCATTGCAGGCAAGGTATCACATATTTAAATGCTTTCCCCACAACTAAGTCTATATGATAAATTTAGCACAGCACAGAACGGTAGGATACGCTTTCCTACCTTGCATGCAAGTTTTCTGAGTGCAAGGGATCCTCTTCTGTATGGGGGAGCATTACGTCATGCAACTTTCCTCAGTGACATATACATCCTCACAAAAGTGTTTTGCCATAGTTATGATGGTGTAGCTTGGCTTTTCTCCTCCTCCTCCAAAGTCTGTGCTGAAGTTGCAGTAGGCATATGTGGTACTTGAAGGCCAATGTTAAAGTTTGTGTAGGCCTATTAGGAGTAAATGTTATAGCAAAAGGATGTTCTGCTAACTGTACCCTACCTATTTTGGCTGCATACACATTTACACAAGGGAAAAATATGTATATGCATCATGGCTATTTCACTCATGTGCATTCTTCACTTAAGAGCACTGCATAACTAAGATTAAGTGTTTGTGGTATTTCTAGGTCTGAACACATGGGTAAACTCATCAGTGATCTAGAAATGGTTATTTCTTCCTGTGAAGGTGTATTCTCATTATCAGGCTGTGAAACAAATATAAATGAACAGCATAGAATTAACTGAGTAACCCCTACAGAACCACTGAATATTGTTTTGACATTCATGTGAACTCTTTTTCTTCTTCTTCTTACTTAAACCCGTTAAGTCCTGCCAGATTCCACTGATGGAAGGTTCTAACTAGTGTTTGCTGTCTGTGGAGCTGGAAAATGTACTGCCATGAGAGTTCTAAAGTAATGGAGGCTTAGCGCACTGGCCTGTTCAGTCTGTTTCCTGTTTTTTTTCTGTAGTCATTTTCTACCACAATGACTACTTTGTGTGTACGAAGCTATTTATATGCACACTGTTCCTTTGGGTGACTTTTAGTGGCTGCTGCCGAAGACCACAGTTGCTGTCTAAGACTGTCTCTATTTAAAACTTCATTCTACTTGTTGATGAACTACAGTGCTTTTCTCACTTAAAATGGCAATCATAGACACTTGACTGAATTGTCCTTTTTTATTCTTTTGTTTCTTCAATGAACAGGTTTCCACCTGAGTGGCACAGTGACGGAGCCTGCAATGCAATCGGAGCCAGAAACTGTTTGCAATGTAGCTATCAGCTTTGATCGTTGCAAGATTACCTCAGTGACCTGTAGCTGTGGAAACAAAGACATATTTTACTGTGCCCACGTCGTGGCACTTTCTTTGTACCGGATTCGCAAGCCAGATCAGGTCAAACTGCATCTTCCCATTTCAGAGACTCTCTTTCAAATGAACAGAGACCAACTACAAAAGTTTGTACAGTATTTGATCACAGTGCACCATACAGAAGTTTTGCCAACTGCTCAGAAATTAGCAGATGAAATCCTTTCTCAGAATTCAGAGATCAATCAAGTTCATGGTGAGTTAGCTTTCTGTACAGCGTACAGGCTTACTGATATTCTTCTATCTGTGGTGATGTACTGGACTTTCTTACATGGATTCACCTGCAAGTACAGTTACAGCAATAAAAGACACATTTCACCTTGGACTACTTTAGGCAATGCAGTGAAAGACTTGACTGAAAACAGCTATAGTAAGGAACATTACACATACTTTTCGGAAGGATGATCATAATAGGCCCAGCTAATACTAGGAGAGAATATAATACGTTCAGTTGCTTGAGGTCCAAGCAGATATGGAATTGTCAGGAACAGGACAAAACAAAGGGTGGCTTCTGTAGCTGCTTAAGTGCACATTGTGTGGGGAGGCAGTACTCTGAAAACTTCAGTAGTGTCTAATGCCACCACTGTGACGTGCCTGGATGGAGAGCAATACTTGACCCAACCATGTTCCAAAGGTTGCAGATGATTGCGACTTCATAGGGTTTTATAGGCATCCTATGATAGTTCTTGAGGAACTATAGTGTAAAAAACTAACAATGGTAGTTAGTCCCATAAATAACACAGGAAAGAATTTATTTGGAACATTTGTATACCAGATTTCAGGCAATGTATAGCATGGAACAAATACAAAAAAACCCCCTGCCATCCTCAATTAAGACAGCAAATGAAACTTTAAAGCAGGTGGAAACTTTCAGTAAATCAGTAAAATCTGTTCAAATACCTGGGTAAAGAAACAGAATGTTTGGTAGCTAAATGTTAGACTTCTGGACACGTTGAACTATTTTCAGGGATACCAGGGTCCACAACATGACACACGTGAGGCTGAGAAGACACAGGGCTTTTGCCTAAATCTGCATCTTCATCTTAGGAATGTCTTATCAATAAGCAACATAACAATGAAATAAGTTCACAGCGATGACTGTGTAAACACAGCCTTAGAAGTTTTCTTGTACCAGGACTGTCCAAAATATAGGCTTCTGGAGTCCTCAATGTGGGGATCACCGGACCTTTTGCGTCACTCTGTTTTAGTTGGAGCTAGAGCTAATATACATAGAAGAAAATATAACTCAGCAATGGATAGCACAGGGTTGTTCAGCACCAGTATCTCCCATTGTTCCCTATAAATTAGCAGCTCATGTGTCAAGGAGTATGCGATGCATAAGGCAGCGTAGGGATTTGAACACGAGCCTTGTGTATCACTTGCTTTTTACACCCAAGAGGGAAGGGTGTAGAGTGGTTGGTGGTGTGCAATGGATGTTGAATGACAACACTTGTTTAGGGTACCAGGAATGGATGAGACAGCTGTTTTGGCATATTTTTAAGGGTTATGTTAAAGTAGGGTTTATATGGTGGAGAATTGTCATCTGTGGGAAGGAAGGATCCTTTGGGGTGCAGTAGCAGTGGTGCCAAAGGAATTTGGAGTGGCAATATATGGAAAGGAGTCATATTGGGGTTGAAAAGTGAGGCGTATTTTGTAGAAGCTAACTGGGTACTATTTACCAAGGCAAGGGATTTATTCTGAAAAATGTTTATGTTGCTCCAGGCATCTGTGAGGTGGGGAAGTTGGCCTTTCAACCATCTTGAGTTCTGACTCCTCTCACCCAGCAACCCATCCCCCTCATTTAAGTATCTCCCATTTTAATTATTCTGTATATACAAATATGTCCTATAAAGGGTGTGTAGAAAATGCTGTTGTTTACATGTTACAAATAGCCTGCCTCATGGAGCACTGAGCTGCTACCATAGAAAGGCAGTGTCCCACTGCCATATGCTCCTGAGATGGATTTCAGTCTCTTTATGGAGGTGTTTACAGAGAGGTTCTCAAGATTTCATGGAAGAAACAAGTTTTGAATGTGTTGTAGAGCTGTGTCTAGATACGTTGAACCTCTTCCGTCTCCATATGTGTCATTCTTTTAGTTTTTATAACTAAGCTTGACAAAAACTAGTCAGTACTGAAGTAAAAAGTATGAGGAAAAGTCTTTGTTTCAGCCTTTAATACGGTAAGCTGTACTGTCTTGAGTGTGATACCCATCCCTCATCTGAAAACTACATAATAGTTGACTTGTGGCAGTAGATTTTCTTAGTGAACTTTGTCCCCAAAGAGGTATACAGAACTTGTTCGGTTGCAGCTGTTGGAATTATTTGAACATCAGTCATGAATGTCAGTCATGCAGCTGATAAGATGGCTACACTGACCAGAGCTGTTCCGATTCTGCGCATTAGCTCCTTTGCAGAAAAGGGTTGAAACAATGACGTCCTACCTGTGAACCTGGATTTTAAAGCACAGCTTGGCCACATTCAAATTGGTAGATCAGGCAAATAATTCTCTTGTTGTGGTATTTTAAAAACAAAAACAACACTGGTCAAACTAGCCCTGGGAAGACTTAAATGTCACGTGTTTTTCATTAGGTTTTTTTCTTACAGTTTATCTTCAGAATGCCACCAGGATGCTTTCAACAGTCTTAATTGTTCTATCATAAACTTTGTCCTGGAACATTTATAGAATACTGACTAGAAAAACTCAGCACATCTTTATTTTCTTGCTGAAAAGGTTGAGTGGTATTTGCAGCTCTGATTACCCAGTTCTTTCCCTCTCCTGCCCTGTAGTTATCAGAAAGGTACATCTCCATAGGGGATACCATGCCTACTCAGTTATGCAGTTACCAGCTGCCAATGTTCATGATACCGGTATCAACCATGTAATGTTAGGTGCTGGGAATGTCCACAGAGTCATACCACCACAGTTTTGGATCCCTCAGCCTCAAATTAAGTAGTGCAGCCTTTCTCAACCTGTCTTGAATGGAGCTGATGGAAATGTAGTGCAAAACATCTGGAGGGCATGAGATGGTGGAGGCCTGAGCTGGTGCTTAGGAGTTAACAGTTTCAGGCACCAACTTGAGTTCAGAATGAGACATTCCGGATGGCCTTGGCCTGAGAGAATGTGTGTTGTTTAAGATACTTCATAGGTTGAAGTAGTTGAAATAGTCTTTGAAACTGTGGAATATGGTCTTGAATTAATGACTAGCTAGCAAAAAGTAGGCAAAAATAATAAGAAAAAAATAGGTGTTGTTGTTGTTTTAATGGCTGAATCTCATATATATCTTATGGTGCATCCTAATTTGACAAGGTGAATCACCACAACTTCACTGGAAGGCATCTTAGAGCCAGTGTATTACAGCACCCAAGACTAAATTTTATAAAACTGGTTTTGATTCATTGCTACACTTTGATTAACTATTATTTCTGTACACTGCCTTGTGAAGGCAATGTACATTGAAAGTTGGGTTTAAAAATAATTTAATAAAAAACAAATTAAATACATGAAATGCATTGTGAATTGGGAAGTTAAATCTCATTAACTCACTAAGTGGCTTTAGGCAAGTCACCACAGTGAGCTTGAAAACCAACTCCTCAACACAGTGCTCAGCTTTATAAAAACACACACGAGACATTTTGAAGACACGAGTCTAGAAGCTAGAAAATCAGCAAGGGTGTGGAGGAATAATTGGTGTTTTCCATAATATGTCACATATTATGACTGACTGTCTCCAGGGCAGAAGTCATGGGTGTGTGCTTGGTGCACTGAGCTGTTAGCTCTTGGGGAATATTTGTTTGTTCCTTTGAGGCTAAGATGGCAAAGCTGAGAAAATCAGAGAAGTATGTAGATGAAACCTTTAAGGATGTTGACAGCATCTCAGCTATCTCTGGCTTCTTGGAGGCATCTGGGCTGGCCATGGTTTGACTCAGAATGCTAGCCTAGCTGGATCCTTGATGTAAAATAGTAGACATTGTATCATATTTCCCCCTTAACCCCCCAGCTATAATATGGTGCAAATCGCTTCAAATGTGTTATTTCTCTGAAGACTTAGTGTTTGTTTGTTTACCTAGAACAAGTTTTGTGAATGAGCCTTCAGCCTAGCGTTTTCAATACAGTATAGAGTAATAGACTTGGGAGGAACCTCTGAGGTCATCTTGCAACATACTTGTGAACATACAATGTTTTTTTCTAGAAAAACCAGTTTCCAGTACAAAGATTTCTTAACAATCCAATGGCATCTTTATATATTGCCTATCTTCCACACACTGGTTCCATACACTTGCAAGTTACTGCAGCATAATCTCAGACAACATTATGAAGATACATGATGCGGTTCCTGCCCAAAGCTAAGCAGTTCTTGGTTCCTGGCCAGGTGAGTGTGTTCTATGGGAGATGTATGGAAGCCACATATGCCAATCTGAGCCTCTTAGAAGGTGGTACAGGAAACCAGCACAACAATTTAATATCTTTGGTATTGTGCCAACATGATGATTGCCATATCTAGTCCTATAGTTCTAAGTATTTTATGACAACTGTGCAAGAGCACAGCTTGCTGTCACATACATATTTTGCTGCTGTTTATCCACACTTGTACTGGAGCAATTACTTGTTTTCAACTATTTGCAAAGTGGTATCAGTCTCTGGTGTTACAGTGCCTTGTTACCATGGCTTCCCTTAAAGAAATGTTTTTGGACAACTTTCAAGTTGCATCAAGTATATACTGATGGCATGCATTAAAAATGTCTTAAAATGCCACAAAAGGGGAGAGAACTTTTAAACAAGTCTGTTTATGCCTATAGATGTGCTTGTTTGATTCTGAAGGCGGTTAATTGGGAACACTTTCTATAAAGCCTTAAGCAGGAATTGTTACCGTGTTTGAAATGGGTGCTGACTACGTCGTTTGGAGAAAGCCTAGTTTCATTTTCATATATGAAGAGGGTCAAGAACTGTCTTGAAGTCTCAAGTGTTTGGTCCTCTTAGTGTTTCTGGTGACATCTGGCCTTTGAAGCTCTTCAGTGAGTTTCGAAGCGAGTGCAACAGTTGTCTGCCAAATTACGACAGATATGTTGTGCAAATGGTTGGAACACTGTGCTTAAAATATCCAGGTTTTTGTTTGTTTGTTTTTAAAAAGTTGGTACTAGTAGCTTACACTTGAATGTGGCTTTTGGCCTGTGAGGTATAGAGTGTTGTTTGGACTAAGGCCAGAGGGATCCATGTTCAAATCCTCACTTGGCCATATCACTCATTGGGTGGCCTTGGGCAATTCTCAGCCTCTTGTAGGTTGGTTGTGAGGACACATGGGGAAGAACAACGCATAGTGTTTTGATTACAGTATTATAGATTTATGCTTAAAAAAGGCAATAAAATGTAAGCGTGAAATCAAAAACACAATAAAATTAGCAGCAGGATAAATCCAGGTTTAAAACCAGAAAAGAACAAGAACAGTACAAAAGGTTTTTAAAAGCACTAAAAAAATTGAGATTGAAAAGGGGGAAGGTCCTTGGGGAAAAGGGGACTATAAATACGGCTACATAAAATGTTGGTGAGAGGTGTATCCATATAAATGGTGTGTCCAATGTCAGATCAATACTATGAAAGGCTCTTTGTCCAAGTGTGTGCTTAATGAGGGTGATTACTGGCTGTGAAAAAGACCCTTTAACTTGCAAATCCATTTTAACTAAGAAAAGAGACTATGCATGTTTCCTTTGGCTTTTTCAGTGTTTGCCCGTATCCCCAGCTGTTAATCCATATCAAGCATAACCAAATATAAGGTGGTGATCTTATACAGAGTCATACCACTGGCTCTCTAAGATCTTGGGCATAGACCTTTCTTAGACTTGAAAGACTTTTAAGCTGAGATTCTGGAGGCTGAACCTGCAAAGTACGTACTCAAGCAGTGACCCTGTACAGTTGTTCTATATCAGGCTGTTGCATGTGTTCACCTTTTTAAAACATTGGCTCTGTGTTCTGAGGTTGCATGCAGGCAGGCTGATTTTCTTTTTCTTTTAAACACACCTCTCCAGTCACTTGGTGTGTTAAAAGTCACTATGTCTGTGTACAGTGGCCTGATTGTATAGAGCCAGTAGCTAGAATTCAGCACCCATGACTGCAACCACAACAGAGATTATAATAAGAAATCATTCATAACTTCACCATATTTTGAATGGGAACAGCTTGATCCCCATGCACCAAGAATACCACTCCTTTCTCTTTCTTTCTTTCTCTCTCTCTCTCTCTCTCTCTCTCTGTGTGTGTGTATATGTATAATTTTTCTATTGTGGTTGTAGGTGCTCCTGATCCAACAGCTGGTGCTAGCATAGATGATGAAAACTGCTGGCATCTGGATGAAGAGCAAGTTCAGGAACAGGTTAAACTCTTCCTCTCCCAGGGTGGATACCATGGATCAGGGAAGCAACTCAATTTGCTTTTTGCAAAGGTAGGTAGGAAGGAATATTTGTGGCTGTCATGAATGCTCCATCCACACACCGCCTGTTTTCAAGTAGGCCCTTTCAATTGGCTTGCTTCTTGCTTAATGATGTCCCTGTTTGCTTATTGGAACACTGTTTGGTATTACTACTAAGTGGTTTCCTGTGGAGGAGTGCAAGTCAATGTGACTTAAAATCAGTTGTTTTTCAGGCTACCAGTGGTTTTGGTGTCAGTATATGTAAAGCCCCCAACTGCTAAATGGGGAATACAAGGGCTTTCAAAAATAAATCCAACGCTCTTTGTTGCTAGGAAAATGTGGCTGTGATGTGTTTATAGGACTCAAAGAAAGACATGCAGTGCACCCCACAAATATTTTTTTAGAAGCTTGCAGCTTTGAAGCCTGACTCATGACTTTCCACATGTTTTGAGCTTGCACTGAAGAATTAGTACATTCAAGTGAGAAGTTTTAGTATGAAAGCGGAATCATTTACGAGACTGGTTTTTTTTGTTTGTTCTGGATGTTTGAGGTAGTTGGTGTTGAAAACGATAGTCCAGGCCAACCCATGCTAGCTCTCACTCTCCAGGTAATGGGAAGGTTTTGAGCTGGGCTAAGTAAGATGGGAGTTCTCCCCCCCAGGTCACTGTGTTGCCAACAGCCTAAGTGCGACAGCTGCAGGGATGAGTCTTTGGTGGCCATCTTAACAGACATTTGCATGCTGTTCCATGCTTTTATTAACAGGTTTATACAGGAACATCGTATTTTTTTCTGCACTAAGGTTTAGAAATGTGGCACAAGTAGAAACTAACAGTAGAAAATTAGAACACTTGTCATCTGCTTGAAAGGCTGGCATAGTTGACTCAGTCCAGACTGGGATGTTGAAGTCAGGAGTCAAGAGCCAAGTAGGAGCCTGAAATTAAGCTCAATTCTTTGCATGGAACTGGGGCAGAGGCAGTTAAAGCTGCAGGTTGCTGGTGTTAGAATAATGTAATGTCAAGACAGAGTGGAGGCAGCAGATCTGTCCCAGATCAGTGTGTGCCTTGCAGCTGAAACAGGGCACCAGTCACACTGAACAGACTGACAGAAGCCTGCAAAGACACCTATTTCTCTTTCAACCCAGTATTTGAAATGGATGTTAAAATATACAGAACCCAAAGGACAAATGTGGGAGGAGAGAGTAGGGAGTATAAAACAAAACAAAACAAAACAAAACAAAACAAAACAAAACAAAACACACGAGTGTGTTCTTTTCCCAGTATGTCATAAGGAAACTTGGGACACTGATGCACTTAAGCTGTAAGAGGACAAGATGTGTCGATTATGTGTCTCAAAGAATGATTCTTCCAATGCATAGTACCTTTGAGATGGCATGAAAAAGCACAAATTTCCTCCCAATATTATGAGGATTAATTTCCTGTACTTTTTCACATTAAAATAAGTATTGCAGTCCAAACCAGGAGCGGTTGAGATGTTTAGCCTGGAAAAGAGGGGACTGAGAGGAGAAATGATACTTATCTTCAAATACCTAAAGGGCTGTGTCACATGGAAGAAGGAGCAAGCTTTTTTTTTCTTCTTCTCTGGAGGCCAGGACCCAAACCAATGGCTTCAAGTTACAAGAAAGGAGATTCCGACTAAACAACAGGAATAACTTTCTGACAGGAAGAGCTGTTTGACAGTGGAATAGATTCCCATGAGAGGTGGTAGACTCTCTTTCCTTGGAGGTTTTTAAGCAGAGGTTGGCTGGCCATCTGTTATTGATGCTTCAATTCAGATTCCTTCGTTGCAGGGGGTTTGATTAGATGACTCCTGGGATCCCTTCCAACTCTGCAATTCGATTATTCTATGTACATTTGCTCATTCTATGATTCTGTGTACATTTGCTCATACATTACTGTCAGGGAACTGACATCGGAGCTAGAGGCGGAGGGGAGGCTCTCAAATGATGCTGGAGAAGGGCCCAGCAGGGAGAGAGGCAGCTCAGCAGATGGGGAAGCAAATCAGCGCAACACCAGAGATAAAGGGGGGCAGATGGGGAATCGGCGAGAGGGATCCAGGACTCTTCACCGGACACCAGCGGGGAGAGCACGGGTCCTCCGCTGCCCACGCCCTCCCTGCGCAGAAGGCTTCCGCGCAGGGAGAGTAGGAGGAGACTTGGCGTCAAACAACTTTTATGTTGGAAAAGGTTTAAGAAACGCCCACTGACGGATTCTGCTAGCGACTGAGGCAGCCACGAAGTGAAGGGCTGTCCAGACAGAAAGGTTTAAACAAGGCAACATAGCCAGGAGAGGCGGCAACTTACGCACGAGCAACCCATACTCATTACAATTACTATCTAGGTAGCATAATTGCACAAAGAAACATTAGTTCGTATGTGAATGAATTCATTAAAGCATGAATGTGCTTTAATGTGAGGGTTTTTTTGTATTCTGCACATTCATCAGTGCAGCTTATTAGTACCATCTATCTACTCCCCTTCCATGTGTATTAATTCTGTATTTGATGTGATGGTGGCGGCTCATAACATTGTATAAAAATATTGTATTCCTCCCACATTTGGCATATTTTGTTCATTTCCAGTAATGTTAGGTATGCTGCTATCATGTTAAAAATAAATTCATTTCCCTGTCATTGGCCTTCTTTTTGTGTAATTTGAGAGTCAAAACTTTGAATCTAGAGGATGATCTCATTGAAAACTCCATAAGAGAACACAATTCCCCATAACTCAGTATGAGATATAAGAAAGTGGTTCCTTATATTTTCAACACTTTGCCTACTTTCCAGTGCATTCTAAGTTGGATTACAACTTTTCCTCTCAGTTGGTACAAATCAACAGTATCTGCTGTTCCATAACTAAACTCATACTTCCAGTGACCTTTATCTCCATTAGTTCTCCATTTTACTGTTTGTGATTTGCTTCCAATTTCTCCCTCCCCTCTTTTTTTTTTTTTCATTTTCAGAGGATAGCATGTTTTATTTTGGGCACCTAACCTATGATTTTGTTTCTGTTGCTTTGATATTTTCTATCCTAGGTTCGAGAGATGTTAAAGATGAGAGATTCGAACGGTGCTCGGATGTTGACATTGATAACGGAGCAGTTCATGGCTGACCCTCGCCTGTCACTCTGGAGGCAACAGGGAACTGCAATGACAGACAAGTATAGGCAGCTCTGGGATGAACTAGGTAAAAGCAACTCTCTAGCAGATTTTGAAGTGAAGGAAACGCTGTGTGTTAAGAGGTGTTGGCTCTTGTTAAAGGAGCCTGGAATAATTGCCAACCTTTGGGAAACATGGCAGCCTGGGCACTTTGTTTTCATGGGCAAAAGCGGTGCATTTTTGCTAAACCCAAGGACATTCAGCCAAAAATAACTACTACATGACATGTTTAATAGTAAGAGCTGGAATATAAACACTTCCTAGGTAATAAGTAATCCATTGTATTAACAAAAGCTAGGTTTGCAGGCTATTAATAGTAAATGTTTACCTTTGTGCTTAGGTCTGCCTATCTCTCAATTCTGAAATGTCTATGAAAGGACATACTGCTTCAGTAATCAGTTTTCGTTTGGTGCGGAAATTTGTGTGGCCCTCTGTTTAAGCTTGACAGATGGTATAGTGTACACCCGGGTCCCTGAGTTCACAGTTCAGTCAAGCGGGTATGTTTACATGGGCTGTTTAATATAATGTGGCTCATTTTTGTGCCATGCTTAGGTTTGAGGGGTAGTAGGAAGGCAGGAAGATGAAAACGCCGTTAAGTGATCTGGGTGGTGGTGGTTCATTTTCCAAATTAGACCACTTGCTCAGCACCTTAATCAAACTCTCTCTGGCCTTGTGTATTTAAGAGCTGCTGAGTTTGCACAAATGATCTTTGGAATGAAGAGTATAGTAGTACTTGTTGGCTTCAGCTGGTAATAGCAGCTGAAATTCATACTGAAGTTTGTCCCAGGACAAGTATGATCGTCTGCTTGAAAATCAAAAGAATGCAAAGCTGGGAATCTGCCTGTATTTATTTTATTTTTTATTTTTTTAAAGAAGGGCCCATATGCTGTGAGTATCTTAATCTACCTTAATGGAAACTGGAACTAAAATAACTGCCACGGTCGTAATTCACACCTAGTGTTATTTTGGTGCGTCATGTATTTTGGAATAGGAGTGCCATATTTTTACATTGCTCGGTATGAAATAAATATAACACTGAAAGGTCCAGAGGTGCGAATTGCAAGCTGCAGCTATTTCAGTTTATCTTCCGCGTAGACAAGCAATCAGTAAGGGAATCCTTGCGACGCATTCCATCAGCATTCTTCTGGATGAACTATATTTAATAATGACCCTGTGCATGTTATAGGGATCTGGCTGGATGAGAAGAGAGAGCTGTTTGGACCCGGTAGCTGACAGCTGGATATTCTCAGTTGTGGGGTAGTTAGTGGAGGGAGCGGGTTGCTGTGGTCTATAAGGGTTCAATCTCCTTTCTGCAGCCCATTTTGCATGTTCACACTTGAAGCTGAAAGTGTGGTATTGAGGACTTTGGGGGCTTCAGCCTCTGGGGTCGCCTTTGCAAGCCTTGCCCAGGATTTCATAGCAACCATGGCTGTGTCCCCCGTGTGGATGTTGTGTTCTGTAATAGACAAGATAGAGAATCCATGTATGAGGAAGCCTCTAACGCCTTTGTTTAGAACAGATTACTTCCCTTGCTAAGGTTAGAGCATATATCCCTGTAACCTCCTTAGTGTTAGTGGACTTTCAAAGGCAAATTGATCTGGATGGTTTTATGCTAACCCCAGGAGATAATTCAGCAAACTCTGCAAACTGTTGTTTTGAAGCTCTTTGAATAGTCAACTTGGGGAGTTTACACAGTGGCTCTTCTTTCTGGAGCCCACACATGTACAGGGAAGTGAGGGCAAAGAGTCATCTCTTAGAGTACAAATGTGCAAACTGCTTTGAGGGTTGGTTTGTTTGGTTTTACAATCAAGCGGTGTATAAATTTTATGAAATAAAATCAGTAAGTACTGGATAAATGGCCAGTCTTGACTGAACATGGATTGGAGCCAGTTTGAAGGCTTGTGCTATGACAGTGATCTTTCTCTGCCCTCACTGAGAGCGCGTTCCAAAAATGCCTGCTGGAGATTGCACAGCTACAGAGTGGTGAAGGCATTGCTCCAGTATAATGTGCATTTTTATGGGGCTTTAGAACCTTCAGTGGTGGGCTGGGAACAGTTTTGCAGAGTGCTTTGTAGATCAAATAACTCAAATCATTCTTTCTTGCATTCCACTTTAGTAGCAGGAATTAGAGCAGAAATGTCCAGCGCCTCCTCTTCAGATTTATTGGATGAATTTCAGTTGTTGACGCCTCATGATGTGGATCAAGTGTTTGGAGCTGTTGACATTACTGCTTGCTCATTTGACCCATGCCCATCCTGCCTAATGTAAGTTTGGCAGGAGAGGCTATTGGATTCTGTGTTGGTTAATATGAGCCCTTCACTACCGCTTTGAAGGAGGTGGCAGTGCAATCTATCAAAGAAATGTCTTCTCGCAAACTTATTTTTGGTGAATATGGCTATAAGCAGGCATATTTGGATGAAACTGATAATCTAAATCCATTTCAAACCTAGTTTCAGGATAGAAATTACTCTGATCGCCCTGAACAGGCCACACTTGTAGAATAGTAGGGAATCCTGTTGGATTCTCTTGATGGTTTTCAGTGCCATCAACCACAGTGGCCTTCTGGACTGCTTGTGTAGGTTAGGAGTAGAACATACCATTCTGCAGGTGGCTCCACCTCTGCCAGGTAGGGCTGTTTCAGTTTGTGCTGGGAGTACTGCTCCAGTTGTGTTGTGGACTTCCATCTTATCTCTAGTGTTCGTTAATAACTACATGAGGTCACTTGGGGTCTGAAACTCTGTCCAGTAGCAGATGATAGCCAACTATGTTTCTCCTTCCTTCTGTGTCCTATGTGGCAGAATTGCCTGAAGCTGGTAAAGGCCTGGATATGAGTACGACAAAGCTCATTTGGACAATCTGTATATTAATTTAATGTAATCATGCCCAAAATCATCTCTCAAATCTGTAAATGCAATCCTCAAAATAGTTGTCCAGATACACAGTCCTCAATATAGTTGTTCCCTTATTATGTGGTTTACATTCTCATCTGAAAACAAAGGTTGTGCCAGGGTCAGTTGAAGTGTCTGTCCTTAAGCGATAAAGGTTGACCAGGTGGTTGGTCGGTGCATTTCTCATTTTCCAAAAACTGAAGAAACACAGTGTTGGGCTTTGAGCCTTCTTCCCTTGGGGGTTCCCCAGCTGGTTCCTCCCACCATTCCTCTGTGTCCAACCAGCCCATGACTTCTATCAGAGTGGCCACAGGGGCTTGGGGGATGTCAGGATCCAGCTCACTGGCCAGCTCCAGTTTTCCCACAGCAGTCCTTGATGCTCAGCTGAGTAATGCATACTTAATCAAAGCCTAAGCCTAAGCAACCACAGTGTTAATAATTTAGTATAGGGCTAGTCCTCCCGTAAAATTGCCTGTTACCCCTGAATTTGAAATTGTCAGTTCAAGCCCATGCAGTAAGTGCATGCAGGAGGGGTAAGCCTGTTTCATTTACTAAGGTGGCAGAGTGCACTGATCCCACATACCTCAAGGGCTGAAGTGAACCCGCAGCTGGAAATCCCACTAAACGTTGCCAATAGCAAACCAGAGGTAAGAGAAGAGTAGGTGGCAAATGAAGTATTCATCCAATGTTAACTAATTCTTCTTTGGTCCAGTTTGGAAGCAAGTCAGATTTAGAAAAGCTTAATAATAATAATAATAATAATAATAATAATTTGGTTTTTAGATTAAAATTTTAGTCATATATCAAACATACAACATAAAAACAAGATTCCAAGGAATCTCTTAGACTTCTCCCCTTCCCCTGGTTAATAATTTCCTCTTTCATCTTTTATGATAATCCAAATCTTTTACATCTCCATTGTGTCCAAAGTTCACCATTAAGCTACAAGTGATTTTCCAATCAAATTTGGAAAAGCTAGCAAAAAACTTTCCTTAAATTCAGTAGGAAGTTTGCAGAAGTTTGTTTGTTTTCCTATTATATATATCTATATATAGTGAGAGTGTGTGCATCGATTAAATTTTAGTTATCCTGTTTGTGAGCCAGTGCAATGGAAAGGCTCATCTGAGAAGGTTTACTTAACCCCTCTTGCACAAGGACATGTGCGTTCCATTAAAAGTTACTCTTCCAGGCTGTGCCTCAGTTCAATTTAGCTGCCACCAGTTCCTAGATGTTAGACTATCCGGCTTCAAAGTGACAGCTGCCCTCAGAAGAGTTCCTGAGGAGGGCTTCTCCTTGGAAAAGATCTGATTACTCTGGGCACTTCTAAAGCCTTCCCACCCTTCTCCCTGAACCCACTACATATATCACCCTCCAGCTTTTTAAAACAAAGGTTTTCGTTGTGATAAGTACAGATTGCTAAAATACAGAGTGCTCTTTGGTGTCTTCCAGACAGCAAAAAGGAAAGTTTACATCTATACCCAGGCTCACACCTGTATGGTTCACAGGCCAAACCTAGTGTCTTAACTACTTCTTTGGCTTTGAGAAGTGCATCTTCAGTTGACAGATGGAAAGGAATTCCTCTCGATCCCACAGATTCGGCTAATGTTTTTTCCCCTACTCTGGAGCAAGCCACCTTTTAATGAGGATGCTTTTTAAAAAGAGGGATTTCCTTTCTAGAACTTTTCTGGAAGGCTGAGCTAACTTAAGATGGTAATTGAGATCCAGCCAACACTAGCAAGAATCCCAAATTCAGGTGGGAAGCAGACAGTACTTCCTTTGAATACTACACTTCACTTAGCATGCTAATAGTGACTACAAAAGACTTCCCCAGTTAGGATCCTTTCTAAGGCCAAAAAAGGTCTAGCTGACAGGATGGCCCATTAAGATAAGGGAAAGTGTCCTTGTTTTGCAAGAGATGTTCATTTACATTTGAAAGATGCATCAAGCAAGCGAAAACTAACCAAGGGGAAGTGGTGGTGATTATTTTGAAATCCACATTTTCCAGAATTGACATCACACATTTACACAATAGACTGTGATATGGGTCAGCTCTCCCTTACAAAGCAAACATTTGACCACATCTGTAATTACAAATACAGTAGTTGTTCACACCTAAGATTCAACTAGGATTGATTCAGAGTTTTAACAGTAAGTTTACTGTTTGCAGGAAAAATTTTGCCTGGTGTATGTAGTCACTGTGCCAACTAAATATTTTTAAGACCACCCTGTGACTGAACATGGTTTTGGAAAGCAGTTTATACAACTATCCTTATACAGTGGTACCTCGGGTTAAGTACTTAATTCGTTTCGGAGGTCCGTTCTTAACCTGAAACTGTTCTTAACCTGAAGCACCACTTTAGCTAATGGGGCCTCCTGCTGCCGCCGCACCGCCGGAACACGATTTCTGTTCTCATCCTGAAGCAAAGTTCTTAACCTGAAGCACTATTTGTGGGTTAGCGGAGTCTATAACCTGAGGCGTATGTAACCGGAAGCGTATGTAACCTGAGGTACCACTGTACTGGAGCAAGCAGACTGAGCTCATATTGCCAACCTGTCAGTTGGCAAGAAGCCAAAATATCAAGAAGTGATAACTTTATACAGTATTTGGTCTATTCTGAATCACTCTTTCCCCGAAAGTGGGGGAATTAGGGATGGTGTGCATGTTACTTATTTTCTAGTGCCTGTTTCAGGCTGTTAGCTGGTCAGTCTCTCCCCTTCCCGGGGTGGGGGTGGGGGTGGAATATGGGACCTTATCCTCTTTCGCTGCATCTCTGGAGCTTGAAATTTGCAACAACTCTAATAGTCATTTGTCAGAAAATTAGGGCCGAGTAGTTTTTGGGCTGACCAAATGAAAAACATTTTGTTTATTTGGGGGTTGGGAGAGATTTGACTTTGCACCCCCTGCGTATGGATCACATTGCTGCAAGGCTGTGCTTTGGAATTAAATGCTGAGGACTGTCAGATGCTAGACACAGAGAAGAGGCTGAGTTTTGTCAGCAAATGGGATCTGCAAGTTAATTGGTGTTTTCTGCAGGCTCCTGGCTGTGATATGAAATTGGAAGCCCTTTAGCCACATGGATAATACAGGGCCTGAATACAAATGTCACAAGTTGCCATCGAGATCCGCCGAGAGACAAAAGCGCTCCCCACTTGAACGCTGCACTATTACCGATCATTTAAATATTGGGGGGGGGGGTTACGTTTTTAAACTAAAAGCCCCATTTGCCTTTTAATGGCAATTTAAATGTCCTCTTAGCAAAAGCTAAGTGACAAATTAAATGAAAAAAGTGTCCACATTTTTTTAAAAAAAGTTGTAATGCAAAACAATCTTTTATTGCTTCTCATGTGCCACGAATAAATCATTATACTTGTCAACCCTAAACCAAGCCATAATTGGTGGAGCTACTGTTATCAAAGTGGGGCTGCTCTTGTGACAGCTTAATAAAGCTGAAACTGTTAAATTAAATCTCTGATGCTTTATCTGTTGAGAGCAGTCAAGCAGAAGAATCTGTAAGAGGAATATCTATGCTTGGTGGAGTGATGGAGCCCAACAACTTGTCAACACTTAGATTACAGGATCAGATATTTATGTGTGTGTGTGATCTCTGATTTTCATTATCTCTTCTAGCCTTCCTCTTATTTTAAGAGTGAGGAAACATCACACAAGTATTGTATATCAAAACAAACATTTTATTCTCCCCCTCCTCTTGGACATGTGTATCAACAAGAAAAGCTTTTAAAAAATAAAAGTATGGATCCAGAATCAAATGGCTGTTGTGATGAATGACTGAGAGATGTTCAGAGCATGCCTATGCTTATCTGAGGCAGAAATGGATTATAAACTAGTTTGTGAAAGATTCTTAGTTTTCCTTTGCCGTAATTCACTTGGTTGAGGTTTGGCCTTTTATGCTACAAAATAACCACAGTTTCCCCAAGTTTCACAAGTAGTTTATTTTATTTCTACTGCTCAGCGGTGTTCTCAAATCAGTGTTCCATCAGATTGGCATTCTCCTTGCAGCAATTGCTCATTGATTTTCCCCGTTAAATATAGGAGACATTGCTGATATCCTGTGGGAGTTGCTGCCTCAGTTCTTCAGTTCTCTTGGAGTTCCTGCAGAAAGAAACACTTTCCTAAAATGTTTCTGTGTATGCTGGAAGCTGCCCAGAGTGACTGAGGCAACCGAGTCAGATCGGCGGGGTACAAATAATAAAAAAATTATTGTTTATTATTATTAGTATATTGGGAAAAGTTAATATTGTTAGATGTATTTTGTCAAGCCTCGTGCAATCACCCCTCTCACTTCACATGGGAGCAGTCCAAAAGCTTTGACTTCTAAACTAGTGACCACAGTTTGCATCCAAACTTGGAATTATGGTATATTGTGATCCTGGTTTTACTCTCCATGGTTATGCTCAGATTTAAAACTGTGGTGTGTTTTGATGAAAAACTGCCATTCAAAAGCAAAGGCCCTCAGTCTGTTCCTCTCACACATGAGGGAGCAGGAGAGGGGATGAGTGCACAAGCCCAAGGCTGGCCACATTACATTCACATGAGGGGAAACAGGGGTTTCCAGTATAGTCTGAAGCAAGCCAACACCTGCTTCAGAGGAAGACACAAATATTAATGAAAACCTTGGAGCAACTTGTCAGTACCCCATGTCTGCCTTGGGAAGGTAACATGTTGCAATTGATTAAACCTAAATGAGTGGTGGGAACATTGTTGTACGTACTTGCACACATAGTATGTGAAATAGGCCTCCAGCACATGTGTCTTGTCTAGCAAGACTTAAGCTGATTCCTTACCAGATGGTATTTTGTTATAATGCAGGTTCATATTTTAAGCATGCTGTATAGCTTGGTATTCCAAACCAGAGCACGTCATAAGTGGTGGTGTTACCGTTACTAAATGCATATTATGAAAACTTAAAGATGAGATTAAAATAGTCTGAAGGACTGAGAGCATCAAACTGTACCGCACAATCAAACTTTTGGAGCATGTGTATTTGTGTACTTAAATGGCATTTAATTGCACTTCCAAAATAGTCCCCATTTAATCTTGGCAAGTGGGAGAAATTATTCAGAATGATTTTCTTTTTTTAACCTAACCAGTTTACAAGACTTGGAAATAAACATACAGTACTTTTCGCTGGTTATACTGATGCAGAGCAATAGAAACTGAAACTTGGTAGCATCTACTTACTCTTCACCATAAACACCTGAAGACTTTCCACACCTAATTTAAATGTTTTAGGAAGTTGTTACAGGGCGGGTGGTTGTGTGTGCGATATGTATTTTGGCTCTTTTCATTAAAGTATTTAGGATACATGTGTTGTGACTGCACCATGGATTTAGATACATGTGACTGCACCACATTTAGAATTCGCGCACTACCTAAAAATGTGTAGAGGTCCTGGAAGGAACCTTGCTGAAGCTAGGTAGGTCTGGTCAGGACCTAAAGTGGAAACATACTGGAAATTTTTTTCTACCCCTTTAAGTTCCTTAGCTCAGCCAGAGTCCTTCCTTGCTCCACATTTCCATTCAGAGGGGTGTTTTGCTGGTTGCCACCCGTGATGCCAACAGCAGTAGCTTCCACCTTCCTGCGGTTTGGACAGGTACTTTAAGGAGCTGCACAAAATTTGAGCTCTCCTGCCAGTGGGCCCAGGTGGAGATGCACCTCTGTCTCCTTAGCACCACAGATTGGGGATTTGGATTGCTGTGCGTGAGTTTGCTTGTAGTCTTCACCTAGCACTAGTAAATTTGAGTGTGACCTTCTGGGCAAGACTTAGATGGCAATAATATTGACTTGATTTGGAAAACAGCTTCACCTGGAGCATCACATCCCTAGGTTTGCCACATCAGTTGCCACGTGATCAGAGCAGTTCTACAAGAAGTACTCCTTGCACTAGAAGTATAAGTGTGGGATGTTGCGTTTGGTGGATGTGAGCATGGAGACAGGAATTTGTATTCAATCCATGTTATATAGAGATGTGGGGTTATTGGCAGAGCTGTGCCTAAAATACTGTGGCTAGCCCCCTTCCTCTGTTGACATCGAAACCAACCTTGAGATGTAAATCCTTCTTTGAATGGAAGCAAAGCTTTAAGGAAGTCTCTGTGCTGTGTTCCTTTGTTACACCCACCCTACAACACCATGTACAGAATGTAGCTTGCAGAAGGGCCATAATTCCCCCTTGCCATCAGTCCTGCAGGTAATCTATTGCATTAATCAGCCAGCTAGTGTGAAATGCATGGGGAGTGATTATACTATCATACACAATACAATCAGCATGAAGCACTTGTCAAGACCAATACATCAAAGTTTAATTCAGTAATAGAATGAATTAGAGCAAAATGAAGCATCCTGTACTCCAAGAACCAAAGCAGCCATTGCAGGTTCTTCACTGAGTGCTCTGTCGGAAAACCAGATTCCACTGAGGGTGTATGTTTATGAATAAAAATAGCCACCGCCTCAATAGCGCATGCTCAAATTCACAAGATTTACCATGGAAAGTGCAGCAGAGATATGCTGACTGTGTATTCTTTGTTCATGATGGCACTGGTTTAATTAGATTGTTCTCCAGTGGGGCCTGTGACTTCTGGTAGACATTAGATTGAATGGACAGAGCTTATTTTGATAGCAGTTGGGGGCACTTGCTTTTTATGGGAGGGAGGGTGTGGTGGTTAGGTTAGATCGAAAGATACCTTGCATGGTGATTCAACAGCCTGCCTCATCTTCTAGTGAAACTGTGATAACAGCATGTATCTGAAGAAGTGTGCATGCACATGAAAGCTCATACCAATAACAAACTTAGTTGGTCTCTAAGGTGCTACTGGAAGGAATTTTTTTTAGCATACAAATCTGATCCGTTTCAGCTGCAACACTGTCAATATCCTAGCCATTAGGAAACCAGGGTCACAAACTTGCATACTTCTTCACCCCACCCCACCCCAGTTTTTTGTCAGAACTGTGGTATTACCATTTGGGTGTCAGTGAAGACATGACTCTCTGAACCAGTTTGAAATCAAGGGTTGACACTGTCTTGTAAGCTTTTGCTATAGTTAATCCTGGTGAGTTTCATTGAAGACCTAACACTGTCAAGAGAGGAAAGTTAGTATTGCATAGTGAAATATTAACATAAAACCTACCGTGTATTCACTGGATATACTTATCATCAAAAGCTTCTGATGTGTATTGTTTAATGCACAACACAAGTATTGCATATATGGACTCTTGACCCTTGTACTTATTTTATAAGGGAAGCATCTGGGATGTTCTGTACCCTACAAATCCTTAAAACTGTGAATAATCTGTTAATCTTCCAAGCGCTTCAACCTTTGTTTTTGCCCCGTGTTATAGGTGAGAAACTGAGGCTTATGTGTGTGCCCTCCCTATTTAGTTCAGAGAAGATAACCTCTCTAACCTTATTGGGGGCTTCCCCAGGAAGAGATGGAAGGTGAAGTGAGACCATAGCACTGGCCATTTGACATCCTGAGCATAGAGACATCTGCAAAGGGCTTTCATGCAATTGGGACCTCTGATTGCATGGGATCTCCACTTATGTGAGCCAGTAGTTCCTGTCTTCCTTTGTAAACATCATGTTAAAAGTGCATATGCAAAGAGGGCAGGCAAAAAAGAAGCAGTAGCAGCAAACTATGTGCGTTTGGTGAGAATTGCTGCTGAAAATATGTCCCCGATGAAGGATTTGTTCCAAAACATGTTGGGCCAGAAACAAATATCACTTCAAGCACCTGGTATTTTTTCCACTTCTTTGCCTGCTGTTAATGCTTTTTTTGCAGTTTTATGGTTGGTTTTCTGCTCCTGCTTTCAGATTTTTTTCCCCCTATGGGAGGAAGCAGAGCCAGCATTATAGCTGCTGCCCCTTCCATGTGTCTAGCCTACATGTGAAGAAAGTCTGAATAGGGCTTATAACGGGTAGTTAAACAAGGTCTAAGTTTACGGGTCTGGTAATCTGGTTGGCTGAACTCCTGTTGCAAATAGCTGAGTGTATATTTCAGGCCTCCACAAATGTGAAGCCTAACTAACACAGCCACTTACAGTGACCTTCAAGGTGCCTGACAGCCGCTCTCCCTTATGTTTTCATTGTTCCAGGCATGCAGCAAATCCAGGGGACTTATTGAGTCTCTGCTGAGCCACCATGTAGCTGATGGGCTGGATTTGGCATGGTGGATCACAAAGATCCACAGGCCTAGTAGATTCTCATTCTGTATCTGGAAGTTTTTAATGTTTGACCTTTTATTATGTTTTCATTGTGCTGGAAGCCTCCCAGAGTGGCTGGGGAAACCGAGCCTGATGGGCGGAGTGTAAATAAGAAAATTATTATTGTTAGTAATCTTGAGAAGATTTGCACTCCCCCTCCCAGATGCTCCTGTGGGTCTGGTTCAGTATAAGGCAGCTTCCTGTATTCCTACAAAAACAAACTTTTCTGCTTCAAGAAAAACTAAAGTCTGACTTGACTGACTTATGCAATCTAAATGGTTATACTATCAAACTCCTGTGGAGTGTGTGTGAGTAATTTAAGCACTGCCGCTCAGACCACTGGAAACTTTATTTAGCTTCCTGTTGGGATTCTGAGATTTCACCAGCCATTGTCCACTAGGGTTGTCAAACATACTTTTGCAGCCATAAGGGCTAGGCATTTAAAAATAAACAGCAAGCCGATTTTTCCACCCAATGTTTTCAGTGCTTTTTCTACTTTTGTGCTGAAATCACAGGATGCACGTTGACTAGCTCATGTTCCATGCTGCACAGCAATAATGCTTCTCCCTGCCCACCGATTTATAAACCAACCTTCTTGGTACTTATGGATTGGAGTAGCTGTGCCAGTGTTAGAAACTGAGATATGAAAGCTAGAAGCTAAATGGCACCTTACACCTAGATTATGGGTGCAACAACCCCCATAATCTAGTGGGTCTAGGCATACTTTTTTAATAACAAGAATACAAAGTTGAAAATGAATTAACTACAGCTGAAATATTAGGTTCATTTTTCACATGGTCTAGTCCTTCCCCTGCCCCCCCCAATATTCTTAAGAGGGTCTCTTCTCTAGTCTTCAGAGAGTAGCTGGAAGTGGGGAGGAAGAAAGGACTCCTTTCCTTCCACTCTGTAGTTTTCATCTGAAATCTTAGGTGCAGTACTGCGCCCAGAGCTCAGAAACTGCTCATGTTAATGAAATTCCCTGTTGCAAAATGTGCCTAGAACAATCAGAGTTTCAAACACTGAGCTGTGCCAAGGTTATATCATTACTGCCCAGTGATTTAACCATGCTGTGCCCTCCTTAATGTCCCTTCGCTACCTTTTTCAAAATGCATATGGTATTTTATCGGCTGTCTGGCATTGGTTTGTTTGTTATTAAGCATGTGTTTTTGTCTAGGACTCTTGATATGAATGTTGTTTTGATTCTACATAGTTCATATCCTTGGCTGCCCTTGGATGGAAAGACAGGGCATCCATTTACAAAAATGTCATCTCACTCTTGCACCCCCCCCTTTTTTTAACAATTGAAGTTTCACTGGATTTGTAGGAAGCAAGTATTAATCTCAAATGAGCAATTGTCTGTGTGCTTCCTTGGTGCCTTATGAGGCTGCTGCATGCTGAGAAGCAGTTAGTAGCGCCTACCGTTAGTATAACTTAGCACTTTAATAATGCCACCTTGTATTTATTAGGTTAAATACTGATGTAAGGAGAAACTTCAGTCTCTCATCTCGTTCTTCTTTTTACCTGATGGATGATAAAACACTGTCTGAAAGGTCTTTGTAATGTCTGTGTTGGAACTAGAGGTCTGATATGGCGGAGCCACCTCTTATTCAGGTCAAGAGGATGATTGTGGAACTAGAACTGACAATACCTCACTAAGATGTGACAGTTTTAATACTCTTTCCCTTGTGTGAAATTAATACCAAATTGCAGTCGCAGCATGATGCGTCTTCCAATTATCTTCAGGGAAATATGAAATTTACATATTGGTTTATGTGTGTTCGCCTCTCTGCTGGGAAAATTTCATAGTAGGTTGAGTTGCATTGCTGGTAAGGGGCAAAATCTAGACATCCACCTTCAAAGACCTTGTATCTCCAAATTCAAACTGGGTACAAAATTCTGGTCTTCTGATTTTACTGTAACGGATCTGGCAGTTTTGAAATTGAGAACAGCTTTGAAAAGAGGGGATTTTGGAGGAATACGCTCGACTAATATGTTGGTACCCTATGGTACCTAACGCTGATGTTTTTCCTTCAAATTTGTGGTTGTATGTGAGTGGAGATGGCGAGGTTTTATGTAAAGAACTGTTCACCAAGTTGCATGTTTTGTGGTTCATGTTTATATAGAAAATAATAAACTTTTAAAAAAAAAAACCCAAAAGGAGTTCTTGGAGACTGGACTCAGATCCTGTCAAATTCCCAGCAAAATCAGAAATTAGTCAATTGGAGAGGGGGAGAGACCCCCCTCACTGGAAATGACTGCAATATTGGGGCTGACTGCCAATTATCATTAGTTGAGTGAGGGTACATGGAACCTATGAGCTGTTTGTGCTTTCTCTCCACTACTGCAATGCTGTTATCAGGTGCCCGCCAGCTCCCAAGGACTGAATGATCTTTAAATTGGTAGAATGCACTACTATAGCCAGATTTCAAAAGAACTACTTCAAACTTAATATGTCTCTTGGGACTGGCTACTGTGAACAAAGTAGATTTTGATGTTTCTGAATTCCTCTGTGTAGTGTGTATGTTAATCCCCTGCCTTACTCCTGGGTAGTTCTTGACTTGGCATCCTAGTGACTCTGGCAAGGCCTCTTAGAATCATGGAGGGTGTTTAAAAATGATTTAATACACCATGTCTTGGACAAATGGCGCTCAGAGGTTCAAGTCTGCTAAGAGGCAGGGAATCTCCTTGCTTGGCAAACATCTAAGCCAGGCATAGGCAAACTCTGGCCCTCCAGATGTTTGGGACTACAATTTCCATCATCCATGACCAATTCCCATCATCCATGACCATCAATCCCAGCTAAGGATGGTGGGAATTGTAGTCCCAAACATCTAGAGGGCCGGAATTTGCCTATGCCTGATCTAAGCTTAACACAAGTTGGGGGAAGCACAAAGTGTACATTTTGTAACCTAAAGCATATAAAGAAGGATGTTACAAGCTGCTAGCATCCCTTCACAACGTTGAGAATATACTGTACTACCTCCCTTTGGACCTGAATTGCTTTTGAGGATCAGCATAATATAGCAACCTTTGTTGCAGACACACATTTGCATTCTTTGTTAGTCACATTTGGCTGCTGCATCTCCCTCTCTGAAAGGCTGTCATTCATTTTTAGCAAATTCTGCAGGTCTTCGAAGTGTGTAAAAACTCTTCCTTGATGAACAAATGAAGTGTTGCTAAATAGTACTTGTAGATGTCTTCACTCTGCTTGTCAGGAGTCTGCAACAGCAATAAGACAGCTGATTTTAAAAGCAGTATCTTTATATTTAAAAATGTTCTGGCAGTTCGTGATTTATTCATGCCTCTCCTGGCATGCAGTGTCAGGGACGTAGTTTCTTCATTGGTTCAGAGTTAAATGTCAGCAGAAAATTAGATCTGTAAATTCTTACGAAGGAGAGTTTCTCGTGCATAATTGCAGGAATAATTACGAAGCCTCTTTCTATTCTTGGAAAGAAAGGGCAACCACTACTGCTAAAAGTAAAAATGGAATTGGGAATTCTCCCCTCATGTCATAAAGAAGAGTAGCCCAGCTTGTGGTGCTAAAGCAGAATAAAGATAAGGATGGGAAAGATTCCACAAGAAAATGTTAGTGTGCAGTGCTTCTGTTCCCCTTCTGCCCCCTTCATTCTGCTCTCCTAGCCCTGCCAGTATGCTTAGTCCTCTTGGACGTCTGATGGGTTTCCCACTCCATTTGGGGCCTTTTTCCCCTTTGGCACAAGAAAATAGAAATTGTGCTGCTCAGTCCCAGGTACATTGCAGTCTGGGATTTCATCCTTGTCCACAGGCAATTCTTAGTGTGAACCATGGAATGACCTACCCAAACAAAATGAGATGATTTATTCAGCATAAAAAAGGTGAAGGGAACCCTGACCATTAGGTCCAGTCGTGGCCAACTCTGGGGTTGCGGCGCTCATCTCACTTTATTGGCCGAGGAAGCCGGCATACAGCTTCTGGGTCATGTGGTCAGCATGACTAAGCCGCTTCTGGCGAAGCAGAGCAGCGCACGGAAACGCCGTTTACCTTCCCGCCGGAGCGGTACCTATTTATCTACTTGCACTTTGACGTGCTTTCGAACTGCTAGGTTGGCAGGAGCTGGGACTGAGCAATGGGAGCTCACCCCATCGTGGGGATTCGAACCACCAACCTTCTGATCGGCAAGCCCTAGGCTCAGTGGTTTAGACCACATATATAGCCTGTGTTTCCTCCCTCCTCCCTTTCAAACCATGTGATTCCATTGCCCCTCCCAAGTGGATGAAAGCTGTTCCCCTCTCAATATGTGTTTGGGCATTTGCTGAATCCACGGGCAGGTCTTCTGTGTCCTTGTCGGTGCCCACTCAGTTTCCAACCATCCCTGTGCTGAACATTATTTCAGGGGGGATTTTCAGCTTGAATGCGAGTAGAACACCTTTTCTTATTGGAGATCCTGGTTCATCATTACCTCCAGTCACGCCGAAGAGGGTTCTGCTTGCATTAAAGGGGACACAAGTAGAAATCCGATCCTGAACGTAAAGAAGGGGATTGAGCGGGTGGGGCAGGGCTTGCAGGTGTACTCCCTCCCCACCCCACCCAACAAATTCGGCTTCCTATGTTCTGGCAGGCAAGCACCTGAACACTTTGTCTCGCAACCTCCTGTGTCATTGAGTTATTATGGCAGTTTCCTCAGTGCAAGAAGTGAAGTTACAGGGAACCAAGAAGAGGGCCTTCTCGGTAGTGGCTCCCACCCCGTGGAATGCCCTCCATTCAGACGTCAAGGAGATAAAGAAATACACAACTTTTAGAAGACACCTGAAAGCAGCCCAGTATAGGGAAATCTTTCATGTTTGATGTTTTATTATGCTTTTATATTTGTTGGAAGCTGCCCAGAGTGTCTGGGGCAGAAATAATAACATTTATTTATTTATTTTATTTTATTAGGCTGGTTTCGAGGTTTATCTCCTTTAGAATTTTTTCTAAAGATTTATCTTGTACTTGTGTGAACCTTAGGGTTACCTCATGTCTGCTAATAACTTCTATCTGGGTGGTGTAGTTTTGGCTATGCAAGTGCGGGCAGCAGAAGATTTGGATTTGCATTAGCATATAGATTAAATTGTTTCAGCGAATCTACCCAGGCACTCAGTTTTAGCATGTACTTTTATTTTGAATAATTGTTTGAAAATTGCAGATTTTATTTGTATTTAAAGTATTGTGTTAACTTGTTTTGTTTTTTTAGCTGGTGTGTGTGTGCGTGTGTAAATGAATAAATAAATAATATTTTAGATTGTTCTTGATGAATTACTTAGAGGTCTTCTGTTGAGTAAGCAGTGTTTAATTTTTGTTAATGAATATAAATGAACAGGTTTAAGTTGATATTTGTGTAGGTTGGAAACTTAGTATTGTCACACTTTCTTAATATATACATTTTAAATTTTATGTGGGAAGTACACTTGCTTTTCACCAAGTCTTGAGAGAGAGATTGCTGTTTTGTGTCTCCCTCCAAAAAATATATTAAAAAATTGGCATTTCAATGTGAGTTTGTTGTTAGTTTTCATACAATTATTTCTGTCATGTTGCCTTTAAGATACTGGAACAGCATCGTGCATGTGCTTGTGACATTGAGGTGGCAGATTGGCTAATGTGGTTTTGCAGCATACCTTTGGCATCCATATAAAGCTTGCTATGATTTCCCTAAAATTTAAGGTAACTAGCCCCACTGCATTTTCTGTGTCATTTAATAGGTGCTCTTTGGATGTGCATAGTCTTAAATCCTCATTGCAAGGTGGAACAAAAGGCCAGTTGGCTGAAACAGCTGAAGAAATGGAACAGTGTTGATGTTTGTCCCTGGGAAGATGGGAACCATGGAAATGACCTGCCCAGTCTAACCAATGCTTTGCCTCAGGGTGCAAATGCAATCCAAGGTGAGCCCTGACTTAATTTACTCTCTGAGACACATGAAATGCAATTTAGACTCTCTGCCTGGACCATCATGCTCGTTTTGTCTAGCAACAACCTTAGTCCATCGTCTTGTTCATATTCATGGCTGAGGATTGTGGTGCCACTGCTGGTGGGGAAAACAAGTCTACAGGCTCTGTGCTAGAGTTGGGCAACTTACGGGCTCCATGTTTATTTTTATTTTGATAAAGCTTTATTAACAGTTTTCACATTACAATAAAAGACAAACTAATCACACAAAAATAATAAAAAGAAAAGGAATAAAAGAACAGAGAAAAGATAGAAGAGATAAGCACAGAATCCTCTCTCACAGATATATTTTAAACTTCTGTCACATACAGAAAAGGGTGTGTCCTCCCAGCTCTCACCTCCCAGGTAGCTGACCCTACTGCACTCATTTGTCTCCACTAGGGTGCGTGACATCACCTAGGGAGAGGTGAATCATGGAATATTCATTCAGCCAAACAGTCTCCCCGCGAAAGGTTTGTGGCATCTTTCACCTCCCGGAAAAGAGGGCATATTCTAGCCTTCTCAAGCTGCACTGTAGCTGCTGTCAAAAAGGTTCTTGAAGGTGAGAGGGATCTAGGAGCAAAGCACAGCTTTTTCCTAGATAATGTGAAGGGCTTAGATATCCTAAATTTGAATATTTCCTTTGCATCACCCACATTTGTAGACTCACGATGCTGACATGTTGCAGGGAAAGGGCAGTGCTCAAGCACACACCCCTCGCCAAACCACCCCAAAACTTAACTGTCCAACTCCCCAAATGCAACGATCTCACCAACTGGAACACTCCAGCTCAGGAAGTCTCTGAAACACCAAAAGCTCAGAAATAGATGATCCAGCAAGGAGGCGAAAGGAGGACACCCCATGGCCATGCCGGAGTTCAAACAGCAAGTGGCCACGCCCCCAGCTGTGCCGAGATGCGGCTGGGAGTCCCCATGACCCAAGCGGCATCCCTCCACCCTCCCACCGGGTCACTGGAGGTCCCGGATGCCCTCCCACAACACTGCCCCTCCAGTGAAGGAGAGCGGATTTGGGTCCTGTCATAGGTTCCAATCCAAATCTCTTTTGTTTCTTCTGTATGGACCTATATTCTTTAAGTGCAAGTTCTCATTTCAATGTCTTCCACTAGAGCTATGTGATGACACATGACTTGTTGACTTGCTAATCTGTTTGTGTGTTTGCATGGAAATTAAATGCATTAATAAAATGGGACACATGCACACACCCTTTTTTCTGTGACTGTGTCTCATTAGAATTATTGTAGAACCCTGCATATGTTCTATACACACAACCAATGTAATATTTTTTTCTTAGTGAACATATATGTGTAAAAGTATGAGAGCAATTTTTATTATATTGGTTGCAATACACACACACTATGCAGCCAAGGGTTCAAGTGTCTCTTCTTCTGCTTGGAAGCATAGTGCAGTTTTTTCTCCATTTTTATGGCTCAAAGTGGTTCTGTTGAATCCACTGTTTAATTTTGCAACATACAATAGAAAGCAGTGGATCTAAGCCTCATTTCTGTCAATTCAAAGCTGTATTTCCATGGTGTACATATTGACAAACCGCCCAGGAATTTCTTAGGCATTTCTGTAATTGTTTCTGCACATGCCCAAATGTTCAATATACTTTGTGTACATATACAGTGTTAAGACAGGATGAGTTTTGGCCCCCTCCGGTGTGTATTAACTTCAATAGAATCCTGTGTACTTGTTTTGAAAAAGAAATAGCTTGTGTAGGGTAAACCTGAAACACTCCTTGTTAGGAAGCATGTATTGATTGTATTGGAGGAGGGGAGAGTGGGGTGCGAGTTGGGTGTCACCCATATGGAGGCATGAAACTGATTCTGTTTGAACTCGTGGGCCTGACAGATTCATCAAACAGGTCTCACCGGACGGTGTTCACTCGAGCCATTGAGGCGTGCGATCTCCATTGGCAGGACAGCCACTTGCAGCACATTATCAGAAGTGACCTGTACACCAACTACTGTTACCATGATGATGCTGAAAACTCACTCTTTGACTCTCACGGGTGGCCCCTCTGGCATGGTAAGTGGCTCAGCCGGAAAGAGGTTTCCATGAGTTGATGCTTTGTTCCATTTCTATGGCACTGTTTTTGGGGGACGGGGAGAGGGATGAAAGGTCTGGCAATAGCAACAGAGCTTCTCTTCAAACGGTCTTTTATTCCCTTCCCTTTTTAAAGTACTGTTTTCTCAGATTCTTTAACAACAACAAAAACCCCTTCTGAATGCTCCCCTGGGATGGGGGTTGCTGCAGACGCGGATGAGCTCTTTAATAATGCTTCCCCCTTTCTCTCTGTTCAGAACATGTGCCTACAGCCTGCGCGAGGGTGGATGCACTAAGATCTCATGGCTATCCAAGAGAAGCACTGCGGCTAGCAATAGCTATTGTCAATACTCTAAGGAGGCAGCAGCAGAAACAGCAGGAAATGTTCCGGTTCCAGAAGAAAGGTAAATGTGGGCAAGATGATGTCAAAAGGTTGCAGCCTGGGGAGAGGAAGGTTGGAATGGGGCCAAGTGCAAGGAATTGCTGCTTAGAAATAAAAGACTGCGGCTGTGCAGTGGTTGACTGTAGCGGGCAATGGGAGGCGGTTCATTGCCAAGGGCTCTATAGGGCTATGGCAGTGTTTGCGCCTCTCTGTAAAAGAGCCATAATGCTGGCTTAGAGCTTTTAGGTTCTTCCTACTCCCACCGATGCCACATCTTTTGAATACCTAAATTCAAAGCAAGGAATGTTGTAGAAATATATTTGTAAAGCAAGCAACCAAGATGGTCTCTAAAGCGGCAGAATAATTTGGACCGTACTATTTTCTGCTCCCAACCTTGGACTCTCTCTGCACTGGCTCCAGAATGGGAAGAGCATCAGTTTGCATGTAAGCCTGGAGATAAATCTGGGGCTACTGCTTTGTAAATGTGTGAAAAAGATGTGTTCAGTTAACTAGTGCAGTGTTGGATGGGTCTAGTCATTACAGTGGTACCTCGGGTTACAGACGCTTCAGGTTATGTGATTTCCGAACCCGGAAGTACCGGAACGGGTTACTTCTGGGCTTCGGCGCTCGCGGAAGCGCAGAGACACCAAATCATGACCTGCATGTGTGCAGAAGCGGTGCTGTGGGTTGCAAACGCTGCGGGTTGCGAACGTGCCTCCCACACGGATCACGTTCGCAACCCGAGGTTCTGCTGTATTCATAGAAATAAGGGTTGCTGTCAAACAGCAAACTGTTGCTTGGTTGCTGGATTCAGGAATTAGAAGGGGGTTCAGGCATACAGCACCTCCCCCCAGCTCCTAACACTATGAAGGCCCAGGAAATAATGAAAATGTGTTTTTTTGGGGGGGCATTTCTCTGAAGTTGCCCTTTGTTTTTTCCTGAAACATTGAAATTACCTTGAACTCCTGACACGGACAGTAGCATTTGGCATGTGTCCAAGTAACCTTTCAGTCAATTTCACTTACAAAAGTTAGTGTTTGATTTGCCCCAAACTGCAAAGGAAGTGTACATAGGTGGGGAAAGTATACGTACAATTGCAATCCGGATTTTATTCTATTGGGGTAGTGAAGTCATTGGAAAGGAATTTGGGTGTGTGTCTTAACTGCTTATATATCTGTAGTTCCATGACTGTAGTAAATTGTGTTTACCTGGTAGTAGCTGGAGAACATGACAAAGTATACACAAATAGGGTTTTGCACAAGCATTACACAGGAGCTGCCTGCACTGGACAACTTATTTGCAGGGCTTCCTTCCATTATTCTAGACACCCTCCTCTTGCTTCCACTCATAACTCATCTCTCTGAGGCCAAATACAGGCACTGTAGTTGATCACCCTTCCTTATTGGGAAATGGGAGGTTGCAGGTTCTTCAGAAGCTGCATAGTGTTAGAATGGACAAAAGGAGTGTATGAAGGCCTCTCTGTCTGATGGAAAGGGCACCTGAAGGATCTCCTGCATCCCGATGACGCATGTACCTTTCAGCTCTACAGAGAACAGCAGTAGTTTTGGGCTTCTTCTTTGCCCAGCATCTCTACTTGGCAATAAGCCCTCTACTAACCAGCCCGTGGGCCTCGGCATAGGTGCCCCTGACAGTGGACCCTGTCTGTCAACAGGGGATCTGTTTACCTTTTACATTTTGCAAATAAGGCAAATCTAGCTGACTTGAAAGGTAGATCTTTTAAGAGTTGTCATGTGACACATGCCTGGGTTGTTGTTTTCCCCAGTTCCACAGGATTAGCTTAGTTAAAATAGTGCTCCTTGTTTTTCTCAACAAGGAAACTAAAATAGATATCTCTTCTGTGCATACCACAAGTGTGCTTCCTGTTTATAAATCCTTCAGCAGTGACTCTAAAGAGAGTTTGGATAGCTTATAATCAAGGAGTCTTGCATAGACAGTAGGGTAGGCAGTCGTGATCTATGGCTTGCTATGATAGGCAGTGAGAAATTGCTTTGTTCTAATTGATGCACGGTAGAACTGGCTTTGTATTTCTGTTTATCGGTAAGCAGGGGCGGGGTGGGCAGAACAAAATGGTATTCCGTGTTAAGCAAAGCTGTGTTTGGTCAGTATTCTTCTGCAGTTGGCATTGATGCATCTCCCTGAATGAAAAACGGCCATGGGCCTTCTGGATAATGTGTTCTGTTATAAGATACAGTATTTGGGTTCAAAATCCAGTTTATCTGTGGTCACTGATGGTGCATATGCTGTTGCTAGCTACAGTTTCCATGTCTGAAAAATCAGGATGATGAGGGGGGAAATGCAAGCTGTTTTGCCTACTAAAAGTACTGTATGGCCACTAAGGCTGCATGTATTTATTTTTCTAATGTAGAACTTCTCCACAAAGGTGTTACCTCTATAACTAACCTGGAAGGCTGGGTTGGGCACCCACTGGACCCAATTGGCACCCTTTTCAGCAGCCTTATGGAGGCCTGCAGGGTTGATGATGAGAGCTTCCATGTGTTCTCAGAGTTCACAGGTAAAATTTGATCATGGGTCAACTTGATGTATTTTTAAGCATGCTGTGGTTTTAACTTTGCTTTAGACCTATTATTTGCAACCATGCTTGCAAAACACCATAACTTAAACATTTGCTGAATAGGGGTGTTGACAGTGCTTAAGAGGGAGGGATGTAGTTTGCATGTGTGCATACAAAATAGTATTCTTGCCCTACTGTTGAAATATATGAAGCTGCCTTCTACCAAGGCAGACTATTGGCCTATCTAGCCTACTGTTTACCCTGACTGGCATCAGCTCCCAGGACAAAGGTCTTTTCCTTTAAAACTGATCCTTTAAAATTGGAGATGCCAGAGCTTGAACTTTGGACATTCTGCCTGCAAAGCAAGTGCCTTATTACTGCTAGTAGTATTGGCATTGGCATTATTTACAATACTTTTGCTTAGTGTTTTCAAGTGTACTTGACATGTGTGCACAACCCTATGAGGTAGTCAGTGCTGTTGGCCATATTGTAGACAGGGGGTACTCAGGCTAAGAGAGTGGCATGCCCAAGGCTACCTTGTGAGGGTGGCTGCCTTTGTGAAAATTTGTGGGAGGCTTGCAAACGATGCAGGAGGACAGGCACAAATAAGGTGTGTAACCACAAGTAAACTATTGAGTGACTTGATGTTTTTTCCCCCGCTCCAGAGAATATGGGCCAGTACAAATCTTTGGAGTACTATCACCTGCCTGCCCACAAATTCTTAGAAGAAGGAGAATCTTATTTGACGCTGGCTGTGGAAGTGGCATTGATAGGACTGGGGCAGCAGCGAATAATGCCTGATGGCTTGTATGCACAAGAGAAAGTTTGTCGGAATGAGGAACAGTTAATTTCCAAGCTACAGGAAATCGAACTGGATGACACGCTGGTGAAGATTTTCCAAAAGCAAGCAGTCTTCCTATTAGAAGGTAGTTGACTATTGATGCTAACCACTTCTTTCAGCAGTTTCTAATAAAAAGACCAGGTACTCCTCTGGGAGTTGGCTTATCTGGTAATTATCAGGTTCTTAGGAATCTAATGGTTGCTTATAGATCTTCCATCAGACACCCAACACCACCCTCATACTATACTTAAACATCGCATTGATGTGGAAGTGGAAGGGTCTTGTTTATGTATTATCTCCCCCCCACCCCCCAGTTAGTTAGGCTAGCATGTAAGGAAACTGAAGTTCATAATGACACCACCACTTTCTAGCGAAACATTGTAAATGTGTGAAATTAAACTTGCCCTAGACACTCATTCCACTGGCCCAATTTAGATTGCTTATGAGGAATTTCATACTGTGAGCTTAGTGGGGACCGAAAGTAGCTTTGCATGTAAAAGTAAGATTTTTGTCCTACGTCAGAAATCACACTCTGATACTTGTGCCTGAAACTTTGCAACAAAGACGTTTTCTTGCCAGTGTCACACTGTAAATCATTAAAACACAAGGGAAAGAAATACAGTGATGTGTTTTTATCATCCTTTAGAGAAAGTGTATTGCTTACAAGACATGCACACGATAATCCAAAGCACAAGAGTTTTCCATTGCTTAGACAGAGCAAGAGAATAGGGCTGGTCTCAAGCTGGATTGGTAGAGGCTACCTGCCAGTCATGATGCCCAGAACATCTTTCTTAGCAGTGCAGTTCAGCCAAGGCCCATGCTCGTGACAAGCGAAGTTCCTGTTTGGTGGTTGTAATCTTAATGTAATTAACAGCTGAAGAATGTAAGAAGAAGAAGCTGGCACTATGGACACTGTGGGATTTGTGGGTGGGTGGGTCTGTTTAAAAGTAGTGAAAGTTGTAGATGTCATTGTTTTCTTTAGAAGTGTGTTCAATCTGGCCCTTCTGGAAAAATGAGAGAAAACATTACGGGTTTTCTGTTAGTGTCAAAATGATGTTATATATTAGCATTAGGGAATCTTTAAAGAACAAGTGCGTGCCTTTTTAAAAGCACTTTTTTCCAGCATTACTTTGGAGCCTTTTGTCAGTGTGCTTTTTTTGGTTGGGGGGTGTTCCCTTAAAGGATGGATTCATCTAGTTTCAGCTTGATTTGAGCGGGTGCTTCCAATTCTCTACACTTCAGTGTTTTCATAGAATGTAGTTCTTAAGCTGACAACCTCCGCTGCCCTTTTAAAGTATAGGAAGCTGCCTTCTACTGAATCAGGCAAATGGCCTGTCCAGCTAAGTACACTGACTTGGCAGCTGCTTTCCCAAGGTGTCCCAGAGTTTCTCAAATTAAACCTGGGACCTTTTTCATGCAGAGTTTGTGCTTTGCCATTGAACTATGGCTGCCTCCCCCCTTGTAGCAAGAGGTGCAGCCACTCGCCCCAGTGCTACAGCCCACATACCTCAGTAGCAAATAACATGGGGTCTGAGGAAAGGTCAGGAACCTTTTGCGATGTTACATGCACCTGCCCACCACATGCAAGTGTGTGAGCACATGCGCACACTCCTGTCCTCTACCTGTTTAGACACCTATGTTGCATTATTTGACTACATCCAAGGGTAGTGAGGGTGGTGATTCAGATACCTTGGCTTGACGTGCATGGCAGAAATGCTTCTTAGTCATCTAACTCCCTGCATTTTTGCCACTTTAAACTGCAGGGGCAATTTTCATAACAAGTCAGCTTAATGTTAAAGAAAACATGGAATAGCTTCTATACCAATGAATGAAAAGTGAACAAATGAAGTGTTCTGGGCTCTTTGAATCCAAGAAGGAAAGCTATAGCCAGGCCACCTTATTTGCTTCAATAAGATATATTTATCACCACCATTTTCTTTTAGTACTGCACATTTCTTAGAGGACCCCTCACCAGAGAGCTTATTTCTCTTCACTGTGAGTGCTTTTTTTTTGGCAAGGATTATTACAATATTTCTAGATAACTTTTAGCACTTTCGATTTTATGTACAATCAAACTACAGCACTATTTATAAGACTTTCTGTTTTTTTTTTCCTTTCCCAAATCCCTTCCCTCATAGCTGGACCCTATAGCGGTCTAGGTGAAATCATCCATCGAGAGAGTGTTCCAATGCACACATTTGCCAAGTATCTTTTCACCTCTCTCCTACCTCATGATGCTGAACTAGCATACAAAACTGCACTGAGAGCAATGCGGTACGTGTCTTTAAACCTCATTTAGAAAAGAAGCATAAACCCGGTCAACGGTATGAGCTCCCTTCAGCCATAAAGTCATGAGGGAAGGCCTTGCTCCACACACCTGTTCTTTTCGAGGGTAAAAAGGATGGTGACAAGGAGCAATGCCTTTTCTGTAGTGGCACCCTGTGTTGTGGAACTCCCATCTCTAAAGGGGCTCACCAGGTAAGCTCCTTTGACTTTTAAGAAGGCTGGCAAACAACTTCCTCCTTTAAGGATAGCGATCCTGATAGAGGATGTACACAATGTGTTTGATTTATCTGTGTGTTTGTAGTAGGTTGTTGAAGCCTATACTTTCAATGCAAGTGTTTCTGCACTTGTCTTAGATACAGTTTTTGAGTAACCCTGGAGACCTGTTTGGCTATAGGATGGGAAATCTAATGAATGAGTGAATGAACCAAGAACCGCAAGACTGATATAAGGAACAGGTGGGTGGTTAGCACCCAATTAACTCACACGTTGCATAGCATGAGTTAATTTGAATCATAGAATAGAATCATAGAATCATAGAGTTGGAAGAGACCACAAGGGCCATCGAGTCCAACCCCCTGCCAAGCAGGAAACTGTTCTCTAACGTCTGTTTTTTAACCTTCTGATACAAGCAGTTCAGTTGCTTTAATCCTCTCCCCTGCTCCAAAAATGAAATTCCCAGCAGTAAAAATTCAAGAGATAACCCTGATTTTCATCTTTCTAAAAAAAGATATCTGCTGTGCTTGACACCAAAAGTCTCAGTCCTGGGCTTTTTGATGTTGTAATAAATAGCACTGGGGCGAATTGCCTTGGTAGATCTTCACCTTTTCAAGTATGAGCAGCTGTCTTGCAAACACAGACTGACTTGGAAAACAATGGCAAAGTTTCCTCCTTACAGCTCTGTGCATTTTGTGGAAACCTCTCTGAAGTACTCAGTTGTGTTTATCATTGCTGGTAGTAAATCCCAGGGCTCTAATCTGTTTAGTCTGTCCTTCAGGGCTGCTTAATGGGCAACCCTTCCTGTTCTCTCAGAGCTGGTGAGGGTGGGGTAAGGAGAGGATAACGTTCATGTTACAGCTATGCTGCTGCATGGTGAGTCCAGTTCTTTTGTCTGTTTCATTACCAGCCATCCTTGGGCACTCCTGGATAGAAAATTGGAATTAAATGAGGTGTGTCACAGCATTAAAATAGCTGATAGTCTCCTTTTTGCTTTCAGTTCTAGGGCGTTAGGCCTGTCCCAAGGGAGTATTGAACTGACTCCTTGGGGTGGCTGTGAGTTTATATATCTCAAAGGAAGCCCTTTGGGAATACAGCTGTGACACACACTAAGAGCAGGGTGGAAATGGGACCCATCTGGTCTACCAAAGAGAGACTCTTCTGTTTGACCCACAAAATTTTCTATTAGCGCTAAGGCAACTTGAGACAGTAACACAGCCTGTAATATGAACAAAGTATGCTACAACTCTGGAATATGTCCATTGCATGCTTGGGGCAGAGTACAGTCGCACCTTGGATCCCGAATGCCTTGCAACTCGAATGTTTTGGCTCCCAAACACCGCAAACCCGGAAGTGAGTGTTTGCGAACGTTCTTTGGAAGCCGAACGTCCGGCGGGGCTTGCGCAGCTTCCGATTAAGTGCAGGAAGCTCCTGCAGCCAATCGGAAGCTGTGCCTTGTTGTCGAATGTTTTTGGAAGTCAAATGGACTTCCGGAATGGATTCTGTTTGACAACCAAGGTACGACTATACTCTGCATTTCAAGAACTTAATTTTTTCAAAAACTGAAAATTAAAAATCATATGAATTGGATTCTGCACCAAGAGAAGCAAGCATTATGAAAACGTATACGCATGGTGCAAATTAATCAAGACTTGCATAATTTCGCTTTCATTTTGTATGATACGTTTTGTAGTTTTAAAAACTATTACACATAAATTATTCTGCTTATTATTGTTATCAAGAGAGAGGAATACCACCAGACGCTTTGTAAACTAGGCTGCAAAGCTGTGCTTGCATACATGAATGGTGTCTTCTGCTCAAGGGAGGGCTGTTTTGCACCTCAGGCTATAAAGTTATGCAATAAAAGGTGGAAAAAATCTAAAGACAGCCTTCTTCTTGTGCAAAATCTGGTGGAGCCTTTTGCACAAGTAGAAGCAGGAAAATGGCTGTAGAATCCGTGGAACCACGTAAAACTGAGTGATGCCAGCATCTGTAGAAGCCGGAGGGCACCATTTAACTGTGAAGCAGTAGTAGTGATACTAATTCTTCAGAGGGCCGTCCTGATTCAGAGGGCCATTCCCAATGATGATGTTGAAGATAAAATCCCACAGATGCACATGTTCACACAGAATTCTGCTTGTTGACATTCCTTTTCCAACTGTCCTTCAGTACTTCTTTGACCTTTGAAAGGCTGAGGCTGCTCTGAATCATCGTGATAGGGAGTTCATGAAAAAAAAAAAGCCAGCTATTTTCATTCAAGTAAATTACAGTGTAGACCCTTCTAATAATAGGTCTGTAGTAGGAAGAGAAATAACTTATCAGCTTAGGGCAACTATTTCTTGTTAAAGCTATTGTAACCTTTTCCAACCACTATGTGTAGGTTTGCTTCATAGTCACTTCTTTGCATTATGTTAGGCAGAGGTTTTTTCTTTGCAAGAGAAACTGCTGTCACCAGAATAGCTTCTAAAATGATGTTCACTAGTTTGCAGATAGTTAAATGGCTGTCTGCTAAATTGGCAGATACCAAACCATTACTAGAATGTCCCATTTTCCCACTAAAAACATAAAGGTGAGGAAAGTCATATCAGGAGAAAAAATGTCCCCCCCCCCCCCCATTTTTGAAACTTAATTTTGAAACACAGATGCTAAAAGTCCAAAGCATGGAGAAATTCTTATTTAAGTTCTAGTTTTCTTAATTAGGAGAAACAGGCTCCTCCCTGCCCTCAAAGGCTGAGTTTGCACCACACCATAAGCCATAGCTAGGGTTTGTTCTTGTTTGAGTGAAACAAACTATGATCCCTGGCTTGGATAGAATGATTAAGCCAGGGATCGTGGCTTGTTGCTTGCACTAGGGAAGGAGCAAAGCAGGAACAAGTTCTGCATTCACAGCAAACCATTAACTATGGTTTAGTGCAACAAGCAAGGCCACTTTGCCTATGACCTTGTTGAGACATAACACCAAACCACAGTTTGTCCTTACGATAACAAGCTTTGAGCTCACATGTTCTCCTCCTTCGCATGCAAGAGGAGGGGATCAAAAGCTTTTGCCTTTGAACTGCCCACAGATCTGTGTGATAGCTGAACTGAAGGGAACTGGTTTTGTTTAAACTTTGCAAACAACGGTTGCCACAAGGAACTGCACTCCCTTCAAAGACAGGAGCTTTCAACCTCCCCCTGCTGTGTATGGAGGAGGAGGGGCACAGCGTATGAGCCTGAAGCTCAATGCAGCCTTAATCTTGTAATGAGAAACTAACCAGACCTTTGTCTACATATTGCAGCATTTCTGTAGAAGGCACAACTTTTCTCATGACTATAATTTAATTATCCACGTATGTGTGTTTCCTGTTTACAGATTACTAGTATTGGAATCCACAGCTCCATCAGGAGATATGTCTCGTCCACATCACATTGCATCAGTCGTTCCAAATCGGTACCCCCGGTGGTTCACTCTAAGTCACATTGAATCTCAGCAGTGTGAGTTGGCATCAACTATGCTAACTGCAGCCAAAGGTACAGTGCTGGCAATTAAGCAGATATCTATTTTTAGTTGACTATATACATGAGTTTATATTGGTCTTGTTCACCAATGTGGTGCTAATGGGTATACATAATGTCTGCATGGGCCTTTCCTGGTGCTCCCAGGGTTTCTTCTCTCTGCTCAAATTAGACTTGAAAGAAGCATTCTGTGGCAGACTATAGAATAAGTTGTGTTGTACTTGATTGCAGTGTGTCTGTGGTGCCCACAATGGTTTTTCCAAAAAGCTGGACTGTCCCTTATTACATGAATGAGCTCCCCTTTCCCTTCTCGTCCTCTGGTGCAGTTGGAAGCGGGGAGATTGGAAGCTCCCACTTCCCTGTTTAACTAACCCATGGTTGATCATTGTATTCAAACTCTGACAAAGTGTGGTTAATCTTAACCAAGGTTTAGAGAAACAAACTAGTCTCAAAACCATGACTTACGAAATTGATGTGTTTCCTTAAATATAGTTAAGACTAACCAAGTAACAACAGTTTAGGGTTCAAATGCAGTTAATTGTGTATGGAAGCAAAAGCTTTTGATCTCTTGGCTCTGCTGAAGCAGAAGAGTGAGGAAGAGGAAGTGTAGCATATATATCCGCAGTGAGCCAGGCTAAGTAGCCGAAGCAGTACTAAATAAAATGTACACAAGCACATCACTTGCTGTCCATGTGGCATGTCCAGCTCACGTGTGCAGCAGATTTATTTTGGTACATAGATGAATTCATATAGAAATGGAAAACATGGATCTAGAATGTTTAGTATCTGTTCACTAAGAAAGGCTTTGAAATATTTATTTCCATTGTTTGTAGATAGATAATAGATCAGTAAAAATATTCAGCATTTGAAACAAATAAAATATAATAAACAACGACAGCAACAGTACCACAGTAAAAAGCAGAGCTGGCTTAACCAAGGCCTGTCTAAGCCTCTGTAAACAAGTGTGTTCAGTGAGGTAGCTGTCTGTGCTTCTAAGGGAAGAGAGATCCACACCAGGGATATAACTGCTGAGAAGGCACTGCCCCTATCCATACACAGTGAGCAACAGTTGCTGGTGGGATTAAAAAAATGGCCCCCTCTGTTGTCTCAAAATGTAGGAAGACTGCTGTGGATAGAAACTTTCCATCAACGTACCTAGGTCCCAAGTCATTCAGGGCTTCGCATGTTAACATCAGCACCTTTCAACGGAGCCCAGTAATGTATAAGCAGCTAATGTCGATCCTGCAAGATAGGTGTTATATGGCTGCACAGCTAAGAACCAACCAGTGCTCTAGTAGCAGCACTCTGCACATAGCTGCAAATTCCAGACCATTTTCAAATATAACCCTACACAGAACACATTGACGAGCAGTTGCCAGAGGCTGCAAAACTGTGTGGTCAGACTATGCCGGTGAACTCGACGGAGCTGCAAATTGACACACCTTGTCACTGAAACCATGTGGGCCTCCAGTGACACAGATGAAACGAAGAGCAGCTCCAAACTACACACCTGCTTCTTCAGGGGGAGTGCAGCTTGACCTAAAGCAGGACAGATGGAAGTTTCTTGGACACGAGTAGTGTCTACCAACCGCAACTCCATTTCCTAAGGATTTAGCTCCAGTTTGTAGGCTGTCATCTAGTCCATTGCCACCTCCAGTCACTGGTTCAGCACCATCAAAACTTGCATTTGCTACAGATGGTATGGAGATAACCACATCAGATGCATATTGATGACACTGTCTGTGTGATGGCACATTGCAATATTCCTGTCACTGCTTGTGTTCATGCATATATATATTTTGGCTGACCTTGCAGGTGATGTCCGAAGGCTTGAAACAGTGTTAGAATCTATCCAGAAAAACATTCACTCCTCATCGCACATCTTCAAGCTTGCCCAGGATGCATTTAAAATAGCAACGCTTATGGACAGTCTGCCAGATATCACTCTTTTGAAAGTCTCTCTGGAGCTGGGTCTTCAGGTATTTTTCTTCTTAATGCTGTTTTAATGCTTCAGTAAGATACTATAAAATCTTGGATCAATTTCCTCTCTCAAACACTTAAGATGTGTAAGAAATGCTTCTCTTTCTTGCGGCAGAGCTGATGGAGAGACTCCAAAGTGCCCCTTTTGACTAATTTCTAAGCAATGCGTATTCTCATTTTTCTTGCATTGTGACAACTCTATGATACAGTTTTAGTCTCTCTAAAATGCCCATCTTTTTTGTGAACAGGTGATGCGCATGACTTTGTCAACCTTGAATTGGAGGCGGCGGGAGATGGTGAGGTGGTTGGTAACATGTGCAACAGAAGTAGGTAAGTGGTGCCATTGGTCTCTGATGAATTCTGATTTAACTAGCACTGTGAGATAGTGTAATCAGTCAATCAAGCATTTTATTTGTATGCTGCCTTTCCAAAGTTAAAACCATGCTCCAAGTGGCTTACAACATGCAAAAAAACCAACCCACATAATTACAAACATAACAGAACAATATATAAAACATTAAGAAACACACAACCAAATTGAACTGTTTCCACATAAATCATAAGATACAAAAAATATCAATAACAACAACCACAACCACGACAATACCCCAACCCAGGAACCTGTTCAGCAGCCTCACCTTTTGTAGCTGGAGTCAGTCCGGGCCCCACCCTCCCAAACCAGATGGCACAAGGCATGCAAGGCAGGGAGCAGGTCTTCCAGGACTCACAGCCAAGATGGTCTCTATATGCTGCTCTTCCAAGAAGAACCTGGGTACTTCTACATCAAATATGTATCTTGTGGTGTTTTTTTTAAAAAATTACCTGTCTCTGTGCAGTAACGCCACACTGACATGAACTGAGAGTACAAAACTTAAACTGTCCTCAGCAAGAGAGCCTGAGCTCCATGCAGGAGATCCCAAACAGACAGAGGAATGCAGCCACCTGAAGGAAGTAGCTTAACCTTACTTGCTATGTCCCCAAATAAAAGATTGGGAACCTCCTTTGCAGGAATTTATACAAGGATAGAAGCTGAAAAGTGTGCCCTTATATGAATTGTGCCAAGGAGGCAGGAGAAAGGCACTCCCCTGACAGTCTCCCAAATTTGGAGCAAATTATGAAATGCCAGTAGTGTTCCAGTGGTTGTGCATTCACAAGAACAGTAAAGTTCTCTACAAAGTTATTCAAATTAAATAACTTTTTAGAGAGCTGCATGTTCTCTTAAATGCCACATCAATCATGCATGCCTCTCTTTTTCTCTCTCCTTTCAGTGTGTCTTCTAAAATCATAAACTGATTTGTCCAAACCTTTGGCTGTATTCCTAGTTTTATCTGCTACTCATGGCTGCTTTATGGTTTGCAGCTTTCAAATTTGGCCACCAACAGACTTGTGCAGGAGTGTAGAGTGCCATTACTTTCTGAGAAACTGGAAAGGAAAACCCAATCTGTATTCTGTTTTTGGTTTTATGAAGATGGGTGCTGTTCCCCAAGCAGATTTTCTACATCACTGCAACACTTAGTGGTCAGGATTGCATTTTCCCTGTGTCTGTTGAGTTTACTATTCTTTGCTCTCCTATCAAGCGATGCTATCAGCAAATTTGCATCCTCTCTCTTTCTCTTTTTTAATAGCATGTTTGTCTTGGCCAAGTTAATTGAAACCTAGATTGAGTTCTAGATATTAGAGGGCAAGTGTGTTTTGCTCAGTTAACTATTGGCAAGCAAATTGCTTTTTTATTCCGCTGTACATTAGCATATATATGTATAGCTTCCATAAGGAAGCTGTAATGTCAAGCAAAGATCACCTCTGAGACTCTAGGAAGTTTGTAAATGAGGGACATGTTTGTTTATGTAAATGAAGGCCAGGCATTGAGTGGATGGCCTCAGTGCCTAGCGTTGGGTAAGGAGGGGTTATGTGTATGCATGCATTATAGTACAGCAGGGCCCAACTGAGCAAAATAAGGACCTCTGGGTGTGGTTAGATGAGTGCACAGATGTGTGCAAATTACTTTGAGTAATAATGAGGCACTCAAGCTGCCTATAAGCTTCAATTTATGAAGCCCATCAGTCATTGTTCGCCCTCACAAGAGCAACAAAAGGGTACTAAAGAAACCTGCACATTTCAGATCGGAAGGCTGGTAGTGACTCTAGATGAAGATGTTGCCTTTAAGGACAGAGATTTCTATTTTCCTGCTGGGGTTATATCCAGTTCAGTTTTGACTTCTTCCTCTTTTTTCCATGGAAGGGGGTGTTAGTTCTTTAGGAGGGAAATACATTGAGCATTGGGACTTTTTGGGAATGGGCCACACACACTCAAGCTTGGGGGGGGGCAGTTTGTTCACACAATGTGTTGTCTTGGAATGCTAATCTTTATTGGAGCCGTATCATTGGGATTCTCAATCTGGTTTTCATCGCTTCCAAAGATAGGGGCCAAGGGGACTTCAGCCCCCCAAAGTTGATGGGCATTGCCATTCAAACGGTGTGCATGCACCACATCACGTGATCAATTATGTGGAGTGGGGTGTACCTGCCCCCCTTTTTTATTCAAGTTGGCACTCCTGCTTCGAAATCAGGTGTGCAGGCTAAAGTACAGTGGTACCTCAGGTAACATACGCTTCAGCTTACAGACTCCGCTAACCCAGAAATAGTACCTCAGGTTAAGAACTTTGCTTCAGTATGAGAACAGAAATCGTGCTCCAGTGGCACGGCGGCAGTGGGAGGCCCCATTAGCTAAAGTGTTACCTCAGGTTAAGAACAGTTTCAGGTTAAGAACGGACCTCCGGAATGAATTAAGTTCTTAACCTTGAGGTACCACTGTAATAAGAACCAATGTTGCTCATAGGCTGTGATAGGTTGGGTCTGTTCTTCCACTTTATTAGGAATGCTCAGCCCTGATCTCAACACACGGACATTGGTGGGTCTTCTACTGAGTGTTACAGACAAGGTCACAGATTTGTTCTTTTAGATACATATTCAGGTTCGCCATATTTGGTGACAAACGTTTCCTTCTGTGCCTCACAGGTGTTTATGCACTGGATAGCATCATGCAAAGCTGGTTTACACTTTTCACTCCGACCGAAGCGACTAGCATTGTTGCGACCACGGTGATGTCCAACAGCACTATAGTCCGCCTGCATCTGGACTGCCACCAGCAAGAGAAGCTTGCCAGCAGTGCTAGGACGCTTGCTCTTCAGTGTGCCATGAAGGACCCTCAGAACTGCGCCCTCTCTGCGCTGACCTTGTGTGAGAAGGATCACATAGCTTTTGAGACGGCTTACCAAATTGTCCTCGACGCTGCTGCAACCGGCATGAGCTACACGCAGCTCTTCACTATAGCGCGGTACATGGAGCATCGCGGCTACCCCATGCGGGCCTACAAGCTGGCCACGTTGGCCATGACGCATCTCAACCTGAGTTACAATCAGGACACGCACCCTGCCATTAACGACGTTTTGTGGGCCTGCGCACTTAGCCACTCCCTCGGGAAGAACGAGCTGGCGGCGATCATACCTCTGGTGGTCAAAAGTGTCAAATGTGCAACGGTACTGTCGGACATCTTGCGTCGGTGTACTTTGACCACTCCCGGAATGGTGGGGCTCCACGGAAGGAGGAACTCGGGCAAGCTGATGTCATTGGACAAAGCGCCGCTAAGGCAACTCCTGGATGCCACCATCGGAGCGTACATTAACACCACGCATTCCCGGCTCACGCACATCAGTCCCCGGCATTACAGCGAGTTCATAGAGTTCCTGAGCAAGGCCCGAGAGACCTTCTTAATGGCTCACGACGGACACATTCAGTTTACACAGTTCATTGACAACCTGAAACAAATTTACAAAGGCAAAAAGAAACTGATGATGTTGGTTCGCGAACGGTTTGGTTGACAATAAAAATGTGTGTGAATGGGGGGTGGGTTGGGTTGTGGGGGGGGGGGAGCATTGGGAGGGTGGTATGTTTTTACTTGAGCCTGCCTTTGTATCCTTTTTAACTTAAAACAGAGCCACACCGGTATTATATGTGTATAGTTATATACTGAGTTTGCAAAACTAAATTGTCACGTTGTGAAAGTTTGTGTGTTGTTTTTTTCCTCTCTCTTCCCCTTTCCTTTTCTGTTTTCGTATGAGAGATTGAGAGGCTTAAAAAAAATAAAAAGTTTGGTTTACACTGAGTATATGTTGTCAAGTGGCAAAAGCCCACAGAGCTCTCCTGTTCTTTCTGTATATGTTCACAGCCTCAAAACAAAAAAAAAAAAGAGAAATATATTGCAATGGCTTTAAAAAAAATACAAAACCAAACAAACACCTCCATCCTGTGATAAGTACCTCGAATGGCTCCAGCTTTACTCCTTTGTAACTCATCCTGACATTTCAGCTTATTTAAATGAACCAACCAACTCAACCACACAAATAACTAAATAGTTTCAAAGGCTGACCCACGTGGCTTTGCAGTGCTTGTTCATCCAGAAGCATGGCACACGATGCTTGTGCATGTGGAAACTTAGCGACTGTCAACATACATTCTCAGGGATTTATCTGGAAAATAAAATTAAAAAGAATGAGAGCATTTATTGTACTGTATATATATATATATTATACTATATGTCGGAATATTGAGAATAAAATATAACATTAACTAATTTATAAAGAAAAAAGAAAAAAAAACCTATAATGCAAAATACTTGAAGCTGCAGTAGCTTGGTTTTTAAACAAACAAGGAAACGTATTGGAAAAGACTAAAGTGCGCCCAGCTTCAGGGCTGGCTCAGGTGATGAACTGAATATGCTGGGCATCTATGCAGAGCCACCTTTTTGGATTGAATTGTTGGATGGAAATTGGGGAGAATTTTATACATATATATATATTTATACAGGCGAGTGTATGCATATATACATATGTATGGATCCACACTTGCGTGCTTGTAACAGGTACTCTAGTCAAGAGGGGACAACACAGCCAGAGCAGCAAGCCTTAGCATTAAGAATACATACAGTATGCCAGATTTGGGGTTTGTGCCTCCTAGCCTAGAAAACTTAAATATCCCTTTTTCACACAGAGGATGGCTACAGATAACGTCGCCCCTACATTGCCGCTACTTGTAAACTTATCAAGGTGTGCACGAAACCTGTGTGACGTCCTGGCCACGTGTAGCCCCTGGTCATTGGTAAGGTGACATTTTTAAAAAAACTGCTGGGCTTGATCCAAATACAACAGGGAAAAAAGAGTTGTGCCGTAAAAATTGCCTTGCCACGTGGCCGGACGCTGCAAATGGCCAGTTTCCCATGTGGTTCATACCCACTGTGGTTAGTTCACAAGTGGCAACTGTGAGGTAGAAGTTTGCCTGTGGCTACCTACAATGTTTTCCAAAACAATTGACATAATACATTACACCTTTGCAGTGAGCTAATAATAAGCTAACCTTTGTGCACAAATAACATATATATTATATATATATATAAATATATTCTGCATAGGTATTTGACTTTGTGCAGGACAGAAAGTTGTGTAGGTATGACTGTTCTACTTTTCAGTTTGTTTGTTTTTTCAAAAAATATTTTTTATTTCTTCTAGAATTACTTCAAAAGAAAGCAGCCTTCTATCTTGCCTTGTCTTAATGCTTTAAAATAACCAAACTGGAGATCTAACTACCAAACTGTTCATTATATTATTATTACTGTTATTACCAACTTTGGTTACAGTATAGTGTCCTTTATTTTAGCTGATGGTTCTGTACCCTTGTGCTTTTTAAAGCATTTTTTTTTTTAACATTTTGGTGCAAAAGTTGTCCCGTGTCTCTTGTTCCCTTTGTTAGAGAACATGCTAGAAGTATGTTTGTAGATTTTGTTTGTTTGTTTAGAGGGGGGGAACTTGTTTCATGCTCTCCATTTTATTTATTATACTAGGGGGAAAAGGTTGTATTTCATCACCCCATGTAAACATGCTCATGAAGTTGAAAGTAATTAAGATTTGATACACTGATATCAATTTATTTATGTAACTAAATCACTGTTTTATAAACTTGTTAATGATCAACAATTTTTTTTTGTTTTGATTAAAATTAGTTTTTTGAAAGTTGATTTTGGACTCCTTTTTGATATCTGTTGCTTGAGAGAGAAGTAAAAACAGCCGTAGGTGCTGAAACTTGCTTATGACTGGGATGAAGTCTTCCTTGGTTACTGTGAAACAACCCAAGTTCCTCTAGTCAATTTTGCACTGAGTTTAAATACTAATGGCTGCCCCTGGACCAAGAGGCAAGAGAGATGCTAACAATATTAGAAGTGCTCAGTTCATGGGGGGCATGTGTAGAAACCCAGCGTGGAGGCAAAAGCTCTCATAAATGTCATCTCCATGTGAGACCTGCCCATCCATTAACTCAGCAGCAGCCCCTGCTTCCAAGGTGTTGGCTTTTGGCTTGTTCAGCCCAGACACTGAGCTCCAGCACCGAGAGTCTTCTGGTGGTTCCCTCCCTGCGAGAAGTGAGGTTACAGGGAACCAAGCAGAGGGCCTTCTCTGTGGTGGCACCCGTCCTGTGGAACGCCCTCCCATCAGATGTCAAGGAAATAAGCACCTGAAGGCAGTCCTGCATAGGGAAGTTTTTAATGCTTGATGTTTTGTCACTTATATTATTATTATTATTATTATTATTATTATTATTATTATTCTGTTGGGAGCCACCCAGAGTGGCTGGGGTATAAATAAAAAATTATAATTAATTATTTTTATTATTATTACTACTACTACAAATAAGGCCTCTGCAGTAATGCAGCATAGTTCGTTACGTTCCCTACATGCTTCTGAAGGTGACGTTTCCCTTTTTTTAAGGGAAATTCCATTATTCCGAATAGGATTCCTCGCAAGAAAAGGGAAAAGTTGACAGCTATGGGGGGGGGGCATTGTTAAGTGTAAGCCAGTCCAAAGAGAAGCTGTTCCAGGTGACAAGTTGTTTATGTTTGGGGTTTTACTGTCTCCCTCCTGAAAACCACATGGCAAACTCAAGATTCATATTCTGGAAAGTCCGATGAGGGATTCCTACTCCCACCAGCCCCAGCCAGCAGGGCTACTAAGATCACAGTTGTAGTCCTGCAACAACTGGAGGGCTAGGGATTCCTCGTCCCTGCTATGCAAGTGCTTTTCCTCCCTGCTTTATGCATATGTTTTCATGCTAAACTGCGGAATTAATAAAGGTAAACATGGCAGAAGAATGCTAACGAAGCAATTCTAGGCAGTGAGGTCTACTGCATCAAGGGGCTTTCTTCCTATGAAGTGTGCTGTGGATTGCACTAAACCAGAGAGGTTTTTGAACAATGGAATGTCTCCTCTTAAAGCGCTAGAAGCTTAAAGTAAGTGTGACAATGCACAAGCCTCATTCATATTTTGATGACATCTTAGGGAAACATTATGTGAAACAACTGCCTTTCCTTAATAGGCTCTGTCTATGCAGTGCATGTATGTGCATCTGTCTGTCTTTCCTGTCTGCATGCATGAGACGGAATGGGTTTCATTTACACAGGAGAGAATACTTCAGCCCATTCCGAACCTCAGTCATCATTTGGAATTTAATTTTCCCGAGGTTTTGCAGGCAACAAATCCTACCAGGGTTTGCCTACCACAGCTGTCAAGAGGAATCTCCTCATAGCTCAAAGGACACAAAAGATTCAGCAAAGTTTATTGATGTGGGATAGCTCAGCTGGTAGAGCATGAGACGCTTAATCTCAGGATTGTGGGTTCAAGCCCCACACTGGGCAAAAGATTCTTGCATTGCAAGGGGTTGGACTAGATGACTTGTGTTGCCTTCCAATTCTGTGATTCTATGATCTGAATACCTTTGTCCATGGAGAGGAAGGAGCGGATCATCATAATAAAAATCCATAGATTTATTTCTTGCCAGCCAATGTTTTGAGCAGGTTGCAATGCCAAATGTCTCCCACTGATCTCCTGATGACAACGCGTCTTGACTGGAGGAAAGCAGCTTGGAGGAAAGCATGTCTCGTCTTTAGAAGCTGGGACAGGGGAGTGCTTCAATAGCCCAGGAGATTTCTCTGCTTGGTATTTCAACAGCTGCAGCAAGAAAAAAGGAACTCTGCTAGACAGGAACTTGTTTCTGTGGAATGGCTGCCAGAGCCCTTCTGTTCCACACTGATGCTCTGTCATCCCCACCCTTGTTGATACGACAACATTTTCTACTCTGCATCACCAAAGAGACTCTGATCCATAAATATATCTGACTTCAGAGCTGTCCTGTCAGGCCTAGCTCATGCAGCTGTAATGCCACCACAGGCTGCCCTGTGTTCAGAAATGTGTAACTTGGCCCCCGGTCTAAAGTATTGCCACTTTGTCACCAGCCCAAGGAAGGCTCTTCCTCCTGGTTCCAATTAAACTGGTAAATGGGACTTTGCAGCTTTGCTCATCATCTGGCGAAATATTTTCATGATGTCCCACCTTTTCCTCCTTGCCAGGTTCCTGTTGTCTGGCTTAGGCTGTGTATGCGCCATCCATTTAAAGCATGTTTCCACCTTTTCCAAAAAAAGAATCCTGGAAACTGCAGTTTGTTAAGGGTGCTGGGAATTTTAGCTCTGTCAAAAGTCAACTACAGCAGTCAGGATTCAGGGCAGGAGGCTGTTGAAATGTGCTTTAGATGGGTGGTTTGTGTGTAGTCTTTAGTTACATAAATGCTTGTTCCCTTCGGTTCCCTTCCAACTCTACAATTCTATGATCTATGGTAGCCTTCTCCACCTGCGCCCTCTAGAAACTGTTGTATAATTCCCATCAGTCCCCGCCAGCAAGGTTAGGGATAATAGGAGTCATTTGATAGCATCTGAATGGCACCAAGTTGGAGAAGGCTGATCTCTAGTTTGAAGTTTGCCAATACAGAAGATGTGCTGACAACTTCCAACTACTTCCGCATAGCATTAGATACTGAGGTAACCCTTCCAGTACCTCTAAGGCCAGCTATTCTGGGTCTGAAGGCACATGAGACTTCTGCCTTGATGAAGTAAAGCCAGGTGACCCCCTGGAAAACACATGTATGCAATGTAAGTCCTACTCAGAGCAGACCCAAGACTGACTTGGGTTCATGAGTTTTAGTGGGCATAATCTGCGCATAATTTAGTTGGATGCAGGCTATGTGCAACACCTTGGCTTCCATGTTGGAAAAAGGTGAGATATAGATATAAGAAAAGGCAACCTCTTCATACAATCGTTACTTGGTGCTACTGTTTTCTGACAAAGGATTCTTACCCCTTTTGTAGAAGCACAATTCTCATAAGCCTTTGGGAGAGGCCACAATATGTAAACCAGCCTTCGCCAGCTGGGTATCCTCAAGCTGTTTTGAACTACAACTCACAGCATCCTCAGGCATTTCCTTGACTATTATTTCAGAGGGGGCACCTCTGTTTTCTAGAGTCAGCCAGATGTAGTTTGAAAAGTTGTTTTGTAATGGGTGGTCTTTAATACCATTTTTGAACGCCCTCCCCTCCTTCTCTATTTTCCTACATAGGAAAGAAGAAATGTTTGCAAGTGTGCAGATACAAGGTTGATATTTATTATTTCCCCCCAGGAAGCATTACGTTTGCAAGTAGTATATATTCCATCAGGTTTCCTCTGTTCCTTTCCCTTTGATCATTGCCTGCCTGCTTGTGTTTTCTCTGTGTTAGGACTGTGTATTCTGAGCATTATGGGTTGTTGGTTTTTTGTGTGTGCCATCACCAGTTCTTTGTAGGGTTGCAAAAGTGAGAAGTTTCCTGATCTGGGGAGCTTAAATGTACATTTTGGCAAAAGGAAGGTGATGATGAAGGGAAGGAAGAAGGGAGAGAAGAAGAACAAGAGAGACAAGGGTAACAAAATAAATCACTCAAGCTGTCAATGGCCTTTATGATTATGCTAGACCTCCATGGCTGGAGGCAGTAATGTTTGTGGAAGTCACAGGTAGGGAGAGCACTTGGGTCCTCCTTGTCAGTTTCCCACATGCATTTGGCTGGCCACAGGTTGACCATGTTCTCCAATTTGTATAATGCAGTTTTGTGTCAAAAGGTTGGATTTTTGCGTATGTACTCCTGATCTGCACAGTCCACTCACATGCCTTCCCATCACAGCTGATCTGATAGTGTTAAGATGCTGTCAGACATCCCTGAATTCCATCAGCTTCTGCCCTCTCCCATTGCATATTTGAATTACATTAAACCACGCTCCTGCATTAGAACGACCGTTTGCGCATCTCCTGCCTGAGCCAAGGGAACGTTGATTTTGTTGCCATTGGCTAAGAATTTGGATTTCTTAATTTGTCAGCACATTTGCTCTTCTGTCAGCTACCTCCATCCTGTGAGAACGCTTATTAGTTACTGGCAATGGCACAGCAATAGTTGCTCAACATCCGTTACGCTTTGCAAGCAGCCATCGTAAAAAGGGAAGTTTGGGAAGCTGATCAGGCTGCGTCACTGAGGATTGCAGATTTGGGTATGTTTCTCAGCACATGCTTGGTAACTGTAGGGCACTCAGTAAGAGAAATCAACAGGAACTTTGTTGCTGGTAAGCAACAATTACGCTTATCAGCATATTTCTTCAGGGGTGCAGAAATCTACTGAATGTGATATTGGGCACAGAATCCATCTCCTTGAGAATCTCAAGGGGGGGGGGTACTTAAAAAAACCCCCAACCATTTCTAGTCCTATTTATTCTCAGGAAAAGTGTATGGCTAATACCTGATGAAATCTCATAAACCTGAGGAGGACTGAGTAAAATTGACAATGGGACTTCAGTACTGCATGTCTCACTTTGTTACACTATTGACTGAAAAATCAGAATTACTGTATGCAAAGTAAGAAAAATATTAAAATTCACTTGATTTGCAGAATTTATACAGTGTGCAGATTTTGGATAGCTTTTGCAAAGCATTTCCTCTTCTCCCTCCCTCCCTCCTTCCTTCCACACATACAGCCCAGCTCATAATACTGTATTTCAGACATTTGGACATTCTCAGATAGAGATGTCTCTGTTTCCACCCAAAGTAAAGTTACCTTTATATCCCACTGT